AAAGAAGCTGAAGGGTATACCGCAGTATGTAATGAAGTCACCGTATCAACACCACCACAGAACCCCAGCCGAAGCGTCATGGTAAGAGGAAAGAAAAAGAAAAAAAAGAAAACCGAAAACCGAAGAAAAAAACAAAGGGAAATGTGTCGCAGTAATCGTGTCGGATCCGGAACGGTAGGCGTATCATCAGACGTGCGAAAGTATCCATGAAACCAAGCACCCGATGAGGAGGACAAGAACGGATAGTCAGAGGACCGTGCAGTTCGGCGCGGAAGCCCTTCAAGACGTCAGATGTATCCAATGAGTCCCGGTAAGTTAAACCCACCACCTGATTCGTTCTATGTTGTTGATCCATTGGACGGTGATGAACAGCCGTTCTCGGACGCTCTGGGAGCAGATGAGGCGGTACTTTTCTTGATCGACGATGGGGAGAATGGATGCGACCCAGTAGGGAAGCAGGGTGGGGTCTTCCGGTCGAAGACCGAAGGTGAGCAGGACATTCGGGGACGCCCACGGCGAATTTATCGATATCATGCGATCACAGAAGTCGGCGCAGATCCGGAAGGCGTCCATGGTGGTTTGGCCAGGAGCTAGGGGAGAGGAATGCGGATGTCCCAGGTTCACGCCTAGGCACGACTGTTCGAACGCTTCCTCGTCCGCCAGAGGAAAGTCGTCAACTCGTTCCACTTTGGCGATGAGGTAATCATCGCGGTAACCCCACTTCCTGATTTTGAACTTCGATACGCCGACCGTCCAAATATGGCTGCGACCGTCGGCATAAACTTGGATGGATTCAATTTGGAGCATCGTTCCATACTCCATGAATGGAGTCCCCTCCGCGTCTCCTACCCCGTTGCTAACGAAGTTCGGAAGCACCATTCCGAACAGTTTGTCCCCTTCCCACGCCCGTTGGATCATCAACCGATACCGAGCCTCGAATATGAACAACGGTGTCGGCATTGAAGGGAAGGAACTGGCGCAAACGAATATTGGGGTCGTAAGGTCGTCCGCCTCGTCTTGAGGTTCAGCCGTGGTGTTGCTGGTGGCTCTATCAGCCAGCTCGCCCGGACATAGAACGACAAGGATCTCGGTAAGTCTTTTGTTGCTGGACTTTGCCGGTATATGTGACGGCAGTTGTAATTTCGTACGGCAAGACGGACAATGTAGCGAATGGGCTAGGACTTTCTGTATGCATTGCCGACAGAACGTATGGCCACATTGCGTCGTAACCGGGTCCACCAGCAGAGCGTAACAGACTTGGCACTCCATCTCAGAGCAAGCGGCCTCCTTGATAGCCGCGAGGAGCTGGTGATCCGTTCCATCACCTTCCTTCTCCTCGTCGAACTCGATCTCCTCGTCGTAAGCCAATCGGCCGTCCTTCGCCAAGACATAGAGCGATCGTAATCGACCGAACCGCTTCTCCTGGGAGGAGTCGTCGGAGCCCATCTTCCCACTTGCCAGCACACTGTTGAAATGCTCGACAACCTTCGCGAGCGTCACGTCCACGCCGCAATCCGCCAACGCATGTTCCTTCCGACAATCCCCGACAGCCGGACAAATGAATCCCAGCTTCCTCTCCGGCAGATCCGGATAGCTCACACCACGGCGGACATAAGCTTCTGGCAGACAGCCCCGACAGGCGATATTTCCACACGGCAACGCCATGGGATGACGGAGGGGCAGTGAACAGATGCTGCACTGCACCAAACGCACAATCTCTCGTGCATCCCGAAATGGATCGAATCCATTCGGGCATGGTTGCCGTTGTTGCTGTTGCTGAGAACCACTAGTCTCGGACGCGGACTGGCCGGCCCCGACGCCTTCTGCGGACGTCATTGTGCCGGTGATTATTTTTTTGGTGGGTGATCGGGATATATCTCTCCCGGATGCACGCGAGAACCACGATGTCATTACAGAGCGGAAAAAGAGTTGTCGGACCGAAGCGAACGCAGAGGTACCGAGAGATTGAAAGGTGGAAAGTCTGTAATGCGTAAGAAAATGTCCAGTATAGCTTTGGTATCTCGTTTATCTTTCAAGGAAGCTATGGGATCAAGTTCACGATTTGTGTTGAGAAGAAGCATGGAAATATCGTGATGTTTTTTATTTTTCAAGTTTCCAGGTACTTTCCTGGATGAGAACCAGGACGGGGGAGGGAGGGTGGAGATGTGTAAGCGGTGACATACCTGGGGTGGGTTTGGCCGAGCCAAAAGGTGGCTAGGGACCTTGAAGGTAAATGGTCGAGAGTAGTGGGTTTCCAAGGAGTCGCAGTAGTGGTTGAAGAGCGTTACTTTCTGCAGGGAGCTATCGACAAGGTGCGTTGTTGGAGGGTGGGGAGGAGTGGGGTTGAATATGTAGGAACAGCAAGAGAAAGAAGGAATACTATCCGGGGGCTGGGTGGGGGGGTGTGAAAGGGGAGCGAGGGTTTCGTAGGAACTGTTGTTGTGGTTTGTGGTTGTTGTAGTGGGGGAGGGAGGGGGTGTGTGAAGGTGTCTGGAGGAGGAGGGCAGTGGAATGGTTAAGAAGGATGGCCTAGAGAATTGTTCGAACTTGACTACCCTGAAGGGTTTCTTTTCCATATGTATGATATATCGTTTTATCCTATGTAATATGCTGGATGACTGCCTACTCTATGCACCGGCGATCTACTACTATGGGTGGGCCAATATGATCGGGGTTCAAGCGGCGGAGGATTGTAGGTAGTCGAAGTGGGTTTTGACCCGGCTGGAGTTGCTGATGAGGTGGGTGGGTGGCCGTGGCAGTCAGTAGTGGATGATCGAAGCAGCAGCAGCGCGGCCAACCACATGGTGGAGGGGTATGGTGTAGAGGCGGCGGCGGCGGATGAGAAGCAACGGAGAACCGCAGAATATGATAACCAGTGCTAGTTAGTGGCGGAGTACGTATGCGTACTCCTAGGAGGACGAGTGTCAGGTGGGCGCTTCACGCTTGGGAAGGCAGAATACTCTAGACATAGAAGGTGCGGAGAAGGCATTGAGCAGCAGACGACGCTGAGCAGAAGACGACGACTCCGGGAAGGAGACGATTGCGCATAGAAAGCGACCATCAGAAAGCGACCATCATCGTTCTTTCTCTTCGTCTTCCCTGCGCGGAATGGCAAGGTAGTTGGATCATGCAGAGTCGTCCTGTAGTGCATAACTGAGTTGTGGCGCCGGGAAAATGTGAGATTACAACTAAAGCCCGAGATCGGCCACCTCGAGAGATCTCGACGTGCGATCTCGAACACACCGCTGCATCTTGTTTGCACGTCGCCCATTTCCTCAGCCTTGTCTTCTTCTGCGCCCCTTCTTATTCTTCAGCCTTGTATTCTGCTGCCCAACCCCCTTCTTCAGCCCTATCTTCTCCTGTCTAACCCTTTCCTCCTCCTCCAGGACGTCGGTAATCAAGCTCTCGTTCGGACGCCTACCGAGCTGTGGCTGCATGTGAGTACATGGAATCCCCAAGCCCAGCCGATCTCGCAAGCCCACGCCCATCATCATCGCTCCGGCGTCCGCAGGACCGCAGCTGCCATTCGTACATACATTTACAGACATCTATTACTAGTAGTACCCACGTCTGCGACTAGGCAGAGTATCTACCGTAGATACGCTTAGGCACCAACCAACCTAACCCATCCCTCCGCTCCCCGGTCGATTCGCGCGCAAAGTCAACTAGAGATACAGCCCGACAGCACTCCGAAAAAGATAGAAGACCAGAGTAAAGTCGATATAGTAATTGCATAGTGCTGAGTTAGACGCAGCCTCGCCTTGCGCCAATCAGTAAAATATCATCCGGTAACCGAGTATCGTCTTCTTCCCTCAATCTCCGGATACATCGTGTGTGTGTGTGTGTATGTCTCCGTGTGTGTGTGTGTGTGCGCCGTGTCGAGTCGTGTCGTGGTGTATGTGCCCCTTGTTGCAGCTTGCGTGTATGTGTATGTACTCTGTCTGTCTATCTACCCCATGAAACCAGCGTTGGACCCGCCCTGGACCCGCCCTGCCCTGCCCTGGGGGGGCATCCGGAGTGAGCTACGTACAGAATCTGCGCGTCATATACTCTATTTTATTTCCCTGCCTCCCTCCCTCCCTCTGCTCCGGTTCGGTCCTGTCCTGTCTTCATGGACGACCAAGGTTCTGTCCTGTCCTGTCTTGTCCTGTCTTCAGGGACCAAGGACCAAGGACCAAGGTTCTGTCTCCATCCCATCCCATCCCGTCCATCCATCAATCATCCCGCCAGTCAGCCAAACAGCCAGACAAGCCAGACAAGCCAGACAAGCCAGACAAGCCCAGCCATTTCCCCCCGGTGCGTCGTCGCCGCCGTCGTCGTCGATTCAAGTCAATCAGTGAGATGTATCGGCTTTATGAAGTAGTGGGCAGTGGGGGAAACTGGCGGAAACTGGAAAGGGGAGCAATCCGTCCGGGAGAAAGAAAGAAAGAAAAGTGCATGTTCGGGATATATGCATGACGACGGATCGGATGGGGGGTTGGTCTATGTATGTAGAGTATGTAGACATGTATGTAGAGTATGTATGCTATGTATGTGTGTATGATGTGTATGATGTGTACGATATGGGTCAGTGAAGGCCGGTGAAGTCGCCGTCTCACGTCGCATACCGTACCGTACCTATCGTGGACCCGGACGGCGGACGAGGGCACGGCGGGCGGACGAGGACCAAGACGGACGAGGACCAAGACGGACGAGGACCAAGACGGACGAGGACCAAGACGCGGACGCGGACGAGGATGCTCATTGCTGTCTCTCGGTGTTTAGGGAGAATGAGAATGAGACACACTTGCTCTAGTACTGCGCATGCTCTAACTGGCTGGTTGCCGCGCTCGATGGTACTAGTACTTGTCTTTTGCGTGCCCTGATCGGGAGTGGAACCGAGTGTCGGCAGCGACGGGGGGATCACACCCATCTGATGCCTCCCTCCCCCCTCCCCTTCCCTGACCCAACGAGCGGAGTGGAGGCGGAGGAGAACAGCCGCCCCCACCCCACACACACGACACACACCCTCCCGCCCCCAGGCCCCAGGCAACCCATGCACATTGATTGATTGAGAAGCTTGTGAGCTGTAAGACTGGATGGCAAGATCGGTAGCTTCCATTTTATGAGATGTCACGACCAAAGCTCGATCGCAGGCTCGACTCTTGACCGTGCTTGCCACACACCTCCACACCCCCTCCGACCTCGAGCCCTACACGTCCACACACACACACACACGTCCACACACACACACACACACGTCCATCCACACACACACATCCACACAATCAACTACTACTTAGATTCAATTGCAATTCAGCTCAACTCAACTCATGCTAACGTTCGACTGCTGCTGCTGATGATGCTGATGCTCAACTTCTGGTGACATCGGTGATCCTATCGGCTCCGCCTGTCCCTCCCTTACCAAGTGTTCCACCACACTCTTGTCAAACAGTTCGATGATGAACCGTCGCATCTGAAGCCGGTACCGGTAAGACTCGAGTAATACCATCACTCGACGATAGAGCTCAGGTGAGGCAAAGTGCGTAATGTGAGCCGCTTTGAGTCTAAAGCCATCACCTCGCATGTCAATACTTATACAATACATAGATGTTGCGTTCCGCGAAATAGAAAAGACAATGGAGTGGAGTGGGGTAGATGTAGAGTACGCACTTGAGGAGATCTTTGGTCGCTTGACTCTCTTTGATATGGTTGGATAGGTTGGCTATTGCGCCAATAATATCCGAGTCTACAGGGTCTTCGCCCAGGATTCTCGACAGAATCGACGGTCTGTTGGTTTCGCTGGTTTCGTCCCGTGTATGCTGCCACGGCTCGACCTGCAAGAGAACGGCAATATCCGGGTCAGATGTATGTAACAGCGAAAGGAATGGATCCAAGAGTGCAGAGAGTGCAGAGAGTGCAGCACGAGACTGCTGTCTCATGGGTGCCAAAAGAAATAGACGCATAGATAATGCACAAGGGAGAACCCACCGAGAGCAACCGTCGCAAGTCTATTGGCACGCAGAAGCCTAGTGTTTCTCCCATCGTTGACGTCGATCCATCCCAACCATGTTCCAGCAGGATCTCCAATCCTTGCATCGTCTTCGCTATCAGACCCAGCACGAAGAAAGCCGTTCCCTTGAGCGTCAGCACCTGCGATGTCTCCGCAATCATGATTATCGGTCCGACAATATCCGCTTCGTCGAGGAACGGAGCCCCAAGAGGCATCGATCCAATGTTACCGACCGCCCACAAACATCCTTTGATTTTCGTAACAATCTCGGGGTCTGCATGCTCTTGTCCGAACTGCTGTATAAACCGCGCAAAGTCTTCGAAGTGGCCTTTCTCTCGGAGCAACTTGCAGCCCTCGCTAGTCCGTGCCAGTTCACGGTAGAAATGCGGCGGCACTGTCCCCAGCATGTCGCGGTCCATCGTGTTGACACCTTTCTTCACTGGCTCATCATCGGCAAAGGCACGAGCTAACGAGGCCTCTACCGCCAGCACGTACGAGTCGTTTCGTCCCTTCGTCCATCAGCCCGGTTCCGATGCAGTTATTGGGTACTCACATGAAACCAGTCGTCCATCTCACGGTGTATGTAGTCCAGTTCGTTCAAGTAATGGTACCCTACTGATGTCGATAAGAACCGCAACAGTAACGGTGCACCTATCTCACCAAGGTGATCCAATGCCGGTCGACATTTCACTACGTACTCGAGGCTGTGTGTCGTGTTGCAAGCTTCTTCCAATATCCTCACCGCGGTTTCACATACTTCCACGTCGGGATCGTAAAGTTGGGTTATGAGTAAGCGTATTGCCCATTCTGCAGTCTCGTTGCTCCTGACGGTGGCAACCTTGTCCGGATCGTCCGGCGATGTCAGGTTCCGAAGATGGTTCGTTGCGAATAAGCGGACGCTCTGGACCAGGCTATCAGCTTCGAACAGTCATCCGGAAGTTCCCTTCTTACCTTGGGGCCTGTTGTCAATGCCTTTGACAGGATGATGCGAGGGTGGCCCTCCCTGGAACGGTCAGTTCTGACTTGGTTACACGAAGATGACACTTACAAGGAGAAATCCATGGTAGAAACAAACAACTCTAGCAAGTCGGGCCGATCCTGGAGGTCGCTGATGTGGTAAAACATGTTGAACATGCGCCACCGCTCCATCATGCTGTGTGTATGTTAGCTTAGCCCCAATTGCTACCGGATGGCATGCCACTCACGCGAGTCCTTTCGCATCACTACTCAAGGTTCCCAGCATAGAGAAGTACCCACGACTGAGGGTATCGGTCAAGCGATGAGCCGAGAATAACGGTTCGGGAGAGACAATTCCGCTCATCTAAATAGTCAACAATGCAATTTCTCAACCAGTCAAGATTCTTACCTTGTCCAATTGTGCTAGACATTCCGCTATCTGCCGTAATATCTTATGTTCTGCTAGAAAAAGAACGCCTTGGCTGGTTTGTAGGAGGGTACGGAAAAGCGCACAACCTGTCTTGACGTATCTCTGATTCGGCTTCGTATTCTTGATCTCACTGAACCGGTACTTAAACGGACGGTAGAATGACAGAAGCCGTTTCATGAACTTAGTGACTTTGATGGCTTCCTCCAACCTCTTAGGATTGAGAAGGGGTCCCTGAATGATTTCATTCAGGGCATCCCAGTTCCACTTGATGTAACTCTTAGTATTTAACACCTACATTTGTTAGCAGGCTTTCGGGCAAGATGGCTGGTAACATACCCCGGTGTCAACAATCAGATTGGAGAAGTGTCGGTCATCAATGGTCATGTTCAACTTCAGCTTCAATTCCACCTGCCGTTGTCCCCTTTTCTCCTCTTCCAGAGCAATCCGATGGGGTGTGCTGGCCGACAAGGAACGATGAAGTGTCCGGTTGAGGCTGTCGATCTGGTAGACTGCCGCAGACGCCGAGAAACGTCCGTCAAGCCCGAACTTGGAGGCCGACGAAAATAGGCCCGGCAGAAGCTGCATCCGTGCACTGTAGTTGCTAGGGAGCAGCTGGCTCGCCAGTTTCAATACTTCGCCCAACAGGAGGGTAGTTTTGCGGACTATTGTGGGGTCACTGTTGTCCTCAACGATGGAGGTCAAGACCTTTATATCATGTCAGCACAGCAAGGGCAAGGGCAATGGTATATACCTCAAGCAGACCAGCGTCAAAGAAAACGGCCAGTAGGAGTGATGTGTAGTGCTTCACCAGGTTGCCCTGGGATGAATTGTCTTGTTTGCCTGGTTTTCTTGAAGATTCGTCATTCTTGAGATTGGCCACACGGCCATATGCTTCAAGTCGTTAGTGAATCTCGCAGATTGATAGGAGAGAGCCATACTGGTAAGTCTTCTCCCAGCGAGAAAGGTTGTCGACCAGGAAGGAGGCTTTATGCGGAAAATGTCAAAAAATAACTCCAGAATCACGTCCTTGAGAACTTTAGCATCCGAACCACTCCCTAAGATGAGGTCGGCCTTCTTACCCGAACGCCAGAAGAAGGTATACGCAATGAATCAACTAACGACCGTAAAGAGCGCATTTCAAACATGGACAAACACAAAAGCCCTGGACCTTGTTAGCAGACGCCGAGCCCTGGATGTGGAACGTGTTCCCTCACCTGACCACGACTTCAGCATACTACTGATCACTTTCGCTGCCGACCTTAATCTCTCCTCGTCGGAATGTGTTTTCGGACCCAAAGTACTGGAATCGGTAAAGGTCGAGAACACAATCTACACCACCACCACATGAGAATGACTTCACAAATACAGCAGGTCAAGCCCAGCGTACCTCTAGATCATGACCAGCCCGCACATACTTCCGTGTATCGGGCATATCAAGCAGGTACAGGAATGCTAAACTCAGAGAGTCGGCGATCTCCCAGGGACCTTCGCCGAGAACTTGGGTCAATACCCTCACTCCGCCGGCCGAGACCACGAGTTCCGGGTCAAGGACCAACATTTCGGCCAGTGTCTCCATGGCAATTCCTCGCAACCGGTCGTCTACTTGCTCCGCACATGCCACTATAGCTCTCACGACTTCGCGTGATATCTCCCCCACGCCTCCCGGTATCTCCAGAAATGCTCTCACGAACTTCAGGGCCTGTTCACGTTCCACGGTAGATCTCGATACCAGCGACAATACAGCCAGATGGTCAATGTGGAGTCGCCGTGTGGTCTTCAGCGACTGCAAGTCCGTCAGGGCGGCTCGAGTGACGCGGTAGCCAGCAGCAATGACGTCTTTGCTTTCGTGCAGTAGCAGCGAATGCAACCGGTGCCCGAATGTCTCCCAATTGAGTTCGTACTTGAGGTTCGGATGTCGCTTGAAGAGTAGAACCAACTGATTCGCCCTCGAGATGTAAAATTCGTTTCTATTTCCCTTCTCCTCTAGATCGCGCAAGACATCCGTCAACGAGACCGTAGGTGACTCCGTCTCCGAAACATCTGAACCTCCGCCGTTCGAGGCAGGAGGTTGGTTGGGTAGATCCAGGAGCGTCTCGATGACCCGCGGTAGTATCGGTGTTTCCCGGGGTTTTGTGATGGCCGCAATCTGACTCTGTAGCTGTGTGATCTCGCGATTCCTCTCATTGTATTCCTTCTCCGCCTCATTCCTCGCGCGCTTTGCCTCCTTGACTTTCTTCGAGTCGAGGACCTGTAGTAAGTTCTCGGCACCTTCTTTGTATTTGATAGCTTTGTTGAGTTGGTCTGTAAGCTCTTCCACTAGGGCCTCGCTTGAAACAGGACTAAGGGGGTTGAAGTCGTTCACAAGCGTGTGCGGTGTCGTGAGTGTTGTCGTGGTGCTCCGCAAGCTGGAGCTAAATCCCCCCGGACCGTTTGGATTCGATGGGCCGGACATGGCCACTCCTATAGCTCCCGTCATCGGCGGACCTAAACTGGTGCTGGTACCATTGTTTCTGGGCGCCGCGAGATGCGCACTGCTGCCGCTACCACCTCGAACGCGTGATACCGCCGGGTATGCTTTCGGGGAAGTGGTCGAAGCGTTGGGCATGTTCCGAGGCTGCCATCAACAGAGCTAAACCGGGCGGGAAATCGAGCTGTCCTCAAAGGTCACTGATCATGGATCTGTGGTGAGCGTGTGGGTGGAATGATGGCGCGAGGATCGAATTGGGTGGCGAATGAGCTTCGTGGGACGGACGATAGGACGCGGGGACCGGAGGCGGACACGAGGGTATGCGTCAAGTCGGAAATGGGGGCTGTGGGTGGTGTTGGTGGGGAGGAGTGTCGTGATGATCTGGAAACGCGGGGGGAGGGTAAGCTTGTAAATTAGGTTGAGTTGGGTCGAAGGTCTTTGTGTAACGTATTCGTGACGAGTCGGCATGTGTTGCACCAGCTCTCTACTCTACACAAGACGGGCCACGAGCTTGATCTACAGCCAGCAACACCGTTTTTTTCTCGCTCGATGCCCGATGCAGCCACTTCACAGTCCGGAGAACAGACAACTTTATAGGTATTGCTGGTTTGAACGGAGAAACTTACAAAGTACCTGCGAGCATAGAGGGCACCTCTCTGAGAAGAGTTACAAGGTATGGTCGGCTAACCCCGCTATAGAGTAGATATAGCTCACCTTAAAATTGGAGTAAATAGACTCCAGAGCACACGTTTTGATCGCCTGTCACTTCTATGATGCCGATACTACTAGAGTAAATAGCGTTTGGGACAGATACTTTGGAGGCAGAGATTAACTGTCCGCGGCCCGTCAGAAGATGGCGTTCTATTTGCCAGAAAGAACGCGCTAGGCCGAACACGGTAACTAGAGTGATGTCCAATGAGTTGCTAAGCCGCTTCGATAGTTTAGATTGATCGAGTTCGTAACTCTCGACTCTCCTCCGTCTCCGAATCGAACCAGCCAATCAAAATCAATATGGAAACTTTGAGGTTTTGTGTTTTGTTCTGTTGTGAGGGTTTTCGGGAATACCTGGTAGAATCGTCCCGTTCTGCCCTGTCACGATCTGCCTAGCTCTGGCAGCTATCTACCCTAGGGGTTACTGCTAGAGAAGCTAGATACGAGACCCAACTCTTTCCGATATGCATAAAGCTATAGGAAAGTTGGGTCGTACGATGCCTGCGGTTTGTGGAGGCCCATCTTTTTGCCGGTCCAAATACAGGCCAGCCACCAGCCGGCAGGAGAGAAGAGGACTGAGGGGCAAGGGAGCGAGGGAGCGAGGGAGTTATCTACTCAGATGTAAGGGTAAGTGGTGCCTCACCTTGCGCTTATGATTCGTAATGGTGGTGAGGCACGACGTATCGGCTGTCTCTGGTACATACGGGAGAAGTTCATGGCACCGGTCATGGATACACGGTCCAGTTTTGGTGTGAAATTCTCCAATGAAATGAAATCGTGGATGTTTACATATAAGAATCGACTAGAGATTATGCTCGAGTGCAACGAATTCAAAAGGATTGGTTACTGATCCGCTCGACTCATAGTGAATCGTTATGCGTTCCAAACTTACTGCCCCTTGCCGACAGTATTCGTCATCCAGTTCTATAGGACGGTCCGAGAGCTCGAACAGTCAGCCACCTGACATCAGTCCTCACGGGAGGATCTCCGAATTGACGGCAATGAGAATCCAGGTATATCGCGAGGGACACTCGTTTGACAGATGCATACATACAAGGAACGATTGTGCTCTGGCCAGCGTGTGTGGAATTTTCATGTCTATCTATTTGTCTAGGTATTCAGTAGCAACGTTGTTTTTGGTTGTATCGGCTGTTGCATGCAGAGATTCGAACTTCCCATTGCAGAGGTATGTACCCGTAACTAACTGACAGAAATGGCCTTGTTGGCCGCAGCCACCATATCATATATTCTACGTCCTCAAAGTCTTCTTCGTCCGGTTAAAGAACTGAAAAAGCTTACGATATTAGCCGCGCGGAAACCGTTTATCAGCACGGTCTAGAAAGAAACGTGGCCGTGTCGATGACTGTTCGGGTCCAGTGATGGACAATGCAAAATGTTGCTGGTGGAATTAGCTGGCTACTGCTGAGGGAGCTGCTACGGATGTTGCCGCCGAGGATTATGCTCTTTCGCGGGGGATGCCAGTGTGAAGCTATTCTGCAGTTCTTCCGTCACCGTTGTCGTTACGCCTCTATCACTCGATATCGCAGTGGATGATATCATGGCCAGAAGGCAGTCCAATGTACAGTGACAGAAACCGAGGTACATACATAAAATCGGTGACAGTGTAATGCCGTTTTCCAGACGATTCGTCGGAGGGCTAAACATTTCCCGTTTTTTTGGTACCGTAAGTAGACTGCTTCGGCCTAATCATAAAGTATAAAGTTGTATTTCTCTTGAATCCTACAGAGCTCTTGATGGATCTTATGTAGATTTATGTACGTGTTCGATGGGCGAAATCATTGACAGCACGGTGTGTACCTATACAATAGGTAGTAAGATCACCGAAGACAGGGCGTAAAGTGGCGCTGAGATACCGGTATTCAGATAACTGACGAAAAGCCTTTGCCTCCAGGAGAAAAACCACCCGCCGAACGCCGGTTGAATAGATAAGTAAATGGAGTATAGGGATCACCCGAAACCTTCAGCGAGCACGGCGACAGATACATGACAGAATAATTACTGCAAGCTTTCGCCCGTGATCTGGGCCTAGTGCTGTGTTGACAGAACTTTTCTCGCCAGAGTGCGCAGCCGCACGGAGGGACCCGAAGGCAGACAATATGCCGCCTGCCGCCCTGTGTGGTTGTATGGTACCTACAACATCTCTTCGGCCTACTCCCGAGCCAATGGGTCAGCCATTTGGTAAGCGCGGAGGACGCAGGACTAGCTATGACATCTCGCTTTGGGTCGGTTGTTGAGCTGCCAGGCATCGGTGAGCTCCGTGTCCCGTTGGAGCTCTCGAGTGTTCGCGCCATCCTCGTACGACAAACCACACGTTCTCCATGCTCCGGCTCTCCCCAACCGAACAAGCAATGCAGCATCTAAGAAACAGTATAGCAGATGGACACGAAAATGGCATGGCGAAGGTGCCCGCCAGGGAGAGGTACCGATCATCCGAGCGAGGACCTTGAACGGAGATAGCTCTATCGGTCCGATAAGTCTTTAAAAGGGACCGGTCTTCCCCCTAGCTCTCACAACACAAGCACATCCACAGCTCTAAGGACCTTTCACTCACAAGCAAGCTATCCAATACTCGATAAAGCACTCAGCACATATCCAAACTCTCGAGAATATCTCATCATCAATATCAACATGGCCACTGTTTCTGCTGCTCGTTACGGAAAGGTACACACTGCATCTCCTTTGCGCCGCATCGTCCTACGCGTCTCCCCGGGCTAACATCAATCCGTAGGACAACGTCCGTCTCTACAAAGTTCACCGCGATGAGAAGACTGGTGTCCAGACGGTGAACGAGACTACCGTCTGCGTTCTTTTGGAGGGAGACATTCAATCTTCGTACGTACCGCGTTATTCCGCAACACGCGTACCCGGCTGACGAACTTCCCCCAGCTACACCCGTGCCGACAACAGCGTTGTTGTGGCCACCGACTCGGTCAAGAACACCATCTATCGTGAGTTAGACCGTACCCCAAGCTGCGCGAAGCTCCATGGAGCTCCACGGTGACTGACAAACACCAGTTCTGGCCAAGCAAAACCCCGTCACACCTCCTGAACTCTTTGGCTCCATCCTTGCTACCCACTTCCCTGCCGAATACGCCCATATCCACGCAGTACACGTCAAGATCATCACGCACCGCTGGACGCGCATGGTCGTCGACGGCAAGCCGCACCCCCACTCCTTCTTCCGAGACGGCACCGAGACCCGCAACGTAGAAGTTTACTTCAAGCGCAATGCCGGCATCTCGATCAAGTCTGGTATCCAGGGTCTCACCGTCCTCAAGAGCACCGGCTCCGCCTTCCACGGTTTCGTCCGCGATGAATACACCACCCTCAAAGAGGTCTCGGACCGAATCCTGAGCACCGATGTCGACGCCGCCTGGGACTGGAAGGTATTCCCCGACGTTGCCGCAGTTCGGGCTGTCATTCCCGCGTTCGACGCCGCGTGGGAGGCCGCGAGACAGATCACCATGGACACTTTCGCAAAGGACTTCTCCGCGTCTGTTCAGGCCACCATGTACAAGATGAGCGAGCAGATCCTGGCCGCCGTGCCACTGGTCGAGCACGTCTCGTACAACCTCCCTAACAAGCACTACTTCGAAATCGGTGAGTCTCTATCTCCCACTTCCCTTCCCTTCCCGTCCGCTACTATGAAAAGGCACTAATAGCCCATGGATGAACAGACATGTCGTGGCACAAGGGACTCCAGAACACCGGCAAGAACGCCGAGGTGTACGCACCGCAATCCAGCCCCAACGGCCTCATCAAGTGCACCGTCTCGCGGGCAAGCCTGACTCCCAAGTCGAAGTTGTAAATTTATGTACAGCCCCTAACTACCTAGATCGCGTTTTCTTTTTCTTTTCGGGTGTTTTGTTTCTCTTCGGCCATGTACCTAGAATTTTGATTTTGGTTTGGGATATGTACGTGTGTTCTATAATAGTGGTTTCCTCGTTTTGTTTTGTTTGTTTACTCATACATTGTACTGTACTCTATTACCAACTTTTGGCAAACAACTCTATGGTGTACATATGATCCCACTGGCTGCTCGGAGAAGGCCGATTAGCGAGCCCTTATCAGTCGATCTCCCGTGTGAACGAGGGAGTCGGAGAACTCCGCCGCCGCTGTCGATAGTGGCGCCGGAAGGCGTGGGACACCAGCCCTGTGAAAAGTACTTCCGCGGGTATATGGCATGTAGGAGAATTTTGACAAAACACTCTCGTGAGCAATGGTGTGAGAACCGGAGGACCGGGGGAAATGGGAGGCGGTTGGGAATAGAAGTTTCTACATACTATCGTACCAAGGTAGGTAGGTTTCTTGGAGCTGCCTACTCCATCGAAGATGAGTACCGGTAGGTATTACGTGACTCGTATTCTACCGGCCAAAACGGCGCAATCGTTCCGTCTTTCCCGAGCCTGGTCGGTCTGCCTGTCTGTCGGTCTATTCCGAGGTGGGAGGTGGGAGGGGTCTCGCCGGGATTACACACTCACCGTTGCTTCTGCTTCTGCTTCTTTGTGGCAATGATAGGTACGGTATGTACGTGTGGTGGGGCAATGAAGCTCCCCTTCCCCACTAATTCTAATGGCTACTCAGGTATTACATACTCGCTTTGTAGCAGTAGGTGCTATGTTACATATCCGACGAATGCTCAGGACTTGCGGACTCGAGTGACTCAGAATGGACAAGACTAGGCTGGGGGTTTGCGAGTGATGAGGGATGTTGTTGTCGCCCACCCGTCATTCAGATTGGTTGGGTTGGTTAGAAGGAACTGAGCCAACGACACGACACAGTGCGACTTGCCAGAGGTACCTATTCTCTGCAGCAATCGTGATTGCCGCCCAGACTTCAATATGCTCTGTGGACAGCTCATGCGAATCTCATCAGGCGCTCTCCTCTCCTCTTGCAGCAAAGCAAAAAAAAATATCTAGCTTTTGTGCCCCATTCTACCTGTAATATACATCTGGCTTTGTACACCTTTCCCTCGCGCGCTGCCGCTGCCGCCGCACACCTACAGCCACGCCTGATCCTTACCCGCCCGCTCCGCCTTGACCGCATCCATGACCGGCGTTTCCGACGCCTTCGATGACGCCTCCGCAACCGCACGAACCGTCGCATCGTTCAGCTTGACGATGTTTTCCTTGTACGGGTGACCGGGGCCCTCGAACGCTGCTCGGTTTATCAGCATCCACGCCTCATCCCCCGCTCCCCGGAGCTCCCCGCTCCCCGGAGCACCAACCTTTTAACCTCGCGAGCCTCACATCCCTCAGACGATTCTTCGGCAGCATGCCGGACACGGCCCTCCTCAGGACCTCGGCACCACCATACTTCGCCATCATGCGATCCATTGTGATTTCCTGGAGGCGACCGGGACGCATGGAATGGCTGTAGTACTTCTTCTTCTCGCGCTTTTTCCCGGTGGTGTGCAGGTCGTGGCAGCCCACGGCGACAACGTAGTCTCCGCAGTCCGTCGACGGGTCGTAGATCGGCTTGTGCTTGCCCATCAGCGTGATCGCGATACTCGTCGCTACTCGTCCCAGCGACCGTGAGTCCCCCGCCATGTCGATTAGGTGCCAGGAGCGCGAGTAGGCGAGTGAGGTCTGGTAAGAGCTGTCAGCGTGCGAGGGATTGGAAGCGCCCCCAAGGGAACACTGACCCGTCCGATGTTTTGTGACATTGTGCTAGCTGGCTGGCTGCTGCGGCAGCGGCGTTGGAGAGGGCGGAGGCGGTGGAGGTGGCGGAGGCGGTGGGAGGTGTGTCCTGTAGACTGTGGTGGTGGTGTTGCGCTGGCTGGCTGGTGGTGTTGCGCGATCGTGAAGCCCACTGATGGTGGGTTTGTAGGTGGGGTTACCCGGCGGGCCGGCGGGGTTGTGCAAGCAAGGTTGTTTCCTGGTCTAGCAGGTTTCATAGCACCCCCCCCCCACCCCCACCATCGAACGAACGGACATTTGCTTGCTTGCTTTGAAATCACGCGTACGTCCGGACAAGAGAGAGAGAGAGAACAGAGGGAGAGGGATTACTATATCTGCCGTGAATCTCCTACATACCGTACTGCTACTACGAGTGTTCCTTTTACTTTACTTTCTACGTGCAACCGCGAGCGAAGTGACAACCGCCAACCATGACTCAACCAGAACCCTTCGAGGTGAGTTTCGTCTGCCTCTGCGTCGGCCCGGACTCGGATTGAGACGGAGACTGATACCTTCGGCTCAGACATTGTTCGCTGTCCCTCTCAAATGCGAGTCCTGCGTTCAAGCCGTATCCGGCTCACTCCATGAGCTACCCGGTAACTCCTACAGAGTGTTCGGATAGTGACGCACGACTGATCACTCGCTGCTAGGCATCATCAACGTGGACGTAAAGCTCAAGGAGCAGCTGGTTCAGATCTCGGGGACCAGTATGATACCTCAAGAAGTGAAGAGGATATGTTCTGACACTTATACGCAGTTGCGCCCTCGGAGATCGTGCGAGCGATCCAGTCCACCGGCAGAACGGCGATTCTACGGGGCAGTGGGAAACAAGGTGAACATCTCACCAGGAGAGAGAGAGCAAGGATCGTCCGGGGTTGATGTATGGACAGGTGCCGCCGTTTCAATTCTTGAGACGCACGCGAAGGTCGCCAATCCCGTGCGCGGCCTCGCGCGGATGATCCAGGTGTCGCCGAAGCTCTCGATCGTTGACCTGAGCGTGTATGGCTGTTCACCGGGCCGATACTACGCCAGCGTGCGGGAGAACGGGGATATATCCCAAGGGGCAGCGTCGACGGGTGCGGTATGGCGGGGAACCGCCACGGGAGAAAAGGAAGAGCCCCGCGGTCGGTTTGGCGAGTTCGAGGTCGACGAATCCGGCGCCGGAAGCGTTTTCCTCACTCGTCCGGTAGAGATCTGGGAGTTGATCGGGAGAAGTCTGGTCGTCTCGAAGAAGGAGAGTGGGTTTGCCACTAACGACCCCGATACGCTGTGTGGCGTCATCGCGAGAAGCGCGGGTGTTTGGGAAAATGAGAAGACGGTACGTGTGAATAGTTCTGCTGCCCTATGCAGGAAGCGGGGCGAGGGGAGGGGAGGGGGCGAGAGGGGAATGGCTTGGCTTTTTCACCGGATGCACACCCGAGACCTCTCCGTAGTCTCTATTGTTCTGTTGTGGTTGCCGCTGCCGCTGCTCCTGCTGTTGTTGGTGTTTTTGTTGTGACTGGATGACGGCTGACTTGCAGCAGGTGTGTGCGTGCTCGGGTAAAACCATTTGGGAGGAGCGAACTGAGCAAGTCAACAAGGGAATGATCTGACGATGCCGTGCGATTTGTGGAGCCATCCATTTGACGGCGTAGCTGCCAGTAGTAAGTACAATAGCGGAAGTTGGGCATCGGCGGGGGTGAGTGCCTGTAGAGTACGGTGCGAGTAGGTAAGTTGTCTTGGAAACCAGATGGAAGTGTATAAAACGGTGTTGTGACATCCGTGGCCTGTAAGACTTGAATTCGGTCTCGGCGAGTCGACGCAGAGAAGATGGAATTACTATACAGATCAGCAAGCATCTTTTGGCGTGGCATCTGCAAAGTGCTTTTCTCGCCTCGACTCCTTCCCTGGTTAAGGAGTGTGCAGTGTGCACTGTGGAATTGTGAATGGCTGTCGAGGCTCGAATGGCTTTTCCTAGCGCCAAGGGGGATGCCCGGCGCATGCTAGACGCCGAGTGCTGGAGGTTGGTTTCAGGTGCACTCAAACAGTTTCGGGGCTTTGCTGAGACGACGTCTCCCGCAGCCGTGCCGTCCCACTGCCAACCGTCACTATTGTCCCGCCAGTCTGCTCAGTGCTCGTCCGTCGCAGAGTCGCACGGGCTTATAGATAGACCACAATCCCCAGCCCTTCCGTGTGCAACTCTCCACGACTTTTCTCTCGCCATCTCCATCCTGCTGGAGATGCGGGGTTAAGCCATCCGTCCATCCATCCATCCATCCATGTGGACTGGTGATGCATCACTGTGGCATGCAGTTGCATCCGATCGGAGGGGTCCCGCGTCCACGGGCCTGCATGTAGGCGCCGGGCCTCCACCATAAAAATCGTTTGGCCGTATAAACTCGCACCAAACTCGCACTTCGTTGAGGACCCCACACAACACCCCACTGTAAATAGTAGCAACACAGATAGTCGACCACCCAGAAAACGACGATAGTCGCCAAACGGGCAGGCCGTATCTCTGGGCGGCAGACGTGGAGAACAATATCTGCCCCAGAGTGGAGTAAAATTGACTGCAGATGGTCCCAAGTGAAGAACGTCCAGAAGCAACATAGCTGCCATCCTTTCCCACCCGGTCTCCCTCCTCCTCCTCCTCCTCCATCTCTCGCCCTTTTCCTCTCCCTACTAGATCTTCCTCCCTGTCCCCCAAAACCTCCCCCCTTCCTCGCCTCGGTGCTTCATCTTAGAAGGCTGTCTACACTCTCATACATCATACACGCCCAGCATACATACAAGCCTCCTCCTCCCTTCTTCCTCGTCAAGGCAAACCGCCCCCCACCTCTTCATTACCAGAATCTCGGATCCGGAATCATAGACGAAACAGCGTTTCGACCCCTCCGACTCGCCTGTCCTAGCAACACTTCGCTCGTGTGCCAGTGGCATAGTTATACCCCGTCTCCTCCTTCGGACATTCTCTGCTTCCTCTGGCTTCGCGCCTGCGTACCGAAACCTTACGATCCTTCCGTCTGTTTGCTTGAACGACTCCCGTCACGTCATTCTCTCTCTCTCTCCATCTCTCTCTTCGTATAGTTACTGGTTGCCGGGTTATCGTCTCGCTGCACCGTCGTTTACCATAATTTTTATTTTCTCTTCTCTTCCGCCTTATCGATAGACACAACGACTTCCTTGTAACTTCTACTACATACCACCTACTACTTCTACAGCTACAGCTACAGCTACAGCTACTACTGCATCGTTGATCCGCAGGAACGGTCCTCACGCATTTTTAGACCGGAAAACACTCTCCCCTGGGAGTTCTTTCCTTCTTGAGGAGATAGTTCTTACTGCTTGTCGCTGGCTGGCCCTGCGAAGATTGCCTCCCCCACACCCATCCCCGTCGAGTCCGCATCTCTTCGCCTCTTTCCCCCTCAGCCGCTGGCTGGCTGGCTTGGCCGTTGTCGCCCTGTGCTTCTTTACGCCCCTCTTCTCCCTTTCCGACCTTCGCACTTTCGCACTACCGAACGGACCAACGTACGACCAAAACCTCGACTTGCCCGCCTCCGCCTCCGCCGTCCCCTTCACAACAGAGTACTCCAACTAGCAGCCACGAACAACCCCACGAGGCCGCACAGCACTCGGGCAACAGCGAAGGATTAAGAGATCACCATGTCTCTCAAACAGGTGCGTTCAACTCTCTCAGCGATCTCGGGGGAGGAAAACAAAGAAAGTGCACAATTCGTGCACGCGACCCGGGGGGAGGGGGAGAGACGGGGGGGAGCAATCAAGGGGGAGGAGGGGGATAGGGAGACAGAGCACGTGCTAATCTCGATATTGTTTATCCGTTCTACAGGAAATCGAAAGCTGGGTGGAAGCTCTAGAATACTACGACAATGAGCAATACGAGAATGCTCTCGAGATATTCGAGCAGAATGCGGATACCTCAAAGATCTACTTCAACATTGGCATGATCCATGCCACTCTCGGCCAGCACGAGAGAGCTGTGAGTAGTAATCCTTTTAATTTATTTATTCTGCTGTGGCCCCGGTGCGGTTCCAAGCTCCTCGGGATGCTGATTATCTATTCTCGGCAGGTCGAATCCTACGCGAGAGCTGTTAAGCTCGACTCGTTCCTTGCCGTGGCCTACTTCCAGATGGGAGTGTCGAATTTCCTCCTCGGCGAGTTCGCGGAGGCAATGGCGAACTTCAACGAATCATTGCTGTACCTGCGGGGAAACACCTTGATTGACTACGAGCAGCTGGGCTTGAAGTTTAAGCTGTATTCGTGCGAGGTGTTGTTCAACCGGGGTCTTTGCTACATCTACAACGAAGAGTTGGCGCTAGGCATGACAGATATGGAGTACGCGGCAAAGGAGAAGCAAGTAGAGGATCATAATGTTATTGACGAGGCTATCAAGGAGCAGGCTGAGGTTTGTAACCGCCGCCCATGATCAACTGCCCGGAGAATAGGGGGGGTTTAACGGTCCTCTAGGGTTACACAGTCTTCTCGGTTGGTGTTGGCGTATTGTACCGCCCCAACGAGTCGAAAGTACGAAACGTCAAGACGAAAGATTACTTGGGCAAGGCTCGGTTGGTGGCTGCATCAGATGCTCAGAACGCCTTCACTGGCTTCACCGGTGTGGAAGTGAAGAAGGTTGGAATACACCCTGGAGTATCGATGAGGTGGAGAAGAAAACCGGAACTGACGTCCTCCTAGCAAGAGATGGCCGCAACCGCCCCGCTCGACGACCGCCCCGCGGCGGAGATATCCTTCGCCGCCAGCAACCTTGTCAAGGCTGACCTCACTTCCCGCATACGTGCCGAGGAAGCTCCAGCGCCCAAAGATACACCGTCCAGTCTGCGAGGTGAGCGCCAGGCATTCCCACCAACGCCACCCCCGGAGAACGAATTCTCGGCGAATAAACCAATGCGGGCGAATACCGTCGCCAACATGGGTGGGCAGGGAGGTATGGGCGGAGGACGTTCCCCATCCACCCGGGGGCGAGATGATAAGGCGCGCGATGAAAGTCGCAATCGCGGAGATCAGCGCGATAGGTTGGATCCCACTGGATATGGCCCACCTCCACGCCGCCCTACGGTGCATGCCGGCGTACCGATCATGGAGCCCCGCCGGGCATACTCCTCTGTGCGAGGAGCAGCACAACCTCCGGTGTCGGCGAGATCTCGGTCCGTGCGTGCGCCATCGCAGCAGAGGGGCGAGCCTCCACAGCGCCCGGCCGATAGGAGCGATCGATCCCAATACTCGGACGAATATCAGAGTAATCCCTACAATGACGACGTTTACGATTTGTATGGTGCTGAGTCTCGGGAACCGTCTGTTGCCCCGAGCCGGCGCGGGCTCGGGAGCGTTCGTCGTGGTCCCAGTCGGCGTGCGCCGCCTTCTTCTCGGTACGAGGAAGACGAGGAATATGCGAGTGACGCGTATGAGGGCTCGTCATTTGACGAGGACGAGTTCGAGATGCTGGATAGCAGGAGTATGCGCAGCGGGGCTTCACGTCGGATTGAAGTGAAAAAGGTATGTATTGGTCCACCGTGCCTCGCATCGGTCATGTTGCTGATGGGAATGGAATTTGCAGATCAAAGTCAAGGCACACGGCGAGGACACTCGGATGATCATGATCACCACCGGCATCGAGTACAACGAATTCGTCCAACGGCTGAAGGAGAAGTTCGGGTTCCAGGGCAACGTGCGGTGCAAGATCCGCGATGAGGACGGAGACGGCATGATCAGTGTCTCTGATCAGGAGGACCTAGACATGGCCATCTCGTCTTGTAAGAAGGCGGCCCGGCGTGAGAAGTCCGAGTTTGGAAAGCTCGAGGTATGTTTATCGCGACCCTCCCCACAGTTTGAATATGGCTGACAAGCAAACGCATAGATCTGGGTTCAAGAGGCGAAGTAATGTCATGTAGCAGTTAGCTCCCGGATGGAGCTTCTTTTTCGTTTCTTCCTTCTTCCTTCTGTATTCTTTTTCTTTTTCTTTTTCTTTTTGAGGGGCACAGCGGGCATTCATTTTAAAATTTGGGGTTCTTCATCACATCAAAGAGTTTATATCTTCTTCTTCATCATCTTTCTTTCTTCCCCCCTTCGTTCCCTGGGGGGGTTTCTGTGTCTCGACCATTTTTTTTCTTTCTTCTTGTCTTGTAATCTTTTTCCGAGGGGAGGGGATTATGATTATCACTGGGTGTGGGGGTGTGCGACTGCACTGCATAGTATTGCGTTGTATTGCGTTGATCATGAAGTAGGATACCACTTTGCAACTTGCCTACTACGTTCTTGTATTGATCTTGTATTGATCTTGTTGTTTCACGTTTGTTCGTTTGTTCGATGCATTGCTGACCCAAAGGTCAAGTACCTTGTGTACTTACCTGGTGCTTACCTGGTACTTACTTATTATTATTGTACGACAGTTTCGATCGATTGCTTAAGGGCGAGGTTGAGGAAAGGGGGGGCCTGAGGGTGGTACGGTGAGATGTGTTATGTGGTCTACCTACTTGAGATGTATGTATGGAAGAGATATTGTGGATCGAAGCTGGCTGGCTTTGTGTAAAATTTCGTTGGTGAACTGCGTGTGGTCCATACATACAACACAAGCACAGAACCCTACCTATTAGGTATCCCGTCTCGGACTCTCGGACTCTCGGCACGCAGTTGGTGCCGGTGCCGATGCCGTTGCTGCGCCCGATGTCGGCATCATCCTCAACCGAACGCACTGGCGGTCGAGTGACAGGACGTGATTTCACGTGCGGATACCAGGTACATTGTAGGTACTCTACCTGCCGAGATTGCCGCTCCTGATTGTCGTCCGCCCTCGTTCGCCCTCGTTCTCATCGGAGAAGATCCGTGGGCGTGTACTGTATGTACGTGTAAGTAGGGAGGTACATTCTTGCGTAGCTGCGTGGCGGAGGCGAATGCGGAGTCTGCGGCAGAGGCTTTTGATTACGCTGTTGTAAGGCATAGTTACCAACCTACCGGTACCTGCAGGTAGCTATTCGAGTGCTCAAATGCTCAAGTGCTATCGTGGAGGCATGTCTGTCACTGGAAACCGCTCGCACGACGCAGAAACTAGTATTTACGTCTCGTGGGACTCACGACGAGTACCTACTATTCGGAGCTTACACATGAGATCTTTACTTCTTCTTCATCTTCTCTTGCAAAAGACGTTCAGCGGCCGGATTGAGTATCAGATTCCCCATTCACCAACCAACCAAATCGGTCCGGTCCACTCGGACAACAACTTTCAACATTCAATTCCACCTACACCCTCCAAAGCAAAAAACAAAATGACAAAGGAAAGGCTTAAGTAAGTAGCAGAGTAAGGTTAGGTAATGTAAGGTAAGGTAAGGTAAGACGTAGTATGGTAAATAAGTACATAAAAGGTACTTTTGGTGTAAGATATAAGTATATCGATATGAGAAGAGTATTTGTAGGTATGATAGGAGTAATAGGTAGCGAGGGCGGGAAGGTGGGCGGGAAGAACCGAGAGTAAATGAGTACTTCGAGAGTAAGAAGGGTATAAGGAAAAACACAGAGCTCAGAGCTATTAAAACGACATCCATCCATCCATCCATAGTCACTCACCCCCTTCACTCAACACACACAGGCACGCACAAGATGGATCTCGTACAAGGGAGAAAGAACAAGAAGAACAAGACATACCACATTAGATATGATATGATATGTAGGGCCGGGGTAAAAAAAAACGACAATACCAACCCAACCCATTGACAAAGAAGCAAGGAAACAGACATGGAGACAAAGGAAAAAGGAGAAAAGGAAGAAAATGAGCAAAAGGAGAAGACAGACTGCATTCCCATTAAGCAGCAGTGCAAGCAACGAACGGGTATCCGCAAGAACCGAGGGGGATGGAGGGGGGAGGGGGGTAGTGGAATCAGAGCAGGTATGATATGATAGAAGAACCAAGCCAAGAAAAGAGTATAAGGAAAAAAAGATGTCACACATAGGGTACTCAGACTGATGTTGCCAACGGGCATTCGTCGGTGTATACACACAAATTCGAAACATGCCAGCCATATACCAACCAACGGCCCCCGTAATGGTAGAAAGGGGGGGAGAGAAATTGAAAAGATCAAAGAAAGAAAGAATCGAAGCCACCCAAGAGTAAAATGAAATAGGTATGCTACAGAGGCCCACCCTCGCAACTTCACTGCCTCACTGCCTCACCGCCGCACTCATGCATTCACGCCTCCCTTCTCCTCCCCTCCTTTCTCGATAGTCAGCCATTACCAACCCAACTTTCCGCCTTCCGCCCCATCCTCCCTCCCCCCCCCCCCATGCGCGGTGAGCACCTTGAGGCAACCCCCCATTTATTTGAAGTTCTTGAACATGTCACCATCCATCGACGACATATTGGTTCCAAACATGTCATCCGGCAGTCTGGGAGGCGGCGGAATAGCCTGCACCTTCATCTGGGACTGGTGGGAGGGCGCAGCGGGCATCATGGAATGACGTTTCGACGAGCCGCTGGCCTTCTTCCACCAGCTAGACTTCTTCGCCTTCTTGGGCTCGGGCGACGAGAGCGTCGGTGTCGAGAAGATCGAAGCTTTGTCGGTAGCGTCGGTGCTGCCATGGCTGTTGTTGTTGTGGTGGGCGGTGTTGGTGGTGTTGGTGGTGTACGACGAGTTGAGCGAGACCCGCGACAGGAACCGGCGCATGGATATAGGGCGGCCGCCCGGCGACTGCGGAGGCGACATGGGGTCCTCGAAGTGCTGCTTGTCGGCGGCGGGCGTGGGCGACGCCGAGGGTGGCGGCGCGGGCGGCGGGTCCTCGATGTCTTCGGGTCCCACCTGGGGCAGGTTGGTGCCTGCGGTGAGGCTCTCAAATTTGGGGAGCTCGAGCTGCAGCGACGGCACTGTAGAGGTGCCCATGATCGATCGAGCGAGCGTGTAACCGACGAGATTCGACGGTGTTTCGTGTGTGGGGGGTGGTGGAATTGGTGGGAGGGGCTGTGGTCGCTGAGCTTGTGGGTGAGGTCCGTGAAGGAGAGGGAGGGTCGGGGAGGTAGTTGTTCGGGGGCCGGGAGGTTGGAAAGGGAAGTGGAGCGTTCTTTGTCTCTGTTTCGTTTGAGCAGGCAGGCAGGCGGGCGCTGTCCTTGGCGGGGGGCGACCGAGAGTTTCGTTCGTTGACGTGAAGGATAGGCTTGGGATTGCAGATAGGGTTTCGAGGTGCTCTTGCTGCGGCGCGCGTCGTGCGAGATTGGCGATTCAATCGCTCGTTTGTCGTGAAGTTCGCTCAGTCGGTCGGGGCTCGACCCCTGGACCGTCTGGAAGCTGTGGAGATTTTGCAGGGATCGTCCAATTCCGAATTTCGACGCAAAAGGAAGACGCAACGAATACGGTAGCTTAGCTCGATGGGTGAAGCAACGGAAGACACAAGACACAAGACGACTCGTCTCGATGGGCGAGTCACAGACTGTAGGAGATGCCGAAGAAAAAAAGAAGGAAGGAAGGAGAAGACACGACGACACGAGACTATTGTAGCCGTTAAGTAGGAGTTGAAGCAACGATCGGGATGATAGGAGAGCTATGGTTATGAAACAGGAATTCTCGTGGAAGGAGGGGGATAAAGCATTGTTTTTTTTTCTTTTTTCTTTTTTTTTTTTTGGGGGGGGGGGGGGGGGGGGATGATACATATCGGAAGCGGAAAGAAAGTGAAGACTTATCGAGGTTCCTTGCATGATATTGATTTGCATCGTAGCATCGTAGGAAGGCATGATGATTTGGCTTCTCGTCTGGCCAGTGGATATTCCGGACGGGTGCAGTGGGGAGTATGTGTGCATGTGTGTAGCCATCACCGCTGTCGCTGACGGAGCTCGTGCTGTTTGTGTGGGGATGCTGCAGGTACGTGCAGATCCTTGGTGCCGCAGTGCCTCCAGGGCGGTGTCTTAATTTAGTGCTGCCGTACATCCTACATGATGCTACATATGCTGCGAGAGTGTCGTGATACGGCTTCAACACAGCTGTCACTCGGTTCGGCGGATCTGATCGACGTGTTCACGTAGAATGGGCATGCCGGACACATGTCCGCTATGACGGGTCGATCGGCTGAACGGAGATGGCCATTGACTCCGAGGGCTGGAACTCGGACATGTCGAATGAGAATGGAAGTCGCAGGTGAAGAGAGGTCGATCGCTGTGGTGGGGAGGATGGTTGAATGGCAGGATAGCTGAATGGATAGCTGAGTGGAAAGAACGGCTGAATGGAAAGAACGGGTCACATTCGGAAGAATACTTATCTAGGTTCCCAGCATCAACGTCCCATGCATGATTGAAGATCAATAAAGTCCACAGCCACGGTACACATGGTTTTCGTTCTCCTCCATCTCAAACAACAATTCATAGTAGATACCTCGCCTTCGCAGCCAGGCCCCCAGGACGACAATCACATAGCAAAGAATCCGCAAAAGAAAGCTCCCAATCATTGTACCCCGAAACACCGTTTTGTATCCATTATCTCCAGCACGAACTCCATCGAAACAATGCTAAAAACACCCACAATTCCCTCCACCGTCCCCCCATTTTCCACCCTCTCACCCTCTCACCCCCATCCCTACGATCAACCTTGCAGCCCCGTCAAACGGCCGGGTACCACGTAATGGTTCTTCCATCGCTCAGATAGGTCGTGACGACGGCATTGCCGGGAACGGTGACGGTACGGCGGATGCGGGTGGTGCGCCTCCTGGCCGAGTATGGGACGTAGTGTGGGTGTTGGTGGCCCGAACTAACGAAGGTAACGGTGGTGTACTCCCGCGGAGCTGGCTTCGAAATTCCGCAACCCATGGTGACGAGGGATTGAGTGTGCGGTGGAGGAGGTCGATTGGTGTTGGTGGAAATAGCTGGGCTGGCCAGGAAGGGGGGAGTGTGAGAGGTGGGTGAGCGGAGGATTGGAGAGTGGGTGGGGGAGGGGAGTGAGTAGGAGAGGAGAGTGAGTGGGTGGATGGTTGGCCGAGTGAATGACGAGGGAAGAAGGGTCTAGTCTTTGCAGCTGCACCTCCAGCCGTTGCCCTAAACATTGGCCGTTACTGTTGAAGCCTACTACATGCAAAGAAACGAATCTGTACAAAGTATGCACCTTTGCCAATGCGTACTTCCGCTGATGTCATCCTCAGTCCCTATTCACACATGGGAGTTTGTAAAAACAACCTTCTCAGACTGCCTAATGCAGTGTGAATAGCGGAGAGAGAGGGAACATCAATGTATTGTTCCATGCGGCCTTTACTTGACTATGGCGGCCAGTGTGAATATCGGATTACTCGGCAATCACACTTGTGACAATTGACGTCGAGTGAGACGGGAAAGAGAAGCACGATGAGCTTACGTAAGACCAGTTAAGGTTTAGTGCACATGGCAAGATGCGCTAATCTCTGTGAGTGGTAGCCGCATATTAGAGCATCGCGTCCGCCTGTCCTTGAGAATGCACCCCAACAACACGACGGCACCGGAAGCACGACAACCATCGACTCGCACGCCACCCCGGCCCTCGAAATTCCGCTTTCGCATCGCAACAACGATGGACGCCACCGACCTCTCGCTCTCGCTCTCGCTCTGCAACTGGCCCGAACAAGGCCCCGAGGAGACCGCCGTCTCCACGCTCATCTCGAGAATCCAACAGCAGCGCGGCCACTTCAAGGACCTCAACGAAGCTCTGCTCGAGTCGGAGATCGCCGACCAACTCCAGAATGGCGACCAGATGGACATAGACGATGGCAGCGACGGCGACGACGCGGCCGAGAAGCCGGCCACCCCTGCCGGCGAGGATGCGATCGAGGCACTGCAGAAGACCCGTGCCGAAATGCTCGAGGCGCTCGGACATGCGCACAACGAGGCGCTGCTGGCTCTCGATTACATCTCCCTCGTGACGTCGCTCAATGCGCCCGAAGCCGGACTGAGCACCATGTCGCCGGCACTCAAGGCGGCGGTACCGCCTGGGTGTCTTGGTTTCGATCGGATATCGAGGAAGATCGATAAGAAAGCCCAGGAGGAAGACATGAAAGTGGCGAAGAAGTGGAAGGTGGATGGACTCAATTCCGCTGCGGATGCACTGCTGGGAGCTTCGAAGAAGTTGGGCGCCGAGGTCCAGAAGGAGACGGTGTATTGGCAGGGCGCGCTGGCGATTCGCAACGATGGCTGGTTGATCACGCGCATGCCGAGAGAGCGGAATGTGCTGGCGGTGCGATACGGCTTCGCCGAGGCGGCGAAAGAGTACAAGGACAAAGGTATCGGCGCACTGCGGAGGAATGACGACGGGAGTGTGCGGATGGATGACATCGACACGGGCTCGAGAGGGCGGGTGATGCTACGGGTGCAGGTGGTCAGGAATGGCGAAGTGATCGGAGTGAGCACGCAGCGCGCGGGGAAGAATGACGGTAGTGTAAAGGACATGATTCGGCGTGCGAGAAATTTCATCTATGAGGATGAATTGTTCTTCGAGATCATGAAGGAGGCGCGAAACTTTGCTGGACACATGATGCGCACGAGTGAAGAATCCGCAATGATTGAACTCGGCAGTGGTAAGATGATCGTGCTGGATATGGTATGCACTCCTTCGTGCGTCCGCGCTGCCTTGCTCTCTGGCTGACGCTCGTATGCTCCCAGGCGCCCCTCGATGATGACACCACTCCCGATCCACCCCTTTCAAATTCTGCCAACTCCCTCGCCCAATCCATTGCCCTCGCCTTGCGAATCCTACTTTCCTACAACCACCGCCTGTCCCTCAAAGCACGCTCGAAACCGCCACCACCCCTCTCCAACCGCAAGCCCTCGCGCGCACCTCTACAACTCCTACGCCCGGTAACAACACACCTCTACCACCGCCAGCACCAGCAACATCTCATCCGGACACTGTCAAAACTCCGTTCGTTCGCGCGGACCGCGGGCCTCGCGCCGGCTTCCTACACCATGTCCCCACTATCCAATACCCTTGACAGCGAGCTCAAGGGCGTCGATTCGGTCGTCGAGACGTTCCTGCACTTGCTCGCATCCGAAGCCACGGTCAACCTCCCCGGCGGGTGGGTTCTGAGCATCACCATGCGCACAAGACTGCAGCATCCCGTATGGGGAACTCAATATGTGATCACCACCAGCCACGACGGCGTTGCGGCACGATTGATGGGCGAGAACCGGTTCTCGACAGCAGAGGAAATGGCGAGTTACCTTTACTGGTGCTTGGAGCGGAGTGTGGTGAACTGGGTACGACTTCTTTCTGAGGGTCAAGACAAGGATAAGAGGTGGGAACAGGTGGCTCAGGGAAACGAAATGGTTTGCGCGAAGAGAGGTAGCAGGGTCCGGGTAGAGGTGGATTCGGTAGGGCTGGCCGTGACGTGCGGGAGCACCGGCGGGAGGGATGAGAAGGCGGTTTGGGATGGGAGTGATACCGGGCGGACGCTGGCGGAGTTACTGGCCCATATAGTGGCCTGATGTTTTTTGAAATGATACAAACTGCCTGCATCGTGTAGAATCGTAACACTCGAAATCCTTTTTCGCGGTGACTTTCAGTTCTCGAGTGACAATCCATGCAACATCCTAGTGCCGGGTACAACGCCCCACTCGCGCAGCTACCATCATGATCGCCAAAAGCGGGCATTGAACCTCCACCACCACCACCGCCGCCGACGTCGCACGCACCACACCGCACCACCACTATCCACCCCGCCGTTCACACATCGCCCGCCCGCAACAATGGCAGAACGCGACATCATCCCGCCCAAGCACATCGAGACCGAGTTCCCGGTACCTTCTCCCCTCACCCACTGGCTCGGCTCCCCACACCCGGCAATGAGGAAGCTAATAAACCGGGAGTCTAGGTCATCGATACGGACCCGTAAGCCCACCTCGTCTAGTCCACCTACTACACGCGGCGCTCCTTCCCCCCTCCCCCCTCCTCCTCCCCTCCGCTCGGGCTGGCTGTGGGGGGGAAGCGGAGCCCGCCCACCACCCTCCTTCCGGCGCACAAAGCTGACATCCCCGCCCAGCCACTTCACGCGTGTACTCCGGTACATGCGTCCGGCCGACTACGGCGTAGCCGCTGTGACCGCGGCCGCCGGCCCCGCCGGCTTCATGCTGATGGAGCGCATGTCGCCGTCGCAGGCGTCGCAGGCCGCCTTGCGCTCCAGCATGCGGCTCATGGGCGCCATCGGACTCACCGCTGGTTTCCTGCGGGCCTACAACAAGTCATCTCGTACGTCCACCCCCCCGCACCCCTTCACATGATAAGTGGGCTGACGAAAGCCAAAGTCCGCTTCTGGGGCTGGGAAGAGAACGCGCGCGAGGTCGAGATGGACATGCGCGAGATGGTCGACAAGGTCAAGAATAAGGAGCCGCTCTATGGCGTCTCAAGCCTCAGCCCGTATATGCAGGGTGTGGCTGCCAGAAACTCGAGATACTCCCAGATCTTCTTCCATGTTATCCCCTGGTTCAACTTTGTCAATCATAACCAGGTGAGTTTGTCCTTTGGTGGGGTGGGGTGGGGTGAAGGGGTAGATGGCTAATGCGTGTGCGGCGGAATAGCACGGTGTCGACACGCTCAAGTACTTCCGCGCGGCTGAGGAGGAGCTGGAGGCCGAGGCGAGGACACGGGAGGGGAGGTTGTAGGTGTTTCGTCGATGCGCAGCTCACTCTACTAGTATAGTACCGGACGAGACGGAAATGGAGAGGAAAAGGATGGATATTGCATTGTTTTTCGTAGACGACAGCTTCATGGCCGATTGCGAAATAAGTATCCCCGGGAAAGAGGTGATACGGTGCTCGGGCTTCGGTAGTCATCGTGTTGATATATCTGTCGTCACTCGTTCCGTGGTGTATTCTGTAGTGTCAGACTGAAGTTTTGGAATTTTACATTGCAAATGTAAGCACATCTGAGAGAAAGGCGTATTCTGGTACCCATACACGACGGCAGGCTGAACGAAACTTGGGGTACCTAATTGCCAAACTACTCGGGACAAAAAGGAATATCTCTCGCAGCGCTGAAAGATCTGGGTGGAGGCCCGGCTATGATCTAACAGTTCGCCGTAAGCAAAAGTAATGAGTTTACTGGTATATACATCTTCTCCGCCGCCCCGCCTACATACCCGCAGCCTCTGCACACACACAGGCCGCATGAGCTCTCTTGCTTGGCCTCGGAGGCCAGGCTCACTCTCTTCTTGTATGTAGTATGTACCACTTCATCCAAGGAGACCTTCCCGCCTACGTCCGTCCGCCCGTCCGTCCTCAAGAATTCGGGCACCGCTCATCTGCGAACAGCTGCGAACGCCTTCCGGCACTGGGAACAACTTTCGAAGAGGCGTTCCGGCCACTCTACTTGGCCCGGTGGAACCACCAGGCTGGCATCGATCATCCTCCTCCTGCTGCTGCAGGATCCTGCTTGATCCTGCTTGATCTATCTATCTAGGTACTTCAATCGTGGATGTCCGTACCGCTCGGAGTCTCAAAAGTGTTGAGAATATGAGTGTAATGTTTCAGTTGCTTGATTCATTCGCAGAACACAGCGGATGACCAGCTAGACATACCAGACAGAAGCAGAAGCAGAAGCAAGTATGAGAATAAACAAGATTCTCGAGGCGCACTCGAGGCGCATATGACCAATGTGACATATTTGCAATATCTTGGACGAGTGGTGACGGTGGCTTTTAAACGAGAACGAGAATCGCAATAAAAAGATGCAGATAGAGAGCCGAGTGATATTTACACACTCGCACTCACATGTGACATAAGTACCTAATATATGTAGGTATCCGGCAAGATCACGCAGCTTTTAACCCAAGACAAGACTCGAGTATTGTAGACAGAGCTGGACTACTATAAGGTTGTTGACGACATGATTGCGCGTATGATACCTCAGGGTGAGAAATAGGTACTGCTAGGTAGTAGAACACGTGGAGAATCGACCGGCAGGGAGGTTTTAGTATTCACAACTTATTTGTACATCAGTACCCTAGAGTTGGAACCTGGAAGTTAAAACTTGCACAGCGTACCTACCAATACTTGCTTGCGGGCGCGCCGCCGCAGACGTTCGTGCCTGTTTGTAGTCTGCGGGCCACTTATTCGGGCGCCGGGGGAACCTCGGAGCGGCGACGATCCCCGTGAGAACCATGGCAGGTTCCGTCTCGGCGTCGGCGGGCGCTAAGTTCTGTACTCGGGAGTCGGGAGTCGGCTACCCGGGCTCAACTTTCAAGGTGAGTGCCATGGCCCATGGCCCATGGCCCACGGGCCCCTCTAGAGTACTCCTGGTACTACATATAGCGAACCCCTGCTGTGTACTCGTGGTGCCTGTGCACCTTGCGCTTATAATTTGTAATGGTGGTGAAGCACGACTTATCAGCTGTTCCTGGGACTCTACATACTCTATGTACAATACTTTTCTCCTTGGCTGGTCTGTTCGCCTGTTCACCGGAACGCCTGAACGCCTGTGGTCTGTGGTCTGTAGGTACCGGTACATAAAAGAATTGAAGTATCAAATCCATAGTTGACGATGGTAGAGTACCTAGTTAGTACTCTACTCATAAGTCGTCAGAACCTTTTTCTACATACCTAGCCTCCTCTCCCGAGTCCACGCGGTGGATATAGAGTTATCATCTATATAGGGCATCAGATCCTCTCCTCCCCGGCACCCGCCAAATCCTGGACAAGGTCTCTGCGCTTGCTTGGTCCGGCGTTTTCCACTCGGAATTTGGAGGAGTGAGTCCGGGGAAGCCAGTTACTTCCCCCGGTAACTGTTCGGTATCGGACATCCTATGAAATGTGTCTCAGGTTTCGTGACCTCGTCCGCCACCTTCTCCGTTGAGCCGGTGCGGCGTTGACTCTTTGAAGGGCTAACTACCTATTTACTTCGACCAACCTCGTTTTTTTTTTTTTTGGGAAGTGACTCGTTATTTGAGTAAGGTAAACCCATTATGTATGTAGATATTGTCTGGGCTGACGATCGATCGCGCGGAACCGCAAGCAAGCAAGCAAGCAAGCAAGCAAGCAAGCAAGTAAGCAAGCAAGCGACTGGGACATGCCGGCACTTTGGGGCAGACTCGGGAGGATGCGCGGTAGATAGCTACAAGGTAGGTATAACTCTAGATAGGCTCTATGAGTGGTCTGAGCGACAAGACTCGGAGAGGGGCCAGACTGGGTTTGGTGGGTACATACCAGGACATACCTATGCCGCGAGGGATGGATGGATGGAGGGATGGATGGATACGGACTGAGTAGTGGTGACGATGTGGAGTTGGGCTTAGTTGCTGGCCTGGCGAGCTGCGGTAGTTGCTAGTAGAGTGCTCTAGCTAATCCAGGACCAGTGCGGCTGGCTCGCGGCTTTCGCGCTTTGGGACATCGACGTCAAGCTTCGTGGCTTATGGGGGGCGGGAAGGGGAAGGGGAAGGGGAAGGGGAAGGGGAGGGGGAGGGGGACCGGGGGATTCGGCGGCGTGGAGGATACACCAGTTGCGCAGTTATGATAGATAGTATTGATACAAGCATTCTCATTGCATTTTCTCGTCGGCCAGTCGGCCGTAGAGTAAAGTTCTGATCGAGTGGTGCGCTCAGCTCGGAACCCCTCCTATGTAGAGTACCTGTCTTGGGTAGCTGATGCCAATGCTACTCTACATAAAATAAAGTCGTATATATGTAGACTGCAGCAAATCCATCATCCCAGACCGCAGAAGAGAGTCAATTCGGATCTGGTAGATCTCGTATGTACCATCACATACATACATCCTACCGGTACATCATGCCACGGAGTTTCGTTTGACTAGCGCGAGGAGGAACTGGAGATCTGCAAGCGGTCTCGCCCTTATACCATGTAGAATAGACTTACCCACATACCGTACGTAGGAGCACCGTCGCGGAAGCGCGATCATACATACATACATACGAATACGTGCGAGAAGTGGAGACCATCATGCAAGACACCTGTGCTGTGCAGTGATGCCAAGTCCTCGAATACGGGTTCATGGATCCAAAGAGCAAAGTGCTCCAGGAGTTTGCCTTGGAGGGTTCAACCTCGGGTATGGAACTACGGTACTCCCAGATTCTTGCCTCAATTGCCCAAAATCTGGGCATCTATATGGACGAGTATGGGACTGTACAATACATACCTGCTCAATTGATCCTGTGCGGCGAAGGCCGAGTGGAAGTACCGTATTTCTACTCCGCGCTGCCTTGGCGTTCGTCCGGCGTCTCGTCGGCTAGAGGATGTAGGTGCCAATAAAGGAGCGCTTTGACGGCGCGGCGGAAACAAGGGTCGGCATGGGATGCGCAGGCTCCAGTCCAGTCGGGATGGAGTCCGTAGGCTGTTCCCGCCCGCTTCTCGACCACAACAAGTCCATTGCTTGCTGGCATGGCATTCCTCACGCAAGGTACAGTGCAGCTGTATACGGGCTTGGACCCGCGTTTCTCACCAAGTGGTTGATCCGCATGCACGACAGCAGTGTATACGTGCTCTGCTCTGCTGCTGTGCTATGCTACATTATACATACGCTGCGTTCACCGATCCACTTTCCCGCCTCCTGCATCGGATCAAGCGAGGCATCACTCTATTTGCCTAGGTAGAGTACACTACATATGATGGATACTATTAATTGTCATGATGGATGTAGCATTGTATGGTCGACCAGGAACACCTGCAGGCCGCTGCACCGCATGTTCCTGTGGCTAGCCGTCCTGCTGATCGCGGATCGATTGGAGCCATTGTGGAGTAAATACCCCTTCCGGCAAAGGCGAATACAAATTACGCCGTGGAACTTGACTGCATCTCGATATGTACCTAGGGCGTTTGAAGGTTTGGACGCCTCGAACGAATTGTCCAGATCCAGTCCAGCCCAGCCCACTCGACCCGTGTATGCTAGAGGTTCAAGCAGCCCAGACATGGGAGAGTGCATAGCAAGAGTAACTGGGCATATATAAAGCCCAGCGTCCCGCCCTCTGCCCTCTGCCTTCCACTCCACCAGCGCATCCCACTCTACCCCGCCAACAGCCAGCAAAGATGTTTTCCCTCCCAGTGCTGCTCTCGCTCCTTGCCGCCTTCGCCGCGCCGATTCTTGCTGCCCCGGCGCATGAAGAACCCGAGACACAGTTCTCGCCCGCTTACAGGTACGACAAGCACGAGACCAACTACAGGAAGCTGCCGAAGCGGAGCCAGCTCCCCCGTGTGCCCGGGCACCTCGAGGGAAGTGCGTGGCTTTGGGGTGACGATGATGGGGTGAGTTTTGTCCTGGAGGAGAGACGGAAGAGGGATACTCTACAAGGTGCAGGGCTGATTAAAGGTGGAATGATAGCTCGGACGTCTCAACTTCCTCACGCCGCAGAGGGTGTACCAGAGCATGAAGGAAGTCAAGACTGGCGACATGGTCCCGCTGAAGTGAGTTTATACACATGCCTTCCTGCTACTACTCTGAGTTGTGCTGACAGAGAAAAAAGCCTGCCGGTCAAGCTCGTCAACCCGCCGCTGTTCAACCGCCCGGCGTTCAACCACACGTTCATGAAGTTTGGCGACGGAACCGCTGCCGTGCTGGACGAGCAGTACCAGATGAACACACAGACGTCGACGCAATGGGATGGATTCCACCATTTTGCGCATCTGGAATCGGGTATCTTCTACAACGGCTGCACCGAGGTATGATACGATACATTCTCCCCCTCCCTCATGCGGACCAAGTTCCCGCACTAACAGCACCCCCAGGACGACATCCCCGGCGCGAACCTGACCAACAACCACAAGTGCGGCATCCAAGAGTGGGCAGCGCACGGTATCGCCGGGCGCGGCGTGCTCCTCGACTTCGCGAGCTGGGCGGAGCTGCAGGGGCTCTCCGCACCCGCCTTCGCAGCCACGAACATCACGTTCCCGCAGCTGCAAGCGGTAGCCAAGCACCAAGGGTTGGACCTGCGCAACGCCGCCGACGGCGGCGACATCCGTATCGGCGACATCCTGCTTGTGCGCAGCGGGTTCACGAAAGCGTACGTTGCGCTAACCCCCTCGGAGCGCAAGACGCTCGCTGAGCTCCCGTACGCGGCGGGCCCCGACGGCCTGCACCGCTTCATTGGCGTCGCGCAGAGCGCGGAGATGGTGGACTGGCTGCACGACTCGTATTTTTCCGCGGTGGCGGGCGACCAGCCGGCGTTCGAGAGCTGGCCCGCACAGGGCCCCCTGTCGCTCCATGAGCAGGTGCTCAGCCTCTGGGGAACCGGCCTCGGTGAGTTCTTTGACCTCGAGAAGCTCGCCGAGATGTGCAAGAAGCGCAGGAAGTGGACGTTCTTTGTCACCTCCGCCCCGTTCAATGTCGACCGTGGCATTGCTACTTGGGCTAATGCTATTGCTATCTTGTGATCGGAGGAGGATGTGGTGGCTGCTGTTTCATGAGAGGGCGATTTGGAGGGGTTTTATATGCGGTTTAACAGGGAACTTTTACGATGTGATTGAATAAAAAAAAAACTTGAACAAACACACTCATTGGCTGTCCATGATGTTTTGCGTGTTGTGAGACTTGAACTGGCCGGAAGGGATCACAATGTGATCCGTCTTCAAAGAGTCATTCGAGTTTCGCACAGCGCCTAGTAAAAAGAAGGAGTCGACTGTATTCAGCTTTGCATACAGCTTCACACCCTCAAAAATGTTGAAATATCTACCGTCAGTGCTCCCCTCCCATACTCGTACCATCCGTACGCCCGCGGAAGCTCCTCCAGTGATTCTCAACTCCTTCACTGTCGAACGGTTAGCAAGGATCGGAGACACGGACCAGGCCAATCGACATACCAAGTACAAACTGGCGCAATGGCAGACATCCCTCTTGATGAGCTCCTGACATATCTGCATTTTCTCAAAGAGGCTCGGATCACCAATGATCCTGGCGGCGCTCTTGACCTCTCTGCAAGTCTCATCAAGCCTCGTGATGACACGCACGATCGTTCCCTCGAGGACATCGGTCAGATCCGTGATCTGGCTGAATGACATGCCCTTGGCCCACTCGTAGACTACCTCCATGAGCCCGAAGCGCGGGCGGCTCTCGAAGTCGTCGTTTTCCTTCGATAGGATCACTTGGTGGTCCGTCTGCACCGCGTTGATCCGCTGCGCTACCGCCAGGATCGTCGCTTTGCCCTTTTCGAGCCGCTGCGTGATGTTAGGCACCACGTCGGTTTTTTCTTGGAACACGAAGCATGAGAGCAGCGCCACGATCTCCTCGGGCTCGTATTCGGCGAGCACGTTTTCGAGGATTAGCTCCGTGAGGACTAGTTCGTTGGCGGAGTTGACCTGGGTTTGTTAGCATGCATGCTGACAGTATCACCCGAGGGGGGGGATAGCTACCTCGCAAGCGACTCGGCCCTTTAGCTGCACGCTGTCGTTCTCGTCTATAAACTTCAGTTCCTTGAGGACGGTGACTCTCTGCTCGTAGTCGGGCAACAGCTGCAGATTCTGGTCCGAAATGAGTTGCTTCAGCTGCGCAATGTTCTCGTGCAGGATATACTCTTCATGGCGCATAGCAAACTATAATAAGTCAGGTTAGACATCAAGTAATAAAAGGGAGGGCATTACGTGGCGAGCAAAGTTAGGACAATCGATGCAAGTGCTATCCTCCGCCTTCCGAATCTGCTGCTTCCTGGCTTCGTATATCTCAAGGAATGGGAGATCCTTAATCTTGGTCCAATCAAGTTCTTTCCATTCTGGCCTGCTCCAGTCCTCTGTAAGGGCGGAGAGCTCTTCCTTTGCCGTCTGCAGGATCAAGGCTTCTCCTCTGATGGCTGCCACGACGTCAAATTTCACTTGAGTCTTGGTGACGCACTCAATGGCCGTGACGGGAACCAATGTGCCTCTGATTTGCCAGTCCTTGGTGACCAATGCGGGGATCTTGAGTGATTCGTGCAGCACGAATGGGATCAGGTCGGCTGTAGAATTGAGATTAGCCATTTCCCCCCGCCCAGTGAAATCGCGTCACATACCAGGTTGCTTCTGATCACTCGCAGGCTTCAGCATCAAAACCCGCAGTAAAGGCTGTGGCCCGGTGTGAATGCCTTCGGCAGTGAGTACTCCCACCGTTCTAGTACCAGCCTATTTAAACCATTTAGCAACCGTTCGAACCAAGGGATAGAATATTCCTACATCTTCCTGGAGCACCACCAATCGTCCAGCGGTGAATAGCTTCTGCCGACGAGCCAGACCATATCCCTTGATAGTCATCTCCGCGTTATACTGACTAACCAGCATCGCCGCGCCATGGCAAGCATTCAAGTCGACATCGCAGATATCACATTCCTCGCGCTTCAGCTTCTTCAGATCGGCTTCAGATATCTGCACCTTGCGTTCGTGTTCCGGCAGGAGCATCTGCGTGGTGTTTTCGCTGAAACTTCTCTTGATCATCTCCTCGATCTTGAGCGCCTCCACACGGAGAAGGTTCAAAATCATGGTGTAGGTGAGGCGGAACTGACTCTGCAATTTCGTGGGGTCACCGAGGATCATCTGCTTCAAACTGGGGTACTGCAAAGAGTTAGTCAGACTAGCCCAAAATCTGAAGGGCGGGATTGAGGCATACTGGAGGTGGCTCATCATCTCGGGATACGATGATAACTGTTCCGGCTGTGTCGATACCTCTTCGACCAGCACGACCAGCCATCTGAATATATTCTCCAGGCAAAAGATCACGGAACGATCTGCCATCATGCTTCCTGGTTCCCGAGAAAACAACTGTCCTAGTTGGCAAGTTTAGGCCCTGTGGAAGTTAGGGTCGTTATAGTGGAGTAACGGAATATGGGCCACTTTACCATAGCAAATGTTTCCGTTGCAAACAAAACTTTCACCAAAGTCTTCGCAAATAGGATCTCCACGACCTCCTTTACGATAGGCAGCAGTCCTCCGTGATGGACGGCTAATCCTCTGCTCAGAAGCTCCCGCATACGTCGGATCTGCGGCAACTGCCTATCCTCCGGTTTCAGACGGGCGATGCTCTTCTCGATGATCATGTGAATGGCGCTCTTCTCTGTCTGGTTGCAGTAGTCGATATTGCTAAGAGCGTCGGCATTCTCCTCACATCGCTTCTTTGAAAACACAAAAATGACACCTGGTAGCAGATTCTCCTTCTTGAGGTGCTGGACAAGATGCACCCATATGTTCTTGTCTTGTGCTGCGGACCGCATTGCGCCTGGTGCGCTTCGGGGCACCGACACTTGTTTCTGACCACCACGCTGTGATCCACCACGCTGGCCACCACCGCGCTGGTTAGGCCCGCCCCGTTGATTGGGTCCTCCACGCTGATTGGGTCCACCACGCTGAGCCCCGCCACCACGCTGATTGCCTCCGGCAGGCGGCGCCCGAGTATCCTTCTTCGGCTTCAAGGTATCGGCTGCATCCTTCCAGCCTTGCTGTAGAAACTGTTTCTCGGCGTTGACAATCTTGAACATCTGTTTTCCAGCCCAGAGATAATGCTCAAGGGGAACCGGTCTCTTTGGTGTAGCGATGACATATATCCTTTTTTTTCGTCCTTCCGACCCAGTTGGCGAACTCCTTAGTATTCGGCACCGTCGCGGAAAGCAAGATTAGGTTGACGTGCTCCGGAAGCATAATGATGACCTCCTCCCAAACCACTCCTCTCTCCAGATCGTTGACGTAATGGACTTCGTCGAAGATCACGAACTCCACGTCGCGGATGAGGTCAGCTCCCTTGTATAGCATACTCCGGAGAATTTCTGTGGTCATGATCAGGCAACTGGCCTCCGGGTTAATTTGCACATCTCCAGTAAGGATTCCCACGTCGTCAAAGACGCCCCGAAAGTCTCGGAACTTCTGATTACTCAATGCCTTGATAGGTGATGTGTAAATAGCTCTGACCCCAAAGTCAGAAATGGCAATACAAAGACAGGAGAAGTGTGGTAATACTTAGTCATATGTTTGGCCGCTAATGCGATAGCATACTCGGCCACGACAGTTTTACCGGCAGATGTGTGGGCAGCCACAAAAACCGAATCTCCCTGCTCCAGGTGGTACACAGCTTCCTTCTGGAAGGTATCCAATTCGAACGGCCATTCCTTAGCCATATTGGGTACCAATTCGCGAAAGTTTGTGAGCTCTTGGTTGATATCCACCATATGTGCCCATTCCTTGTTTCTAGTCTTCACTACTGCTGGGTAGAGGTCGCCGCGGGGTGCCAACATCGGGAATTCCACAGGCAGCAGATCATCGATGGAATCGAGCTCCGCCAATGGTTTCTCTTCCGACTTCTCCACTTGATTCGTAGTTCCCTTCTTGGCCCTCTTGGGTTGTACATCTCCGAAGTTGAATTTCTCGCTATCAACGTCCTCTTCCACTTCGTCCACGTTTTCGACCTCGAACTTCAAGCCACGACTCATTCCCGGCGCGACCCTTAGGAGCCCATCGCGGCCAATCCTCTCCTCCATCGCCGCCTCATGTCGTTCCAGCTCCTCGGCCCTCTCGTTCGCACTCCCCGCCTCCACGCCGCCAGGACTGAACGGGAAGAATCCCGCCTTGCCGCGCACAAAGTCGGCCTTCGTCGCCGGCTTCCGCAGTAGCGACGTCGAGTTCTTTGCCGTGATGGAATGCGCGGGCACCGTTACCTCCTTGTAGCCCGTGACCTTCCCCTCGAGACCCTCACGGGTGAAGCGTATGACGGTGCGGGACATGGTCGGGGCAAGGCCCATGAGCGGCATGTAATCCTGGGATTCGTCCCATCGACTGCGTAGAATTGAACTACATCAGCTCCCCGCTCCCCAGCTATATACCAACAACCCACGGGTGGAACACCTACTGCTGTAGTTTATTCAGCCATTCGGTAGAGAAGGTATGCGACGGCGCTAGGAACTCCGCTTCCAGCTGTGATCTCTGGTCGGCGTCCGTGGGCTTCACTCGCTTCCGCGGCCGACGCTCTTCGAGTAGACTGTCGATCCAGCTGTCTGACTCGGTCGTGAGAAGGCTGACTTGCGCGATGGCCGATGCGAGGTCTGCGGCGTTCGTCATCGTGCTGCGTGCTGCGTGGTGGAGATTATGTAGGTAATGAATGCTGTTGGTGGGGTTGGAGGTGAAGCGATAGTGGGCTATGAGCGCATTACTCTAACTAGGGTCCTGGGTGCGAGCCACGCCTAACTACCTAGCTAAGCCACAGTTGAGCCACTTGCGAAACCCCGGAGACCTGTGAGTTCACAATCTCGATTCGAAACTTCGGAGCAATAGCTTAACGGCGTTATTGGAACCTCTCTACCGTGAGATCTCGGAATCGCTTGAAGGCTGCAGAGATCGAGAAGTTGGATGAGCTATGTAATAAAATATTTCAGTCCTGGTTATTACGCCGGGATATCGAACCACACCCCGTGAACCGGCAATTTCCACCTTATTCTTCGCGTCGCGTCCGCGTCCACGTCCCCTCCCACCACTTTACCTCACTACTCTACACGCTTTCCAGCCTGCCTTGCCTTTCTACCTGCAACAAACGCACCATGACCACCACGGCCCCCGCACAAGACGACTTCAGCGGCGATGAATACAACGACCTCTTCGCGTACGACATTGGCGAGCTCGACATCGAGATCCCCGAGGCACCTAAGAAGACCGCCGCCGCTCCACAACCGAAGAAGCGGAAGGAGGATGAATTGGGCCTCGACGATGAGGTCTTGATCAAGAAGAAGCGGGTTACGGTTAAGCTGGATGAGCAGAGGTGGGTTGCGATTTGATTTGATTTGGGTTGCGAGAAGGGACAAGTGAAGTATTGCTGATGCTGATGCTGCGAAGGTTGATGTCCATCAATGGGTTACCACGGCTGAGAAAGGAGGCGCCAACGAAGTTGAAGTTTAAAGGGAAGGGGTATGAGGTATGTCTCTCTCCTCCCCTGGCTACAAAGTAGGATGCTGACAACACCGGGGATATCTAGTACAAAGACGCGTCACGACTCCTGGCGTTCTACCAGCTGTGGGCGGACGACTTATTCAAGAAGGCGAAATTCCGCGACACCCTGAAGATCATCGAGAAGCTCGGGCACACGCGCACGATAAGATCGGCTCGGGAGGACTGGATCCACGAAGCACAGGGCGGGAAGAGAGATGAGGCCGAGATGCAGGAATTACACGTGAAGGGCAAGGAGAAGGAGAAAGAGTCTGCTGCTGGCGATGGTGCAGAGAAGCGAGGCGAAGATGGCAACGACGACGATCTGTATTCGTTGCCGACTAGACCCTCGGCTCCGAAACCGGCGACGGCACTGCCAGTTCCGAGTGATCCAAATGCACTGTTCCTGGGCGGTGTGCCATTGGAGGATAGTGATGATGAGATGGATGGATTTGATGATGCGGACTTCGAGGCCCTTCTGGAAGCGGAGAGGGCAAAGGATAAGGCGAAGGGGTCGGGGTCGGCATCAGCATCAGCACCAACATCAGCACTACCAATAGTACCGCCAACAGTGCCGTCAACAGTACCGTCAGCGCCAACCCGTGAGATAGACGAATTTGAGGATGACCTGGAAGCAATGGAAGCGATGGAAGCAATGGGAGAGATCGTTGGGCGCAGTGTGTCTGCGGCTGGGAAAGCTGCTCCGGTACCAGTAAGGGACGAGTTTGAAGACGAGCTAGAGGCCATGGAGGCCATGGGAGCGTTCGATTGAGATGCCAGCTAGATAGATGGAATGCGCAACTGTTGCCCAACAGAACCAATCCGCTTTGTCGTTGCTTCTTTATGTGTTACAGGTTAAGATCTCACGTGAAAGGCACGAAACGTCACTGGCGAAGATGTTCACTAGGATCTGGAGTGGTGGCTAACTCTTTCACGGCAGAGTCACGTGGTAACAAGTTAGCTGGGAGCGGCTGGTCTGTGCACGATAAGGATGTGATGATTGGATGCTCGTGTGATTAGCCTACCCGGTTTGAGGAGATGGCCGATTGTTAGAGCCAGAGGGCTGAAGCCAAGCGGATGGGACTTCCATCGGCGCGGATTGGAGCCAGAGACCTCATCACGGCCGTATGAGAGGGCTCCGTGACGACTGTCAATATTGTTGCAGATCAACCACAAAGTCGGCTACACACACCCATCCTGTCATTGGCATGCGATGCAGGGTCATACCGGCACGTTTTTGGGGGTTGGGCGGTGGGTGTTGGGGAGGGTGTTGGGGAGGGTGTTGGGGAGGAAACCACCGCTGCCCTGATCTTGATCGCATGGCTGGGTGAGGTCCGCCCGTCTGTTCCATTGACTGTCTTGCTGTTCAGGCCGAGACGCAAAGGACACCTCTTTCTGGGCCACCTCCTTCAAAAGAAGAGTCCTCGAACTTCACGATACGAAGGGAATCAGAGTACCAAACTTCTTTGTCGCGGGCTCCATAAAAGTTACATAGACTACATATCTCGAGTAGCCCGAGTATGCATGTGGCGGTGGGATCGAATGGAATCCATGTCCAGACTGGCGCCGTCCAACCCTAACCAATAAAAATAAAAAAAAAGATTTTTTTGTGTTGCGAACGCGGTGGCCCGTCTCGAGTGGGAAATCCTCTGCCCCTCTTCGACAGAAGTCCCAACTGCAACTGCAACACCGCACCCCACAGAACTCCAACCACCCAACTGAAGGTCTCGCCCTCGTTGTCGAACGTCCACCAGAAAGGGAATCCAGTCTCCTCCTCCTCCTGCTTCGTATACGACTTCTCCTCTCACTACTACTGCTCCGCTCTTCACTCTCCCCGCTTTCTCTCCTTGCAACCAAAACCAGTCGCCGCCGCCGACGCCGCAGCAACCCGACCAGGAAAACTGTAAAGAAAGGGAAAAAGAGCCGCCTCTCGTCCCACTCTTACCTCGCCGCCCCCCAACCCGCACCGCCGCAGAGTCCGCTGTCCTATAGAGCCCCAGCCGCACTCGCCATCTCCTGCACTGCACTACCGAGCACAACGAGGCCATTTCTCACCCCCGCCCCCCGCCCCACACCCCACTAACCCCCGTCCTGGTCCGGCTCGCGACCGTGCATACGATACCCTTTCCCCGCCAGTGATCGCACACCCGATCGGACAACAATGGATACCGCTGCGCTTCGTGAATGCATCGGCTCTACACTGAGCGCCAATGCCGACATTCGGAGACAGGCTGAACTGCAGCTGAAGGCGGTGAGTTAAAGTTTTGACTTGCGTGGGCTCGCGGCGGAATTCTGCAGTGGCTGATCACATGGGAGTGCAGGCGGAGGTGCAAAAAGGTTTTGTCGCAGCTTTAACGGACATCGTCTCGAACGACCCAGATGCGAACTTCCGGCACTCAGGTACCTACCCGCTTTACCAATCCCTCAGCACACTCAGGACGCAAACAGAAACGCTGATGCCAGTGTCTAGCCGTTATTTACCTCAAGAACAAGGTCACCCGGTCTTGGGAATTCAACGAGGAATGGCCTAAGATTCCCGCCATCCCCGAAGATGAGAAGGCCATACTCCGCGAGCGTCTCATCCCTACCCTCGCGTCGGCACCGCCCAACATCCGGCAACAGCTGATGCCACTGATTGGCAAGGTCTTGCACTATGATTTCCCCGAGCGGTGGCCGAGTTACATGGATATCACCCTGCAGCTTCTGAACTCTGGCGACATCCAGTCGGTCTTTGCGGGTGTGCAGTGCTTGCTGTCTCTGACGCGGGTCTACCGCTTCAAGCGGGACACCACTAAGCAGGACGAGATGGAGCGCGTTGCGCAGGCGACCTTTCCCATAATCTTGGCTATCGGCAACAGACTGGTTGACGAAACCAGCACGGATGCGGGTGATATGTTGAAGATGATCATTAAAACCTACAAACATGCAACTTATGTAAGTTAGCGGCGCACCCAGATTCTCGCACACGTGGCGGTCCCGTCTGACTGACAACCTTACAGTTTGAATTGGCACCGCATCTACAGGATCAGTCGTCAATCGTTCCTTGGGCGACCCTGTTCATCAAGGTCGTCCAGAAGGAGCCCCCGGCGGAGTCTATGGTCGAGGATTTGGACGAGCGGGAAATTCACCCCTGGTGGAAGGCAAAGAAGTGGGCCTTCGCGAATCTTAACAGGATATTCGTTCGGTATGGTGCGCAATTTCGGACAGTGGATTGCAACAGTAACTAATTTTGACTGCAGTTACGGAAACCCCCAAGGAGTCACTAGCAACGACTCCTACGAGGAGTTTGCCAAGCACTTCATCGACAACTTTGCGCCCGAAATCTTGAAGGCGTACCTTCAGCAGATCGAATTATGGGTGTCGAAGCAAAGGTGGTTGAGCAAAATCTGCCTGTCCAACATCCTCGCCTTCTTGGATGAATGCATTAAGCCCTCCGCCACATGGAAGCACCTTGGCCCCCACGTTGAGAACCTGATTGCGCACGTTCTCTTCCCGCTGCTGTGTCAGACCGACGAGGACCTCGAGATGTTCCATGAGGAGCCCGCCGAATACCTCCACCGCAAGATTAACTTCTATGAGGAGGTTTCGGCACCTGATGTGGCCGCTACAAATTTCCTGATGACCTTGACCAAGAGCCGGAAGAAGCAGACATTCACCGTCCTCAATTTCATCAATGGCGTGGTCAACCGCTACGAGACGGCTGCGGATGCGGACAAGAACCACAGGGAGAAGGAGGGTGCTTTGAGGATGATTGGTACTCTGTCCAGCATCATCCTTGGCAAGAAGAGCCCGATCGCCGATCAGGTTGAGTATTTCTTTGTGCGTCATGTGTTCCCCGAGTTCCGGAGTACCCAGGGCTACCTGAGGGCCCGAGCTTGCGATGTCCTTGAGAAGTTCGCCGATCTCGACTTCAAGGATGAGAATAATGTGGTTCTCATCTACCAGAACATTCTCCAGTGCTTGAATGATCCGGAACTTCCCGTTCGGGTCGAGGCGGCTTTGGCTCTTCAGCCTTTGATTCGCCACGACTACATCCGGACGTCGATGCAGCAGAACATTGCCGACATCATGCAGCAGCTTCTCAAGCTTGCGAATGAGGTCGATGTCGACGCTCTGGCGACCGTCATGGAGGAGTTCGTCGAAGTCTTCGCAGCCGAGCTTACGCCGTTCGCCGTGCAGCTTACGGAGCAGCTTCGGGACACCTACTTGCGCATCATCGGCGATGTTATCGAGAAGGGACAGGGCAGCACTGACGAAGATACGGAGACTTACCTCGACGACAAGAGCATCACGGCCCTCGGTGTGTTGCAGACCATTGGTACTCTGATCCTTACCCTAGAGAGTACTCCGAATGTGCTGCTCCACCTCGAACAAATCTTGATTCCTGTCATCACCATCACTCTTGAGCACAAGTTGGCGGATCTATACAACGAAGTGTTTGAGATTATCGACAGCTGCACATTCTCCGCCAAGGCTATCTCGCCGACCATGTGGCAGATTTTCAAGCTCATCCACCGGTCGTTCAAGGACCGATCGGAGATCTTTATCGAGGAGATGCTTCCTGCCCTGGACAACTACGTTTCGTACGGTCACGAGATGCTGAAGCAGCAACCAGAGTATATGGAGGCCATCTTCGACATCATTCAGACCATCTTTACGAACGAGCGTCTGGGTGCTATGGACCGCATCTGCGGTTGCAAGCTTGCCGAAGCTGTCCTTCTCAACATGCGCGGACATGCCGACAAGTACTTGAACCACTTTATCGAGATTTCCATGCAGTGTTTGTTGGCGGAATGCGAGGTCAAATCGTACCGTGTCCATCTTATGGAGATGGTTATCAACTGCATCTACTATAACCCTGCCGCGACACTCCAGGTTCTGGAAAGGCACGGCTGGACCAACAAGTTCTTCAGTCTATGGTTCTCCAACATCGAGAACTTCAACCGTGTACACGACAAGAAGCTCTCGATTGTTGCCATCGTGGCTTTGATTCAGCTGCCCCCGGACCAGGTGCCCCCAAGCATCCAGCCTGGATGGCCAAAGCTCATGTCGGGCATCGTCAGCTTGTTCCAGACTCTGCCATTGGCGATGAGGCACCGCGAGGATATCTCGAAGGATAGTTTGAACTTTGACGACTCGTACGAGAGTGACAGCGAGAACGAGTGGGATGGCGATGCCGGCTGGGATGGCGAAGGTAACACCCCGTATCCATGTGACCACCTGTAGGATGAGAAATGCTGACACGAAAAGAAGGGCTTGACGAGGCGGATGTTCCCGACGAGAGCGCGGCGTACATGGAGTTCTTGAACACCGAGGCGCAGGCCCGGGCCGCCATCGACTTCACTTACGATGAGGACGACGATGAGGCGTTGGAGGAGGAGACGCTGCTCGAGACCCCATTGGATCATATCGAACCATATCAGCTGTTCCGAGGAGCGCTGCTCGGTATGTAACCCGTAAGGGACAGTTCGAGAACAGATCAGATGCTAACGGTGGGAAATGTAGGAATACAACAAGTTCAGCCACAAGTATACGAGGCCCTCACCAAGGAGCTGACAGCTGACGAGAAATCGGTTATCACGAGCGTGTTCCACGAGGCGGAGCAGAAGAAGTTGGAGCAGGAGGCACAGATGGCTGCTGCCGCCGCTACCGTGGTACTGAGTAATGGGGCTTAAGTAACCGGTGGGGTGGTGGAGGTGGAGGGCACCGACCGACATACAGCTTGTGTGGGGGGGACCATGTGAGGTGAAAATAAAGGGCATTCTGGTGGAATGGAAACGATGGATGGATGGGTGGGATTTGTTTTTTTTTCTTCTTTCAGTTGTGCGATTCGTGTCAATTTCTAACTTAGTTTGGGTGTTGTGTTATGTTACTCTTCTCCTTTTCTTTATTTCACATTTTTCTTTCTTCCCTTTTCCTAAATGGTGGTGGTGGTGGTGGGGGTCGGGTGGATGTAGGTTGTCATAGTTGTTGCTGCAGATGGTGCAGATGTAGTGGTATGTAGTGGTTTATCGCGGTTGGTGCGGTTGGTGCTGTGCGGTTAGAATATTATTGGGAGTCTTACATTCTTTCATATCTCATCCGGGAAACTGAATACGGTACATCAGCGAGCTTGGTGAGGGTGACCATTCAAACTGGGGACACCAAAGTTGGAGTGTCATCACGCCCTGTAGTTACCAACGTCAGTAACAACCCAAGGGCGAGTAAACACCACCAGACGTGTGATGTCACATGACATGCCAGCACCTCGAGTGACACTATGTGAACCCTCCCGCATCCCCTATGCGGTGGGGAGGAAAGCTCCACCAGACCTGAAGGAGGAGGACGATGAGGAGGAGGCAAGCACCGCACCGGTGGTAGAGCAAGAGTACCCAGCAGGGGGGTACTGTGTCTGTGTCTGCGGCCGGTGCGAGGGAGTAGGAAATGAGGATATGTGGTGATATTTTCTAGGTGCGATTTCTTGTGTTATCTGTTTGGTAGGTAGGTAGCGGCGCCACATCGTGCTGGCTGGTGATCGGGTCCAAACCTTCGGCCGGCTAGAGTGGGCGGGAAAGGAGTGCGACGGTTCGACATAGTACAGATAGGCTGCATGCGAAATAAAACAGGAAGATCTAAGATCTCTCCCCTTGTGCGCATCGGCAGCACCCATCCGCAGCATCAAAACAAGCCCTATCTGCACAGATCGTAGAGATCAGTGCTGCCATCGATGATCTCTGGGAAGGGATGAGATGCAACCAACAGGGAGGGCTTGCGTACATCTCTTGCTCGACCCATCGGCGGACAGGAAGAGCCTGAACAGAGCTGAACAGGTTGATGGTCCTCGATCGAGAGGGGCTCACGCAGCTGGGGGGTCGAGGGGAGGTGGTTCTGGAAGTGCTCGCCCAGTGAGGGAGATGCATGCGGGTGGTTCCAAGGCATACCTGGCCTTTGGGCCGATGCGTACATACAAGCTGGTGTTTGCACAGATCGGAGGGCTGGCTGCTACACACAAGCAGCCTTGGGAAGAGGGAATGGATGGATGAGGCATGTATGCACGTTGAGCGGGACCAGGAATATGCTGGGCAGGGCAGAACCGATGGGTGCCGATGGGGCGAGGCTCGTGCATATTGGACGATCGGGGAAGAGGTGCGTTGCATGTTGCTATCATCTTTGTTTCTGTGTTGTGGTCCATGTCCTGTCTTCCTGCTTCTTCTCTCCCCCCTTCATCCACTATATAATCTTCGTTCCCCCCCACCTTTTTCCTTCCCTTCTCTCTCCTGTCATCGAGGACACTAGAAATATCATCATTTGTCATAGAAATCATCACTTTAATATGCTCCCCTGCTTCTTCTCTTTTCTATTATCACCTCTACTTCCATCTCCAATTCTATTTTGATTGCTCCCTCTTCCTCTGCTCCTCCCGGGCTTCATTCTCGTCCACTCTTTCTCTTTATCCATCTTCATCCATCTCACTTCACCTTCATCATCACTAATCCATCTATCTTCATCCCCTCATCTCTTACTTCTGCTCGGCCTTATGTCATGCAATCCGCTCCTCCTCCTCCAACCGCCCAATCATTCTCTTGCATGATTATGCTCACCATCTTCGCATACCCTTAACTAACATGCCAATAATGACCACTGCCATGATGCCGTTGCCGCTTTGATTAACTTCATTTTTCTCCTGGTTCAACACTGACAACTTAACGGACAGGTTCCCGCCACGACTCGCTCTCTCTCAGCCGTCGTGGTACATACAGTCGCCCTCCATAGTGTGGCCTTCGATGGCCGTCATTACTATCGTCTCGAGACATGACCTAAGATTCTCTCATCGCTCACATCCCCTCGATGGACGCCCTCTCGTCCTTCAACTCAACGCTAGCTACATGACAACAACCGACGATAGTAGCAACCAACAGCAGCAACAGGCAGCGGCAGAAAGAAAAAAAAAGTATCACGAGACAACGATTTGCATATATACCTGGAGCATGGTCCTCTCGGGACGATATTTAAGGTGGTACCTATTGCTTCCACCGATCTACCTTCTTATAAATTTCGTCGACTATTGCCGAGGTATTATCGTAAGCACCATGTAAGTATGAAAAGCTCCTCCCATATAAATGAGTAATGCTGACGTCCAACAGATTTTTGCCTTACTCTCTGGGAGCAGCGCGGTACCCTAAGGATCGTGCTCAAAGCATCGATGCTGTGTTTACAGGATAGCTCATCCAATCGAGCCGAGAAAAAAATAATTTTAATACAGAAAAATAAATCGACTAAAAACAAAAAAAAGGGAAAAGAACCCGAAAAGGGAGAAAACAAAAGCCGGAAAGGAAACCGAAAAGAAAGAAAAAAAGGAAAATTAAAACTGAAAAAAAAAAGGAAAATGAAAACGAAAACAAAAAGGAAAATGAAAACGAAAAAAAAATTGAAAAGAAAATGGAAAAGAAAATGGAAATGGGGAAGGAAAAGGAAAAGGGCGGGGAAATGGAAATGGAAATGGAAATGGAAATGGAAATGGAAATGGAAATGGAAATGGAAATGGAAATGGAAATGGAAATGGAAATGGAAATGGAAATGGAAATGGAAATGGAAATGGAAATGGAAATGGAAATGGAAATGGAAATGGAAATGGGAAAGGAAAAGGAAATGCGAAAGGAAAAGGAAAAGGGTGGGGAAATGAAAATGGAAATGGAAACGGAAAGGAAACGGAAAAGGAAAAGGTTGGGGGAATGGAATATATGCATGGAAGGGTAAGTACAAACCTTTGTTGGTCGTTTCGATGCACTGCTAATCTGTCCTAGATTTTCTTATGGAAAAGGAAAAGGGTGGGGGAATGGAAACTTCCCCGTGGGATGTACGATATATGCATGGAAGGGTAAGTACAAACCTTTGTTGGTCATTTCGATGCACTGCTAATCTGTTCTAGATATTATTATGGAAAAGCTGCCAGGTCGCGTCACGTTTTATCGACTATCTACGGTTCCAGCGGATTTTGATGGGACATTGGTGTTCTTTCCGTCTGGTTCCCAGTCACAGGCGCCGAATTCTACCGGCGGATCTGTTAGGTGTTTCTCGTCTATCCGCCCGATTCACCACTTTAGAAAAACGTTGTCGTTTTGGAGGAGGCCTCTTGCTATCAAGTGCTTGCTTGCCGTAAACGGGGATGATCCCAAGTTATGAGAAATGTAAGTTCCACCCCTTCTTCGCCTTTTATGTTTCATCTAGCAGTGGTCTGGCGTGTCCGGCAATAAAGAAGGTATGTTGTCTTGTTTTCTTTCTGTTTGATTTGAAGGAGAGGGGGAGAGTGGGTAGGTGATTCGGATAGGTGGCTTCGTACGGTGGTGAAGCTCTTTGGAAGTTGTGGAGGTAATTTTGGGAATTTGTCTTTTCGGGAATATATGAATACTGTTTTATTTTTTATAATCCGCCGCTTCAATGTGATTTCAAACTATAAGTCAATCAATTCTCCCCTCATGTTCGGCAAACTCCACGCCTTTCGACTTACACACAAGTCGTTGCTGGCCATAAAAGTTGAGAATATCAATTTCTTCCAATGCCTCGCAATCACTATCCAGCGCGGCAGCAGTCTCTTGGAAATCCGCACAATTGTCAAGATATATCCGAAATAGTCGTACACACTCGAGTTTTACGCCACTGTCCAACCAGACTTTCATCGAGCGGCCTGGTGGGGCTTTCCCTGCCCTCCGCCCCGGCCTGCCCCAGCAATCAAGGTAGAGCGCACCAAGGAAATGATACTAGGAAAATACAAAATCCGCCCCCTCTCCCTACCCCGCCTCGCCTCCTGCCTCTTCACCAGGGGATGCCGTGAAAGAAGGTATGTGTGTGTGGGGGGGGGGGGGGGGGGGGGGGACAGCGGGAGTGACCCCGGCCCCTCGACTTCAGCACCCTCCTCCTCTCACCCCAACTCCACCTCCCTTTCTTCCCGCCCCCCGAGCTTCCACTCAGAGACCTCACTTGCAGCATCTTCCTCGGCGGCCACTGGCATCCATCTGCCCACTTCAGTGGAGGAAAGGAAGTCCAGGATGACCTGACTACACCGCTCGTCTGCGAAGACGTCTCGGATCTTGAAGCGGTCTTTGCTCCTCCCCCTCCCCGTCTGCTTCCGCACCTGTATCCGCAGTGTTTTCCGTTGACTCTTCCATCCGGGGCAGTATTTCCAGGAACATGGAAACCAGCTCTCCGCTACGGCGGGTGGTTAAACATACCCGAGTGATCTCCGATGTACGCGTTTCAGGTTCACCTGAAGGCTGATATTGGACATTCCACAAGGGCCCGGGGGTTCCCCATTAATACCACTCTTTGCTTTCGTATCTTCCGTACGGCTACGATGCGTGTGGCGTGCCACGACGTTTGAGATTGGAGGCCGCCAGAACTTAGAAGCGCGGGATTGGATTTCGGTGATCGCTGCGGAATGGGAACCGGTGAGAACTGGTAGGTGATTGGGATGCTCCACAGGGATGGGGACGGGAACGGTGAAGGTGATTTGTTTTCGACGAAGAGTGGCGGAACTAAGGGTAAATGGGGGGGGGGAGTGATGATGTAGGTGGTATGGTATACAAGTCAGTCCGCTGGATACCTAGAGAAGAGCCGGCGGTCTCAGTGAGAAGCAGTTGGCCAGTTGGCCACCAGGCCGTACGTGACTCGCTGCTGAGTATCTCTGGCATAGGTAGCATAGGTATTTATTCTTGTCCACATGATCTCCTGGAAGCATCGAAGCCCGTGCCTCAGTGGCGTCTCACAGGCGACGCCGCAGCGTGCGATGGAATAATCATCCATCGCTTCGTCGTCGTCGTCTTCGTCGTTGTTGTTTTCAATCGCGGGGGCACTTACCAAGTTTCCAGCACGGAAAAAACCCCCGCGTGGTCTAGTGGTCTACTACCTAGGCAATGCAACCGGCGAGGGGAGTTGAGGGAATGCCCCCGGTTCAAACCTGGGTGAAAGCCCTGTCAGCTCTTGGGGTTTCCAAGCCACCCACCGGGGGTGGTGGTGGTTTTTTGTTTTGGGTGACGGATGGAGCACTATGTGTCACTCGGTATGGTTATGTCACGTGACATGCTTTTGCTGCCCGGTCGACGTGCCGAGTCACTTCCGCTGTTCTTCACCGCACTCTCCTTCTTGACATCTCCTGACTGAGAGGCAAGGGACGTGGGTCGGAGTGAGGAGCGGACTATATTTTTCGTAGCTTTGTTCTTTGGTGCGCTCTACAGTGGTTGCGGGTGAAGAAGAATACCAAATGGAGTTTTGTTGGTGCTTTCAGGACATCACTCGTTTTCTCCGTATTCCCAGCCTGTACACAGAGCATGGTATTCAACCTTGACTGTAGCACTGTATATAGTAGATTCTACCCTCCCCTGCCCTGCAACTTGGAGCATATACGAGCGAAGCCCAGGAAACCAATCACAGCCCAGTTTAGCCGCGACCTCAACGGCCGGGGGCGGGACACCTTCAAAGGCAGTATGATACAACGTGGAAAGTCTAAAGTCTCCTATTTCTTCACCGGTGCCAGTGCGCCGCCCACCTGTCACTCTGCAGTCGCAGTGGCATCAGCTCGCATCAGCTCGCATCAGCTCGGGCCGGGAGTGTTATGGCCGGGAGTGTTATGGCCGGGAGCGTTATGGCGCGCCTCCCGAAATCCCGTACCGCGCCGCATCCAATCTCGCTTCGGGGTCTCACCGCTGGTGACAGCCAGCTCGTAGAGTAGAGTACATACCGGTTATGGTGCGTGTGTGCGTGTGTGGGAGTGTGGGTGGGTGGGAGTGTGGGTTCGCCTAGGCGGGCAGATCCCCAGTTGCCTTCCTGCCTATCAGGGTACTCTACATGGTTGGTGGGGGTCAATCTACTGTAGAGTACTATATGCATACGCATAAACATAAGCATATCATATCATATGCTCGTCCGCTGGTCGGTCGGTGAGTAGAACGGACTGAGCCAGGCTAGGGGGGATAAGGGGGGAGACCGAGTGAGGAGTTTGTGGGGATCCGGTGGTGATCGGTCTCTCTGGCATTTTCAGAGGGCACACACGTTTTCCTCAGCTGGGTAGATGGAGATGGAGGGAAACGCCTTGTAAGTGACCTCGAAAGCGACTACAGTACACGAACGATTCGCCTAATTACCGCCCGACTCCGCCAGTTACTAAGTATCAACCATCACTCGCATCATTTACAAATGCCAATCCCGGCAAGGGTACTTTTGTAGATGCACCACCAGTGGTCCACCACCACCACCACAGTCCATCCAGATTCCAGCGGTCTATTCTATTTATATGCGTAGCGACTGCAGACAGACAGACTGGGTGTGTAGACATCTGCTCTATTAGAATTTGGCAGGATTGCCAAAACGAACGGATATTAGATACCCATGGCGACATCGCGTGGAGGGATCATCATGGATGTTCTTTGGCATGTGGCATGTGGGAGAGTGGGAGAGCCGGCGGATAGTTATGCCTGCGATGCTGCGGCCTGATATGTACTGCGATGCTGCGGCCTGATATGTACTGGTATGTACATGTGCCGACATGATGTGCGCGTGAGGCGAATTTGCCATGACCTGCCAGAGGCAGTGGTCGTTCGGGAACCGTTTCTGTGCCCGTTTCTTGCTCACTGGGGATGGGGATGGAGGATGGGGCCTTCTGAAATGATTCGAGAAGGAGGTGCAATTACATACACCGCCGAGTTGACACATGGGGGAAAGGGGTGCCCAGTCAGAATACAGGTGTGATTTGTAGCATCTGCCCGGTCAGGCCGGGCAGATGGCCGTGGCCGTGGCTGTGGCTTAAGTTTTAATCTTCCCCCGCGAGCTTGTAGGGAAGACATGTTTTCGTATCATCGTATTGATTCGCATGATACTACTAGTAGGCACATCACCTAAGTGCAAGTCCAAGTCTAAGTCTTGCACATCGATTCAGGCCGTGCGCCGAGTGCCGAGTGCAATCGTGAGGGATCGCAATCGGTGGCGCCGCGGTAGTTACGGTATTCTCGGTCTCCGGATCATATTTTCTTCTTTCTTTTCTTTCGCAACTTGGAAAACCCCGCGTAGTCTGCCGGGCCCCGGCAACTGAATTACTATACATCCAGCTATTCTTATTCCAGCTGGTAGTTAGAACTTACCGTATAGCGCACTTTGCAAGCCCTAGTTAGTAGCCAGTGAAAGCAGCTGCTGCAGAAGAGCTGCAGAGCTACAACCGAGCTGATGCTCGGCGTTCGGCCTACCTTTCGGTTCGGATTCTCCAAGGGCCCGCCGCGGTGTTTCCTCCCAAGCCGCGCTCTTATGCATACTTTCAACTAAGGCAAGCAGGCCCCAACTAGTGGCGCCCCGCTGCCACCGGAACTCCGGTTAACCATTATCGTCTCACCGCTGGAGACTGGAGCTCGCGGCTAGTTAGTTACTCGCTCAGGTGGCCTCTAGATATTCACACGCAATAAAAACGAGCTGCACCGGACGAGCCTCCAGGCTCCAGTGTTTAGTTAGCGTCGGCCACAATTCTCGCCGATGCTCGCTGCCTAGTTAGGTGACCAACTAGGGCTTACCGTGTCGACGGGCTCGGATAGGAACGTGGAGGAACCGTGGACCGTGGATTATGTTCCACTGGTCCACTGGAGATCTGGGGCACTGCTAGGCAGACGAGACGAGACGATCGTCTAAGTCAAGGCGTGCGTGCGACAACATGGTGGATCGTTGAACTACTAGTACTGGGTACCAAGTTACTTGCACATATAAACTCTATATCGACGTAGGTACTGAGGTACTGAGGCACTGGAGTACTGAGGTACTGAGATACAAAGATATATGGTACCTAATTACTAGGAATCACTACGGAAAACCTCGCCTTCTGGTTCGTGGTCACGACTCACGACTCATGATTCGCTTCAGTCATTCTGCCGGATGTTGAAATTGAGAGAAGAACTTGACTTGATTGGTGTAATAAGGATGATGAGAAAGAAGACTGCTTATAAAAGAAACGAGCTCGTGTAGACAAAGAGGAAGCCGGGCCTCAGATAGAGGATGCGACGATAGCCGTCGCCGGACTACCTAGGCTGGGGGCTTGAAGGCTTTAGCTAAAGAGGCTGACTCTGGTGAGAAGCCATGGACAATGCTAAGCAGCAAGAAGGAAATGAGGGTAGTATGCAAACGGGGTGTGGAAAGTAGCAGTGACGGTGGAAAGTAGTAGGGACAGTGGAAAGTAGTAGTGACAGTGGAAAGTGGCAGTGACACCGGAACAGGCAATAAGACGCATAATATCAGCACCGGAGTACTCAATAGTACATAGCTATTCAATCACAGTAACCCCCCGTAGGATGGAATATGAAGATTCGGAATGTGGACTGAAAACCTCGGAGCAACCCTGTGGCCCGGGGAGGGGCATGGTAGCTGTTAACCCGTCAAGCCCCAGGCCAATTTTAGGTACGTATCCACCACAATCCATACAGCAGTCACCACCACGCAGTATGAAAGAGATGGCAAGAGTAAGAGCAAGCGTGGCGACTAAAAGCATCATGACCCATGCCGGCTTTATCTGTATGATATGCATGATATGATGTATGATATGTGCACTATTGTAGTTACTACATATATCGACATTCCTACTGTAGACGCCTGACGCCACAGATCCTCACGCTAACTATGTCCATTAGTTATGACGTTCTTGGCCAGCCAGCCAGCCAGTCTCGACTGCAGAATTGTAAGTATGTACATACATAAGAATGCTACTGCCAGAAGAACCCAATCCCCTCTATCCTCTCCCGAGTGGGCCCGCTCGCCACCTAGAAAGCTGCCGGAGCGATTAACGCACGCGGCAGTGCTTGAGCGTGGGAAGCAGCCGCGGACCGGAGGACCTTCCCGACTGGCTGGCAAGGGGAAGTCTAAAAAGGTACTATTACTATGCAATGTACGCCACCTACTGTATGTATCTACGCCAAGGGCACACAATAAGTTCCCATGTGAAAAAGACGCCGAAACTTCAATCGCCTCCATAGTGCCCTAATACGGTACCGTAATAGGCCTTTTTTCTCTTTCCGCTACATGTCCGGTGTGTTTGATTGGTGATTGGTGATTTCAGCGGATTGCAATTGCAGTTGCAAGTGCAATATGCGGTTGCCATTGTGTCGTGCCGCGCATGTGTCGAGTACGAACGTACATACTGTCTTGTGATTGATGTTTCTAGCCACGAGATGGGATGTCGTTCGTGGCTTTCCGCCGCCACCGCCGTTGCCGCCGCTAGCTAATGGGATCGAAACCGGAAAATGGAGATATCGGCGGCGGCATGGCCTAGACTGAGTGTTCCGGACGCCAAATGTTCCACCGCAGCGTCAACTGCACCGGAAGTCTGGAAGAAGCAGAAGCAAAAGTTGAACAAGCTTCTTGAGGATGCAGTCCGTCCTCCCACGCGGTAGATAAGCCCCCACCTACATACCTGCAATGCATTGTCCAGCTCATTCGGCCCGGCCCCACTATGTACGAGACTTACGGGGAGAAAATCTCTCCGCCCCTAAAGCAAATACTGTGGGCTACCTATAGCATATTAGTATCTGCTTCGCCAACCACTGGATCGGATTGATGATGGGCTATATAGGTTGGATGGGTACCGCCCAAAAACGGGTTCGATACCGCATTCCATCCCGCCATACAACCGCCGTCCATCATGCATCTTCCCAGCTTCCTGACCACCCTCGTCCTGGGCTTCGCGGCTACTGCGTCTGCACGGCCATCGTCGACCTGTGTTGCGTCAAAGAAATGTACGAACCCCACCGTACGCAAGAGCTGGTACGTGAATCCAATCCGACCCAATCCAATCGAATTTTCCCCGGTCCCGGTCCGTCTCGAGGAACACTCGACTGACCACAAATACAGGGGATCACTCGCCACATCCGACAAGACCGCCTACATCAACGCCGTCAAGTGCATGATCAACACGCCACCGAAGCTGAACGAGTACGCCGCCGGCGTCACTAACCGCTGGGAGGACTTCATCTGGACACATCAGAGAGTCATGCCGACTATCCATGGAGTCGGCCACTTCCTGCCGTGGCACAGGCTGTTCCTTTTCGAGTACGAGCGGGTGTTGCGCGTTGAGTGTGGCTACGAGGGCACTATTCCGTGAGTTCCCCCTCCCGGAATGCCAACGGCGGAGTCTGATATGATATGTACAAAAGGTACTGGGACCAGAAGGCAGACAACGCCGACATCTTTGCGTCGCCCGTATTCGACACGGAGTTCGGCTTCGGCGGCAACGGCGCATTCGACCCGACCGCGTTGATCCCGTTCATCAACATCACCGCCGACGGCGGCGGGTGCATCCAGGACGGCCCGTTCAAGGACCTCACCATCCACCTCGGCTACAACAACGACAGCTCGTACCAGGAGCGCTGCATCACGCGCAACATCATCCAGGCGCCCGCGAGCCGCTGGTGGAACGCGCAGGAGGAGAACAACGCCCTCGCTCATCCCACCTACGAGATCTTTGCCGAGCTGCTGGAGGGGAACGGGAACTTTACGTTCGATCTGGGAATGCACAATGCCGGGCACATGGCCGTGGCCGGAGACGTAAGCTCCTCCCCTTTCCCCCCTCCCTCCCTCTTCGCTCACGACAACTAACGCCCCCCGGCTTAGATGCTCGACACGTGGGTCTCCCCCGGCGACCCAGTATTCTACCTGCTGCACGGCAACATCGACCGCATCTGGGCGAAGTGGCAGCAGTCCGCGAGCGCCAAGCTCTTTGCTGTCGGCAACCCGATCCGGCCGCGACTGCCCATTTCCGACGGCCTCCTGGCCACCATCCCCGAGGGCAACGTCACGCTGGATTATGTCATCGATCTTGGCCCGCTCGCCGGTGATCGCCTCAAGATCCCGGTCGCCCGCGTGATGGATCCGATGGGAACCGTGCCGAAGGGGTATAAGAAGGGGCTGCTGTGCTATGATTACGAGTAGTGGCGTGGCGTGGGGGGGGGGGGGGGGGAGGGGGAGCGGGATTCGATATGGCGATAGGTAGCCGATACTCCGGCTGTACACTGGGCTTTTATCTTTTAATATCTAATTGCAATGGACGTTCCGGCGGAAGAGACTCAGACTCAGACTCAAACTCAGACCCAGAGACGCATATTAGCAGCGTCCACTTCGCAAATCGTAAGTTGTATGTACGCATAACACGGTGAATGCTTCCGCACTGCGCGAAGAAAAAGAAGAAGAAGAAGAAGAAGAACCCCTGCGCCAACTCTTTCCGAGAAGCCATCCGGTCAGTGGTTGTGTCACTCGGAACTGGAACTCCCGCGTATTCACGACGCCGGCCGGCCGAGGGACCCAGCTCGGGATAGAGACGCTGTCGAGCCGAGCCGATATCGGGATCGCAAACAGGACTGAGGGGGGAAAGGAGGCGCCAGTTCAGTATTAGTAATTGCGATATGTAGTCGTGACAGGCGACACGCAGTTGATAACGGAACGTCCAGGGGGGTTGGCTCGGTCGCTGGGGTACCACAAGCAACAAGTAGAACGGAAGCGATCGAAGCTGCCATAATCATCCCCGAAGCGTGAGCGCATTCGAAGAGGACCAACACCATTCCCGGATTGCAGATCAGCAGAAGGAGGCGCCGACAAGTAGAACGGATGGTAGTGTATAAAAGAATTGACTGCTTTCAGATATAAACCCTATTCGTGAAAAGAAACTCCTTGAAATTTCCTGTCATCGCTCCCCGCTCTTGCTATAGTAGGTAGTAGGATAATCGAGACGAGTATGAGAAACGAGCACACAAGGGCAACCCCAAACGACCAAGCACCAACGCCTAAACGCCCGTAATCGACAACCTGGTGTTCCCAGATTTCCTTCGTAGCCTGCCAGGCTATCCATCATTGGTCTACCCCCTCAGAGCCCGCAGCCGCTCATTAAGCCTACATGTGTCCCGTTAGTCCAGAGAACCGTCCGCGCACGGAACACGAGTACATACCCATTCTCCTCCTGCTCAGTCGGCCCGACCTTGTGCTTGGTAGCCTCGGGCATGTCCTGCTCCATCTCGAGCCCGGCCTCATCCGCAATCTTCCCCATGAGGCGATCCACGTCCTCCTGAGGCGTCCCAACGGCCGTGGCAGAGCTAGTGGCATTCTCGTAGTATCCCACAGCAACATCCAAGTCCTCGAACTGCTGCTCGAATTTGTCCATCACGACCGAGATCTGTCACCGACATCAAGTCAGCATCTCACTTCCACCGTCGCACGCGTGGCTCACCCTCTCAAGATTCATCGTCTTCATGGCCGCATCCATGCCCTTGACCACGTTCGCCATGCTCCCGGAGACCTGTCTCATGGTGACAGCAGTCTGCACCCTACTCGCGACCGCATCGATGCGCGACGCGAGCCGGAGAAGGTTCAGCCGCTCGTTCTGTTTGCGGATTGCGTTCTGCGCGTAGAGTTTGGCGATGTCGTTGTTTCCCTGCTGCATCGCCTGTCGTCCCCCGCCCCACCATTAGCGCGGACGTCAAAAGTTACAAGAGGTATGTTAGAGGCGTGCCTTCTTGATCTTGGCTTTCTCGGCCGTCTCCTCTTTGCCGGCTTTCGCGGCTTGTCGGTTCAGTGACTTGGCCGTGAACTGTGCGTGGTGTTAGCCAGTGATGGCGGGGGTGGTGCACGCCCGAACGATGACGTACTTTGAGCTGGAAAAGGGCTTTCTCGAGGCCGGACATGGCTGTAGGAGTGTAGAGGTCAGTCGGACGGTAGGTTCGGTTATGTGTATGGGCGACGGATTCGTGGACGAAGTGGAAGACGAGTTGAGGTTGCTGTGGGCGGTAGACGGATTGGTAGGCTGAGTCGGAGCTGGGAGCTGCGGATGGCGGATGGCGGACTCGTGACACCGATAAGGTTAGATGAAGGAGATAAGGTCCGATGGAGCAGATATAATTAGATGAAAAACAGATGACAGATGCCGCTAGGCCGGTTATCAGATAAGATCGGACAATCACATCCTATGCCATGAAAGGCCGGGCTTCGTAGCCAAGCTACTTGAAGCGGCCGGCCGGGCTAGATATTTGCTTGGCTCAGCCGGCCACGCAGCCAGGCTTATCGGTTTGCGTGTGTGGATTTACTTGTAGAGTTATCCATACTGTGTAGTGAAGGGGGGGAGGGGGGGTAAAAAATACGCCAAAAAGCGTATTTTTTACCCTCCCCTTCACTATACAGTATTCAGTAAGTACTGCGAAGTCTCACTCGAGCTTTAGTCGTCATGACACCAGTACATACTTTGTTGTCAACTTCCGTATCACCCCAAGCTGTTTCAACCAGCCGAAGCAGCAGGCAGTCAATCCATCTTATCGACCAGGCCGGGCCACTCGCAGCTACCGATAGTCGGGCGGGGGCTGGCTGTGGACAACATGCACAGCTTCTACGTGCATATCGAACCCCCTCCGAGCCGATCTTAAAACGCCTTGAAATTGGCCCGTAAATGTCCTTAGAGTACTGGCTCCTGACTCGGGCGGAAAGCTGAAGTGAAATCCACATCACCAAAGACTCCCAAGTAACGTGGTCTTCAACCCGCAAATGCCGGGGGGAGGAAAATAATGCACTTCCCTCATCTACTGAGATACCTGCCACCGGGTATGTACGAGTTGAAAATTTAGAAAATGATTCAATTGAATAGAAAAGCAAAGAAAAGAAAAGGGGTCCATTAATGTCTGATGTGTTGAAAAAGAGACGGACCGACAAGACAAGACTTGGGATAGAAAAGCAAAATCAAAAACAGAAAAGAAAACATTTCCTGTTTAACGGCCGGACTGCATCGTGTCCGCCAGCCATAACACATACATGGCGCAACACAGAGGCGCCTTCCATAAAAGAACCCCAGAAAATAAACGCCAGCGAAAATGCCCCCAATCTCAGCGCTGAAATCCCAACAACCCTCTCCGCCCAAGTGAACCAAAATGTAAATATTCGCTGATAAACTTGATGTCGACGGCCAGCGACAAGGGCTCGGGATTCGGAATTATGCCGGTTGTCGTAAATTTGGTTCGTTTCGTAGGCGACGAGGGTGAGCGAGCGACTTTACATTATGATGCACATGAATACTATTTCACAGTAATCCTATCGTTAGCGTCCACAGCCAGAAACCGCAGAGCAGAAGGCGAAGCGGCGAGAGAAGAAGTATGGTACATACCCTGACCATTGCGCCGTCCCATATCGACCGGATCGGTGTCGATATCGTCGTCCCGCACGGCGGGTGAACTTGTCGTCGGGGCTGTAGCGATGGCGACTATGATCGTGGTGATGATGTTGTCGTTTGGCTGCATCGTGAAAACGTTCGTATCGAATGTGTGGAAGCTTTGTGGTGATGTTGTTCGATGGATGATGTGTGGAAGCTTTGTTATACTGTTCGATAGCTGATTTTGATGCTGGAGGTTATGAGTGGAGATGGAGAAGGGGGGGATGGCCCGAGATTTATAGATGTGCCCATGGTCTTCAGACGCAATCGTATGGACGGTCGGGACATTCCATGGCGTGATTGGGCTCCTGTCGATTTGGTCTGGGCTCCGATTGATTTGGCCTGGTCTCGGCGAAGACCTGCGCGCGATTGAATCTGTGGTATTATGAGATACACCAACCAGACCCACGCAATACCTAGAACGTGACGTCCCGCACACCCAGCAACTACAATTAGTTACATTCAACACCATGATCCTTTTAATTAGGTAGGTATCAGCCCTTTCTACCAGAGACTTCCTCAGTAAGTCCATAGTGGCCGTCTTGTTTCAATCTTCAGTCCCGGCTCGCTACGTGCGCAAATCAGATCGCTTCACGATATCTTCCTCGGCGAGTGATGCTCGGTGTAACTAGCGCCGTTGTTCAGACCACATGCAAACATAATCCTCCGAAATCTTCAGATCCCCGCATAGAAAACAGGACTTGGACTGGCGTCCGCTTTGCCTCCAATAAAACTCGACGGGCGAGCTGTTCTGACAATGAGAGATTGATTACAATGCATACCGTCGATAGAGTAGGTTGCGGCCGTAAGAAGTAGTAAATATAAAACCGAGTATTTATCTTTTTATTTCCCATCGGGAAATCTTCTTCAAAAACGAAAGAAAAAAGCAAACAATAGAGGGTGGCTTGTGAGGCTCGGGCGGCGGGAACTGGCGTTTACATACTCCACCTTATCGATCCAAGCTGACATGTGGCGGAGCGCCACTCAGGTCGACACCGGCCATGGGCACTAAACGCGGGGCCTAGCTCCTACTCTAATCCAACACCACACCGTCGTTACCACTGACCAGTATCATCCTACCAGCACCATCCTACCAGCACCATCCCACCACGACCACAACAACTACCACCACCCCCCTGGCCCACAACCACAACCACAACCACAACCACAACCACAACCACAACCACAACCACCCCCACAATGTCCCGCGCGACCCTCCCCCCGCCTCTAACCGCCTCCGCACGGGAAGCGCGCTTCGCGTTCTACTGCACTTTATGCAGCAAAGGGTACAGTCGAGTCCACGAATACGAAGCGCACGAGAACAGTTACGACCACCAGCACAAGAAGCGATTCCAAGAGATGAAGGCGTTACAGAAGCCGATTGCGCGGCCTCGGCGCGCGTCGCTGGAACACGGCGGGATAAAGCCCATTTCCCTCGGCGATGGCGCGGCAGGCGCGAAGAAGAAGGGTGGGTTCAGGAGTGCGTTTGGGGGTGGCGAGGTCAAGATTGATGGTGCGCCACCGGCCGCGAAGATGGAGGAGCGCGAGCGGGAGCATGAGGGCGTGGTGGAGAGTGAGAGTGAGGATGAGGGCTGGGAGAGGTATGATCCCGAGAGGCCGACGGGGGTCTGATGTGCGTTGCGTGGGGCGAACGTAGTTTATTGGGGTTTGGATCTACCCGGTTTGTTTGGGGATTGGTGTTTTATTCTTTGCCATCACGGTGCACTCGTATCCTTTAGATTGGTTCTATTACTGCTATTCTGCGCAAAGCATCAAGGCGGTCATCATCGTCATCATATCATTCGTAAAGCTTACAATGTAGGAAAGAGATCAAAAATTGACGCCGAAACCAAAAGCAAAACCCCTCCCCCCCCGCAGCCTGGATATCAAGTACATACACAACGCCATCCTCAGACTCTTCTAAAGAACACCTGGTAAAAGTGGTCATAATGTCTGCCCAGATATCCTCCAACGCGTCCACTTTGTACGACCACCCTCGACAGCCCGCCCAGCCACAGCGCCGCCGTCCCCACCGTTGCAGCACCAAGCAACTTTCTCTTCCGCTGCGGCGGTATTTTCCAGTAGGACGCGAGTCCATACACGAGATGATGACTCACGACACCCACAAAGCCAACATAGAAGACGCCACCGATCCACTTCCCCCACCGTCCCTGCCAGAACCCATGTGCCAGGTACTCCAATCCCACCTGACTACTGTCTCCATCAACGCACAGTGGGACCAGTCTCATCAACCCTGCATGAGCCGCCAGAAACGGCACTGCAATCCATCCCGTCTTCGAGACCGCGGAGAAATTTCTCCAGCGCCACGTTGACAAAGACAACGGAGCCCGGCCACCGTATCGTGCCCGCTGCGCAAAGTGGCGGTACACTCGAAGCGCAACGCTTGATGTGAGATGCAACAGCAATGTCCCCGGGATCAGCAGAAGCTCTGTGTAGGGAGTGGCTTGGTAGAAGTATGTGCGCGCGAGGAGGAGGGAGGAGTTGCCGCTGTCCACGCCGAGGAGAAGAGGCGTTAGCGCGGAGGTGCATCCGTGAATGCCGACGAATGAGAGGAAGGCGTAGGCGCTGTATTTTTGTGTTCGGACAACTACAGGGGATTGATTAGCTCGAGGTTCTGCGGAGGTGGGGAGTGGGGAGTGGGGAGTGGGTCTCCGGGGGGGACTAACGCCAGAATGCCAAACCACGTCCACCGCCAGTGCTGCCGCCGAGGTTGCTGAGATTGTGGGGGAGGGTCTGCGATTTGGACATTGTCGGCGTCGAGGGCGAAGAGTCGGTGATGTCAAACTCATCATCGTCGTCGTCATAGTCGATGGGCGAAGGTATCACCTCACGCATGGAGATGAGGGAGATTTCATCGTCATCGCGGGTACGCGGAAAGTAGAGGTCGGCCATGATTGTTGTCGATCTATGCGTCTGCCTAGAAGACAAAGGAAATGCGATACGATGGGCGATGCTGCTTCGAAGATGTGGGGAAAAGTGGAGAAGAAATGCCACCTGCTGGCTCTAATAATTTTTTTGCTGCGTTGGTCCTTGTACGTGATTCGTGGATCGGTTCTCGGCAGAAAGCGGGAGTGACATCACCGGCCAGGCCCTGGTCTTTTTCGGTCGCACGAACGGATTGGCCAACTGACGGCTTTCCCGAAAACGAGTGAAACCACCTTCTTCAACTCTAAATCCAACCACCTCCCCAAGAATGGCCTCAACACTTCGCCTCCTCCTACGGCCTACGCCAACACGACTCCACGCTACCGCTCTTCGCCGCCATGCCTCCACCTTCGGCTACACCCAAGCGAAAGCGCTGATCTTCAGTGACTACGGCCAGCCCAGCGACGTCCTGAAGCTCCACTCCCATTCGATTTCTCCCGTCTACGGTTCCGAGATCGTCATCAAATTCCTCGCCGCGCCGATCAATCCGGCAGACATCAACCAGATCGAGGGGGTCTACCCCACCAAGCCGGCAATGACCATCAACCTGGGGACTCCCACACCCGCGGCGGTCCCCGGAAACGAGGGCGTAGTTGAAGTTGTCTCCGTGGGCGCAAACGTGAAGGACTTTAAGCCCGGAGACCGTGCGATCATGAAGCACACGGCGTTCGGAACGTGGCGAACACATGCCCTCGCCTCGGATAAGAACCTTCTCAAGATCCCGGAGAAGTTCCGAGACCTGGGAGTCGTGTCCGCCGCGACGGTGAGCGTCAACCCGTGCACGGCGTACTGCATGTTGAAGAACTTCAAGCCGCTGGAGAAGGGTGACTGGTTCATCCAGAACGGCGGGAACTCGGGCGTGGGTAGGGCGGCGATCCAGCTGGGCAGGCTGTGGGGGCTGAAGAGTGTCAACGTTGTTCGCAAGCGGCCCGAGATCGACGCGCTAAAGGAGGAACTGAAGGCGCTGGGCGCGGACATGGTCATCACCGAGGAGGAGCTGGCGGACCGGACGTTCCGGAAGCAGATGAAGGAGTTGACTGGTGGGAAAGGGCTCCAGCTGGGCCTTAACTGCGTTGGCGGCAAGTCCGCAACGGAGCTGATTCGACACATGGGCGAGGGCGGGCATGTCGTTACGTATGGCGCTATGGCTAAACAGCCGCTCATGGTTTCGGCAAGCTCCCTGATCTTTAAGGACATTCATGCTCATGGATTCTGGGTGTCGAGATGGAGCGATGCCAACCCGGAGGCGAAGCGCGAAATGGTCGAGGAGATCTTTGGGATGATTCAGCGTGGAGAGTTCAAGGACGTGCCAGTCGAGAAGACGGTGTGGAACAGTGAGACCAAGGAGGATGTACTCAAGGCTGCGGTCGCGAAGAGTGGGCAGGCATATAGCGGAAAGAAGCAGGTGTTTGTATTTGAGGAGTAGGTCGTATGATTGTAGCATCGATGAATCCCACCTTAGCACAGACCTGACGGTAGTGATTCTATGACTGCAATGTGATTGTTTCTTTGATAGCTATTTGGCCAGCCCGCAATCGTCAATGACCCTTGACAAGTCCGCGAGAGCCGCACAAGAGGCAGCTTACCATATGCCAAACAGAGATGTGGATATACATCCAACACTAGGCCCGGCCCAAGGCTAGTCATAATCCATCACTTCAATTTGAAAATGGATGACAAGATTGGAAAAGCGGATGATGTATTATGAGCACGATATCTGCGTTTTGGTCGCAACCAATGCTCCGCCTAGGCAGATCTCCTGATACTCTGTTTCCCTTCTTTGTAGTGTCCAATCACCTCAGACTGTAGCTGCCAACAAGCTTATATCTGTTTCGTCGCCGGCATGTGGTACCGGTATGTACAGTGTTGGCCGAGTCTATGGAGTCCATCAGCGACCCAGCACTACGATCAAGCCGAGTGCTGCACGGGGGAAACGAACCACGGGGGCACTGAAGATTAAGCAAGGACAAGCCAAGTTCCGACATAGCTATTGAGAGACCTCCGACGGGTACAGGCAACTGGGGTGACCAATTGAATTGACTATATAGAGAGCAACAAGAAAAGAAAGCAGCCTGTGTTCTTCATGCCGAAAACCTCAAAGTATCTCCGGGATGTTGAAGCACTCCGCCTGTTACAATCCGCTCGCTCCCACTACTGCTCACTCCCTCCCATTGACACTACGGGCAGAGGTCTGAAAGAAGACAGGGAGGGGCAAAGACCGCTTCAAAATCCGGGACCTCTTCGCAGACGAGTGATGCAGCCAGGCTATCTTGGCTTTCATCTCTACCACTGATGTGGGCAGATGGATGCTATGGGCCGCTGAGGAAGATGTAGCGAGTGAGGTATCCGAGTGGGAGCTCAGGGAGCGGGAAGAAAGGGAGGCAGAGCTGAGGCGAGAGGAGGAGGAGGGTGCTGAGGTCGAGGAGCCGGGGTCACAATGTAGGTCGCATGCAACCAATGAATGAATAAAAACAAAGACACTCCCTCCCATCAAAGCCCGTCATCACAACATCCCATGCCATCATCACATCAACGACAATCGCCTCTGTCCGCCCAAGTCCGAACCCCTGGAAAAGCTGGTCCCACCAGGTCTCAACCCGGTCTCCACCTCTGGCCCGAGGGTCCCAATCAAATCCGCAGGTCAAGCATCTTGCGGCCTCGCCAAACCAACGTTCCCGCTGGGTCCCACACTATCCAACATCGCTCGGGTGCGGCAGCTGCGGAGGCTTCCCCTCGAAACCCCGTGATCGGAACGTCTACATACCCTACTGGCCATGGTGAGCGCACAAGTGACGGTCTCGTCGGGTACATACGCGGAACCTGTCTGTCTGTCGAAGCCATACAGCTGACAGCATGCTTTCCCGGGTTGCAAAGCTGGGCATGGCATTGCACTCGACATCCTCCAGAGCACGAAGGTGGATATGCAGGTGTAGTGAATGGGATATTGAATGGAACATTGCAGACAATCACGCTACGTGAGTGAAAGGGGCATTGAAAGGGGCATTGCAGACGATAGTGCCGCGTGCATGGAACAAGTAAAACGGGCCTTATTGTCCGGGCTCCATTGACGCAGAGTTGAACGGAACACGATGTAAGGTACTAAAGCGACTCGTCACACGATTCCAAGGTGTTATATTGCCTGTGAGACCCATTCAGGTTGCGACTCCCGGGCCCCATTCAGCTCTCCACCGAGGCGACAACCGTAAACAAACCAAGGAGCCAGCAGCTGCTTCTCTCACGATGATTGCCACTGTGGCAGAGCGATTGAGAAGCTGTCGGCGGGAGGAAACGAATGTGGTTAGTGGTGGGCATCAACGTTGGCGGCCATGGCGGGGTCGTCCGAATGGGTCCAGTGGGGCCGTTTCTTCTTCGTCTGCTTTTTCCTCTTCTCTCTTGATCAGCATCTATCGAATAGACGGCCAACCCCCCATCTCCTATCTCTCCTCTGTGTGCGCTTCCTTCCTCGTCGGGCCTAGAGATTCAATGGCAAAGAGCCCTCGAAAAACTGGTGCACTGACTCGGAAGGCCGCCAATACATCTTTTTCCACGCTACCTTATCGATCAGAAGTCCATTCGCTGGTGCTCCTCGAACGAGTGCGAGTGCTCGCCCGAGACATCTCCACGAAATACTTATCTCTCGTTATTTTAGGTCTCTCTCTCTCTCAGTACTCCCTTTATATTTCAAAGGAAAAGCCTTCGGACGATTGTCCTCGGGTGTGGGTGGCAAGAATAACGGGCTTCTCTCGAGATCAACCCGTGAGCTGTCTGCCCGCACCCGTTTCCCTGGGAAGTCCTACTTCCTACCCTACCTGAAAAGTAGCGTACTGACACATCGAGACTGTCACACCACCCATCTCCTTTGCGCCTGTAAGTATTATACCTCCACCGTCTTTTTTTCTTTTTTTCTTGGGGAGAATTTTGAGCCAACACGTGTGATCGCTCATGACGCTGGAAGGTCTTAGGGTTAAGGGCTTTTTTGGGAAGCCGAGTGCTGATGTGTGGATCTCAGTCGACGGCGAATGGGGTATTGAGTACGACTAGCGGGGCAGAATCGGCGGTCAACGCCCCATACATCCTCATTGTATGAAGGTGTCCGGCCGCAGCACTTTACCACTCGGGCGGGCAAAACATTGGTGGCGAAAGGGAGGTGGAAGCACTGAAAATCGAGGCACCATTACTCGCTGGATCAGCCTCCTCAACGTAGGCTCAAGTTCCTAATTGCCGAGCTTGATTCTTTACCATGAGACTACGATATACCTAGCCATACAACTGTGTGGAGATTGGTGTCACCTAAAGATAACCGAATCCTGTAATCTTGGAATCACGGGTATGAGTTTCGTTAGAGGTACCGGAGACTCCAGAGACCCATTGGTCGAGTACGTACTGACGAACCTTAGGATCACTGCTGTGCAACGCCGTCACCAAAACTCACCACCAGCCGCACCCCACCTCCGAGTGCAAACCTATGCACCGCCTTCCTCCACACCAAAACAAATCAAAATTGCGGGCATAGGCTCCGCCCGCAATCGCATGCGCCGGTCACCCCACGTCCAGCACACCGCACATTACCGAGGTTGGCTGATGTCTAGACCTTTGTCGACGTCCGTCCCCCACCCCGCAAACGTCCACGTACTTCTGCCGGCTTCCTCGACGCTTCGAATCATCAAAAAAACGTGCTCAGTCTAACGGCGGCGGGCGAAATAAAAGAAAACAACATACACATACGCCCCCCGGCACTCTTGCTGCTGCTGCTGCCGCAGACGTGTGGATCATCAACATCATCATCATCGTCATCATCAGATAACCGCATGCGCATACCATGCAGCCAGCTCACGGACGCAGCACGTACAGACGCACGCATGCCCGCCAGACGTTCGAACTCGTCTAGAAAAAGAAAAAAGTTTGGGCCCGGCCGGCCCCCAGACGATGTGCATAGACGTGCAGAAAACGAAGGCCGTATGATATTACGCACACACACACACTCAGACACTTGCACGCTCACACACCACACACCACACAAACTCCCACACACCACACACACAATCACACGCGCACCATGCCGGAGGAACAAAACACACGCAAGGAAAAAGCAAATTGAAACACAGCGATCGAACTGAGGAAGAAAAAACAACAATACTGGGACAGAAAGTATCACAAAAAAGAAAAACATGAAAGAAGCTTACAATATCTAAACGACTTTACCGAGCCTACGGGTACTATACTCTACTCCACTCTACTCTACCTACTCTACTCTACGGGCACGGCCCTGTCAACGCGACTTCTCTATCGATTATCATCACACCTGCATAACGCTGTCTATCTGGCCTATCTATCAATCTAAATGTCATGTCAATCCGGCCAGCCGACATCGACACGGACCACCCAATATCGCACGCTTGCATTGCCTGCCTGTCCCCTCATTCGTTCCCTCACTCGCGTTTTTCCTTCCTTCCTTCCTTCCTTCTCGCCTCGAGCTCGCACATCATCAAGCACACGCACGAGTGGTCCAATTCCGAATGCTTATCACAATCTGCGTCTCCGCCACTCGTGCTCAGCCACCCGCCATATCTTCTCGGGCAGGAGGTGGAGTCGGTGACGTATTGCCCGTCCCCCGCCGCCGCCCCCCCTCGCCGCCGGCCCCCCATTTCCCTCCCATTTCCTCCCGAAGACTCGATACGTTGACAGATATCGATGTTCGGTACATATATCCAGCTCCCTATGTACTCAACCACATAGGTAGCCCACATCGCTGATAGCTACAGTAGCTCTGGTCGCTGAAGTATCTCGAGCAGCGGTCGAGCTAGAGATGTGTGTGCGTGCAGGAGGCCGCGCCTCGTCTGCAACAGCGAAAGAAAAAAAAATAGGAAAAAGAAGAAAAAGAAAAAGAAAAAGAAAAAGAAAAAGAAAAAAGACCACACAGCTCGCTCCTGCACAACACCGCACATGCTGATGCTGTTCCCTGCAGCACATCCACCGACGTCCTAGCATGCTCTCGTCACGATTGCTGCGCAGACGTCGACGCAGCCGGAATCGGAATCTTCATATGAGCCACCGAGGACAGACGGAGCGGCGATTGGTCGCAGTGGGCGAGGGGGGGAGTGCGGCACTGCGGTGCATGGGCAGCAGTTGGGGCCCTGGAAAAGCAAGCTCGCTGCTCGGCCAAGTAGAGTGCACCGAGACACGCCGCCAACTGCCGGTACACAGCAGTCGAGCAGACAGATCACTGCTCGAAGACGCAATGATATCATAGTTAATTCCAGGCAGCTCACAGCTCGCAGCTCCGAGAGCTCTGCCTTCGCTTGCAGCAGCACAACGACAGCTCCAGCTCATCGCATCTCAAAGACCCCTCCTTCTGCCCCTCCTTCCCATTCCCATTCCCACTCCCTTACCCACTCTGCCCCACCACCTGAACAAAAAAAAAACAAATACAAAAAAAAAAAAAAAAAACAAAAGCAAAAAACACTCACTCGCCTACCTCGAGCTGATCTCATGCTCAGGCTCGGCCTCTGCCCGACGGATTATCCAGATTTTTTCCACAAGTCTAGAAGCATCTTGTCGCCCAGCTTTGACCATGACATCTTGACAACTCACGCAGCATCACATCAATCCTTTCGATCTCACCTCTTCCTCAACCATCTTCATTCTCACAGCCCTGGCCTACGTTCCGTTGTCTATCAGCAGAAGCGGCAGCACCACCACCATCACCACCACCACAATCATCATCGTCGTCATCATCATCGAAACACCCAGGTGTCGCGCGGCCCTTCCGACTTCTACCGTCTCATCCTGTCGACCAGCGTCTCGCCATCATCTTCTCACCGAGGGAGTTGGAGAAGGAACAGGCAGAAACCTAGGCCACCCCTCCCCAGCACCAGATCGAGCCGATTGCGAGCGTCAAACCACCACCACCACCACCACCCACCACCACCATCACCTCCACCTACACCACCTCCACCTCCACCACATCCCGCATTTCCCAGTCCCAGCGCAGAGAAAGAATCAGCGTGAAAACCGAAAAAGAAGAAAAGAAAAAAATAGCAGAAAGTGAAAGTGAAACGTGGACCCTCCAGACAGAACTGAGGAGGCCCCATCTCAATCGTCGTCATCCCGCATTTCCCTTTTCCCTCATACGATGTGCACGATACGATACGTAGCCGTGAGCGAGCGAGAGACGAGACGAGACGATACGGGGTCGTAGGGGAGTCGGGGGTTGAGGTGCGGAACTGGAACTGGAGGTAGGGAGTATCGTAGTAGAGTACCGTATGTACACACACACATATAGACTATCTATCTATCGTTGTAGAGCGACAGCCAACGTCCCTGCATCCACATCCCACATCCACCATGTCCACCACATCCGCACTCTATAGTATCACAGCCGTGCGCCTCGCCCGACGCCCGTAAGTAACCCTTCTCCCTTCTTCCTACTTCCTTCTTCCTTCGCCGCAATGCAGGGAACGAGGGTCAAGGTCGAGGGTCGAATGTGCGTGCATCAACCGCCCACCGCCCACTGCCCACTTCTCCAAGAGGATGGAGCGAGAGAAGAGTAAGAAAGATAGAAAGAGCAACGAAGCAGCTCGCGCCCGAAATAGAAGTTACCGTTCTACCTAGTAGTGTCGCCGTCGCGTAGTACTGTAGTACCGCTGTAGCACCGCTGTAGTACCCGCGACCGAGCGAGCGAGATACCCCCCCCTCCCCCCCCCCCCCCCACACACACACACCCCTTTCCCGTTATGTAGTACGTTATGTAGTACGTTATGTACGGACGCACGATATGTACGTTGCGATAGTTATGTACGGACGTACACAACGGGCAGGATGCTCCGTTTTGTCCGTTTTGTCCGTGCTGCCCGTACTGTCCGTGCTGCCCGTACTGTCCGTCCTGCGCAGACGAGACGAGACGAGAGGAGGTGGAATAATAAATAACAAAAAAACAAAACATGAGAAAAACGCAAGAGAAAAAGGCTGCCCGCCCGCCCGCCGGCTGGGAGGGAGCGATACTCCGGCCGCCTACTATTTTCTTCCTTCTTTGGGTTTTGGGTTTTGGTTTTTATCTATCACAAGCCAAAAAACGCGAGACATCTATTACTAGTACTCGATCATAGGAAAGAAAAAAAAGGAAAGAAAAAAACAAAACAACAGCCGTTTTCTTTTCGCACGTGGCGACGATGTGTTTTTGTTTTGTTTTTGTTTTGTTTTGTTTGTTTCACAGGCGCTGGCAAACACAGGCAAAAGCACGCAGTCAAGTGGCAGTGAATCTCGAATCTTGAATGTTTGATTTTTGAAAGGCTTCTTTCTTTCCCTTTGCATTTCCCTTTTCCCTTTTCCTATCCCCCTAGGTATCCCGTATCCCCAGCCCCGTGTCCGTGTCCATGGTAAGGAAAATGGCTGCGGTTGTCTATCTACACCCTCCCGAAGATTCCTGTTCCTCCCTCCCGCATAACCATAGCCATCCTTCATCCTTCCATCCATCCCCAGTCCTGTCTTGCCCCAGTCCTGTCCTGCCCCAGTCCAGTTCTGCCTTGCCTTGCCTCTAGTTCATGCCCTGTTCCTTCCATCCTTTCTCCCCACCTTGTCCAACCCCGTCCAACCATGTCCAACCATGTTCAACCTTTTCCAACCCACACCCAAGTAGAAGAAGCCCTCATGCCATATCAAATCGAATCGTAGAAAGAAAAAAAATCTGCGGTGCGAGAAGCGCAAAAAAAAAATAGACAAGAAAGAGAAAAAAAGCAAACACAAAAAAAAAGCACACACAAAGAAAAGAAAAAAAAGAACCTGCCTTTTTTCTTTTTTTCCACACTAAAAAAAAAACAGAAAAAGCAAAAACAACAAACACCATAAACACATAACATAAATACAGAAGAAGCAGACGGCAAGCAGCATAGCATAAGCATGTACTAGAAAAGTAAGAGGAAGGAAGATGAAAAAAGATGGGAAGAAAAAAAACAAAAAATAAAGTAACCTTCCCCCCAAGCTGCTCAATTCCCACACCACCACCACCACTCGCTTTTCCAAAGCTCTCAGAGTGTTGTGAAGGCGAGGGCGGCGGCGAGGTATTGAAGCTTTCGTCGTCGTCGTTCTCCGGTATGTCGATTCCCCCCGAATTTCCGAATTTTGAACGAATATGAACAGTTGAATGTCAGAAGGAAGGAAGCCGTTGAAAAGGCCGTTTTCGTGTCGTTGATTGGGGTGTAAACATGATGAGGTGCGATGGAGGAGGGGATATCTACAGCGCACAAGCGTCATCCGTCGGGCAGGATACAAACAAAACAAATGTAAAAAAAACAAAAAAGACAAACCGTAACCAACCCGCAAAAGGCCGTCCACGCCGTTAAAAAAATATAGGAAAAAAAAAGAAGGAAAAATGGCTCCCTAAAAACAAGACCCCCATTCCCTATGGCACAATGAAGTGTCTAGAACCCCACCACTTCACCGGATGAAAAAAAGAAAGAAAAAAAAACAGAAACAAGCCATGAAGTCAATTGATCTCTGTTTGACATCTCAAGGATCACGGCTTCCAATGAAGCTCGGGGGATGAGACGATGACCGTTTGCGCTGATGTCCAAACTCCCGTCCGCCCACTGATAACCTTGCCCGCTCCACCTCCTGCGGTGTCGAGCTAGGCGCATTCGGCGCTGTCGCCGATCCGAGCGAACCGCCCGAGGCCCGAGTCAAGTAAGACGAGCTGAAGGAGGTTGAATCTGCCGGCGCACTCATCTGCGGGATCTGGTACTCTTGCGGCGGAGCTAGAGGGGCAGTCGCGAAGCCCGACATGGTTCCCGAGTGAGGTGTCAATGGGGGCTGCGAGTACTTGAACTCCGACAGCGTCAGTGGAGGCGGAAAGCTTGGCCGACCATGGTTAGATGCCGGTGCCGGCGAGGGATACGGATGTGTGAAGCCACCTATTGCTATATGTCAGCACGATCGTATCGGGAGAGAGGGGCAAGGAAGGGAAGGAAGCCAACGTACCTGGATTGCTGTGCACATAAGGACTCGCTGGAGTATCCGGAGGTACACTGCGTGGCGGCTCGTTGTTGTTGCCGTTTTGGTTGTTGTACATCCCTTGGAGCGAGTATCCGCCAGGGCTGTGTTGATACTCATCGTGACCACCGTACGTGGTGCTGGTTGCCAACGGTGAACCCGAGTTCTCACTCAGACTGCGCGGAGTGTCGTGCAGCTGCAGGCGCGGTACACTTGAATGTGCCCGGTAAGGGTCGGCTGTACGGGAGAAGGGGTTCCCTCGCTGCTGGGGACCGAGCGGAGCAGTCATATATCCGAGGTAACCTGAGCGCTCGCCGCTGGTCGAGACAGGGGACAGCATATCGCCGGAGGATGGCGTGTTGGATGCGAAAGACATGCCATAAGCCGGTGTCGTCGGCGATACGGCCACATCGTCGTCGTTGCCCAGGTGCGACCTCCGCCGGAGCGGGTCCGGACGGTGGTATCCAATGCCGCCAGCCGTTGACGGGGAATAGTCGGTGGGCGAAGCTCCAGGGGTGCCCATCATCCTAGCTCCGTACGTGTGCAACGTCTGGAGGATGGGGAACTCCTCAGGCAATGCGCGGGACTTCATCATGCGCTCCCGATCATCGCTGCTCATTCGTTTCAGCTTGGCCCTCCTGAAACAAAGTACTGTTAGTCACCTCGGCACAATATAAAAAAAACGCCCCCCAGCGAAACCGGAAAAACCATGCAGATCTGTGGGAGGGATGTCATCACGCACCTATTTTGGAACCACACTTGGACCTGTCGCGGGCTCAGCCCAGGTATCTCCCTAGCCAACCGTTCCCGATGGGCTGCATCTGGATGTGCCTGTCGCGCAAACTCGCTCATGAGGAAACGTGTCTGGTTGTGCGTGAGTCTGTATACAATGAAACATCTAGAGTTAGCGAACCGTCATACAGTAGAGTAATGGAGAGGGAGAAGGAGTTGCGCCCAAAATCACTACCCCAACCCCCCCGAAGGTTGGACGGGAGGAGGAGGAGCAGTGAGGTGTGTGTGTGTGTGTTTGGGGGAAGCAACGCGGAGTGGGGTTACATACCGGAAACGCTTCATCTTTCGCTTCTCTTGTCTTCGTTCACTCAAGGACATGTGCTGTGAGTCGGAGTGGTTGGACTGGGTGGAGGCAGTCATGTCGACTGAACGGCGACTTTCAGAGTGCTGGGACCGTGGACTATCTATCATGGAGCCGGTGGAGGCTTGCGAGTGCGGCGAGCTGACCATACCATGCCCTTCGTGGGATGCCGAGGCAGACCACTCTTCGGTTTCAGAGACCGCCGGGGGCGTAGTGTAGTGGTCGTAAAGGTGCGACTGCGACGACCGATGGCCGGCCTGGTGCTCTTGTTCGGTGGAAACTCCAGACGAAGTGTCTCTCTCCATATGCTGGGAATCCCTCCAGGACAGGTGTGACGCAGTGTCGGTACCGAACTCGGACATCTCGGGAGAGGTTGACGATTTGAAATGCGAATCGTCCCCCCAAGTTCCTCCTACTCCTCCTCCTAAGCCTCTCCCTGACGGAGGCTGACTGGTCTGGAGTAAGGCAGGCACGGTGAAAGATTTCGAAGGTGAAGGGTTGAGGTTGAGTTGTGTAGCGGACACAGCAATCAATCTATGAGGTATGCAGGGTGCTATCAGTGTATGGGTGATGGCTGATGTGTGGTGGGTGATGGCTGATGGCTGATGGCTGTGCGGTGCTGTGTGGTTGGAGGGTGACTGTGCGAGATGTTCCTGATATGACGATCACACCACCGGAGCTGTTGGGTAACTTGATGGGTGGTATTGTGGTTGCTATCCGATCGAGTTATCGAGTTATTTGACGGTCAGATACATCCACAAAGGTGTTGAAGATATGTTTCTTTTTTTTCCTTCGTTTTTTTTTCCAGTTGGATTCCGGGACCGAGTTAATAGATGTAGTGAATCCTGACTTTGTGCGGGATTATATTGAGGTGGAAGGGTGGAGGGTGGAGGGGGGGTGGGTGGCTTGGTTTGGTAGTAGTAGTGGTGGTAGTGGAGGTGGAGGTGGTGTCGGGATGCGGTGTTCGACTAGCGGAAAAAGACCGCAAGCTGGCTGCAGGTGCAGTGCAGCGGATATTTAGAAGAACTCCGAAAACCTGTCGAGTCGAACAGGTGGGATCGGCAAGGTATGGGTATGGTGTTTGTCGTCCGTTCTGATGGCGGGGTATCGAAACGCGCGAAAGAGAGGAAGGGCGTGAGTGAGTGAGTGAGTGAGTGAGTGAGTGAGTGAGCGGAGTGTGTGTGGGTGTGTGTGAGGGAGTGTGTGTGGCAAAGAATCCGGTTATATATGCAAGTTGTAGTGGGTTTCCCGTATCGGTGGGGCGTGCTGTGTGTTGTTGACGCTGCTGCTGCTTCTGCTGCTGCTGCTTCTGCTGCTGCTGCTTCTGCTGCTGCTGCTTCTGCTGCTGCTGCTTCTGCTGCTGCTGATGGTGATGGGGGGGAGGGGACTTTGCTGCGGCAGTGCCTGTGCTGTGATATTGTACCGGGCCTGAAAGCGCGCTGCTGCGACTGCTGCTGCTGCTGAAAAGGCTTCCGAGGGCGAGCGAGAGAAAAATAGAGCTGCGGTGGTCCCGAAAAGCTGGCCAGGTAGGTCGGTAGACCGTAGGTAGCTAACGAGTGCGTGCTGCGTACTACGTGCTGCGTACTTTTGCTATGTATGTATGTAGCTCGAGAAGAAGCAGCTGCCGTACTATGCTGTAGGTATGGTACCTATGGGGATTGGCAGTATGTCCTGTCCTGTCCGTACTGGCCGCAGTCTTGCCGTGCGTTTCCCGTATACAATCCAGTCGGTCTGGCCGTCTGGGTCTGTCTGTCTGTCCGTCCGTCCAAATATCTGCCGAAGCCGTCGTTTTTTCTTTCGAAGGGCAAGCTATTCGGCTGGGGCTTTGGAATTCACCACCGTGCACACGAACAAAGAAGAAGAAAAAGTGAGAGTCGGGGGAAAGGGTCGTGGAAACGAAAGAACGACCAGTATGTAAGAAGGGCGAATATTTCTACTCTTTTTACTGATCCAGCAGCCAATGCGTCTAGCACAGCACAGCACGAGAAAATGCTCGGTCGGGTCGGTCGAAGATTCGGTCGGGCCTTGAAGGGAAGAAGGCTGACGGACGTACGGACGGACGAGCTATCCGGCCCCGTTGAATTCAATTCAAAAAGAAAGAAGAAGAAAAAAAGAGCGAAGGAACGACGAAACGCGCGCGGCGGTGGTGAAGAAGAGACGGACGTGGAAGGAAGAAGGCTAGGAGGGATTGATTGATTGAAGAGGGGGAGAGCCAATCAAGATATATGAAGGTATTGAAGGGCAGGCAGACCCTATGTCTGGCCCTGTCTCTTTTTTCCTTCTTTCTTCCCTTTTCTTTTTTTTTCCTGTTCTTTCTGTCTTTCTTTCCCGCTTCTAGAATATCGAAATGTATCGAATATTGAAATTATCGATCTAGGGGCAAAGAAATGCAAGGAAGCGAATGTTAAAAGACCGGCGGCCTAGGTAGTAGGTACTCTACGATAGTATGAAGAATCGCGCGCACGGTCGCTCCGAATTTCCGCAGGAAAAGCGCATGTATCTACGGGGTTTGACTTCCTTCAACTGACTGCGACTTCAATTCCGGGTCCGTTCTGGCTGTTATTGTTATTGTTTTTGGTGGCCCCCCTTCTGCGCGCGGGCGGGCAGGCAGGCAGGCAGGCACAGGCAACGTACGTACGCGGAAGGAAGCGGTAGGGGTGAGGGGGGATTGTGCGAGTGTGAAGGGTGGTTGTGGCTAGGCAGAATTCGCATGTATCATAGCGGACAGGACAGGACAGGAACCACTCGAGCTCGTTCCCGATAACTAACTGCACTACACGCCAGAGGCCAGAGCCAGAGCCAGACGGCCGGCCGGCGGATTCAACCACCGCAATTAGGCGGCATGTACGGGTACTTGTTTTGCGAACCGAGAAGACGGATGCCAAAGCGAAGGATGGATGGGATGAGAATGGGAGAGACGGACGCGATACCTTCCGGCGCGTGCGTGCTGGATTTTTCATTTGGTTTTGTTTTTGTTTTTATTCTTTTCCGTCTCAATTCACGATGGGGTCAAGCCACATTGTGACTAAAGCGAAAAGCGAAGCCAAAACGAAGCCTCAAAAACAAGGGCCGAATTGTGGGGGAAGGAAAGAAAGATAGAGTAAAAACTATCGCCTCGGACGATGGGCTTGGTGGGAGGGGTGGTGGTATGTAAGAAAAAAAAGAGCGTGGAGAATTGAAAATAGATGGGACGGGGATTCCCAGACCTGGCAGACCAGACCAACGAACGAACCATCGAACGAACGAACGAACGAACGAACGAACGGACGGAACGGTAAAGGACGGACGGCGTCAAGCTTGGGTAGCTTAACTAGCGGGCGCGCGAGAGTTTCGTCTCGTCGTCGACGACCGACCGACGGACCCCCTTCGGCATCAACCGTGGGTAGGAGATGGTTACTTTACCTAGGGTGCTCTAGTATTATCTACCGTACCATACCATACTCCAGGTGGAGAGGGAGAGGGAGGGAAGAGGGAGCGAGGGAGGGATGGATGGAGCGAGGGAGGGAGGGAGGGAAGGCTTCCGGTGTGCTGCGCCTATGCTAGGCAGTGCTACCGGGACTCTCCTACTACAAATCCACCTACGGCTCAACTACTACTACAGACTACTACTGCTCGCTACGACGTCCACGAGATGCCGACGATTAGAGTCAGCGCCAGCAGCTGTTGCTTAGCAGCCAGCCTACTCAAGTACGGTACTTACTCAAGGTACCATGCTTGGGTACTTGCGTAATCACCAAAACCACCAGCGCCGACGCGGACCCGCGCCTTACGATTGGTCGCGGTGGGTGGGCAGCGGTGGAGGAGACATGACATTGGGGGGATAGGGAAGGAAACTCCGATGGGTATCCGGAACCTCCATCATGTACTTACAATATCTACTTCTTCTTTCTTTTCGCGGCGGCAGCAATAATTATTGGGCCAAACACAGCGTCAATCCGACCAGCTAGGTAGCCGTCGCCTAAGCCCGAGATGGTAGTGATGCGAAGCCCGCCAACGACACTTGCGGGTAAAGTGCAGTGCGGTGCGGGCCACAGCAATCAAAGGGCCGCAGGCGAAGGGACGGTGTGGGGTTGGGGATTGGGAAGTACGAGTACCAGGACGCGTTTCAGGTTGAAGGCCGGTCGTGGTAGGTGCTGGTGGGTGGTAGTGGTGGTAGTGGTGGGTGGTGGTGGTATCCAAGTAACTAACACTGTGGCCTGAGTGTGCGACGGGGGGAGTGGTGGGGTGGGGAGGTCGTGAGGGGGAGGGGTGGGTGTGGCCATGAAGGGCGAGCGCAAAGCCACCGTCCACTACCTAGCATGTGGTGTACCATACATACCCTGACCCCGACCGAACAACGGCCGTCCGTTCGATTCGAGCCGGAGCGACCAAGTACCGTGGTAATTCGTGCAAGGACCCAAGCAAGTCAGTAAGGACTTACTTAGCAACCGTAGCAGTAGTAGCAGTAGCAGCAGTAGCAGCAGTAGCAGTAGCAGTAGTAATAATGGTAGTAGGACTACCGAGCAACAAACGAACGAACGTGCACCCGAACAAGGGGACACGATCGATGCGGTCTGATCTATGTATCTAGCGTATTCGTTCCGCGCAGCGCAGCTTACGATACCCCTCCGGAGTCCGCACGTAGAGTCGTAGAGTCGTAGACCCGGACGCAGTCACTTTGATCCGTCCATACATCCACTCGGCGGCATTCTCGCCATGGTCTCCACTCTACTCTCCACTCCACTCTCCACTGTGCGGAACAACCGCGACATGTGCCCGGCCGTGGGCCGTGCCGCCCCCCCCCCCCCCCCCCCCCCACCCACCCCCGCATCTCTCCGCCGCGGCCGCCGCGCGCCATCGACGACGAGGCGAGCGAAGCTCGCGAATGTTTCCGGTCCCGGATTCGGGACCGGACCGGAGTCCTGTCCTGTCCTGCCCTGCGGAGTGCGGAGTGCGGGCGATGCTTCCAATTGGCGACAGAGATATGAGCAACGGCATCATGTACGTGCGTGCGAGCGAGAGGGATTTGCGCTGCTGCTGCACTACGCTGCTGCTCCTGCTGGTGCCGGTGCTATTGTTGCTCGCTGTGATGTGATGCGATGTGAGTAAGAAATCTGTATGTGCGTACGTACGTTTGTAGATAGGGTGAATGTATGTATGTACAGTAATGCATGTTTGCTGTCGTTTCCCGGAGGAGGATGGATGGATGGATGGGCGGACGGGCGGACGGGCGGACCACGACGGAGGGGCAAGCAGATGTGTGCCGCTGCGCTGATTGACTCGATTGGATTGGACTCGACCTGCTGGAGGAGGAGAAGGAGGTGGAGCTGGAGGAGCCGGGCAGGTAGAGAAAGATGACAACACGCAAGATTACTTTGTACATATGCTACGCACCTTTGCACATACGGTATCGCATGTGTGTATGTGCATGCAACCTCCATCTGATCTTCACCACCACCACTATCTTGATGGCCACCTCCACTATCAACTCCGCACTCCATTTCCACCACCACCACTATCTCCGCCGCCACCACCACCTCCAACACTACCGCCACCACCACCATCACCAACGCCATCATCATCATCATCACCACCTCATCCTTCCATCACTGCATGAACCACTGAACCACTAAACACTCAATCTCCAATCTTCGGGCGCACAGAGGCCAGCATTGAGCGAGCAAGTGTCTTTACCGAGCGGCGGCGGGGGGGTCAGTGAGATTGAGAGTGAAAGTAAGAGTGAGACCGGGAGCAAGAGGGTATGAATGCATGCGCCTTGCTGTCGTCGATATCGACGTCGGTTCTCACCCTACACTACAACATACCTTATCCGTACCCGGGGCAAGACACTCAAAGATAGCAAACTTTAGTGCCGGGATGAGAACGAGTGGGAGGGCACGAATGAAGCTGATGCTGCAGAAATGCAGAAACGAGATAAAAAAAAAGTGAGCATCATCTCAGCAGCAGCAGCCGCGGCGGCGGCTTCAACTCCTCCCATACCGGTACATACCGTATCCCGCCAACGCCAACGCCAACACCAACGCTCTTCCCATCCTTCATCCTCCACTATCGACAAATTTGGTGAATCCTCCTAGGGCTTCAATATGGCAAGCGAAACGCCCGTCGCCCAAGTTCTAAATTCTCCCCCCTCATCGCCCAGACACCTACAGATACAGACAGCCTCTACTTTAGATAGTATCAATGTCGAGGTCTATATCTACTAGCAGTAACCTCACCTAACCTAACCTCGCCATACATGATACATGAAGAACTAGCATAGCAGCAAATGCAGTGGCGTTTCCCACGCGTGCATACATAACATGTACTTACATATGATCTAGGAGGTACATACACGACTAACGGCGGAGCCAAAAGTATGTACTCAATCCCAAGAACAGAAGAACATCTACATACATACATCTACAGCTGTGGTTTTCTGCGCGCGCGCAAAAGTCGTTTTTGTTTTTGTTTTGTTTGTAGGTGATGGTCGACGACCGTTTCGCAGGATGCAGCATGCAGAAGCTCCCTCGCTGGCTGGATGGCTGGATGGCTCGGTGGCTCGCTCATTCTTTCCCACGAGCTCCGAGCGAGGAGCCGTTGCGCGAGCGAGGATGAGGAGCCATTGAGCAGCCATTGCGCAAGCAAGCGAGCGAGCGAGCGAGGCGATGGAAAATCCTCCCCGGCCCTTACTGCCGCCGCCGCCGATGATGCTAGAGTTCTAGAGTAGGCAAGTGCGCACCCTGCCCCAATGATCTGAGATGATCTGATTTGACGGGAGCCGCCCGACGAGCCGCCCGACCAGGACGACGAGGACGACGAGGATGGGGGGAGCTTCGACGGTAACACCGGGAACTTGAAAGGGCGGGAAGGGAGGGAAGACGCTGAGGACTCGGGAAATTTGACGGAGTAGCAGACATAGCCGACCCTGGACGGAGGTGTCTCGAAGTTTTTTTCTTCTTCCCTTTCTCCTCGCTTTGGCAGCGGGTGTACTCTAGTAGTGGGTATGGCAGTGGGTGTGGCAGACTGGCAGACTGGCAGTGAGTGGGCCGGAAGGTGCTGTGCTGACTTGACGAGACGAGACACGAGACTGGTGCGATCCGAAAAGGCCGGGCGCTCCAGCGAGCAGAGCAGCGAGAGAGAGAAGCGCGCTGTGGAATCGGGTGTAATCTGGTAGGAACGCCCGCAACCGGTACGGTAATACTTATGCTGCCCGGGAAAGATCAAAGAAAAAGGAAGAAAAAGAAAAGAAAAGAAAGGAAAAAAAGCAGATGAGTTGTACAAAGTGCGGTAAATACCGGCAACTCTACTACGGTACTGCTACTACTACTACTACTATCACTACCAATCATTACTATGGTTACCACTACCAACCACCACCGGCCACCACCGCCGCCGCCCATGTACTCTACATCATTGAGTACCTAGACAGTCAGCCCTTCGAAGTCCCAAGTTCCTTTTCCTCTGGGCAGATACTCTAGTAGTAGCTTGTAGATGATTCACAATTTCAGCTGTCAGTGAAGTCAAACATAGCCAAACATAGCCAAACATAGCCAAACATAGCCAAACATAGCCAAACATAGCCAAACATAGCCAAACATAGCCAAACATAGCCAAACATACCCAAACATACCCAAACATACCCAAACATACCCAAACATACCCAAACATACCCAACCAAACATACCCAACCAAACATACCCAACCAAACATACCCAACCAACCAGTAGCCACCACTACTAACCACTACTAACTACTACACAGTACAACATCGCTGCACCTCGTGTGGCAGATTGGCAGTTCAACTCCGTCTTGCCCCGTCGTGCCCACAAGCGAGCCCAGTGGATGTGCGGAGATTTTCTTTTCTTTTCTTTTCTCTATCGACATCCACCCCCTCCCCAGTGCCCACTACATACTAGATAGGTAGGAGGGAGGAGGGGGGGAGGGGGGGAGGGTGGCTGAGATCGACGAATGGGTATGATAGACAAACGGCTACAGCCTTCATCGCTTGAGGCTTGAGGTGTTGAGGGTTGACATCCTGGCTGGACTCTGGACTCTGGACTCTGGACTCTGGAGCTGGGCTGAGTTGAGTTGAGTTGAGTTGAGTTGAGTTGAGCCGCTGCCGCCGCCGGCGTGGAGGGGTAATTGTAAGTGTAAGTGTGGGCGTGTAAGTGTGTGTGGGTCTGGGGGGGGGGGGGGGGGGTGAGAGAGTGTGGGTGTGGGTGGTTTGCGCCGCGAGGGCCGGGGAATGATTGATTGATTGCGTGTGGGTGGTTTGCGCCGGCGTGAGGGGAAGCTTAAGGATAGATTGCGTGTGGGTGGTTTGCGCCGCGAGCGAGGCGAAGGATGGCGTGCGTGTGTATGATTTACGGTATGTATGTAGATACAGTGTATGTACAGTGGATGTGCGGGTGTAGATACAGTGGGTGTTTATGGCGTATGTGTAGGGTTTACAGATAGGTATCACCGTGGGTTATCATATGGGCAAGTATATCGGTACCGGTACATATCACCACACTCAAGCCTCCTCAAGCCTCGAGCAACGTTAAGCGTGCCGGCAAGTCCCATCCCATCCCATACCGACTCTCTCTCTCTCTCGGTCCGCGTGGTATAGAGTAAGCAACAGCTTCCAGCCAGCAGCAGTAGCAGCAGTAGCAGCAGTAGCAGCAGCAGGGGAATTCCGGGACGCAAATGAAGACTTTCATATGCCATTTTCTGGAGCCGAGCACTGTTTAGCCCCGCGCTCGTGAAAGAAGGACGGGGCTAGTTGGTTGCTAGTAGTTGCTAGTAGTTACACATGCCGGATGAGGGACGACGGAGGAACTTCCCTACTCTGGAGTCTACATGTCGAGTATTTACGTTTAGGCGCCATGGACTCTGGCAGGACCGCTCCCTTCTCCCTCTCCCAGGGAAACCACGGTAGCTTTTTCAGCGAACTACCTTCTCTAGAGTATGCTACACAACGGCACGGGCCATGGAGTAAACGCAAGGCCATGGAGGGCAAGGCAAGGGAAGGACGCGAATCCATATCCCCAACGGCCGGCTGGCGGGCAGGCGCCACAGCCCATGGGCCATGGCACATTCCGGCGACTGGGGGCTTCTTCCTTCCACCAGGAAGGAAGAAGTCACTTTTACCTATAGTCAGTCAACAAGGCAGGGGCTCCAGCTTCCGATTTGCCCACAAATGCACCCGAGCGAGATCGGTAAAATTGGAGGCAAGCTCCGGCGCCCCCCTCCCTCTCTTCCCTCCTCCCTTCCCCTGACATGTATGTGTGCATGTAGGGCCGTTCACACTTCTGCAACGACGAGCACTTGCATCATCTTGTTCGTCACAAGCAGCTGGTGATTTTAGCCCGCTTTCTTATTTTTAACGCTCGTCGAGGTTTGACTCGAAGCTGCTGCCGGCGGTGCAGCAGGCTATTATGGCGAGTGTCGGGGGCCCGGGGGAGGGAGGGGAGGGGAGTGGGAGAGGTTCGCACGCAGGCGGCGGCGGATGCAGACCAGTTTGGACTTTGCGGAAAACCTAATGGCTGCTGCTGCAGCGCATGTAAGATCGGTAGCTACGGTACCTGGTCCCTATCTCACTCAAGACTCAAGAGTGTGTATGTCGGACCAAATGCCGGTGACGTCGGGCGAACCCGTTCGAGGCTGCCGCTGCTACTGCTGCCATGCACCGTACATAGCTGACTGGCTACTGGCCTTGGCTGGTTCAGTTGGGCCCCGTCGCCGAGTACCGGTAGATACTCTACTCTACCGTTGGTGAGATCGTGGTCATCTATCACGATCATTTAGATCGGGTTTCGCCTGGCGTCGCTCCTGCTCCTGCTCCTCCACCACCACTTTCTCCACCTTCTTCCTGCCCCTCGCCCTCTTCCTGCCTACCCTCCCTGCCCCTCGCCCACGCTGCCCTCCCTGCTGGGCACATCGGTCAGCTTCGGCGCGGAGCCTGTCTGTGAGCACTGTGCACTGTGTGTAACTAAGACACATAACGCCATCAGCCCCCCCGTCCACCCCGGGGGCCACCCATGCGCGCTTCTAGAAGCCTGCCCACCTCGGATCAAAAAAACGGTTGAAACTGGCGGAGATAGCAAGCCGGATGCCGAACAGACGCCCAGATACCATGATCCCCATCCGGCGCTCCCCCTCCCCCCCCCCCCCCAACCCAAACCCAAACCCAAACCCAAACCCAAACCCCAGCTAGAACTACAACCGCAACCGCAACGTACGAGTCAGTCGGTCGCGGCGCAGGGAATAATAATGAATGGCCGCCGCCGCCGGATCATCTTTATCCTGGCTGGCTTGGTGGGTGGGTTCGTGAGTTGGGGCGTTGGGGGGTTCGCACGCCGGAGGTGCGCTCGGAGGTCTGCCTCGAAGTTGGAAGGCCGTTGGGTAAGTTGCGACGTGAGCGCGCTCTTGTGGGCGAGTTCTCCTGGATCCCGAGAGAGAGAAAAATGATAAAAAGAAAAATGATAAAAAGACGCAAGAGAAAAAAGAGAAAAGAGAAAGAAAAAAAGTGAGAGAAAAAAAAAAGTGAGAGAAAAAGAAAAAGAGAAAAGAAAAAGAAAAAGAAAGAAAAAGAAAGAAAAATGAGGCAAGACATTTCAAAGTCCTCACCCACGGTACCCACGGTACCCCACGGTACATTTCTCCAACGCTCGAGCACGGCGCTACGTATCGGGAGATACACGTACCTACCACGTCTAGGGAAAGTGGCTGGCGGACAACTAGCACGAGATCCCGCCGGCCGCTCGGCTTCCAGGTAAGCAGGTACCGCTTCCTCCACCGGCTCTCGTACCTGACCTCGCCTGATCGGCCTGTTTCGAGGCGGCTGAAACCCCCTTAACGTCAGGGACGAGGTGAACAGTGAACCCACTGAATTGCCCCCATTGGTCTCTATTTGGTTTTCTTCGGCACTCGGCGGAATTCTACTCCCTCGCTACTACTCGCGTGAGCATCACCATCCACCAGGCCCGAATCCCATCGTCAGCCGAGTTTTGGCCCAGGGTGGGTTGCGCCGAGAATTGCCCAAACCTATGGCTGTGGCTCTGCCATCTGTCGTATCGTGTCGCAAGATCGAACCCCCGACCCTCCCTCCAGGGCGGAGCATCATGGTTGTGGACGACACCTCGGGCCAAGACCCGTCCTCCACGCTGCTATGCTAGTAATCACGATTACTCCAGTACTCCCCACCCCCGAGTGAGACACCTAGGCTGAACCCCCGCTGTACCTCAGATCCCGATGATGATGCCATTATTATTATTGTTATACACCGACGTACATATCGTTCAGCCTGGTACTGGGTTTTGGTACTTCGGTGTCTCAGATTGTTACCAGGAGGTCCGCCCCAGCGATCGGGTCGAAACCCATACCTACCTAGCATGCCTGCAGCCCTCACAGGCTACTACATACACATACTAGATTGATTGTTCGTTCAATCTATGTGTGATGGATCGAAACTCGCCGCCCATCCTGCCGGTGGGGCTGCATGTTGCGAATGCAAAGGTCGGTCGGCCACGCCTGATCCATCGTGAGGGGTTATTCCTCCCATCATAGCATCCGGTTTGCTCCTCGGGGGCCGCGGCTCCATGGGTGCGGGGCAGCGGCAGCTCGACCACGGGCGAAATCCCTCCGTCCGCCTTCCACTCCCCCACCTCACCATTCCTCCTCCGTCAACGTTCCCCAAACGAAAGTCAGTTCAGCTTACGGGGCGTTGTCGCCGTTCCCCCCGAAACCACCGCCCCCGCCCCCCTCCACCTGTCCCGGGTGAGCACGTACATCCCTCCTCCTACTCATACTCCTACTGCTCCTACTTCTCCGCTTGCTACGCCGGCATCGATCCCTCCATGCAACTTCCTCCTGGTGTGCCCGGCGTTTGTGCGCTGTTCCAGCTTGTCTTGATCCCGCGGCCGCCGGAGAAGTCGGCCGTCCGCCTCAAGTCCATTGCCATTCACCCGCCCACAAGGCAGGAAGAGGGGGGGTATCACACGTACAGCTGAGCTATTCCAGTAGCATCCACTGCACCCCCCCCCCCGTCCTCCGATCTTGGGGCTCCCACACAATCATCTTTTCTCCGTTTGTCGGGCACTACGGAATCAAAGTTGGAGTGCTGTATCACTGTGAATCACTCGCTAGACCTCCCCACTCCACTCCACCCCACCTTCCCTCCCCCTCCCGGACAAAATCAAACTAACTAAGGCCAGTATCATGTACTCTACCCGCCTATCTATCTATCTGTGGCTATGCGATGGTGGATTCACACCTACGAGGCCGCAGAGACGAACTCCCCATCGAAATTTACCGGGCTCACACTAATCTATCTTCCGTGTGCGCCACCACCACCACCACCAGCACCATCACCACGCCAACGTCGCCCTCTGGCATCTGTCTGCCTGGCTGGTGATGAGTGCTGCTACGGATCCTCCTAGCCACAGCACAACGTAGTAGGAGCACGACCTGTGCTTGTGTCTCCGCCAAATCATGGCACAACATGAAGGGCCGGGGGCAGAGTCAGATGCAACTGCGCCCGTCCACCTATCTCCAGCACAAACACCGAGTCGAGTCACTTCCCCATCCGGCGTTACGTGCACTGCACGCGGGATACGGTTCTGTACAACTTCGAGAGAAAAAAAAACTCATACCGTTCGCCGAGCCCTGCACACTTCCCGACACAGCAACAGCGGCAGCTTCGATGGCTCCCATACGTGTCCGCGGCACAGAAGGCACCACTCACTTACTCACTCACTACACTTGCATGAACATTTTCTACCCCCCCTCACACCACCACTACCATTACCACTACTACCACCACAATCACCGGTCAGCATTCCGGTCCTCGCCACACACTTAGCTAGGCCTGCCTGCCTGCCGGCTACAAACTGTCGACTCGACTCGGTGTCGCTTCCTGTAGGCTGGGGAATCATCTCCCGTCCCGTCCGATATCCCGCTACCACAAACAAGTCCACTCAATTCGCGCGGGGATGCTCGGATACATACTAGGGAGCAAAATGATGATGTGATATGCGGACCATCATGGAGCGAGCAGACAGACAACGAACGAACGGGGGGGGGAAGGGGGACATTGAGGGTGATCCAACGCAACGCAACGCACCTTGTATCTCGGCCAACCGCTAACTAGCAAGCAACATGTGCTGTGCCTTTACATCGGACCTGTTGGGTGCGGCGGAGTCATCGACGAGCAAGCAGCAACAGGGGGGAGGGCGAGGGGGAGGGGGAGGGGGGGAGGATCTACTGCACGAGCAGCAGAAAACATCGGCACAGGGCTGGTTGCTGCTGTGCTACTGTGCTGCACGGAGCAAACGGCGTGCACGTGCACGTGTCTGTCTGTCGTTCTGCGTTGCGTTATCCGCATCCATCCATCCATTCATCCCGGGAGGAGGAGTATGGGGGACAGGGGGTGGGTAGGATAGACAAAACTGCCCGATACCGACATGGCTAATGGTCCTCATAGGATAGGGTAGGTAGGATAGGCCATCACGCAACCCAACGCAACTGTCTTATTTTTTTTTCTCCTCCCCCTCCTCTCGAGTCTCGAGTCTCACCTTGCCAGCAATGCAGAATCATCATTCTCGGCACGCTGGAGCAGGAGATGCCGGCTCACAAAGGTCATTAAAGGATTGGGTGGAGAGGGAGGAGAGGGAGGAGAGCGAACCTAGGCAACACCTCCACCACTACCACCACCACCACCACCACCACTTCCTCCACGACCGCAAGAACGGTTATCCTGGCAATGGCGATTGTGTGTGTGAGCCAGTGTGTGTGTGTCAGTGTATGTGTGTGTGTGCACAGTGTGTGTCAAGATCCCTAGTGATGGGTGGCGGCTGGACCACCTTGCCTTGGAGGGAGGGGGGAGGTTACAGGGTTGGCCGGAAATATATTGGGGTTCATCCGAGGATGGGGAAGGGAGGGACAGTGAGAGGAGGGGGGGATGATTGCGGGTTGTCTGTACTGTACAGCACAGTACAGTGTAGTAGTGTACGCAGAGCTATAGATGATTGATAGATAGACAGATATTGAGAGGTACGTAGATATACTATAGACAGGGGGTAGTTAGTCGTAGCGGTGGTGGTGGTGCTGGTAGTGGTAGCGGTGCTGGTGGTGGTGGGCCGGCGGCCAATTCAATATATTGTCCGATCCACTCTGTCTACACCTGGGCACCTGGGGCGGGAGAAAACGGAGCTGATCAGAGCAGGGAGAAGAGGAAAGAAAAGAAAATCTCAAGCTTACCACCCCCCCCCCCCCCCCATTCTCGCCTCGCCTCCCCCTCCCCCCCTCCCTCCCCCGCCATGCTGGCTGGCTGGCTGGGGGCCAAAATCGACAATCACTCATCCACTGGTCGGCTTTCTCTCTCCTCTCAGGCACAGCTAGCTAGCCATACAGATACAGCCCACCATAGTCGTAATCTGAAGATCATCTGAGACTCGGCCCATACATCCAACACGCACACACACACATACACAGGCAGATGCTATGAATAGATGCAGATGTAGATAGTAGATGTAGATAACCACCCCGCAATTGTAAACCAAACCAGACCAAACCAGACAAAATTATGCACGTGGAATGCAGCACGCCGCACAGCACGGTGCGGAATAATGCGGGCGTTCATGGGTTGTCACTCGGTAATCACTGATACGACGAGGGTAGGAGAACGGGGGAGGTGGGGAAGGGGAGAGTGGGGCTTGGTAATCCGGCGGGCGGGGAGGCGAAGACGAGCAGCTTGGGCCGGGGGGCCGGGTGGATACGGGGTGCGGTGGGGCTGGGGGGGAATGACTAAACAGCGATCACCCCGTGAGCCGTCGTGGCGGAACGTTTAGTGGCGGACATCCAGTGGCTGGTGGCGGAACGTTGATCACGGCCGCTCGCTCGCTGGTTGAGGATGAGGACGAGTGAGATTCATCGCCATCTAGACAGACAGACTAACAGACAGGATAGCCAGTGCTAGGTAGAAAAGGTTGAAAAGGATATATAGGTGTTCTGCCATGATCTACTATGGTCGAATGCAATTATTGAACAAAAAGCCAGACAGGCAGGCAGACTGACAGACTGCAGACAACGCCCACCCCCGCCCGGTGCCCGGTGCCCGTAAGTCCTACATACATGCCTCATACCTCATACCTCATACCACTGGGCAGGTAGGCAGGTAGACAGGTATCCACTCCAACCGTCACCACCACCGTCACCGTCACCGTCACCACCGCCGCGCAGCGCTGCACAACCCCTTAATTCCCCTCCATCCAGAAAGCTTATTTCCCGCCTCGCCGTTGGCCGTTGGTTCGGGCCGACGGTTCCACTGCCACCACTACCAACACCACCACCAACACGACGCGCAGCGGCCATGGATGTGCGTATGCCTATATGTCTGTATCTGCGTGTATGTGTACCTATATGTTTGAGTGTGGGTGCCCAAACCCCCCGCGGCTGCAGATCATTCAGGTACCCGTCCGTGTAGTGTTTGACATTGGTCGTGAGGGGGGCCTCGGATGAGCTCGCGAGAGGGGGACGGCTGCACTTGCTCCCTCCTCGGGATGGCATTGTCCCCCCCTCTCCTCCACAGCCAGGGGAAGGGATGGGGATGGGGACGATAGAGTGCACACATGCAAGGTACGCAGCGGTTGAGTAGAGCACCTACCTGCCTGAGTACCTAGGCTGTTCCCCCGCGCGATGGGATCAGGTACCGGTGCCTACATACGCGCCCGCCGCCGCGGCGCCGCGAATGCTTCTTCTTCTTTCCCTTCTTCGCCAGCGAGTAAAAGAACGCGTATTGTATGTACATAGACTGAAGAACAAGGCGGGAAGAACCTTGAACCCACATAATAGCCCTCCACCCCCCAGGCAGGACTCCAGGAGCAGTTCAACCGTTCTCCCAGCATTAATTTCGGAATGTGAACCGTACGCCCCAAAATAACCATCTCCTTCCAAGTTCCCCATCCAAATCAGTCGGCGGCACTATATCTGCGACATCGATCCAACTGATCACACACGTAAGATAGAAAGAAAAGAGAATGATCACACACACGTAAGAGAGAGATATGGGAGAAAAAAAATCAAGAAAAAGAAAAAGAAAAGGGAAAAAGAAAAAGAAAAAAAGGAAAAAAAAGAAGAAAAACAGGTCTTCAGGCCAGACCAGCCGTCAGACCAACCGCCAGACCGGAACCAGACAGGAACCAGACCGACCGCCAGACGAAACGCGAGACGGGAACCAGAACAACCACCGGACGGGAAAAAGACCAACCGCCGGAAACCAGACCAACCGCCAGACCAACAACGAGGCGGGAACCAGACCCCAACCACCACACCCAGGATACGGGACACGTACCAGCTCGCCGGCCAGGCCAGGCCTAGACGCCGAAGTCATCCGCCTCCTACACGGATGTCTTCGCGCCCAGCACCTGGGCCTGAGCCTGCTGCTGGCTCGTGCGTGCCTTGACTTCCTCAAGGACCTTTGCTTCGACATCGGCGAGCATCTGAAGGTCATTCCGGGTCTCCTCTACCCTCTCGTCGAAACGATTGAATAGAGGAAACCTGGTATGACTGGCCAACCGCATAGCCTTCCAGGTTTTAGTCTGGATGCTGTTGTGGCCTTCTTCGATGTCCGCCGGGAGCATCGCGTCCTTGAGGTCCTCAAGGTCTTTGTCGACCCCCACCCGGAAGGACTCGAAGGTGGGAACGCGCCGCCTGTAGGCATTTGTGTCAGCAGGTGTATGATGTGCCAAGGATGTGTGGGGGTGTAATTACCGTTCCTCGTCCTCCAAGTCATCGAGGTGGAGGGTCTTTCCCGTATCTTGCCACAGCCGGTTCAGAGTGGGCGTGCCCATTGTGTACGGAAATGGGCGTTCTGGTCGGCAGTGGGTGGATGCCCTGGTCTTTGCACCCAGGACGTCATCCACTCCCAAAGCAGGGATGTCAAACTTGTGACATCCCTCCGCCTTCCAGAACACCCAGTTCTGCTCACGGGCGAGGACGGTGTTGATCAGTCTCATGAACAACTTGCCCGTCTGATCCGGCTGCAGGCTGGCTGAGATCTGGTTCCGTGTCTTTTGACACCACGTCTCCTAGTATTGTTAGAAGCAGCACTCGGAGTCAGAGAGTAAGGGTCATACGTCGTTGGCCTCAAGGCTAAATGCATACTGAACCGCCCTGTTGGGTGTCTTAAAGACTGCCCATTTCCCCTTGGCCGCTGGCGTCAAGCTCAGCAAGAAGTCAAGCAAGATCATTGCTTGCACCAGGACATTTCTGCGAAAGGTCAAATCGCTAATCTAATGGCCCACGTGGTCAGTAACATAGACTTCATAGATCGTCTGCCCTCAGAACGGCGAAGACTGAACACAAGCGAGCACTCGACCCGATCTTAGGGTGAAACGGAACACTTACTTCCAATTCGAATAGTTCCCTGCTTGTCAGGTACTTGGGGTTGAACCCCCCGCCTTTGACTTCGTCGGCGTCGTGGTCTCGCTTCCGCTTCGTACCTGCATGGACTGCTGGTACCGGCTTAGCGTCGGGCTTCTTTCCAGGTGCGCTACTGCCACCGTTGTTTGCGACACCCGTCGTCTTAAGGCTCTCATCATCCGCCTCTCTAAATTTCGCCATGGTAGCTTCCAGGCCCTTCTTGAAACGTTCGAAATTCTCGGGTACGAATAACCGTGTTGGATCCGCAAAATCATGCTGCATGGACCAAAACACCGTGTATAGCTTATCCATGCTCATCTGTGGTTCCGGTCGTGGTTTCTGCGAGTTGATCTGCGAATTGAAACTGACGGCTTTGCCGCCTTCTTTCGTCGTTGCTTCATTCTCGGCGAAAGCATTGACATCAATCTCCATCGAGTCTTCATCCTGCTCTGGCAACGTGTCGAAGATAGTGACGTTGTTGGTGTTGAAATCACCTCTCAGGTTCACAGCCGATCGCTCGGCGATGGGGAAACTCTTGCTCAGGAATATCAATATTCGGCCGCAGAAAATGGTGTCTTCAGCCTTCGATAGTCGACGGAGTAGCTCGTTGCATAATCGAAGTAGTATGAGAGCCTTTCCTTTCCCGCTCTCCATACCCACAGTTAGTCGCTCCACCCGGGACTCGAGGTAGTTGAATAGTCGTTCGCAAGTCGGAATGATCTGAGTATCGAACAGTTCTTCGAGCAGTGTAAATGGCATGTTGGAGTCTGCCATCTCCAATTCGGTAAAGATTAAGGCGCAATCGACGAGATTCCCGTAGGCAACTATCGTCGCATCGTCGTCTGGATCTTGTGAAACCTATGGATAGAAGTGTCAGTAGGAGTTTCGATGGTGGGCATGACTGAGGTTAGACTAACAGATATATCATAGAGGATTGCCTTGTGCGCTGTTTCTAGTGACGTCTTGTAGTAGTCATCGGCGGCGGTGGTGGACTTGATGCGCTTGAGTATTTCGGGGTCGAGGTCGGACACAGTGAGGGGCGGGTCGAGAGTAGACTTCTGAATCGAACTGAGAAGCTCTTGTAGATGCCTTTCGAGAAAAAACGGTGTCTTCAGGTCGTCCAATCCCGGCGTGGCTGCGAGCGCTATTATGGGAGACATTTAATTGAGTTGAGAATGCGTGCGAAGGAAGTTCTGGGCGGTGCGTCGTTAAGCTCGGGAAGCGGTTCGGTGAAGGAGGAGCGAACGAGTTGGGTGCGGCAACACGAGTGGAGGAGGAGCGAATGAGATGGATGCGACAACGCGAGTCGAGGAGGAGCGAATGAGTTGGGTGCGAAATGCGAGTAGAGAAGTGCTAATTGTATCGGAGCGAAGATTGTGGAGGAAGCTTCTGTCGATGGTGTCGTGAGGAGGAAGGAAGGAGGAAGGTGGTGTCGTTGGGGGAGTTTCTTAAAGCGCGAACTGAGAAGTGTAGTGTGGAGCGTGTCGCTTGTTAGTGCCCTAAGATCACGTGAAGCAGTAGCGTCATAGATGCCAAGACTTCGAGGAACACGCTAGCGCTTTTAACGACACGTCTAAGCATCAATCCACTGACGCCAAATCCATTAACCCTCGTCGCGCCTCGTTTTCCTCGATCACGGCCAATCCAGAACGAAAGAATACCTACGCAAGATATTATCATGAGCAAAGCGCCTACTCGGAATACCCTGGATACCGACGATGGACGACCGACAATGCAGGAACTTCACGGCGACGGCCATTTCGCGCAGGCTGCGCGACGTTGGTGGTTGCGGGAGAAGCCGGCAAAGTTCAATCCGGAGGTCCTGAAGACGGATTTCTACGATGTACTGGAGAAGGAAAACTTCGGACTGAAGGCGCTGTTGATTCTAGAGAACTTACAGATTTTGGAGAAGTAGGCGTGATCTCGCTAGAACATCCCCGGCAAAGCGCTGCTGACGGTTCTGTAGGTTTCTGTGGCCCAATTTCTCCGATGAAGCGTCCAATATACACATCATCTTGATCTCGTTGATGATCAATGTGAAGCGACGAGAGGGGATGCCAATATGGGGTAGGATCACTCTAGGCGAGTTTGTCGAAATCAAGCGCTATGTACTGACAACCGCGTAGAACACCTCGCATCGCCACCTGCGAACTTTTCGATCCTGTTCCGACGAGTTCTCTCAATGTGCATCGACCAGACGTTGCCGCTTTCGGTCCGCATTCACCTACTGAGCTTCGTCGTGATCGCCTTCCAGTCACTGGATAGCATTTTGGTGCGGAAAGAGTGCGCGTCGCTGGTTTCCATAGCAGTATGGAATCATCTGTCTTCCGAAGAAGTGAGGAATACACAGCTAGAAAAATATCCCCAGACAAGAAAGGCGTGGAGGGCGGCAGGAAAGCGCTTCGAAGCGGGGGATGATGCTACGAAGACACGGTTACGATTCGAGAGATCATGGCTATACCAGATGGCGCTAGACTTTCTCACCCTGCTGTACAAGCCGCTAAACCAACAGGACGACCCAAGAGAGGTCGTGATGTACTGCGAGCGCTTCGTTGAGCTGCTAACGGACCTTGAGTCTCAACTCCCGACAAGGCGTTACGTTAACTTCTTGCTGAAAGACCTCCACGTCTTGACTGTCATCAAGCTCTCTCCTCTCTACGTCAAATCGGAGGACGGTCTCCTGCGGGATCTGCACGGCCTGTTGGAACACTTTGTCCACTTCTCGATCGACGACATAACTGGGCTACAGCTGTCTCGCGAGGAAGTTCGACAGCTGCACAATGCTCAGTTGGCAAGACTGCAAAGGATTGCGTTCAAATATTTCAAAGAGAAGCTCTTGATCTTAGCGTTGGCCAACTTTGGCAACCTTGGACAGCGGGACGAGCTCGTTGGTCACCTGGCCGACCTTGCCGACGAAGAACTGATAGAATTGTGTAAGAAATTGGGATTGCGAACTTCGTATCCTAAATCTGTTGGATTCTCGGTAGACCGAGAGTTTCTGACAGAGGCGATCATTTGTGTTCATGAGCGTCGGCAGACCTTCCAAGAGCAGACCAAGTCTATGACTGTGTTGCCGAACGAGAGCACTCTGTTTGATGAATCATTCATTCGCGATAACAATTACGACGGCTCCAGGCCATTAGCTATTCCCAAGTTGAACCTGCAGTATCTCACGGTTGGAGACTTTCTGTGGAGGTCGTTTCTCTTGTATAGACATGAAGCATTCTACGGCATTCGCCAGAACATCGAAGACTCTCTGAAGAAGTTGGCTCCCAAGATTACGTATCCGTCAATGGAGACTTCTTTCCACGGCTTCTCGAAAATGGCTCTCACAATCACCCGTCCATCGTACGTATTTCCATCATTTTCTTTGGTACGTCTAGCAAAATACTCACAAGTAGCAGGATCCTAGAAGTCTTGCCCCCGAAGGTCGGAGAAGAGAAGCCGGCAGCCGTTCGTGCAGAAGTCAGCTTAGATCTCAGCCGGCTCTCTCCGGAGGTAAGGAAGGAATGGGAATCTTTACGGTCAGACGACGTAGTGTTTCTCCTGGGTGTCAAAGGTACGGACGAGAGTGATAAGATGATCACCAACGGCGGATCCGAGAAATTCAGCTTGGTCGAAAAATACGGTATCCGATGTCTTAGAGCGGCAGAGGTTGTGTCTGTGCTCGACGCTCAAGGCCGCCACCTTGGAACAGGAGAGGGCAGGGTCAGAAGTTCTGGTGGACAGTGCCGTTTGCACCTCAAGCTGGATACCGATATGTATCAGGTATGCTGTTTCGCCCTGCTACGAAGATGAGTGCTGATATGACCTTGGTAGATTGATAGTGATCACGTGAAGTCGGGAAAGCCAGACACCTACGAATCAGTCAATGTTATCATCCGTCGGAAAGGAAGGGTGGGTACTTGAATGCATCTCCTGCTGCCAGCGCGGTCTAACAGCGAATAGGAAAACAACTTCAAGCCAGTTCTCGAGTCGATCCAAGAATTAACCCAGACGGATGTACCGATGCCTATATGGCTACAGGAAGTCTTCCTAGGCTATGGAGATCCCGCTGGTGCTACCAATCTCCCCAACTGCCCCCGGAAAGTCGATTTCCGTGACACGTTCCTTGACTGGCAGCATCTGCTGGAGAGCTTTCCTGATCTGGTGAATACTATTTATTCCAACAATAGTGATTTAAACTAACAAATAATAGACAATACAGCCCGAAGACGACACGGTGGAGGGCTCAACTCCACCATACGTTCTTGCCCAGAAGTCTACCACCCCCGAACCTAAGTTGACCAAGAAGCGACGTCGTGACCAGGGTGATTCTTCACAGGCAAACAAGCCTCTCGGAGTTTCCACCTACAAGGTTCCAAACATGGGACCGTATCCAATTGATCAGCCGAAAATGAATATGACCCGATTCACACCGACACAGATCAAGGCCATCCAGTCTGGTACAAACCCGGGCCTGACGGTAATCGTTGGCCCTCCTGGAACCGGAAAAACGGATGTGGCGACTCAGATCATCAGTAATATCTACCACAACTATCCAAACCAGCGGACGTTGCTTATCGCGCACAGCAATCAGGCTTTGAATCAGCTGTTCGAGAAGATCACTGCCCTTGATATCGATGAGAGGCATCTCCTAAGACTGGGGCACGGCGAAGAGGGGCTCAATACAGCGTCTAGTTACAGCAAGCAAGGGAGGGTTGAATCATTCATGGACAACCGGACTCGCCTCTTGGCCGAGGTTGACCGACTAGCTGCTGCTCTTGGTGCTCCGGGTGCACATGGAGACTCCTGCGAAACTGCCGACTACTTCAATCAGGTTTATGTCCCTCCCGCCTGGAGCATATTTGAAGAGGCGTTGGCAAATGCTGGTGATGAAGCAACCGCCGAGATGGTTCGCGATGCATACCCATTCAGTCATTACTTCTCCAACACGTCGTCTCCCATGTTTCCCGATGGCATATCCTTCGATAAGGCGTTGGAGATTGCTCAAGGCGGCTACAGACACATCCAAAAGCTCTTCTCTGAGTTGGAAGATATCCGACCGTTTGAGCTCCTCCGGACTCCTCGTGATCGCCAAAATTACCTCCTCAAGAAAGAGGCCAGGATAATCGCTATGACTTCTACTCACGCCGCAATTAAGGTATGTTCATATCCCCCAAACAGCAATCCGCCCACGTTCTAACCCCAATAGCGTCAAGATATCACCAAGCTAGGATTCCACTACGACAATATAGTCATGGAAGAAGCAGCGCAGATCACCGAAATCGAAACCTTCATCCCTCTTGCGCTCCAAAAGCCGATCAACTCTGAGTTGCCCCTTCAACGAGTAGTCCTCTGCGGTGATCACCTCCAAAACTCGCCGATCCTTCAGAACCTCCCGTTAAAACAATACGCAAATCTGGATCAATCACTCTTCGCGCGCCTCGTCCGACTCGGCGTCCCTCAAATCAACCTCGACCAGCAGGGCCGTGCCCGCTCCTCAATAGCAAACCTCTACGCCTGGCGCTACAAAAACCTCACCAACCTTTCCATTCTCCAGCAATCCCCCGAATTTCAAACGGCCAACGCTGGCTTCGCCCACGAGTACCAATTCATCGATGTGCCGGATTACAAAGGCTCTGGCGAGATCGAGCCGACAAAACACTTTGTTCAGAATCTGGGCGAGGCAGAATATGCAGTCGCAATATACATGTATATGCGACTACTCGACTACCCGGCTGACAAGATTTCGATCCTTACACCCTATGTCGGGCAGCGCGCGCTTATTCGCGATGTCCTCGTTCGCAGGTGCAGGGACAGCCCGCTGTTTGGAATGCCACGCATCGTTACCACCGTCGATAAATACCAGGGCGAACAGAATGACTATGTCATCCTCTCGTTGGTGCGTACGAAGCGCGTAGGATACCTGAGGGATATCCGCCGTATGACGGTCGCGTTTTCGAGAGCTAGGTTGGGTCTGTATGTACTTGGCCGGAGGGAGGTGTTTGAGAGCTGCTTTGAACTACAAGAGGCGTTTAGGAGGTTGCAGGGCACCGGCGAAGGGAAGTTGGAGCTTGTCACCGGCGAAATGTGGCCGACTGAGAGGGCGGAGGGCGAGAAGTCGGAGGCGGCGACCGCAGTTATGGAAGGCGTCGAGCATCTGGGCAGGTATGTCTACGAGATGACGGTTACGAAGATGGAGAGTTTGAAGAAGGGGGCGCAGTAGATGTAGGATGGGCTTCTGTAGATAGCAAAATCAGGTGTTCGATGAAAGTGTCGCGGGTCTATGCAATAAAGCCAGTTGTTTTTCCGAACAAGAAAAAGTTTATTCAAGTGTGCTAATCTAGATACCACGAATCCGAACGCCATAACCCCAAAAACGAAATACACCCATCCAATGCTATCTCGTAGCCTGGCCCCTCTGCTTATCACGCCTGGTGAGGTAATCTACAATTTGCTCCGTACGCGTAACAAACATCAACCTCTTCTTCGCATCCTTCCACGTGAGGATCCCGTGATCCTCCGCATACTTTGCCGTATCCTCAAAGTCCCAAGCCGTCGCAAAATCCTTGAACAGAAAGCCCGTGGTAGTCTTCATCCTCTCGCCCTCGATTTGCCACAGTCTTATCTGGTCGACAACAGTGGGCGGGAGCACCAACGAGTTCTTGCGCATCACCGGGTGCGCGTGCGATTTCAGGTAGTCGATGATCTGGTCCGCCGTGATGCCGTTTGCAATTGCGCGCTGGATCGATGCGCGCGTGAGTTTTGCGGTGACAAGATTGGGGAAACGACCTCCGAGCTTGGAGAAGAGATCTAGGATCGCGATAGATAGCGGGGAATTGGTGTAGGCGTATACGCGGTAGTTGGTTTCGATCACTATGAAGCCCTGGTCCTCTGGGGCTGGTTCTGTAGGGGCTGCGCCGGGGACTGCTGCAAGGGCGTGAGCGAAGGAGGCGGCGGCGGTGCGCAGTCCGGTGACGTCGGAAGTTAATGTTGTTGCTAGCCGCGTGGGATAGAAGCGGTCAGGAGTACTTTTACGCTGATAGACCACGCCGTAGTCGCGGAGGTCTGCTAGAACTTTAATTTGCGTTTCTGTTAGGGTCTCGGTGCTGTAAGCTTGTCCCAGTTCCAGAGATCCAAGCATGAGAAGGAAATGAAGCACGTCGGTTTTCTCCATTGCCAGATTCTCACACATCTCGAGATACTGGATCAGTAGTACCCAAATTTGGGCATTTCCCTCTTGCAAGATGAACGAGAAGCCGGTTTGGGTGATCTTTGGTGGAAAACCCCTCGAGCCTGCGTTGTTGTTCATCAGACCACTGGTCGCAAGTAGCATCTTGACACCCTGATTCGGTTGCCGCGGCCCCGTTGGCTCTACCATGTAGTGCAAGATGCAGTCGAACTGGTTGGCGGCATAGCTGTCGAGGTGCGCGACGGTCACCTTCTTCTTATCCTCCGAGGTATCTACGGGTACACCGAACGAATAGTGGTTTCCGCCGCCCGTCAACGCCAGGCGAAAGTTCCGTTTGAAAACCGGGTCTAGGAAAATGTTGCCGCCGTCCTCTTGCGTCATGTGTAGTCGCCGTAGCTTCGAAAATGCATCTTCGCGTTCTCTGTCGCGGTTTTCAGCTTGGATATACAGCTCGGCGAGGAGATGGTAGCTACCGATAGCTCTCCGTCTTCACCCACGCTTGGAGTTCTGCGAGCGGGATCGGGAGTTCATTGTAGAGAAGGGTCGTCACGAAAATCTTGGCTATACCACATCAGAAATCACACCTGCCTTCAGGAAAGACGTAGGAGCCTACCGAGGCTAGGTAGCATTCGCCGAAATATTGCGAGCGCGGTGGCTGGCTGTTGATACAGCGTCTGGAAGGTTTTGGATGATAGGTTCTGGAGCGAGTTGGTCACTATTATTCGCCAGCAGAGGAAAAGCACGCGAGCAGTGGCGATAAGGTGGCTACCTGGAGATAATCATCAAAGCTATTATATGGTCAGTAAGGCGGGGAAAAAAGAGGACATGGGAGTGGCAATTATTATACCCTTTTATTGTTGTTGGTGCCATGGCGTGGTTTGTAGCTTGAAGCAAGTGTGACAGGAAGACGTGAGCTTTACTAGTCTCTGAGTCTTGAAACTGAAGCGCGGTCGCCGGGTAACTCTTCGTTGGTGCACGGACCACGAGCTTAATTTATGCCACTTCACTTTTGAAGGGTCACTCCCGCCGGTAGAGCACATTCTAGGCTTCACCTTGACCAACACCCACACCTTCCTTACACCACCATCAACCCGCCAACCACCTACCTTGAGAAGACTCCATACCATTTTGAGGGGCTCGCTCCGACGAATCTACCGTTACTCCAACACCTTCCCACTCAGTCCTTCGTTCACGATGTCTCCCGCCCAGCTCGTCGAGAGCTCTCAGATGGTCGACAGCCCTCAAGAGAAGTCCGAAGAGGATGCGATCCTCCCAGACCACGAGGACGACTTTCACCTCCAGTACATGCGTGCCGCTCTGGAAATGGCCGAGAATGCGCTACGCGGAGATGAGGTCCCTGTCGGCTGCGTGTTTGTGCGTAATGGAGAGATCATTGGTCGCGGAATGAACGATACAAACCGCTCGCTTTGTGTAACATCTTCTAGCCTCCTCCCTCTCGTAGCTTAACTTCCTGCATGTCTAACATTTATTTCTGTTCTTCAGGGCACCCGTCACGCCGAGTTTATCGCTATCGAATCGATCCTTCGCACCTCGCCCCCCGAGATCTTCGCCGACACCGACCTCTATGTGACTGTCGAGCCGTGCGTCATGTGCGCTTCTGCACTTCGCCAGCTCCACATCCGTCGTGTTTTCTTTGGATGCCTTAACGACCGCTTCGGTGGATGTGGTGGCGTCCTCCACATTCACGAAGGAAAGGGTGTCGATCCCAAGTATCCGATCCACGGCGGAATCAACCACGACGAGGCTATCATGCTTCTTCGCCGTTTCTACATCCAGGAGAATGAACGCGCCCCTCAACCCCTGGCAAAGAAGTCACGTACTCTGAAGACGGAGGTGGCCCCGTTTGGCGAAGGTATTCCCAGGGATCGCGATTGCCGCAGCAAGAAGCGTGAGATGGTCCGTGTTGTCGAGAACACGCCGCTGCCGCCTATGATCGAGGGCGAGGATGTCATCATGACGGAGTAGCACCTTTACCGAGCGAAACAGTAAATGGATGGCATGAGTGATGGGGTTGGATAGGCGTTTGGCTTCACATTTGCATTACTTGGATACTTACCTGTTTACTGCATTTTCATTTTCCTCTAGTGCTAAGTGGCCCGACGGGCTATTGCGGGGCGTGTTACGGTTTTGTTTTTTGTTTTCTTCGGGTTGTATAGGGTTGCACAGCGTTAGATGAGAGGTGTGCTGTTCGGAGGGCGTTTGGTTTTGTTTGCTTGAGTACTGCCCAATTCTAAATTGAATTGCCTCACTGCGTATCACCCAATTATCCATGATTACTCGCATCTTATTCTCACGTGAATGATTTTTTAGCTAAGCTGCATGCAACCCAAAAAACAACGTGAATGACAGCGGCGTTGTCAGCAAGAAGGCTAGAAGAGCAGGATCACCCAAAGCTTATGTTACCCGTTCTCCGCGTCACTGCCAATGCCACCCAACCGATCTTCAGTACGGAGGAAAGTCAACCAGACACAACACACATACACGAACCCTACACACCGAAACGACTACAACCCCAGCTATGCCTCCAAAAGCAGATGTCAACCGCTCCGGTCGCGAAACCGCCGACTTTCCGTCGGTCTGCGAAAACTGTCTCGGCACGAACCCTTACATCCAGATGATCAAAGAAGAGTCGGGGATGGAATGCAAGATCTGCACGCGTCCCTTCACCGTTTTCCGCTGGAGCGTCGACCGAACTGTCCGTAACAAGAAAACCAACATCTGTCTTACGTGTGCGCGATTGAAGAACTGCTGCCAGTGCTGCATGCTGGATCTGTCGTTCGGACTGCCGATCGCGATTCGAGACGCCGCGTTGAAGCTTGTCGCCCAGGGCCCCCAGAGCGATATCAACAAACAGTACTATGCCCAGAATCATGAGGGCGAACTGAAGGATGGGGATGTGCCGGAGGAGTACGAGAAGACCGATCGCGCGGCTAGGGACCTGTTGAAGAGACTGGCGAATAGTGAGCCCTACTACAAGCGACGAAAAGGGGATGATGGCGAGAGTTCGAGTGCCGGCTCTGGAGAGCAGAAAAGACTTACAGGCGGTCCGGGACCGGTGAGAAATCAGCGAGGAGGCGGTGCTGGCGGAGGAGGAGGAGGAGGAGGCGGTAGAGGCGGTGCAGGTGGACGTGGTGGTGCGAGAGGTGGTAGGGGAGGAGGAAGAGGCGGGAGATTCCCGAATGCCAATCAACTTCCGCCTGGACCTGGGGATATTGCACCACCTGAAGACCAGAGCATCACATCATTGTTCCTCATGGGGTAAGTCTCATCTCACCTAGGCGTCGAATCGGGCTGACAGTGAATTCGCAGAGTGGAAGATGATCTTGCCGAACACCACATCCGCACCTTCTTCTCCGCTTTCGGTCAGATCAAAAGCATCGTCTGTGTTCACCGTTCGCGATGTGCATTCGTCAACTTCGGTAGCCGCACCGGTGCCGAGGCTGCGGCGGAATCGTGTCAAGGCAAAGCCGTCATTGGTGGTTGTCCGCTCAGGATTCAATGGGGAAAGCCAAGACCGCTGGGCAACATCGACCGTTCGCAGGCGGCAAGTATTGGCAGGTCCTCAGGCAATAATGCGGCGCCGGTCGAGCGGGAGGCCGGGGAGAAGCCCCAGGAGAGACGCGTTCAATCATTGAATTTTGTCATTGCGAAGCCGCCAGGCGAGGAAGATGATGCCAAGTACCCGAGTCAAATCAATGCCTAGGGCGGGCGTTGAGAAGAGTTTACTATGCTGTTATATTGTATCGCGATGTTTCATGCCTGCCTGTTTGGTCTTTCATACGATAATGCTTTGGTCCGGTACATGCTTAGGTAGGGCGTTGGGGAATCGATGCATTGTCATTTAGCCATAATAGATGTAGGATACTGATGGATTCATGCAATGAAGGCTGCGCTTGATGATACCATCATATGGTACAAAATACGGTCTCCTATGACGCCAGGCAGCGTCTTATCTTACAATTCAATTTTCCCCTCATGCTGAGCAACACTTCCCAGGCCCAGGTGACCCGGGTGTCTTCCCCAATGACTGCTGTGCCTTCTTGATACTCTCATTATCCCCCTTCTCCGTAGCATCGTGTATCCTCAATTCTGAGAAACCCGTTAGCCCTCCGCAGGCGCATACCCATTGCCTCCCTTCCATAGTAGGTTGTACTCACTGTAAGCCTCCTCGCTTTCACTTATCCTCTCCCCCTGAACAACATTTGTTCTCAACACATCAGCGATTTCACGGGCATGCTTGAGATGCTCGTCCTGCTCGGCGCCGGAGACGTGACTGCGCGAGCGGAAGATGTCGCGAGACTCGGTCATTGCCGCGGTGAGCATCCGTGCATCGTTCGCGAACGTGAGCTTTATGCTCCGGAGTAGCGTGCGGTAGGCTGAAAGCGCGGCGGGCGTGGCGGCGGTCGTCATCGTGTGTCTGGATATGTAGACTCGAGCAGGGCGTGGTAAAGTAGGTGTACGGGAAGTTCCGCGGGCAGTGAGGACTGGTTAGTCATGGCTGGTTGGAAGGTTTTGTGTGGCTGGAGGTGGCGGTGGCGAAGGCGGTTGGCGCGACGAACGTGAGACGGTAAGATGATGGTTCATATGATATCATTCGCCTCTTGGGATCAAATCTCTGTCCATACAGCCGGTCTCGTTGAAGTCGCGCTGGCAAAGTCCGAAATTTCTCTCCACTGCTCTCTTCGGGCATTTGTTGAAGGTTACCAAAGCTGCAGCTGCAAACTTTCAACTCCCCTGATGACTAGTTCGGCAACCCAGATGTTCAACAGCACGTCACAATTTTTTCTGACTTCGGGGCTGCGGGGCTGCGGGGCTGCGGGGCTGCGGGGCTGCGGGGCTGCGGGGCTGCGGGGCTGCGGGGCTGCGGTGGTATTTACTGGTGGTTGTCCGTAGAGTTTATTTGTAAAGTTGTGCTCAGTCGACAATATGCAGTTTCCCGAGTTGAAGGTGGTGTGTCGAACAGTCACCCATTACCCGGAAACTCGGGATTTCAAACTGCTCCCCCTCTTCGTTTGGCCGACGCAGCATGGCCGACGCAGCATGGCCGACGCAGGGAAAAAGGGTGGCTTGGCGTGCCGGAGAGTGCCGGTTGACTGGAGCAAGTGCGGACAAGAGTGTGACTTTGTATGACCTAGGTGAGACCAGCTTTCGGGGCAATTGAGGACTGGATCGGTCTCAGCAGGGAATTGTGGGACTCAAGTGAGACTCATTACTTCGAGGCCGGATTTTGGCCGGACCTATCGAGACCAGCTGTTGCGGAGGTGATTGTTTTGATTGTTTTGATTGTTGTTGCGGCGACCTGATGCAGTGCTCCAAACGTTCTGTTCTCGCCGCTGTAACTATAAAGAGGGGCCCGCTCGCCTTCCTTTCTTCTGTTTCTCTGATCGCTACCTTTCGCCCTTTTAAGTTTTTCCTGGAATTGATCCTGATTTTGAACTATCACCTATTTTTGCGTCTCTCACCATCAACGTTGATGTCCACCACTAGCCAAATTCACCTTCTCCTCTCGCCCCTCCATCACTCCCTCCCCTCCATCACTTCATCCCCTCCACCACTTCCTCTTCATCCCCTCCACCACTTCCTCCCAATCCGATACTTCCTCAACATTCGCTACTTCCTCACAATCCATCACTTCCTCTCCTTCATCACTTCCTTTCATTCAACACTCCCTCCGCTCCACCACTTCCTCCTCTCCACCACTTCCTCCTCTCCACCACTTCCTCCCCTCCACCCACTTCCTCCCCTCGAGACAGCTTCCCCATCACTCCGCCACCCATTCCACCACAACAAGAGCATCATATTTACAGCAATGCCAATAGGCTACTCGTCGTCACACAGCTGACAAGTATCGTTGTCCTTCTCCAGCATGTAAGTATCCTTCTCCCATGCTGTCCTACAGTGTCAGGTCTGCTTCGCCGCGGAAAGTACTTCTCACTGACTTCGCCGCGGATAGCAGACTCTCTGTTACCACACACCGATCACGAGAGGGGCTTGAATCTTGAATTCCGGGCAATGGTTGTTTCTGGTTTCATTTTTTACTTCAATTTCAGAGCGTATGTTCAACTTTAACCCCCCAAATTTTGCGAGTGGTCTAATCTCTTCGCTAGATCAACAGCTCGAATTACTTAGCGAGAGAGGCTTGAATCTCGCATTTAGGGCAATGGTTGTTTCATATTAGCTCCTAAAAGCCATGTGTTATCTGTCAAACTTTGGACGCCCGGAGATGTTTGCTCGAATGAAGTTCCGCGACGGACAGTCACCGAGTCCGGCTGGTCCAATGGCCGCTTGGCCCGAGCAGCAGTCACGACCGGCAAGACAGCAAAGGCAGAACGCCAATACTGGCGGTCGTGGCCAAAACATGAATACAGCTGGTGGTGTGAACAGATATTCGAGAACTCGACTTGTCAGTGGTCCAGGAGAGCAGATGGTGGTACAATCGAGACCACCGGAGAGAACCGTCTCCCGCACGCAAGGTATTCCTCCCAGATCACTGGATTTACCGAGTTTACCAGGAACTAACAAGCTGCAGTGGGTGTGTTCATAGTCCCTCCGAACATATCACTCCCAAGGATCTGTTCAGAGATCCACGGTGGAGCTATTCACAGTGTGGTGATGAAGGTATTCCTCCTAAATCACTGTATCTGTCGGGTTTACTAGTAACTAACAAGCTGCAGTGGACGTGTTTATCGAAGGAGTCCCACCGAATATATCACTCCCCAGTATCTATTCAGAGATCAGTGGAGGGGTAATACATCGAGTTGTCAAGAGTCTGAAGTCTGTATATAAAGAGAGATCTCGGTGCTGATGATACTGCTGCTACATCGAATTGATTATCTCTACCCGTCCACCCAGATATTTCATCATTATCAGAGCCAGTTAAGCAACTGTGCCCTTTTAGAGCCTATTTAGATCCAGGAGAGATGGGAGTCGGAAGTCACCCTTCTTAGAAGAGTACAAGAAGATGCCCCAAGGCAATGCGTGACCGAAGAAATAAGTAAAAGAGATTTATCTCGCCATCCTCCCTACACTATCCAACCTCCCATCCCCATGCCGTAGATATGCCTCCTCCTCCTCCTCCTCAATTACCGCCGAGCTGTTCCGTCCACGTCCATCACCACCGGTAATTTCAGGGCTGCATTTCTACTCTCCTCTACTCTAGTTACACCCCTCGTTCGCAAAAAGCCGCACCATAAGAACACGGCTTTTCGGCGCGCCTGTTCTTCTCCTTGACCTCGACCTAAAGTGTTCTCTAGTGCCGACTTCCACTTCGCGCACTTCTCGAAACGGTGCTCTTGGGTTTGCGGTGTGTCGGACCGCTCCCACCACCGGCACTGCGCACTGGCCTGGTTTTTACGCCGCTATTGAAGATAATGGCCTGTGAGGGTGTGGCCAGACTCGAGGGAGAGATAGAGAGGGAGAACATCAATTTATTATCGCATACGACTTTTTCTAGACTATGGCGACCTCCGACCTGGTAACTAAGAGGTAGGCGTGCATTCTTTTTACGTGGTGCATCAGCGCGAGTGCTCTGCCATGAAGCGATGAAGCCTGAATGAAGATAGGTTGTCCATCACGGGTAAAACTAAAACCACTCGCGGCGCTTCTTCTCTTCGTTGCCAAGCGGGGAAGTGTCATTCGCCTCGCTTGTTCCCGCGTCGTCTGACAATAGCCTGACGATCTGCAGATTCTGCACGGGTTTGGCATCCGCGGAGAACCGAGAAGGATGCGAGATTGGGATCCACATCGATGCGGGTGCACTGTGGCGGGTCCTCCGCGGTCTGGTCTCCGACGGCCTGGCTGCGTCCCGAGTTTTGGGGCCCGATGGACTCTGCAGTCTGGAACAGTGTCGACTCTAGGTTCCTACGGTCGATCGAAGGGCTGGATTTGGGCTGTCACCTTTACTACCTACATAAGGCACTTTGGAACACTAAGCGAATGATTGGGGGCGGATTCTGAGGTTATACGGTACGTACTCTACCTACTCTGCAACAGACGGCGATGTGGATGTCTCATAGATTCCTCCACCAACGAGCGCCGTGAACAAAAGGTACTGTCAGTTGGGTTTCTAATGATATACCAGTATGTGGGGATTTATGTATGTTTATACCAATGAGACCTAATATTTGAGTCGTTCAGACCGAAGGACAACCGGAAGGGGCTTGAGCTATGTCGTCCACTTTGGGGGACTCGGATCATCTGTTTTCCGACAACCCACGCCAAAGACCAAAGCTGGAGTACCCATAAAAGTTCAAAGGCGTGGGCAACTCGGTCGAGCATCGATCGACGTGCGCTACCGGTACCTAATTCCCTCGTTGTCGTTCCACGGGATGATTTTCCGTGAACACGCTTTGTCACTCGTGATATGTTGGCCAAAACGAATTTCGCACTGTAACTTAGCGGGTCCCTCGACCCTCTGCGGAGCGGGCAGGAAAGGCTAGATAACTCGCTACTCCATAATCTACCAGTAGAAAGGCCGTATGCGGAATGAACTGATGTTCTCCCACCCCTTCTCACCGTTTCTAGGCGTCTCCAACTGCAAAGGTACTCAGACATGACTATGGTATGTAATCCAAAATCTTTAGCACAAGATTCTTGTTGATCAAGTTCGGATTAAACGGCTGTTGTTGAGTGCTTGAAACAGACATTAGGATGAACTGCTCATCCGCATCCACTACCTAGTTGGTCACATACGTCGGCCAGTCGAATCGGCATCCCGAGAACTCCGCTCCGCTACCCCAGTGCACTGCGGTTTTTCGACTGGCCTGGCCCTGCCTAAATATGTATGTATGCGGGCATGGCAGGTGGCTGACAGACAGCGGCCCCGAGAGATATCTATTAATCTGAGATGTGTACTGGCACCTTGCTCGACACTAGTACATACCACAGCCCGTATTTGACGCGTGTCTACTAGGGAAACCCTTCTGATAGGTAGAACTACTAGTTATTTACAAGGGGTAAACCCCAGAGGAAGTAGAGTATGAACCCATCGGCAAGGTACCGGTAACTAGAAATCACCGTGTGGAGTCAATAATCTGCGGTGACGAGTTGCTCCATAGTAGGTATTTGTTTTATTATGTAAGAGCTTCATACTTACATACCTATGTCTATGCACACTGCTAACTACCTGCTTCAGCCGGGCTTAAGGAAGGAATCATGCGTCGATTCGTCCGCCTTGTCGTCAAAATTTATGGTAATTATGAGTTACCGGGTGATTGCCCCTGCCCCCGCCACAAGTCATGGGAGGAAGGCTTTCTCCCTGATGATGCATACGTATCTGTCTCACCGTCAAACCACTTGACTGGATCCTGATGCATGTCCCGCCCCTGTCTTGGTGATGGATTACCGGTGCCCAAGTACCTATGTACCCGTGGGAGACGGTGTTATTGTGGGGGTATATATGAACACGCATTCCGGCACGCCGGAGTTCCGGAGGGATCTTTCTGGTTCTTTGGGGAATCACGCTGAGAGGGTCTCGGTCGGTGCGTTATGTAACCACAGCGCTATATACACTTGTAGTTATGGGCTTCTTTTACGTACCGGCAGCTCGGGCTTGCCCGTACCGTACTCGGACGTAAACAACCGAGCAGCGGGAACGGCAATTCCCGCGGCCATCAACTACTAGGTAGTACTATACATACGGTTCAGCAATGGACTCGGCTGAGTGGCTGGAAGCATTGATCGGTCGGAAGGGATGGTTCCGGTTTTCTTCGCTGATGGCAGGTAACGGACCTACCTAAAGTAATTATAGTAGTTATATCCGGGGTCCCCGTCACGTACGGGCTCGGGCTTGGGTCGGTAGCGAGAAGGATGGGCTCCCCGGAGTCCCTACTCAAGTCTCACAGTCCCACCCTTAACTATTTACAAACAGCCATTGCTTGCTCAGCGCACTCCGGCGTAAGTGTCCGCTCTACAGACTCGAATTTATACTACTCGACCGGTATACTGCTCTATACCGGAGTAGCCCGTCACTCAAAGACGAATACTATTCTACCTAGTTGGTGGGAATTAAAATCTGCAGGCGCGTGTGCCACGTCCATGGTTGGGATTTCGCTAACTACGGGGCCGTTCCGAATGTGGCGCCGATCCCACGCGAGAGACTTCGACAGGGGAAATACAAAAACGCAGCTACATAGAATAGTAACTATCACCATCCCACGAACAACCTCCAGCTCCATAGTAGTGCCTCCCTTTATATTACACCCCCATTGCCCCCCCTCCCCCCGCGTCACTTCCATGGTCCGGTTCCCATGAACGTTAATCTTCCTGACTGTCCGCCATGCACCGCTTTCCTCGCGCTGAGGATTTCAGGTTCGGTGCCGAGTCCCGGCCTGACGGAGGCCTCGGGAGACGCGACTTGGTTCCGAGATTTCCGCCCTACGATGAGCTTCCGCACGACAATATCGGTTACCGCTTGACCATCACGACGGCCGTGTTGACGTCGGTGGCTACGGTCAGTGTGATTGCGAGGATATACGGACGGACGTGCATCCTCAGGATCATAGGCTGGGATGATTACTGCATGATAATAGCAACTGTGTGTTTGCCCCATACCTATTGAACTGGTGCTTGCAAGTTGGAAAAGGGAGCTGACCGTTGATGTACCTACTCTACTATAGGTCTTCGGTATAGCAATGACTACGATCTGCTTTTTTTCCGTAAAGGCAGGAATTGGACAGCACATATGGGATCTCCCCGATTACGATCTCAAAACCATGTTGAAGGTATTTACATATGCTTGCAATCACTCGAGCACGCACACAGTTGAAACGCTGGGAAAAAAATGAAAATAATAACAATCTTGCAATATTATAGTTCTCCTACTCATGGACAGTAGCCCACATCATCGGACTCGGCTTCACGAAGGCTTCGCTACTCCTTCAGCTCCTCCGCCTTGCCCCGTCACCACGCATGCGCATCATAATCTGGTCCATCTTCTGCCTTTCCGGTTTCACCACCATTGCAACCTTCGTTGCCTGGACAGTCATGTGCGGGCCGGCCCCGGACGACTTGGACGGAAAAACCGTTCAAGAATTCTCCGGGGAACACTGCCAAGCGTTCGTGCCTCTGCAAGCCAGCATGACGAGCGTCAATATCTTTACTGATTTCGTTGTGTGGTTGGTGCCGATACGGATGGTGTGGCAGATCAAGCTGCCGCGGCCCGAGAAGACGGGATTGCTCATTGTGTTTTCGTTGGGTGCGCTGTGAGTTTGGTAGCCTTTGATGGGGACCTACATACGGTTTGCTGACACTATGTACGCAGGGTTTGGGGTGCTAGTATCATACGGCTCCTGCGCATCATAGGGACGTCGAAGGGCTTCCTGCGTGATCCACCATGTGAGTTGCTATGTACTACTTCTTCCCTGCAGGGTGCCTCGCCGCTGACAACGAGGCTCTACAGATCGAATCGTCACGGTAATCGTCTGGTCAGCGATAGAACTCCAAATGGCCATCATCTGCAGCTCGATACCCACGATACGTCCGACGCTAAGACTATTCTTCTCGGGAATTCTCGGTACCAATACCAGTGGGCACTACAGTGGGCAGTCGCGGCCCGTCCACGTTAGCATTTCGACGTACCATTCGCAGGCCGAAACGTCGCCGATGGAAATGAACGGGGCTACTGGTTCCCCGGGGAGAGAGCGGTACTGGGGCTCGGAGCCGAACTCCACAACGGATATCCTGACAGGCGCCGAAGCGGTCGGTGTGAGCGCAAAAGAAGACGAGTTGGTTGGTCAGAAGCCTGTAGTGGGGTTAGTATGATGGTTTAACGTGTATATAGTTGAACATGTACATAGTTGAGCGTGTATATAGGTAGTTTGCGATGGCTATGAAATTTCATGCCGAGGCTGCGGTGATACTCATTGAGGAGGGCGGACCTCCATAAGGAAACCAAACCATGTATCATACATACAACAAACACTCGGCCGATGGATCGGATGAACGGAAACATTCTGAAAATATGGGCAGAAAAGAATGAATGCAACCATGACAGGCGCAGCATCAAGCCTATATTCACGACATAAAGTTCGGCAATATGCTCCAGTATTGTATGTACACAAAATCCAGCATACCAAGAATATACGTCCTGGCGATCCAGGTAAGCGGGCCCACTCCCGCTACATACGAGTGTAAAGCCCAAGTAGCCAAGTAGGTAATACCTATGAGTACATACGCAATGTATCGTGATTACATGCTCCCAACAGAACAAGCCACATTCTCGAATCCAATCACGGTTCCAGACTCGTACTCTATGTACTCTATGCACATACCTGCTCGTATTTGAGGCCTGTCCAATCTGCCCTGGAACTTGACTACGGTACGCTACTTCTGTCTCGCCTATCTAGGTACACAACTCCATGGTGGCCTAGGCTCCGATTTTTTCGGTTCAGCCTTCAGGTGGCATGGAATCCTCTTTCGCGAAAGATCTCTGGATCTGCCGAGTTCTAGCGAATTGGACATCGAGGTGACTCACGCCCATAGTTAGAGTCACGAGACATCCAAGAGGACGCGCAACGGGACCTCCAGGCTCCAGCTGAAAGATCGATGATCATCCCTGGTTCGTGAAACTCATTGGTTGATTCACTGCAAGGTCTGCGGCTCTATGGTTGTACCACCAATGCTGCTCCCCGCCTTGCTATTGAGGTCGTGGATATAAACAGCCGCCCCGCTTCGAATTTTTCTTTCCCGAGTCCGTCCCCAGACATTGCCCACTTACATACCTACCACGATCATGCCGGTAACTTTCCAAGTCGCCTCTCACCCCGCGACCCCACGACCCCGTACAAAGCGGGGCACGGCCGCCCCCTCTCCGCCACCAGCTCCCTGCACCACCTGGCCCCCAAAGCCAGCTCTTCCCTGTCGGAGCTCCTCCAGACCTCCCTCACCGACTCGGACCTGCCGCAGCTCGTCGAGTCTCACAATGGCTTCGTTAACGCCTGCATGCAGGCGTACAACACGCATCAGCATTTGGTACTGCGGCCTGACGACATGTGGATCGCTATCATGTGCCAGTTCTCAAGCTTTGTGGAGGCGAATGCGGAGGGTCTGCGCGGGCATTTTGTTGCGCATGAGGGGCAGAAGGAGCTTACCATCCGGAAGAACGGGACTAGGTAAGTTTTTACCGGGGAGACAGAGAGAGAGAGTCGGTGAGGCCTTCCGTGCGTGGAAAAGCGGGAGTGGCTGATGCGGGTATCCTCGGAGGCATTTCGTGGACTGGGGAGATATCGCAGGGCAGTTTGGGGGACTGCTGGAAAAGAATGTCAAGGATCCCGAACTGAGGGAGTGGATCGTGCCCGGGTTCTCGACGACTACGGAGACCGATCGCATCGTGGGCGCGGTCGTGATGATGGGTGTGATGATTCCTGTCTCCTCCATGCATCCGAGGGTGCGAAGTTGCTGACTCGGCAGCGAACAGCGACGCTGAAAAGCTACTTCTCGTACAAATGCATGTTGATGCGCGGGATCCCATCGGTGACCCTCCTCGGCACCTGGGAGGACTGGCTCTCCCTGCAGCGCCGCCTCCAAAAACTCCAGACTTTCGTCACGGCCGATAAACACCCGCACCTGCACGCCTGGTGCTCCTTACTCACACCTCTCCTTGAGAACTTCGCGGGCGCCTTCTCCACCTTCTCCGCCGCCGCACCCAACCCGCAGCGACAAGCCGAGATCCGCGACTTCTTCGACCGCATCTGCCACCGCGAGTTTGGCGGGAGCGGGCCGAACTACATCTCGGGCTGGCTGATGTATTTCTGCGCGTTTGACATGGATGGGAAGTGGCAGCTAAAAGGCGCCGGTGGGCATAGCAAGCGGCGAAAGGTACCATTTGGAAACGATGCCGAGTGGATCCCGAGGGTGGATAGTGAGGAGATCCCAAATGCATACGTTGAGGTCGGCGTCAAGATTGACGATAACGGTGAGGTCTTGCAGAGTGTCATGGTGGCAGGGTTGGCAGGTTACAAGGTCCTGGGCGACGAGAGGGATGCGCTGCAGCCGCATGCCACGTGGTGGATCTTTACGAAGCAGGAGGGGGTGTAAGATGGAGAGCATTCAAACCGCTATATATATCCTCCCTCCTCCCAGGAAGTGGATGATCGTGGGGAGTGGGAGGTAGTTTATGAGCAAGATTCTGCTGGGGGAGGTGGGCCGGTTGATATACACGCTGTACAGGCCGGGGAAGACTGGGGGGATTTGATGGGAAATCTTCTGGTGGGAGGATTGGTTAATGTTGATATACACCCTGCACTGGTCGAGCAGGGTTAGGTTTATGAGTATGCGCCAGGCGAGGGAATACCTGATATATAGCCCCAAATGGTTTTACGAATTTGAATGAACTGTTTTTTGCTTTGCTTCGTCATTCTCGCATTCAGTCTATTTAGACTGTAGGTGGATTTGAATCACTATCCAACTCAACTTTAGTCAAGCGCTGAATTAGCTGGGTTGCCATATTTTGATTTGACAGCAGAGCTTCCGAGTGAGCGTGTGAGATTGTGAGATTGTAGATCAAGCTTAGATTGTACTTGCAAGCCCCAAAAATATCTGCCTCACCACGAAACACACCGCTTTGCTGATCCCGTCAATACTTCTACAACGACGCCCACTTCTCCCTCCCCTCACTTGTACTCGTAAAAGCCCTTCCCACTCTTCTTCCCCAGCCACCCAGCATCGACATACTTCTTCAGCAGCGTCGCCGGCCGATATTTACTATCGGCGGTGTCCTCGTACAGCACCTTCATGATTGCCAAGCACGTATCCAGCCCAATGAAATCCGCCAGCTGAAGCGGGCCCATAGGCACGTTTGTCCCGTTCTTCATGATGCTGTCGATATCATCCCTCTCGCCCACACCCGTCTCGAGGCACACGACCGCCTCGTTGATATACGGCATCAAGATGCGATTCGCGAGGAACCCTGGCGCGTCCTTGGAGACGGCGGGGATCTTGCCCATAGCACGGACGAACGCGACGGCGCGGGCAAGCGTGGCCGGCGAGGTCTGCAGGCCGGCGATGATCTCAACGCCCTTCTGCACCGGCACGGGGTTCATGAAGTGGGTGGCGACGACGCGGTCCTCGGCGCCGTGGGCGGCCGCGGCAATGCTGGTGATGGAGATGGAGCTGGTGTTCGTGGCTAGTGTGGCGTTGCTCCCCGCTAGCTCCGCGAGGCGGGAGAATAGGTCTTTCTTCAGCGCGGGGATCTCCGGCACCGCCTCGATGATGAAGTCCGCCTCCGCTGCGGCCGAGAGGTCGGTTGTTGTCGTGATCCGCGCCTGGATGGCCTCCGCCTCAGATGCCGTGAGTCGCGATTTGGAAATTTCTTTTTCGAGCAGCCGCGATAGGAAGGTTTGCGACTTTTGGAGCGAGGCGGGGTTGTTGTCGATTAGGGTTACAGGGACCTGGGCGGTGCGGGCGGCCACGAGCGCGATTCCTAGACCCTGCATTGGTTGTCATTAAAGGGTCCGTCGTCGTAGGAAGGGGAGGGGAGCGTAGGATAGGTACCATCTGTCCGGCGCCGATGACGGAGAGCTTGGATACATCGTGGGATGGCGTAGAGTAGAAACGGGCGCTGGCTGCGACCGCGGCGGGGGAAAGCCGCGGAAGAGTCGTGCGGATTGCGGGTAGAAGCATTGTGTGCGTGTAAGTGAAGATGGTGCGTTGACCGGCGGAGGAGGCAGTAGTTAGACAGCTCGGGTATGGAATGACGTCCGGTTCACATGTTGCACATGGGAGCTTGACAACCGGGTGTAGCCGACACACGCGAGATCACTCGCGCTTGACCATTATACCGGTATTTGACAGATAGGGAAACCCTAAGATCCGCAGGGACTGGGCGGAGGGCATTGGGGAACTCACGTCGAGTCAACCATGTGCAGGAAGGACAATCATGAGGAACCGGTCTTGTAACTGCCATGATTTACATAAATCAAATTTATTGATGATTAAAGAGCAAAAAAACCAGAGACCCGCATCGTCATGGTCCAGATAGGCTGGATACGCTTACAGATTAAGCAAAACTAAAACTAAAAACCTATGAGATCCTCCCGGCAATCAACAAACATCTCGCCATGCCACCGTTCCCGAGCAGCGTCTTAGCGACCCCCCTCTGCGCCACCGGCAGCTTGAGACTCTCCGCATCTTTCCACCTTTCACTCTCATCCAGTGCGGCCTGTCTGTTTGTATCCCCGGTCATCGTATGGAACATCTTCACATGCTCCATCGAGATGACATACAGCCTCAAGTTCCGCACGTACAACCCATCCTTGCCCTTTAGGTACTGGACCATGTACCTGGTGTGGCGCTTCACCTCCTCCCTCGCCTTCGCCGCGGTCTCGGGAAACTGGGATCCAAAAACCTCCACAAATTCGACGAGCCCCTCCATGAGCAGATGCACAAAGAACGTCGAATCCCACCAATACCGCACCTCCAACCTCGCCTTGGGCGTGGTCTGATCGAACAGGCTCTTTTGGCGATCGCACGCCGCCTCGGCGAGCACGAGTGCCTGCTGACTCCTGTCGTCCCCAAACGCACGCAGCTGGCAGATCGCATAGAGCACCGTGCCGGTGTTGTAAGTCCACGTGGGCCCGCCGCCAGCGCCGTCCTTGATCAGCCCGCTTTCGAGACTCAGCGTATTGACCGTCCAGTCGACACACTTTCTGGCGTACGCGAGGAGTGTCTCGGTGTTTAGACCACCCCCGCCCGCCTTCACGAGCTTTATTGCAGCGATGGCGGAGAGGTTCGTGGTGCAGGCGTTCCGTGCATCCGGTTTGGCGACGTGCCAGCGCATGCCGCCGCGCGCCGCATCCCAGCCGGTCTGCAGGAACGTCACTATCGTGGCGGCCCGAGTGAGGTATTCCCGCTTCCGCGTGGAGGGGAGCTCGTAAGCGCGGAGCAGTGCGATGGCGAGTTGCGCATCGTCGTCTACCCATTAAAAAATTAGCCTCAGGTCCCCCCACCTTCCCGAAGAAGAAACTCACCGTAGTAAACGTCATCGTTCCCCTCGAAATACACCCAAGCAGTGTACGCCCCGCTTCTCGCCGTGGATTTATACTTCTCGCACGCCTCTAGCGCTGTGTGTATCTCAGCGGTGAAGCGTCCTGGCGCCGCGGCCTCCCCCTCGAGTAGCGCCTCGATGCCGATCACGAACGGCCAGAGGGTGTAGCCGTTCCAGTCGCCGACCGTCTCGCTGCTAGCCTTGGCGGTGACGAAGTGGTTATGCCCAGGAGACCAGAAGTGGTCCCAAAAGGCGCGGCAGAGGCGGATGCCTTCGGTGGTAAATTCGTCGCCCTCGGCAGAGAAGGCAGAGACGAGCGGGGCTTGAGCTTGAGCTTGCGCTTGCGGGTTGGAGGTGGCCATGGTGGACTGAGCTTTACGTGAAATACGCGATCGAATGTTCTTGATCCAGCGGAAGGACATGGAAGATATATGTATAGGGTTTTCTTGTATTTTGAACCGCAGCAGCCAGGCCCCCACTGCCCATGCCAGGGAACCGACAGGTTTTATATTGGAATATGTATGTGCGCCGGCGCCCCGCGCTTTTTCGCATGACGCACGCACGCGGGCAGATCAGCCGAGCATGATTGGCCGCGCGCCTCAACTCAAAATATAGCACATTCCTCGTCGAGTCGTCGCCCGAAAGCTGAAAAATGTTTGGTGCCCCAGGTGATGATTGGAGCTGCGGGATACACGTAGCGTGACGGACCTCGTATCGATGTTTGGGAGCTGATGATCGCGGAAGCTGAAACCTGAGCGTCGACGCATCAGAACATACTCTAGGTTCGAGCCGGCTGATGTGTGGGCATGATTGGTCCTTGAGGCATGAAGTACATCCCTTTGCGTGAACTGTAGATCTTGGATGATATCTTTCTGTTTTTGTTTGATCATCTTTGGATTCGACCTCATTACCGTAGATCATGGCAGTTACATAACTGTTCCTCCCCACATTCCGCGACTGCTGGCCAGTGGCCGCCGGTTCCCCTGTGCCATCCGCCCGGCCCCGTCTTGATCTCACCAAGGGAAAGTACATGCAAAAAAAACGAGAGAACAGAGAATGGACTTCGATGATGTTGCCGTGATAGCTGACTTGAGAGGTAGTCTCATTTCTACTTTCTTGCGCTTGGTGAACAGGTTATTACCCAAACAGGAAATAAAACAAATGGATTTATAACTCTTGAGTGAGATGTTACAATTTACAGTTACACTCTACCACCACATTACCCCTGTAGTCAGATCCGGTATATCTGCATACATACATCAATCATACATGCCAATCCTAAATCATGACTCTATCTACTCTAACATACGATCCAATACAAACATCGCGATAATCATGGGTATAAACCAGCACAGAAACACACAACTAATCAATGCAATACCTCAGACAAAAGAAAGCTCCACAAGCCGTCGGGTCGTCGAATGACAAATGAAACTGACTAAACGAATGACCGGGACAAACCTCCACGTCCGAATCCTACACCACTGCCGGCGGCGGCACCCTGCCATCCTTATACCACCATAGCTTACTCAAGTCCCTGACAGTAGTTCCCCTCGCTCGTTCACTCTGCCGCTCCCCATCCCTTACTCCCTCCACGCCCTGGGCATCAGCCGCCCTTCCCACCACCACGCCCTCCTCCACGACGACCTCCTCATCCAAAAATGTCGCATGGTCGCCAAACATAGGATCGAGATAATGTTGACAGAAGAGATGGCCGCTCTCGCCCAGGCGCGTAAAGACCTTGCCCACAAACTCGTTCTCGCCCTGGCCCTTGACGAACCGGAGGACTCCTAGACGCGCAACGAATTCGTTGGAGTTGGCGTAGTGCTCTATTACCGAGATTTGCCGCTTGTTGCTGGGCGGGTGTCGCGGGAGCCCCGGGAGAGGGTTGCAGGAGCCGTTGTGGCATTGGATACATCGCGGTGGGTTGTTGAAGTGGTTTGCCGCGCAGCTGTGTCTCGTTAGTACCCATTCACTTTAAGTATGTACCTCAAGTATCTACATCTAAGGAGGGGGGTGAACCCACCCGAACGTGTAAATCTCCAACTTGTCAAACGCAGCCGGCGGGAGATCAGCGCACAGGGCATCCACCGCCGCGGCCACAATGATCCCGCCTTGCGAGTGCGTCACGAGAACTACCTTATCCACGTCCTCGTCCAGCAGCGTCTCCTTGAGAGTATTATACGCGATGCGAATATCATCGGTCATATACGAAAAATCCCTCTGTACCAGACACTCAAAAAGATCGAATATGAGTCCATATGTGCGGTTATGCACCCCCGTGACAGGCCGTCGGAAGATAGTGCTGATCATGTCCAGGTTCTCCTGTAGCCATCGGGTGCCCGCGCATATGCCGTTGACGAAGATCCAGCGCTCCCGTGGGTGTGTGGGATAGGCGGTGAGGTCGACGGCGCTGTGGAGGACCCGTGGGCCGTAGTTGAGGGGGCGGCAGAGTGCCATCAAAGCCAGCCAACAGACGAGGGCATAGAGGATCGTCACCCATCCCGGAAAGGCAAGAAGGATTCTAGCCCCCAGACTCAAGGCGGAGATGGTGAGGAAGAAGAGGGAGATGTGGAGGGAGATGTCTTGGAGATTTGCGCGGGTGGGGGAGGATTCGGCATAGCTGTCGGAGAGATCATATCAGCGCGGGAAGAGGTAGAGAAGGAGGAATACAGCCAAAGTTACCGGTTTTTAGAGCGGAGAGGAAGGAAGATTCCCGGAATCCAGCGAACCAACGACAAAACGAGCTTGGCATCGTCGAGTAGGAGTTTGAATGGTGAGGCCCGCAGCGTTAACGCAGCTGTAGCTGGCGCCTCCAATTGCGAGGGGATATACGAGACTGGCATGGCCGATACCGGTCCGTACGATGGGTTTGTGTGTAATAGTATAGCGAGCGTAAGTGTTTAGAGTCGTGGCCAAAGAGCGCGAGTCTTTCTGGGGGACAAAAGGTCTTTATTGTCCGGACAGGACCAGCTGCAGATGGCACTAGCCATAGGGCTGCCCAGTCATAACTTCCTACGTACCTACATCGAACGAGGCTTCTGACCGTTTCCAATAACTTTTTGGGGCAATAAAGCGTTTCTACGCCCAGAGTGACTGATTTTTTTTTTGCGCAGGTGATTGTGAGACTGGTCGTGATGAGTCCCGCTTTGTGCATGTGGTCATTCGTGACGACATCCCGTGATCAAGCCTTCCCTCGAATAAACGACAGAGCGCCGACGCAGAGAGCCTTGAGCCCTCCCCGACTACAACGTAATAACTCTGGATATCTAGTGGGCCTGTGAATAAGGAAAGGTGCAGGATGGGGAAATACTTCATCTCCGTCCCAGAGAAGCCTTAGATACCCATCATGTGATTGTCCGCATCATGAGATGTCACTCTACTTCAATCTTCTTGGACTTTCTAAGATGCCGGACCCGGAGGAAAACATGGACCGTCGCGTTCAACTCCAACGCTCCAAGTGTTCAAATAGGTTTGCGATAACTCAGTTCTCCTCAAGCCATACGGTAGAGTCTGTGACCTTTTCTCGAGATCCGAGCCGGGCGTTCGGAGTAAGCCTTAGTTACACCGGCTGAGACGGATATGTAGTGTCTTCTCGGATGGTGATCACTTATGAAGAAGCGCCTACCTTCCCCTTGCCCCATACATCCCTGTGCAGACTCGCTTGGATTCCTGAAAACAAGCGTATTCACGATCACTTTCTCCTGGAGACTAGCATCTCACAAAGATGGAAAGTGGGGGCGTCCATCATGGTATTTAAGGATCCCGAAAATCTGGTTCCCTTTCCTTTTCTCTTCTCAAAACCACACTCCTTCGTCGGTTGTAAGTCACTCATTCATTCGCTACCTGCTTCGAGCAACCCACATTCGTTCTTCATTCATCCACGAAATAATTACCATACCTAAAAAGTACGACCTTCCAGTAAACCAATATAATCAACACCATGAACCCTCTGTCCTTCCTCCTCTTCGCCGTCACGGTCACCGCGAGCGCAGTCGCCAACATGGGCCCCCCGAAGCCGGCCAAGACGCTCTCGCCCACGGTCCTCTCCGACTGCGGCTGCGATGCCGTCGTCAACATCGTCCAGAAGTGTCAAACGCTCGATCCGCTCTCGTTCGACGAGGCTACAGACTGCATCTGCGACCGCAGCGCCGGCTGGTACAGCGGTGGCATGGGCTGCCGAGACTGCCTGACCCTGGCGTCCGACGGCGATACGACCTCGGACGAGCAGCTGTTCTACGAGGCGTTCGGCAGCGCCATCACGAGCATCTTCGTTGCGTGCACCAACGCCGGCGCGAGCGTCAAGGTTGTCGATGAGGACAGCGGGAAGGGGGTCTGTGGATGGCACTCGGTGGGCGGGTGGGGATGTGTCGGATTCGATGCGGAGAAGGGGACGGGTTGGGCTAGTGAGGTTACGGTCAACACCAAGGAGGTGATAGTTGGAACTGCCGAGGTCGAGTTGGACGAGGTCGAGGGCGCGAAGTCGACCAAGACCTCGTCGGTTGCGAGCCCGAGCGGTGTTTCTGCCTCTGGCACTGCCGCTGCTTCGGCTTCGGCTTCCGGCACCGGTACCGCTGCCGCTTCTGCCGCTGCCAGCTCCGCCGCAGCGAATGCGACGGCATCTGGTGCTCCGCAGGAGACTAATGCTCCCAACGGTGCTGCCGGGCTGAAGAGTTCGCTTGCGCTTGTGGGAGTCGTTGCACTGCTCATTGCTGCTTTCTAGATAGGCCATATTGTACTTATATTTGGGAGGGTTAATCGTAAACGTAATCAAATGGTTGGATGCTTTCGTGGGATGCTGTTGCCATATTCTTTTGCGACGGTATCGAGTAACATCTCCTATCATCCCGTGAAAATTCAGGCGCCAGATTAGACTGCCAGACAACCGGGATTTGGAAGGTGAGCGAGCTCGCCTAATAAGTAATAAGTATATCCGAGCTGGGCCGCTAATGATTGTGACTCAGTCGCTAAGGAATAAGTAATCCTTGGATTAATCAATTTATGGAAGGAAATATGAAGTAGAGTACTCTACAATTGTCCACCACACCACGGCTTCTCGGTCCACAAGCCAGTAAACCACTCTTGGATAGATAATAATGCTGTCTGACTCACTCGAACGAACTATGTACCAAGCAGTCAAACGTCGCCCTGCGTCTCCAGCCAACAGCAGGTGTACTAGTATGTAGAGATTATGCCGAGTGATCTGGAATGTGAATTGTTCTTGGGTTCATCTTCTGTGTCCGACCATGTTCGGCCATGAAAGTAATCCATCACCCCTTTCTTAAGATAAAAAATTGTCTTTTCGATCCTATTTGAATTCAGAAGTACTTAACTATAATATTAGACTACGTCACATCCGATTATTTTTCTTGTTTAATCTTTGATTGCATGCGACCCATCTACCGTAGATTATAGCAATATACACGCTCCATTTCCATGCCACTATCCAACTCGACTCTCATCAGACAGCCCGGTGTGGCTTTCCTTGCCTTCCGCCCTGGCCTTTCCCGAAGATACAATATGAGCGCACCAACGAAATAATGCTAGGAAAAAGAAAAAAGAAAAAAGTCAAAGTCTGCCCCTCATGCTATCTCTACGTCATCTCCGATGGGCAAACTTTCGCCAACCGGCAGCGAGAGCAAGTGACATCCCATGCCTAAACTCTAAGTCGGGTGTAACCTCCTGATTGCATTGGCCGGCGACGCATTTCACAGGGTCGAGGAGCCGCATGCGGGGTGATGCTATCTTACCCCTCGTTTACAGTTGAACTTTAAATCCTTCATTGCGAACTCACGACATCGGTTCAATGGGGAAACTCGCCTGCAAACTATGTTCCCTTCACGCCGTCACCATGGAAGGGCTGATGCTGCATATCGCGTCGAAATCCGATCACTGTTCATTCGACGAAGATGTCTGTGATTGCGATGGCTGCAACCCATTAATGAGCCAATATGACGACAATGTGAGTGCTAAAAGCTCCTTACTTAAGCATCATCAAACCTGACCGGAAAGGACCCCCGACGGAGGTTTTCCTACAAGGAGGATCCACCCAGGAGCCGGGACTGCGCTCTCTGCGGGCCAGTATTCTGCTGCACTCTGGCATGGAAACGACTGCATACGAGAGACGACCCGCACAAGGAATTTGCGGAGCTGATAGGATATTATTGCTCAAGCTCAGAAAAGCACTTCTTCACCAAGGCTTCATGGGAATACCACTGCGAAACATTGCACCCGAGTAACGTCGATTACTATTGCATCGATTGCGATCAGGAATTCCCTACACAGTGTGCGCTCAATTACCATCCCAGAAACGACGCTGTCCATGGGAAGCGAGTCTCTACTGTTTCGTGCGAGCCCTGTGGTCAATTGTTCCAAACAACCGGAGCATTGGAGGTGCACAAAAAGTCTAAGTTGCATAAGAAGAATACGTATACAGTCGTATGCTTAGCTTTTCCAAAGTGCCAACGAAAATTCCTGAATAAGGGTAGCATGTTATCGCACCTCGAGAGCGGCGGTTGTGCCTCCAAAACCAATCGGTACAAAATCGACGACGTAATTCGACATCACGACACCAGTAGCGTGGTTCTCAAGGTCCAATATAGCGCCCCCCAAAGCCAGCAGATGAGACAGTCCGCCATCTCTACCCCCACTGGGAGTTGTGGAGAAATCCGGAGGGAATACGTTGCTCTTGAGCCCTGGGATGTGGATTCTGACGACGAACTAATCATCGCGACCCCGGCCACATGTCGTTCTCGCCGTGACAGCTTCAGTTCCGACATTCTTCCGATCCTAGTGGAATCGCTCTCGGAGTTACCCACGTCCAATATCTCTGGCTCCTCGACGCCGTCAGCAACACTCTCCGGACCATTCACCCTTGATTACTCCAACTTCTCGACGCCGTCTGAAACAATCTACGGACAGTCTACGTCCAAATCCTCCGGCTCCTTGACGCCGTCCGCAACACGCTCGGGACGATCCACGCCCCAGTTCTCCGGCTATTCCACCCCCCGTTCCGGCTCAGGCTTTTCCACCCCGTCTGCAACTGCCTCCGGACAGTCAATATCTGATTTCCCCGGCATCTTCACGCCACCGGCAACAGAAGCAACGTCCAGTTCCTCCGGCATCTGGACGCCGCCCGGAACACTATCGGGCCGATACACGCCCCCGCTCTCCGGCTTTTCCACACCGCGTTCCGGCTCTATATACGGCGGCCAGAGCATCAACGAGTTGGACTTCTCCATCTGTCTCGGCCAAGTGTGCCACATCTGCCACAAAAAGTTTCCATCGCCGAAAGCTCTGGAAACCCATCTCATGGGGCTTGCACACGCGCCGAGGATCTACAAGTGCCCTACGTCGCTGTTTTCATTGCTGGGGCAGGGAGGAGAGAATATGAGGGACTTCAAGTCTTTGAGTGGGCTGGTAATGCACCTGGAGAGCGGGGCGTGCAATGGTGGCTCGGAGAGGCTGAGCATGGCTATTGCGTATGTTGAGGAGAAGCTCAAGGGGAATGGGGCGGGGGGAGTAAGGCTCCTGATGTGAGCTATTTTGGACGGTGTGATGCCTTCATTTGTTGCCTCCGGTGATTGTTTTTTCTTGATTTATCATAGCGAGCGTATGTATTTAGTTAGGATCTCATAGCATGTTTTCATTTTGGCCTCATCTTTCAATGTTTTTTCTCATTACATTCATTTAGTTTTCGGTCCAGCATTCCCACTTCCCAAGGGGTTTCCATATAATTTTGGCGCAATTTCTTTTTACAAATCCTTCCTACACAGATAGAGAGGATGTCTTGCTAGCGCCGGTGTGGATTTTGCATACCAGGTATTATAGAAGGAGTCTGAAGGAGGCCGGTCATTGAAGATGGGATGTCGTGACTCGTGGGTTGGTCCTAAATGGATGATCATTTACTCTGCATTTTTGAAAAACGCCGTGTTCGCTCGTCGAACGGGCTTGACGAGAGCTAAAGAAAACCCGTCTCTTTTTCTCTCCTCATATCACGAGAATGGCTGGTATCGATTTATTCTTATGGGGGAGCTTCTGCCGCCCTGGCCAGCAGTTACCACAGAAACGTGAGCCTGTTCGGTGCTGCTTCCAGACCGACACAATGGGTCGGCAATAGTTAGGAACACATCGCCGAACCCCACAACGGGGTGTTGTCTGGCCGCCGCCGCACTGCAGCTTCGGCGGATTCGTTTCGTATGGCTGAGAGCGCAAAGGAGTACCTAGGTAACTATTGTCGGCGGGGCTTAAGGGTCTGTGAGAACTATTGTACATACGATGTAAACTTAGAATAGCAAAAGACATGTGGCGTGATTACAAATTTTATCTAGAAAGCTAGAGAAGAAAAAAAACCCTAGACATCCTTCAACTCCGAATCCACACTCTCCTCACCTACAATGAAAGTCCACCCAGCGGTCACGAAGCTCTCCAGAACCGATCCTCAGAAAGTGTGTGATTTTCGCCTCGTTCTCAAGGAGAAGTAAAAGGCGTAGCTGCTTCGGTACCGGGAGGTTTTTATACTCCTCAAGTACAATGTCCATCACAAGCTCGTTCTTGTCCTGATCGTTAAAGTCCACCCAGCCATCACGAAGCTCTCCAGGACCTATGGCTAGAAAGATTGTGGCTTTTGTGTTGTTCTCAAGGAGTCGCAAAAGGCGCATCTTCTTCCGTGCCGGGAGGTTTTTATAATCCTCGAGTGCAACTTCCACCGCACGGTCGCACGTGTCCTGACCGCTGAGAGCTGTCGCACTCTTGCCGAGCTCCAGTAATGCTTCTGCGATGGGCTGGCCAGCCGACTGTGGGCGGCGGAACCGTTTACGTTTATTGGCCCCTTGCACAGCGGAGAGGGAATGTTGTGTACCAAATGGCGGTGTTTCATCCTCAGAAGAAACGTCGATTGGCTCTTCATCACCAGAGCCATTGGGTAGCACGGTGGGCTGAGACGGAGGGGCTGCACCTGCACCAGTTGCACTCCTACCGGCGGCGAAGACATCCCGAAATTCCTTATAATACTTGAAGGGCTTGTAACGGAACTCCTTTGCTCTCGGGTTGGCTTCAATATACTTCTGGAAGACATCATCATCCGCTGTCGGCATACCCCGGGCTTCATCCCACCCAAAGCCACTGAATTTGAGCATTTCCGAAAAGATATCGAACTTCTTTTTCAGCTATAACCAGTCAGTATCCGCCGAACCCTATCGCCACTGGAATGCTTACTTGATGGTACTTGCTCTTGGCTTGTTGTGTGTCAACTTGCTTCTGGTCGTTCTTGAGGTTGACTGCTTGGGCCAGGCGTTCAAAGGTCTCCTTCTTGAAGCCACCCTCTGCACGCTTCCCCATTTGAACCTCAAGGATCACTGCACCGACTAGCGCACGCTCCATGGTTTCACTCCAGAATGCGCGTAGGAGTGGCGAGTGTAGTTGTGAAGCCCGTAAGGCAGCTCGCGATTCCGTAGTCAGTGGGGCATGTTGTGATGACGTCCGAGTGAACCGTTGTTCAAGCCGAGAGGGTGAAAAAGGAGCGTCCATGTCTGCCGGGCCGCTGAGTCGCCGCCGATGATTGCCGATAGGGGAAACCGCCCGCTGAGTTTCCGATCAGGATCCAATCAGGATTGTGGATACGTGAATTGTGGATAGAGCAGTTCTTCGCTGAAATGGTAGATACGTATGTGGATAGGGAAATCGTCCGCCTCAGGAGGTGTCTGTCTTCACGTCAGTAATGGTTCACTTGCGCTCGTTCCCCTTCAACGACTCCTACCGACTGGAACTTCTAGTAGTAATAGATGTGGCGTCGAGTTCCGAGATGTGGGAGCTGAAATATACGTGTTAGGGAACGTATGTCGCGAAATATCCTGGGCAGATACGCTATATACGTGTCACGGGGATTGTAATGATGATAACGGCTTGGCGGCTTGGTAAAGCCGACCCGAGAGCTCGGAGAGGGAGAGGGAGAGCTCACGATCATCATCTTGTCTTGTCTGTATCAGAAACCCTTCTTCTTCTCACGCTTCTTCTTCTCGCTCCGATGGCCCCAAGTAGGTATTTAGTTAATGCAGCTGGTTACTCCCATATTGACAACCATGAATAAATCTACCCGGAATCGTGACGAGTCATCTGTCCATTCTCTTGTAGAGTGAGTAGAGTAGAGTATCATACAAAGAATCATCATGCCCAAACAAGAAAAGAAAAGAAAAAAAGAGATGCGAAGAAACAAGAACCAAGATCACCAATCGCAGCGCATGAACAATCGCCAAACCAGTACTGCACCGCACCAACCGACCAACCACAACTACAAGCGAAGCATCCGCAGAAAACCAAATAAAACTCTTTAAGCCTAGACGCGTAAAACATATGGTAAAGTATAAAGCACATAATAAGCCGCTAGATGTAAACCTCGTCCGGTTTAATTCCTTGCCCTCCACCTCCTTCCCACACCCTGCACAAAGCAAATATTCTACCAGAACGAACACCATCCTATCACACGGAAGTTAGCATGAATTCAGAATAGAAAGGAATAGATGGGTGAACGAACCGATATAATGCTGACAGAGATTCTCCAAATTCGTTGCCTGATCAATCAACCTCGCCACCTGCTTCGGCACCTCCAACTCCTCATCGGGCTTAAAGTCCGTTCCGGTCAACTTCGCCTTAACCCTCTCCAGAACCTGGATAGCGCGTTGGTTCTGCAATTCCGGCTTCAACCTCGCCGCCGCTTCTTCTTCCCCGCTGCCGAGATGTCGCAGTCTCGCCAACTCCGCCGGATCAAGGGCGACAACACTGCGGCGCCGCTCGACGTTCATGTTGACGCCGCCGTTCGGGGCGAGTGCGATATCGACCACGGGACTCTCTTTCGTTCCGAGACGCCAGTGCATAAGTGGATCGTGCATGAACGCTTCGAGGACGGCCATCAGAGACTCCTTATTTTCTCTGAGTACCTTCATGACTGCTTCGCAGGTGGTGCGGAAGCTTCCCTCGATGTTTGAGACCTCCATTGCGTAGGTGAGCATGCGGGTAAGTCGGAAAGGTACCTTCTCCGGGTACTTCTCGCGGTGCATGGCAACTTCGAAACAATCGCCGAAATCGATATGGATCACCTTGCCGGTGATTCTGTGGAGCATCAAATTACTCGGGTGGCGATCTCCAAGTCCCAGAATGTAGCCGACCATGCTCATCACACCTAGAGATCGGGTGTAATTCGTCCGTCGGTCCAGCCACGCCTCGGATGATTTACTCTTGAGCCAGAGTACTCGGTAGAGATCCTGCCCAGTGGTGTTGTCGAGCGCATATCCGAACACCTCCACCTTCTGCATTAATGTCAAGTTGTCGTAGTCGGGCGCCATCTGCAACATAATCCGATGTTCTATATTCAGAAGGATCTTCCGGCTCTCCCGATACTCCCTGATGAGCACGTGTAGGGTATCACTGTCAGGAACCCATCCCAGCAGTCCGGAGTTCTGTGAAAGCGGAATGACAGGATACTGCTGGATGTTGAGGTGTCGCTTGAAACACTCCGAATCGACGCTGAGAAGGGTGTTGACCAAACCGAAAAGCTGCATGACACGTTCGTCCTGCCGAATATCCTCGTGTCCCTTGAGCAAGTACTGGTACGATGTTCCGTCGCTTCCCTTGATGGTCAATTTTCGAGGCCGCTGCTTAGATGTGATAACGTTGAATGTCGGCTCGAAGTTCATGATCCGGATAATGGGCTTGCCGGTTGCGTAGGTTCCGGGTACCGCCAAATCCAAATCGTGGATAGCCAAGAGTTTTGGAGAAACGTATTGAAGATCCAGAGTAGTAAGCTGGGGCAACTGTCTACTGATTTTTCTAAAAACTTGGTAGTACAAATCCCAAGCTTGGTTGAGATCGCCGACTTCCTTCGTTCGTTTGTATGTGACACACCACTCCTTCGCGTCATGGAGGTCCCGTCCGAATGCTTGGTGAAAGGATATTTCTCGCAGCGTCTCAGGTCCCTGTTTCAAGTTAGACTTGCAATTTCGGTAGTTAACAAAGGTGAATTTACCCTCTCCAACATCTCATGCAACGGCTCCAGCGTCTTGAACATCATGTCCGGATTGTGGTCTCCAAAGTACAGTCGACTCGCCTCTTCCAGACCCTCATGCCACAGCTCGTGCCACAAAACAGCAACCCGAATCAGCTCCTGACTGACAATCTCGGCCTGGTCCACAAGTCTCGACGAATGACTCTTCATGCTATCCATTATTTGCATCGCGGAAGTCTTGCGCCTCGACAGCTGAGATTTAGCCGCAACGGTAAGTGGGTACACCAGCGCCTGCGGATGCGCCCGTCCGACATCTGACAACAGTTGGTGAATAGTTTGGCGGACAATCGGGTCGGGTTGGTTGATTCTGGCGATAAGTTGGGGAATAACCTCGAGCCAGGTGTCAACGCTGATGGTATTGAAGCCTTCCGTGACTCGCGTGTTGACCTCCGCATTTCCACCATGAGTAAACCACAACGTTAGAAGTCGAAGCGTGTCCTGCAGAGAGCTTCCGGAAGATAGTGCAATGGACTTGAAGAATCCCTGAACAGCCGGAATGACGTGTTCCCGGATAACAGCCAGTGGAACATCGCTTGGTTCGCTTCCAGCAGCTGCCGTAACAACCTCAAAGTTGGCCAAAGCCCAAGCATGCCACGCTTTGTACCAGTCCTTATGATACTGTGTCGCCTGTTTGTACGAATCGAGAATCTTCGAGGCAGTTGCTGGTTCGGTCTGCCAATTCTTATGTAGCGAAACTTGCCACGCACCTTGCTTGAGGTAGCATCGTGACAGCAATCGCGTATTCTCGATGACGTGATGCGGAATCTGAGATGGTTGTGGGATACCGCCGTGCTGGGCCATGTTCATCCGGAGGTCATTCGACAGCGACTCGGTGAAGTCCAATAGGTGATTGATGGCGGCTTGTTGCGATCCGGTAGACCACATAAACTTCAACCGTGCATACGTTACCTGAGGGGGTACTGTAGCGGTACCAACATTGTCGATGGTCTGGTTCAGTGGAAGGAGTGAATTCAGTGATTTCTCGGCCAATCCAATTCTCCCGGATTTCCGGCACAGATTTGAGAACTTGATCCACATGTCCATGTTCTCCACCGGTGATATGACTAGAGCCCGGACCTTCAACATTCGCTGCCAGACTTCGACGTTGCGCTGACATCCCTTCAGACGTTTGGTCCAAGTCCTCCGCATGACCTCCTGCTTCTCGGGTTGATCGTGGCATTGCTTATACGTGATAATCTCCTCGAGCTCGGCCAACATCTGAACACGGACGATGACGCTGTAGGCACGGTTGTAACTCTCCCCGACGAGTGCACTAAGCTCCGTGTCGAGGCCCTCTCGTGCTTTCTCGATGTGCTTTGCCGCCTCCTCGAAATGATTTCTGTGCAGCGCCAGAATAGCACCGAAGAAACTGCGGTCAGGCGAGTGCTCCTTCATGACGCCGATGTATTCGTCCATCAGACTCCACTGACCGAGACCCCATGCAGCAGCAGCAGCCAAGGGGGCAATATGTCGCTGCACTTCCCGGTTGGCGGTCCTCCATTTCTCTTGCGCCAGAGACGATAGGTGGTCCCATTCTCCCAAGGCGTGCAGACAGCGCATCTTTCCCATCGTAATTTCAATCGAGTTTTGTTCCGTCACTTCCTTCTCTTGGTACGCCTTCAACGCCTCCTCCCAACGTTGCAACTTCTCGAACCACGACTCCCGCAAAGGTACATCACTGTAAACTTGCGCCCGACGCAGAATACCGATGGCGGCATCCGATTGCTGCAAGAGGTTATTGATACTAATAAGAGCCTCGATGGTGCTGGGCTGCGGTTCCTGTAAGAATTCCAATTCTTTGTAATGGAGAGCCTTGGCGTACGCATGGCACTTAGCAGCGTATACCCCCAACGTCCTAATGTCAATCGGTAGCGCTTTGTCGTCATGCTCCATGAATTCCGCCAGGTTCAACAAGATCTGTAAAATCTCGGGAGGAATGTTAGGCGAAATGAGGGCCGTTTCTATCGACCTCACAAGTTCTTCCTGGAATTGGTCATACAACTCTGTCCAACAAGAGACGAAGGCTGCATTGAAAAGGTCTCTCGCCAAGGGGTAGTAGGCACCGGCAAGACCGGCACATGCCCGCAGTGCGTGAGATGGACTCTGCTTCAACAGCTCGACACTGAATCTCCTGATCCACTCTTGCCAATCCTCTTTGGTCGATCGTTGCGACGCCTCCCATGCGGTCTTGAGATGTTGTTGATTAACCGGCAGCTTCTTGGGCCCGAAATCGGCAAATGACACCTCGTCCGGCTTGTCGGCAAACTTCTCGTCTGGGCTCAGATCCTGCGGAAGTGGCTCTCCCTTCAATAACTTGCTAACAAGCAGCTCGTAATTCGTGTGCTGAATCTTGTTCACCTGCAAAATCTTGTTGATCATGGGAATGAAGTGATTGTAGTCGTGTCCCAACTGGAAGACGAGAGCACAGAGTGTGTCGAGCGCAGCCACCCGAAGCTCAGGCGTGGAAGTGATCAGAACACGGGAGAGAGGGTGGATAATTCGAGAGGCATGGTCGGAGATGTTGACCTTCCGAGACAGTCGGGCGATCGTCTCCATGGCGGCCTTACGGGTGGTAACTCGTTGTCCAGGCTTCTCAATCAATCGAACGATCACTGGTATGATGAGGTGCATGTACTCCTCGCTACTCGATCCAAACACGACGAATGCATGCAGGACCTTCTCCGATATCGCCGGTGCCGAAGGACTCGTCGACTCCAATACCGAAAGCATTAGAGGGAGTAGTTGCGCCAAGTGTACCTTAAACTCGCCCTCCAAGGAATGCGCGATCGATTCTATCAGATTCAGGATTGTTCCTTGGAGGGTGGAATTAGGATTCCAGTAATCACGGACGAGCTGAAGGATTTCGGGAAGAAAATTTCGGATATGTTGCTTCACGATCGATACCAACAGGCTGAGGTTATTGAAGTATTGGTCAAGCATTCTGGGGGGGCAGCTCCGAGTAACCGCGATGAAACCGGGAATGATCTGTGGCAGGAAGGTGACACATTTCAAACCAAGAGTTTTGAAGATGTTCATGATTGCCTCGATGACCGACGAGTGATGCTGACCAAGCGACGGATCCTTGACCATATTCATGAGGGAGTTGATGACGACGGTAGGATAGTACTCCTCGCTAGAAGGAGTCAGGCCGTTCATGATCAGTGAAACATCGGTAACTGAGTGAGCCTGCTCCGACAGGTGCGCATCTGTGCTGTTTTCGACTGTTTGGTGCTTGTAAGGATCCAATGCACCCAAGATACCCATCAACTTGATTGTCTCCTTCCTCAGAGTCGTATTTTGCTCCGTCTTGACGATGTTGACCAGAATAGTGAGCAGCTGGGGGTACTCAAGGTACGGTTCGATAACATATCCGGAATTACTCGCCAATTGCCCAAGCGTCCTCAGGGCAGCATCCCGTTTCGCCGGCGAACTCTGATCTTGTAGCGTCTCGATGATAAGCGGCATCAATTCGGGAATGTATGGGATCATGCTCTCGCCCCCGACAGTAGCAAGCTCTCCGAGAGCGGTCATGATGCTCGACGCAACACCAGCACTGGGATCCCTGGCTTTCGGAAGCAAAACCGTGACCATGGGTTCCACGTAGGGCTGAATGAGCTTCTGCGATGCCGCAACAAGATGGCTGAGTAGCTTGGCGCTCTCTTCTTTGTTGCGAGAGACATTCGAATACTCGAGCTCAGTCAACAGCTGGATCAACGTCTTTCGCAGCGACGGCATAACATAGGCAGGGTTATGCAGCGTAAGGCGCCCGATAATGGTAATTGCTGCCTCTCGGATCGCAAAAACCTCGTCATTCAGAGCCAAGAACAGCGACCGGACGTTCTCAGCTTTAGCCAGGTGGCGGTCGAAACGGGCATCGAGTGAGAGAAGCACAATCTTGCGGATTTCCGGGTCTACCGAAAGAGTCAGCTTGGAAATTGCAGCTGAGAACTATGGATTGTACCTGGGTCGGCAATCGCGACAGTCAATAGCTTCTCCATCACCTCCCCAACGACTTGAATTGCATGGTTGCTGGTTTGGTAACAGATGGGATCCCGAACGAAAAGTTGACAACATGTCAAGGCTGCAGCCTTTCGGACTTCGGTGTGGTCATCTTCGACATATTTCATAGCGACATCTCGGACAAATTCATTCAACACGTGATCTGGAACACAAAATCAGACACGGTCACCGAATAATTGATATTTGTTTCAATTGGAACATACTCGTGAAATCAAAGCTGCCCAACGTGTGCAGCGCCAATGTAATCTCTGCATCTCTCTCTTCGGGCGATACACCATCCTTATGCTGTCTCGTCAACACTGGCGCCGCGAGTTGTGGGTTAGCTGGACTTCCCAGCGGCTTGAAAGGTCGCCCGCTCAGCACAATACTAATCATGTTGAGCAACCTCTCCTGGATGGTGGGTAACAGCGGGGGGATGTAATGTGAGAGATCAACGAGTGCTTGAGTGAGCTTGACGCTCAATCCACAGGCGAAGATGAGATCAAGCAGCTCATGCATGTACTTTGTGAGGGCCTGTCCAACAGCTGTAGCGAGCATACTGATACACTCGAATATCGGAGCCTCCTGTTCCGCTCGTTGAGCCCGGTTTCGGCCCTTGATAGACAGTCCCTCCTTGATACTCGCCAATATAGCATCAAGATACGGCCCCATGTTGCTCCCAACGGCCAACGCGACGTCCCCAATAGCCTTGTATGCAGCGCCCCGCTCCTCCGGGTCCTTCTTCTTCAGTTGTGCCTGCAGATGCATCATGAACTTGTGAAGGTAGCTGCTGACGAAATCGGAAGGACTGTATTTCGCGAGCGAGGGAATCATCTTGATTGTCAGTCGGCGGATTCCCGGGTCGCGGTGATCCTTAAGCCGGAGAACGACGTCGCATGAATCCCGGTAGCTGTCATACATAAACATCCCCGCCGAGTCCAGCAGCTGCAAGTATATCAACAAGCTTCCGTGGATGCCGTCCGTACTACCCATCCTGAGTCCTGACCGAGCCTCTTCCAGAATTTTCAAGTACCAAGTGTCCCTATTCTTTTGGTCGCGAAACTTCATGATCGTCAAGCAAGAAGCGAGTGCTTCCGCTGCCGTTTCTCGGATCAGAACCTTGGGGTCTCTGACCGCGACCCAGATGAGCTCCAGAATTTGTGGGATGAAGCCGTATATGAGAGTGGGCGAGCTCCGCGCAAGCTCCCGGAGTAACAACACCGACGCGAACCGTCGATTCTCCTGTCTGTCGATCTGTAGCCATTCTAGTGCTTGCTTCATCTCACTCTCCACCAGTTCGGACGTCAAGGTCCCTCCGGGTGCCGCGAGCTGGCCCAGAGTCTTCGCCGCCAGTACCATACAGTGGTTATCGTTCCCGCGCATGATCGATCGCAGGTAATTCGCATATCTTGTCGTCTTTTGGGTACTATCATCGTGATCAACGTCGATAAGAACCCCCAGTGAGAGGATGCCGCCGATCTTGTCTGCGCTGTCATTGCTGTGTATGAATTCGGAGACCTTGCGGTTGACCTCCGCATAGTAGTATGACAGTCGTTCCGGCGGTAGTTCTGTGCTCACCGTCGATTATCAGTATTTCCAGGCGAAGGCTGGAGGGATGGCGGTGGAGGTGACCTCTCGATGAGATTTCTAGGTGAACTTTAAGGTCGTTCACAGCCTTCTGCCGCACATCTTCATGCCTAGTCCAGAGTGAGAAGCATCAGTCTCTATCTTAAACAGACATTCCCAGTGATTTCCGCAAGTGTTTGGTGGCGAGGAAGACGACGTACTTGCTCCGGATATCGATGAATATCCTCTCTAGTTGAGCGGCCATAACCGGCCGGGGGTCTGGGGTGGTGGATCTCTATGAGGGGGTTGGTTGAGTGCCAGGTACCAAGGGTTGTGATACGGCAACGCGATTGAGTTCGGTGATGCTTCTGGCTCGGGAGGCAGGTTGACAGTGGCTTAGGTGCTTATTCGAATGAAGGTGTTGAGGAAGCTTCGTTGTGTGTCGTCGCGTGAATGCTAAACGGCGTGTGATTCCACTAGCGTCGATTGGGCGACCGACTCCCGCTTTAGGCACCTGCCTTGGCACCCATCACTCGGGGTCCCAGTACTAGCGCCAAGTGGAGGAGCCTGTACTACGGGCCCACGGCGATACAAGAAACAAATTTACTCATCCGGAGGATCGTGTATATTTGGTTGCAAGGTACTCTTCTCAAGCTGCGATAACAGAAGGTGAAATCAAATCGTTCGCCTGAACTATCTAGTAGCTATATCTATTCTACTACATGTGTGTTCGATTCCTCTACGGCAACATGATTTACAACCCCAGCTCCTTGAGACTTTTGACGGTGTTCACTACACAGTCCTCGAATGAGTGGTACTTGAGCCCGAGCACCTCCTTACTCCTCGAGTTATCGACGGTGTACAAGCCTCCCTCAAGGTAATCGAAGCCGTCGTTCTCCTCCCTCGTCGCCGGCAGCTTATCCTTGTATTCGGGGAAGTGCTTGAGGATGATATCGGCAGTTTGCTGGTTGGAGACTGTGCCGCCAGTTAGCTATGCTTTGGTAGATGTAAGGCATAATATGGAGAAACTTACAGTTGCTTCCCTCGACAACGAAGAAGCGCTTTCCAGCAGCCTCAGGCTTCTCGAACGCAGCTACATGTGCCGCGGCAACGTCCCGAACGTCAACCCAGACGAAACCACTGTTGGCCGGCAGCTTCTCCTTGTTCTTTCCGTTCAAAAAGTTGCAGAAGCGCTCATTTGACGTGTTAATCGATTCTAAAGCTTGCATGTATGGCTTCACTGGACCGAAAACCTGCGTCGATTAATACCGAGCCTATCGGTATTAGATTCTCAAGGTAAACCTACTAGCGGAGGGTTGATCGTCGATAGCGTGAAGTTGGGCTTTTCTTCCTCAAGGAACTTCCACGCAGCCTTCTCGGCCAGAGTCTTTGATGCACGGTATCCAGTGGTAGGATCACTATCCGCCTCCTCGATTGTAGTCGGATTCCAGTCGGCTTCGCTGTACACCTTTCCAGGCCATTTACCCTCTTTAGGGTGGATGATAGATGCGAAGCTAGAAGTCACAACCACGTGCTTGACAGTGGGCGCATACTTCTTGATCGCCTTGAGGATACCGGTGGTTCCGTTGATAGCCGGGTCCAGAAGATCCTTCTTCGTGTCCTTGACGTTGAAGTGGAAAGGCGATGCGGTACTGCCCACGAATCAAGTCAACACCGCCGCCTTTCGCACACGGTTAAGGGACAAACGTACTGAAGCACAACCTCGAAGGGAGGGTCGCTCTTTACCGCCTCGTCGAATGCACCAGCCTCGGCGATGTCCTTGACAATTACATAGTCGATCTGGTCTTTGTGCTCGGGGTGCGCGGCAATGAGCTTTTCAGCCTTGTCGGCGCTACGGACGGTGAGACGGACAGAGTGTCTGTTCAGATGACGGGTTAGCTCGTGTTCTCTCGAGACTCCGAGAAAATGGTTACCGACCCGTGTGCCAGAAGTATGTCAAGGATGTGGGCTGTGTCGGGTCATTGATTAGTGGGGCTCCTCGGGCCACTGCGGGGTAATTGGATCACGAACTAGCGATGAAGCCGGAGGCACCTGTTCATTCATCTATTATCAGTAAGGAATCAACCGTCAAGCTTCGGCCAGTTCTCACCGGTGAGCAAAACGCGAGTCATGTTGTATGTAGTTGGATGGAAGGTGTTTCTAGATAGGGTGGCAGGTTACTAGAGTTCTATGACAGCGGAAGCGCAAGAGGTTTAAATAGCTAGTCGATGGCGGAGATGGTGATGTTGATTATGAATCCAAGACTCTTCGATCTTCCTCTATGTACGGTAGAGTACACACAGGATGTTCCGTCCAGGAGATCCGGGTATGCAGCATTGGGGTTGGTACATAGTGGGGCTAACGAAGTGCCCCACCTTAATTCCGTCCCGAAGCCATGCCGTGTCGTCATTTCCCCACCATCTTGCGCGCGATTTATGGTGCGAAGAGCCGACATATGTATCGTGAGGGATACTGTTGATGATGAAGGTAATGAGGATGGAGATCATTCAAGTCCCTCATACGCATCCCTTATTCACCTGAGATCAACGCCGAAGAGCCGAGTAGTCCCACCTTACACCGCGATAGGTGAAATGTATCGTTAAAGGATGACGCCTCCCTAAATTGGTATCTATCCGAACCCATCCGTCTACACAGTTTATACATCCTCCTTCTCCTCCTCTAAACCTGAGCTTCACTTTTCCCCTCCAACGCCTTTGCCTCCTCTTTAATCTCTTCCACGATATTCTTCTCGTCCTTCCAAGCCTGCATAACGTACTTCGTATGGCTTCCACGTGCGAAAGTATCGCCCTTTTCATTTTTAAAGACAATACTGGTATACGCTAGGGTCTTTCCAAACTTATCGCACTGCACCTCAGCACTGATGACATCGCCGATCACCCCGCCAGACGACAGATAGGTAACATTAAGATCCGTCGAAACACCAGTGGAATATAATCCGCGCGACGCGACGGCAAGTGATCCACCCAGATCCACCATGGACGCGATCGTGCCACCGTGTAGGATGCTGAGTCGGTTCGTGTGATGCTTCTCTATCGGGAGTGAGAGCTTTACGCGACCGGGAGTGGCAGCCGTGATCGTGAGGTTGTGTAGGAGGCTGTGCGAAGTGTTAGGCGTGGCGGAAGTCGGCGGCGACTGGCCGTAGAAGCGGGGGGTGATACCGAGGTTCAAGACCGCTGGATTCAAGGAAAGATTTCCATACCTGTGGATTGTTGTTAGCAATTGTGGGTAAGGATAAGGAGAGGGTGTCGCTTCCGAACCGAGCGGACGAGATTGAGAGTCTTTGGGCTCGACATTGTGATGTAAAGTTGTGATGCAGGACTGAATCACGATTCACGGTGGCCACAATCACTCAATTGAAGACTTGCGGTATGTACGGTATGTACCAGGAGCTGCCAATAAGTGTGCCTCACCACCATTACGAATTATAAGCACTAGTCTATAATGGAGCGCACTAAGCCGCATACAATGAAATGAGTGAGTGGATGTGACTAAGTGGTATAGGGAAACAGCGCTAAGTTGTATGGGGGAAAACCTGGTGAGGCAGCACTTACCCTTACACCCGAGTACGACAACGAGCTGCTGACAAGTAGCCGAACCACATGACGTGCACTGCAAGCTGCCAATCTCAGTCCCGGTCGACGGGTAACTGGCCCATGACGTTATCCGAGACCTCGAATTTGCTTCACTGTCAGACACGGAAATCTCCGCCAAGAAACCCCACGCCTTCGAAATGCGAATACTGAACTCCTACTCCTTCCCGCTGGGTATCACCAATGCAGCGCAGGCGGCGCTCACAGTTGTGGATGCCAACAAACACCTCAACATCTTCACCGCCCTACATCCTGCCGAAAAAATACTGGCCGCGTCCGTGAACGCTGAAAAACGAGCGGTAGATGGCGGGGTGGGCAAACTCTCCGAACTGGACGGCCGGCTAGTCGCGATTAAAGACAATATCGTGACGACGGACCTTCCAACCAGCTGCGGCAGCGAGATGCTCCGAGGTTCGTTTCGACTTCCTCCGTCCAACAACCAATGCCATCCATCATGCGGATTTTCGCGGCGCAGAAGCTGAGCTGAGGGGAGATCAGAGTATGTTTCGCCCTTTGATGCGACTGTGGTGGCACGGCTAAGGAGTGCTGGCTGTACCATCATGGGAAAGACCAACATGGATGAGTTTGGCATGGGGTTTGTGGATTCTGTCTCCGTGGGGTGGAGATATTTGTTGACGGGTGGGCGTTGCAGATCACACTCAACCTTTTCGATTCATGGTGCCGTTCAGAGGCCGCGATACCCGTGGCGCGAGCCGCGCTCAGCTGGCGGGAGTTCTGGTGGTAGTGCAGCTGCCGTTGCCGCGGGGATGTGTCATGTGTTTGTGTTCCCAAACTGTCGTCGGATACTCATGTGGGCAGCCGTTGATATCTTCCAGCGCTCTAGGAACCGACACGGGGGGCTCTGTCCGATTGCCTGCCTCTTACTGCGGCGTTGTAGGTTTTAAGCCTTCATACGGTCTCCTCTCGCGATGGGGTGTGGTTGCATATGCAAACTCGCTTGACACCGTTAGCATACTGGCTCGAAACACGCTGGACGCGAAGATCGTCTTCAGTATGTTCTCGCTCTCATACTTCCCAGCACCGGCTGACACCGCCCAGAACTTCTAAACGCATACGACCCTAACGATCCCACCAGTGCCACCGTAGACACCCGCGAGCGCGTCGGCAAGAGCCTCGGCGCTCTCCACGAGAAAGCCCGGGTCCGGCGCTGCTTGCGCATCGGAGTCCCGGCGGAATACAATGTGGCAGAGCTCTCTCCGCTCGTTCGGCGGTCATGGGAGAAGACACTTCGTCTCCTTGCCCTGCGTGGCGCCGAAATTGTGCCCGTATCACTCCCCAACACCCGCGCCGCCCTCGCAGCATACTACATTCTCGCGCCTGCCGAGGCCTCCTCCAATCTCGCACGCTACGACGGCTTGCGCTATGGCCACCGTTCCTCCGCCGATCGCTCAGAGGAAGACAACATCCTCTTTGCGCCTACCCGTGCGGAGGGATTCGGTCCAGAGGTAAGACGCAGAATTCTCCTGGGCGCGTATACGCTCTCCTCCGAGGCAATCGGAAACTACTTTCTCAAGGCGCAGCGTGTGCGCCGACTAGTTCAGCGGGACTTCGACAAGGTTTTTGCGCAGCCCAACTTTCTGGTGCAGGCTGCAGACACCCAGGAGACTCCGGACGGCGTAGATGCCATCATTGCCCCCGCCGCTCTTGGAGTCGCACCAAAACTCGCGGATATTGAGAATCAGCGGCCCGTGGAGGCGTATGCTAATGATGTGTTGACCGTGCCGGCAAGTCTCGCGGGAATCCCGTGCATCAGTGTTCCTGTCGGTGAGGAGGCGAACGAAGAGAACGATGGTGAGGGTGGTATGGTCGGTATGCAGGTTATGTGTCAGTGGGGCGATGAAGAGAGGTTGTGGGAGGTTGCGCGCTTGATTGAGAATGACTCGGACGCTAAGATTGGTAAGGGTGCGAGGGATCTGGGGACTGTGTCGGTAGCCGCAGAATAGGCGGAAAGAATTGGGGAATAGTCAAGCCACGCTGGGTAATGGGTCATATCTCATGTCGGTAATATGATGACCGGACTTGTCGATACCCGTTAAATTCAATCGGCCTTCAATTAGGTTACCAGTTGCTTTTAGAGAGAAACTGAAATCTTCCGAGTTGTCTGCCTGGAATTGTTCCCCCGTTGTTCGAAGCATGCCACGGTCCTCGAGTGTGCCGCACATTAGGAAAGACCGTTGTGAGATTTCTGCCCAGGTGTGGCTCTCCTTCTTCCATCGTCTTCATTGCATGAACTGCGAACAGATTCTGAGTTCTGGGGGAGGTGAGGAGACATTTGAGGGAGAGAGAGAGATCTTCCTCTTTTATTTCGCATCCAGCCTATCTAGACTATGGCGAACCGTCACACTCCTTTCCTGCCCACTCTGGCCGGCCGGGGGTTAGGACCCCGTTACCAGCCAGCACGATGTGGCGCCAGGAGACATTCGATAGGTTTCACCGAATGACGAAGGGTGTTTTGCACGAGTGATATATCGTATGTGAAAAAGGAGTTAATGAAGATAAAGATGTGATTATCCACAAATACTCCTCCACAGGCTGTCCCTTCTGTCGAAAACACCTCCGAAAACACCACCATCGGCATCAACCCCCAGCGGCTTCCCAAGACGGCACAGACCCCATATTCAACCAAAAATCCTCCTCATCATCTCCTCGCCCAGGATTTCCCCCTTCCACCGACTATCCATCGCCACCCTAACCCTATTTCCATGGCCCTTATGCAACCACACGCCTCTATCATGCTTCCTAACCGGCAAGCTCAGATCCTCCTCCGCCTTCCAGCGGCGCCTATCCACGACGGACATACCCCTCGTCCAATGTCCCTGCGTCTCCACCCTGACATCGACGTCCTCGCGTATCACCCAGCCGTCAGGCTGCATCTCCCTGGTGAGCACATACCAAATCGTCATCGGATCATGCAGGGAGAGGTGCACGTCCTGCGGCCTCGTCTCCGCAAACAGCGTTTGCATGTGTTTAAACGTCGCGCCCAGGAACGTGCCGACCCACTCCGCGAGCGGCGATCCTTCTAGCACGCAATCCTTGGTTGCGGCGTGGAACGCATCGAACGATAGTAGGTGGAACGTCGTGATATCCAGCGGCAGCATGGTCAGGTTCAGTTTCCGCGAGAGCACCTCCGGGTACGCGGGGAGATCGATGCATTTCGGCATCGTGGAGGATGGCCGCGGTGAGGTCAGTGCGTAGATCCGGGCGGCGGAGACCGGGCACGCGTATTGGTTGAACTCGGCGGCCGGGGTCACGTTGCCTTCGATCTCGAGCGTTCCGCCCATTACTACTACTTCCTTGGCCTTCAGGAAGGTTTCTGGGTCTTCGGCGGCCGCAAGCGCGAGGTTACTCAACGGCCCCGTGGCGACGATGGTGATGGTATCGGCCGGATGTGCGCGTAGGATCGAGAGGATCTCTTTGTGCGCGGGCTGGGATGAGGGCGTGAAGTTCGGTGGCAGCTCTGGGATTGCTTCGCCGTGCTCCGTGGAGGTGAACAGATGCGACCACATCTCCTTTGGACTGAGGTGGGGTGCAGTTTCGTGGACACCTTGTAACCCGTCCATTCCGTCTGCACATATGTCAGCGAGCACTCGTGCAGAGCGACTGGATAGTAATGTGAGCAGGTAGTTACGGAAGTAATCGTATTCCAACACAGTGCCCTCAAGGGGTTCCGTAGCTCCCACGGCGACAACAGGACAACATGCCCCCAGCGCCCCGAATCCAGCAGGACGTCCATTGTCAATTCTCCACTTCCGCTCCAGATCCAGCACATGGAACAGCGCTACGACGTTACGAAGACAGCTGGGTCTTTCCGTTAGCCAAGCTCTATATATTCCCGGGCGAAGGGAGTCGTATGTACATACCACTCCACGTCGACATTGCCAAAACAAACAGATATCAGAAGAATCTCGAGTTCTTCGGGGTCGGCGGAGAGCGCAAGAAGGAGCGAAAGTATGTCGTCGCAGCTGGCAGCCGGTTAGCATCATGGATTTTTCATTGTTGGGCTGGGGGTGAGGGCTACCCAGGGTCAGTATCGATGATGATTTTTCTGGGCGCCATGATGAGTTGAGTATTCGGTACGAAATGGAACTCTCTTTGCCCGGGGGAGGGCCATGGTCTTTATGGGTGTGCCGGGCCCCGGTGAAGAGTGTTGGCGTATGTAGGATCGAGAGCCTTGGTCATCAACTGCCCGGACACCCGTATGACGGTATGAGTCGACTGCCGCCGGCACTAATGGATTCCCTATCGATTCCGACTTCTGATTTTATGTACATCTGTACAGAAGAAAGATCCGATGTTCGACCTGTCGCCGTCTGCCTGATTTCCCCGCATTCTAGCGTCCCCACTCCCGGTGGGAGGGGTGGCGGGGGTTCGGTCCCTGCATACCGACTCCCAAACTGCAATGCAGGAACTTGGTCTTGTAAGCGATGGGCTGAGGAGTCAGCGCCACTTGATATAAATAAAGAGACGGAAATCCACTATCTTTCGTTGAGCTAGCCTACTACTCTCTATGGTTTGGGCACTTGGATATAGCTACACGAAATTCAAAAACCAAGTACATAATTCCAAATACAACTCTGATTATTCGTACTTATGCAAAAGAAAAGCTATGAAGAAAACCCCCCGCATCAGGTGTACAATACATAGCCTTCAATTCCACGCATCTTAGTTTCCATCCGACATAGATCCTGCCCGGAAACACTTCAACCACTGTCTCAACGCGGCAGCAAACATTGCGTTCGGCTTCTTCGCCCGCTTTTCGCCCGTATAGAAGTCGTACGAGTGCTCCGAGTTCGGCAAGAGGTATCCGAACACCTCTTGGTTCCTCCCACTCTCCCGCCGATTGCACTCCCGCGACGGCCGGTCCGTGACTCGTATCGATGGTGCCCCCGGCTCGCTAGAGAAAATGGATAGTGCTGTCCAGGGATCCCACTGTCCGGCGGTCCAGAAGACTCGGCTCGGCCGCATGTTCCAGCCCCCTGTGACAGCGTTGAGCTTCTCCGTCTGCGGCTCGGCTGGTAGGAGTCCGGAGCTGCGGCCGTCTGGGAACTGTCGGTAGCAGTTGTCTTGGTGGTATTGCAGTGAGTTGTAGCGGGAGCTGAGGGCGTGCGGCCCAACATTGGTGGGATGGAAGAAGCCGAACTCTGTGCAAGACCTAAAGTGCTTGGGTTAGCGGATGCTTAGGAATGCGTTGTGTGTGTATGTGTGTCGGGTACGTACTGCCATGTCCAAGATATCATGGTTGGATGCGAGGTGCGGCCATCGAGACGGCAATTCGGCGTTTTATAATCATTGCGCACAGGGCCTTCGCAGTAATTCTTGCCGTCCCCGTTGTACCTGCTCACGAGCTCGGCATGCAGCGGCCAAGCAGCCCACCGGTCGGAATAGAATGCTCCCTGCTTGCTCTCTTCCCTCGGCGGCTTCACGGCGTCCATGTAGTTGCAGAATTGACGTAGAACCTCGTCCACGCCGTCCACTTGGAACATCTGGTAAGGCGCCGCAAAGGTCACGGCGAAGCCGGCATTGCTGTTTTCTTCGACCGTGCGGCCTAGATATTGGCGCTTGATGCCGGCGGCAGTGGTGGGATGGGAGAGTTGGATGTCGACGTAGTCAACTGCCTTCTTGATGTAGGATGTGCAGTTCTTGAGGCCGTAGTGGACCATTCCTCGGTAGACCTGTTCGTAGTCTGCAAAATCCGAGGTGAGCATCTCAACAAATTGTACCTAAGGGGGGCTGCGACTTACAGACGGACATGTCCTTCTGATGCTGGACTATAGCCGAAGAAGCGTAAGCAGCAAATACTGTCTCCGGATACAGCTCTCGCAGGGTAGCCGCCCGAGTTCCACCGTAGCTCGAGCCAATAACAATCCACGGCACCTGCTTCGGCGAGACGCCTAAACTCTTCCATTGAAACTGGTTGGCAAACACGACAAAATCCTTCAGAGAATTTTCGTTGGTCAAGTACTGCATTTGCTCGGCGGTGGTATCGAGATTGATTGGGAATGGTGAGCTCTCGCCGTAGTACCTGCTAGTGTTTAGAAAACATCCCAACGAGGTGGTATCTCAGTCCACGGAACGCTTGAAGACTTACCGATGCTCCCAGATAATCCCCATTCCGGAAAACTCCTCAAGATACTTGTTGAAGAAAGTTCTGCGCTCCGCCAAGTGGGCGAGAAACCACGCTCCATCCGCTTCGGCTGGATCATAGACTATCACATCGACGTATCAGTCTTTGTCTCCACGATCCCTAGTCTCTAGATATGCATTCAATTTACCGAAGATAGGTCCTCCGGGCTTGTAGTAGTGATCCTGAACCCAGTAACGATTTGAGAAATTGCCGGGGTGACTTCCGCTGTGATCAATTGGCAGCTGTCGCAGTTCATTCATCAGCATTTTGTAGGCAAATAGGAAGTTTGGAATGGTTCAGCGCTTACAGAAAAGCTCCCCGCATAAGGCACTGGCAATGGGACTACCGGAGGCGTTTCCACAATTGCAGCGGGGTTTTGTTCGATATGCTCGGGCTTCGGAATTCCTATGGTGCCATGGGACTTTGCGAATGCCAGGAGGGCCACCACCACCAGGGCCGAAAACTGGAGAACTCTCATCTGAAGACTTTGAGGGTGTGAAGGTGCTGTAGAACCCGGTGGAAAGGAATGAATGAATGTGAAGGATGGAACTGGAATGCTGAAGTATCGAAGACGTCGGGGGTTGTATTTATGTCGGATTGGATGTTGAGAAGTCTGTCGTGAAAAACACAGGTCCTGCCGCAAGTGTATTTTTGTACCGGGGAGTCCACAGGGTATTGAATCGAGAGACAATCGTAGTCCTTTGTATGTGCATATTTAGTGGGTTTTCGCGATTGATTCTGCGGGTGGGGGGGCGGAGGGTGTTGTGTTTTGATGCAGGTACGCAGCATTATAGTAGCGTACTCATTTCCTAATCCTAGGATCATTCAAAAGAACTTTTTGCAAAGAGATGATATAGGCCTCTGGTAGTGTACTTGATCACCATCCGACGACTCTGCTTCATTTCTGTCGATTGGACCCGGCAGCGACGCCACCCGGCTGCATCCCGTCTAAGTCCCCACCCTCCAGTTTGGGACCTGTGTTGCTGACTATCACCATAGCTTCGGGTTGCGGGGCATAGTTACAGCCGTACATACCGGATTGGATGTACTCTAGAGTAAGCGCGAGTGAAGGTGCATGTTTGACAGAACAGCCTCCTGTTGTTATGTTCGCCAACACCGTATGCGGTGAGCGGACTTGCACAGCAACAGCTTTGAAGGCGACGTCCATACCAGGACCTGGTCTGCTAAACGAGGGACCAAGCACTGCATCAATCGAGAATGTGGGCAGCGGATGAATCAGTACAGCGTGGAATGCTAAAGTAAGGAATAGCGGGCTCTTCCGAGCTCCTCTCCTGATCCCTACATACATGTGCTAGTTCTTTGTTCTCAACGGTTACCTACTCAGTTAGGTATGTTGGGTGTATAGCGATACTCACCTTGCGAGCGGAATTACTGTGCTCTGATAATTGCTGTGCATGCGGTTTGCCGTGCCTTGTGAGCAGTTGCCGCGTTGCTAAGATTTCAAAAACGAAGCCATTGTGATGTTCATGTGCTGGCCAAATGCAGTTCGAGTGTCATCACAATGTGCTACGTATATAGCTTGCTGTAAGATTCACCAACAATATCCGTTATGGTGTAGTGGCTAGCATCGGCCGCTCTCAAATAGAGCATTAAAACCGGCCAGACCGGGGTTCAATTCCCCGTAACGGAATTATTCTTTTGCTCCCCTTCTCCGCTGTGCCTGACAATCCGCAGTCCCCAGAATCATGTGGCAATTCATCTTAACTTTTCGTTCATGACCATATCGTGCCATCGTGTCCGAAATACGCAGATGTAGGACAGATGGGAACTTATTAAGCATTCAAGCTCCAAGGTACTATACACAGAAAAGAAGTCCATAATAAGATGTTATTGGATCCCGAAACACAAGGAAGCAAAACGAAGGACACACGAGTCCATCGAAACACCGAAATATATGCATCACAGAACCGTGTGACACCGCAACACCTCGAGAGAACACATCATTTGCACCATTCATTTCCCAGCCAGAAGCTTCTTCTCCTTCAGCCGCCTCACCCGCGCACTTCTCCTCACTCCTGCTTCTCCGAGCCCAAAAAACCTCCTCCTCCACATGTTACCAAACTCATCGGGTCCACGGCGACGTATGTCGGCAACAATCTTTTTGGTAGCTTTCATGATGGAGCTTGGGGCTGTTAAGCGGGGCTTCACAATCGGGACCTTCGCCGCCGCCTCAAACAGTCGGAAACGGAATCCCCGCCAATGCACCAAAGTCTGAACGGTGTCCCTCAGATCCTTATCGAGCACGGGGTTGTTCTCATCGAGCACCATCATCTTGGAGTTCGAGCTTTTCAGAACGATCGGTTTCACCGCAATCACGGCATCTCTCACGTCCTTCGTAGTCTTCCTCGCGGCCGCTTCCTGATCCATTGCGGCCATCACCGTGGCAGTGACCTCCTGCACTTCGTGCGCGCCCGCACTGGCTACGGCGGCCTGCGCGGCGACAACGGCCGCATCAGCGGCATTCGCCTTCACTGTGGAATCGGAGACGGCGCGCTCGAGACGGGAGATCAGGTCGTGCTCCAGCGAGGTGACGCGACGGGTCAGCGGGTAGGTGCCGTGAACCCCGAAGATGGAGAATGCGTCTGGATTGGCGGCGAGGAAACAGTAGAGACTGCGCGGCGAAGGTTGATTGATCAGCGAGAGGATGATTTCCCACAGGATGTCGAGATTGCGGTTCATGGTGGGGGTTCTGAAGTGGTGGGTGACTAGGAGCGATTCACAAGGCGGTTTGTTGCGGGATATGTAGAGTATGTACTGGTGGGAAATGTTGCAGGGTGGGCTTCGAGAAGTGTCGTACATAAATGCCGATGGTAGTGTGCAGGTTGTCGAGACTTGGCGGCACTAGGGCGAAGATCCGCGGATCCGGCGAGGCGGGGACGATGCGTGTTTAAATTCCGACTATTTACTTTGCATGTGATGTGGATGTGACTGCTGCTCGTAACATGGTCTGTAACAACCGAGAAAGGAGAAAACCCGGAGATTGTATGAAAGAGGCGGAGGCTATGTGACTTTATTTGTACACGTGACTGCAGATGACGTCAAGCTACAGGCTCTATACCACCTTCGCCTTGCGCCCAAACTCGAGACAATGCGGCGCGGGCTCGACAACATGCAACCCAACAACTGTGGCTGTCGGCCAAGCCCACGGACGGAGAGTGTCCGAGTACTCAGGAGAGGAGGGGTGGGTTACGAAGATGATGGCCTCTCGAGATTTCCGCCAGTTAACCCGACCCGAGTCAGCCAGGCTGACCACGCCCTGGTCTACCCAAAATTCCAGCACGGCTGTGAGGTACCTTAGCCACTCAACATAGCCTTTCTGGTACATAGGTAGCTCAATCCACACCAGAACCGCCGGTCCGACAGTGACGAAGCGGTTTTTACTTCATCCAGCTACAGAAAGCCATTGGAATATCAGGCTTATCCTAGTTATCGTACCTAATCAACTCTTCAAGCGAAGAGTGCACCGTCATTTGTCAGTTTTGCTGAAGGGCAGTTTGCTATCAACCGCGTCGATCGGTCCCACCTACGTCAGCCGTACCGACCGGCGACACACGCGGTCAATCCGACCTGCTTCAGTTGTACAGACCGGCGAGACACGGGCGTGCCCAGATACCCCGCACGATGAATGGTTTCGATTGTCAGCCTTTGCTGCGGCAACCTATGTACGCATCCATAGAGAACACACCAATCCTCTTCTACGTCGAAACCACACACATTCTGTATTACACAGCTTCCGAATACTTGACCTCACCGCGACAACACAGCTATGCACAGGTACTCACCCCTTGACCTCGTATCATGGTTCCTGTACTAGTCAAGTGACATCTTATCCGAAATCAAGGCAGCACAGTGTTTCTCGAACTCCGGTGACCAAGATGAGGAGACTCTTGCGAAAGCATTTGTGGTGCAGCTTTTGGCTATCGAGCTTCGGGCCACAGGCACCAAAAGCTAATATTTTGCCTGTTTTGACAGAGCCAGTGAGCTGTTCCTCAAGGCCAAGCGCGTTGACAAGGCGGTAGAATGCCAAATTGCCGCTGGGAATCATCTAGCAGCCTCAGGCGAGTTACCCACTTACAATCCTTATCACAGAGTGAGATCAACTGCTAACAAGCCTTGCAGAACTTTTGGCTAAGCATGGAAAATCACAACGCGCCGCTTGGGCTTTCATGGATGCGAATGCACCTAAACGGGTGCTGAGGGTATACGTTGATATTGCTGACCACGAAAAAGCTCTGGCTACCTACTTCCATTCCGGGCTCTTCGCCGATGTGGCTGAAATTGCTGCTCTGCTCGAAAGGTGCAGTAATTCGGAATCCGTCTTATTTTGCTCCCTCTGACTAATGATTCCAAGGCTTCCACCGAGCAAAGAGAATTGTCGGAGGCAGTATGCACGATTATTCTATCTGGTGTTCTCACAGAAAAAGATTGTCTTGACGAAAGAGCAACGCCACAAGATCTGGTTGTCCATTGGACCGATAGAGTCCGATTATCTGCTGAATACAGTCAGAAATTTCGAAATGCTGAACCATGTCGTCGAAATGGAGAAAATGAGGGGAAGGTATCAATATGCCTGTGAGCTTGCGGCGAGAATTGGGCTCGTGGATGAAGCGCTTTTACTACTCACGCTACATGACACCGTCCTGCCCGATTCCGAATTGGCAAATGTTATCAACTATGTGCACGCACGAGAGTTGTCAACTGGGTTGTGGATGGAGATGGCGACCTCGTCGAAAAGCGCCATTGAAAAGACTGCAGTCCTGGAGTCGCAATGGCAGAGTATTGCCAAAGCATTCGTTATCTTCATCCAGGAAGGAAAACTACCAAATACAGATTCCGTTCTGAACGACTTTCTGATTCTTCTGGTTCGTATACACCTAAACAAGCCTCACTGGGCGTGCCTATGTACTTGCTCGATCTGACTTCAACTATAGGCCGCGAAGCGTCTTCCAGATCTCATCTCCCAGTACCCGGAAATTGATCCCAAGGATATCCTTGACAAAACGGTCAGAATTCAACGAAGACTATCAACCGAACGTCCTGTGCAACTCTCGGTCCTGCTATCCCTAGGCATCTACCCTACCGCTGACGGAAAGCATATCGCCTTGCCTTACTCTCCCCCGGGAATCGTCCCGAAAATTGACTTTCCCTTGTCATGTCATTGAGAATATTCCAGCCAACATGAAGCGATATGTTCGCGGGATCCTAGATGCAGCGCAGACAGCCTTAGATGCAAGGCTAAGCAAAGAGGCCGAAGCGGAACCAACTGAAACCGCGGAGAAAACAACCGGAAAGGAGCAAAAGAAAGCTGGAATGGAACAGGAGAAAGCTAGAAGGCAGCGGGAGAAAACTGGAAAGGAGCAGGAGAAAGCCAAAAAGAAGCTGAAGAAGAAAGCTGAAAAAGAGCAGAGAAGAACGCGAAACAAGCAGAAGAAAGATGCCGCAGCCAGAAAAACGTTTCCTACTGGTGGCCAGTCTACAGCGATAAATGTGGGTCTACATGTGGGCAGGTTGTGGGATTCCCGGATGCTGATTTGTTAAAGAGTTCTTGGATACTTAGTCGGAAACTCGCTGAGATTGACGGAATATACTCGCCATTGTGGCGCATTGTACCAGCCGACTACCGCTGTATGAGCTCCACGGTCACTCTCAATTTTCAAGAAGCTTGTGCTAACAATAACGGCAAGGTTACTTCTGGAAGGAAGAACTGATTCGACGGCTGAGTTGTACTTCATCGCACACGCAGGATCCTACCGTTCTTCTTCAACTGCAAGAGAAACTGCGCACTCCCAAATTTGAGAGCCTCCGCCGCCCGCTTCAGGAGTTTTTACTATCCTCCCAGTGCATCGTGGCCTGCAAGAGAGCTGTCGCTTTCGACGTTCTATCAGACTTCCTCAAACGGATGAGGTCGTCAGAGCTCTTGAGTATGTGGCGGTCTGGTCTCCTGAAGAAACCTTGCGTGCTGAAACTTGATAGGCATCGAGGATCGCTGGTACACGTACTGGGGTCGGGAGATTCAGCATTCGAACCAGCCTTATTTCGCTATGTCCTACGAGATTGTAACCTGCGTCCGGAATGTGCGAAAGAATACGACTGCACGTGATTTTCCAGGGCCTTTCGTATGATCCGTTTTATTTGATCCCAATTACTCGTTGCATTATAGAAGGCTAAGCTGACCTGCTATTTCTATAGAGCGAGAGTCTCCACAAGCTTCTTTCTCGATTGGAGCATATTCAGGATATCTCTAACGAACCGGGAGAATTGGTTCACTCGGCATCGGTACTATCGGTTTACGAAGAGCTGGTTATCCTATTGGTATGTGTACCCAAGACCTTGATATGATTAGTACTCCCTTCGCTGACAGATCAACACAGCTATTTCTGTCGCGACCTGAGGAATTTGTGCTCCCCAAATCCTGGACCGTGCTGCACTCGTCCTTGCCTCTCCTTGCGAAGATCCCGAGATTTATGTCGGAGCGCGAGACGTTCTGGTACCAAAGCCTTTTGACCAGGGTGATCGCCCTGCTGTGCAGACTCATATGCCGTGTCGAAACAGAAGCACCTACTTTATCGGCAGATGGACTGGCTCACCGCGCCGTCTTGATCATCATAATCGCCATCATCAATCTGGGGGACTTGAAGCCACTTCCGATCGGTTACCGTCGAATGTGGGACGCCACACAAAAGGTAAAAGAACCTTACCCGTGACCTCCCCATGCAGAATTCACGAACGGAAGTATTCTAACCAGGTACACCCACAACAGGTGTTTGATCTCGGAAGTTTGCGTCCACACGCCAGCTTCTTCCAGAACTCTCCGCCAGGCCAGCTCCTGCAGGTATTGAGTGACGAGTTCGCAGCATCTACAGGATACGCCGGCAAAGACCACCTGCAGGTGGTCGTGACGGACGGCAGCACGTGTTCTATGCCGTTGCCGGCGGTCTACCTGGGCCTCTCGAAACCACTTGCAAAGCGCCCCGAGCCCAATCGGCGGGAATCGCATGCTTCGATCCTCGTGAGGGAAAGGATGAAGGCGGCGTACACGCATGTTGTCAATTATAATTGGCGGATGCAAAGCTGTGAGGAGCTTGGCTAGTGGGATGCAGATAATGATGAAATGAGTGGCGTCCTACGATGGGGAGGGGGGATTGTGTCGGAGCTCTACTGGGATTTGTTTCATTTCCATGCTGTATGAAATATCAAAGAGAAAGTTACGCAATAACCGTGCTCGTGCAACTGCTATCATGGTCCGGTAAGCTATCACTAGGCGACGGCGCAACAGCGATATCTGTGGCCATGGCTATGGAGATATAATTACATGCGAAGCCTTTCTCTGCACATAAACGGAACAGTGATATACATGGCCGTAGGGGTGCTGGCTCCAGCACTGTGATGCCCGTGCCAGAAAGTTTAATGCAAATCAGTGGACTCATGAGCCGTCACTCGTCCGACTAAAACTCAACAACAGAAAATAAATTCACATCTCGCCATCCGCTCCACCTGCCGCATCAACTCGATTCGCACCGCTCATCATAACCGCTCTTCCAAGCCCAACGCCTTCCAGGTTCCAAGTCCATCCCACTCGACCTTTCCCAGCCACCTATATCATCCAACCACCCGACCATCCAACCATCCGACCTACCTGCTTCTCAATCAGCCCATCTCAAGATGACCTTCCACCCGCGCCCGCTCATGCCCACCCCAATTACACGTAAATTTCTAGCCTCCATCTCCACCTTCACGACCCGCTTACCCCCCTCTACCTTTACCCGCAGTTCTCCACCACCACGCATCAAGGATAACCTCGCGGCTCTCGGAGCAGTGCTGATAGGGCTCACGATCGTGGCGTTCTTGATAATTATATTTAGCTGTGCGCATTACTGTATTCGACGCAGAAGGGCCAATACCGCGTCCGAGATGAGGGCGGAGAGGGTGAGTATGCAGGTGTGAATTTTGGATATCGCCCGTCTGGCTGTCTGGCTGTGGGGAGCTGGAATTGGTCGAGGGTGTGGAGCGGCGAGCCGGGAGGGATGGATCATGTATCATGGTATTTGTAAACAAATGTGGATTGTGGCAACTGACTATGTAGGTAGGAACTCGTTAGGTGGTATCGATGTTTCTGTACGTTGGGAGGAGGAGTGATTGTCGAGTACTGGGTGGAGACTTGGGATGGAGTGATACAGCTGTTTGCGTGGAGGGGATGGGCGCGGCCATCGTCTCTCACTGTTTATCACTCTTCCGCCCGGTCCAGGTACAGTGGATGATGTGGAAACGGAGGGTGTATGGGCGGATATTTCCACGATCTAGATAGGTCGTATGCAATCAATGCTTGGACAAAACCAAAAAACGGGATCTGGATGGTGAACACGAGTCAGAATCAACACCCACGAACTTGCAGATCCCCAACCCCCACTCGTAACAGAAAAACAGCACTACTCATGGCTGAGCTATGGAAAGATGTAGTGAGAGAGTACTATGGAGGCAGAAATTGGTATCTCGGTACACGTGCACGACACACCTAGGTAATGATCCTCGCCCGCCACAACTGATAGATGAGATGTCGCCTCTACATCACGGCAATCAAACACGCACACACACACACACACACAAAGATACACACGCACACGCACACGTCTACACTCTCATCAACTATCCTATCCTCGACTAGACTCGACTCCACTATCATCTCCAGATCTCCACATCACCTTCGCTGCCCAGGGGGGCAGCAAGACTTCTACTCTCCCAGGTTCCTGAACGCGTTGCCGCCCCGCTTCTGGCGGCCCCATACCAGTACAGCCTCGTGCATTCCACCGTCCTCCTCCCCCTCCTTGACCACCACCGAGGACCAATTGGTATCGGAGCGGGCGTCCACAGCTCTTTGGGCGTCCAGGTGGGTATGAAAGTGTATGTACGCGTAAGTGCCCCTCTCGTTGCCCAGCTTGATGAGCGTAGCGCCGCCGTACAGATCCGCCATGGCCGCGTACCCCGCCTCGGAGGTCTCCTTGCTGCGCGCGACTTTGACATTACGTTGGCGGGGGTGGAATGGGGGGCGTGCGGAGCGCGTCCGTGGAGCGGGCTCGACCACGTCTGGGTTGTCAAAATGTCGAGGACGCGTCGGCACGCCGTCTTGGTTTCTGCCATTGGGGCGCTCGGAGGAGTGGCTGCGGGTACGACTGTGAGACGATTGCTTGTGGAGTAGTGTGCGCGCAGTGAAGGGTGATACGCTGCGCTGGCGGTCGTCAATACGCTGTCGGTCGTCAATGCGCGGTCGATCGTCAATGCGCTGTCGGTCGTCACCGCGCAGTCGGTCCTCGATACGCTGTCGGTTGTCAATGCGCTGTCGGTCGTCGTCTCGCCCCGAGGGTGCCCTGCTGGGAACGACGGCACGGGAGTCCACTGCGCGCTCGTCGTGTCGCTGATCCAACGGCGGGTACATGTCGTGTTGGTCGAGATATGTGTCCTGCTGCCCGGGTCCGGCATACACGTCGTGCTGCTGTCCGCCGCGGTCCCGGTCACGGTGGTCCCTGCCTCCACCGTACCGCTGCTGCTCCTCGGGCTTTCCGTGCTCACGGCGGTCGCGATCACGATCACGCTCACGATCATGATGGGTTGGCGAGCGACTACGACTGCGGCTTGCAACATGGTACTCCGAGGCGATCTGGGGCGTAGAGGAATCCGGCCGGAATCCGTCGTTTCCCCGGGATCCACGGTCACGATGAAGCTCTCTCTCCCGCCCCCTATCCCGGCCGCCATGATGCCCATCGTCCGGTCTAGCACTCCTGCCGCCTCCGCCACCGGCGCTGGCACTGCTGTCGTGAGAGGGCTTGTAACTGTCGTAACCCGCCCGTCGCGGGAACGGAGGACCTCCTCTCCGCCTTCCGCCGCCTCCTCCTCCTCCTCCAAAGCCGCCTCTGGAAGGACCTTGGAAGCCGGACATTATTAGTCGCGATGGATGGGGTGTGGGGAGGGGCGTGATTGTTGGTGTTCTTTTTTTTTATGTGGGTTTGTGGTGGTGGTAAGGGGAGGATTGGGAATGAAAAAGATGGTTGGGTTGAGTGGTTGGTTAGTTGGGGCGTGGTGGTGTGTGTGGCGCGTGCCAACGCGTTTGACGCTACTTTTTGCGCTGAGGTGATGGGGAAAGAGTGAGTTAGCGCCTCGGCATGTGCCGTCACTGCGACGCTAGCGTGGATAGGGGTGACATCTCACTCTGCTTAATTACGGACGTCAGATACGCGATGTCGATATGAAACCTTAAGAGAGTCGATGGAACACATGGATGGGAAAGGCGAGCGTGTGAGTAGAAGGTATGCGGTGAATTTTACTATACGGATAGGGCCCGTGTGTACACACCTACAATGGCTCGTTCTGTGTGTATGGGCCGCGGTGGATTGGACCAAGCCTGGCTAGAGGTCGCGATCATTCATCAATCTCTGGATCGCCAGACTCCGCACAGCAGCAGCCGGCAACTGCGGACGATATGGTGTTGTACTAGGAAATGTGCGCAATTTGGCCCCGGTTGTTTGTCGGGCCTCCGAGTTCTGGGTTGTGGTGCACGTCTTGCGGCGTTCGGCGGCACCAGTAGCAAGGTACCTCGTCTCGGAATCCCTTCTACCGAGTGACTAATCGTTAACTGGACGGCATCTTGGACACTGTGTATGGCTCGAGGCTCTATGAGGAAACCCTAAGCGCCACTCGGAATACTACCACCCACCACGTCCGTCTTACGTCAAGCTCCTGGTGTGAAGCTTCAATAACGATCCACTGCACCCAATACACTCCGTCGACCTCTGCAGGCCACCGAAATTCCAAGCTTGCCCTCGGTTTCTCGGTTTCTCACGTCTCGCCCCACATCTCCTCATCCCACCTTTCGTCCCATCTAATACCCCGACCAGCAATTCAGGCCCACCATGCCAACCCATCGTGGAGTCAGAGCCGAGCTTTGCGACCTGGCGACCCGGGTACCGCTGCTCGAGTATCCATGCGACGAGCCCCCTGACGGCAGCGCCCAAGCTGTTGCGTCGGTTTACGTTGAGGCGGTCTCAGAAACTTATTTCGCGATCCTGGTTTCCATTGGCGCGGACCTTTTGTACCCCCCACACCCTGCGCACCCTCCGTACCCTCCGGGCGTAAAAAGACTTATGAACCAGCTGGAGGTTACTGCACCGGCTTCCGGATTGCTGACAACCAACGCTTGCCGTACTATTCCCGTGAAGTCCAGATGACTGAAGATAGTGATGGAATCCAACTGGGGAAGGAGGATGCCGCAGCTATCGGGGTAATCGAGTTGTCGGTGTATCGCGCCTACGTTAAACCGCACGATAGGGATCGGCCGAAAGTTTACCAGGACGAGCCCCGAACCCGGCATAGGCCGGAGATCTTGCACGAGAAAAATGCAAAAGGCAAAGACATATCGGCTATGGTCTGGTACACAGCCTCGTCTCTTCGTGAGGCGTCGTACGTACGAACTGACTGAACCATAGCTTCGGTGATCCGGTTGCGCTGCCCCCAACCCATCTGCATTGGGGCATCACCAGCTTCATCGACAGCCCTAAAGGACCGCCGTATGTCCGGTTTCGCTTTTACTACATGAAGAGAAGCAGTCTTCAATTGCATGGTATCATCGCGAAGGACCAGCCGCATGTCTCCGGCCACGTCACGCCCGATGTTCATCACTGCTTCCTGAGGTATGTACACATATCCGAGCCGCATCTAACGCTCTCCAGGTTTCTCAAGAATCAGAAGCGAAGCTAGAGCCTGAGCCGAAATCGGAAATCCATTCCCAGCCCTTTTCTGCTGCTGAACTCGCGGCGAAGAGGGTTAAAAGGCTCACGCCCAGAGCGAGGGCTGACGACGAATCCTTCACTCTCGAGGGGATCCCCATTGTTGACTTGACGGAGTTGCCAGGCGATTAGTGGGCTGTCTGCTCTACTCACTTGCTGCTTGGTACTGTTGGGGGTTTCCTTTTCTTTTGTGTACTTTCATATAAGTAGCCTTAGATATTGTTTCTCTGTGGGGTTTAATCAGTCTTCACATAACTAGGAACTCCGAACTCGTGCCTTTTACCTTCGAGTACCGAGTGTAGTTATCTTGGCCACTTTTACCATGTATCTTTTCCACGAATGAGAGCAGCAAGAAATGAGAACTTGGTGAAAAGAAGCCAGTACGAATCGATGGGGAATTGGCTTTAGTCGACGGAAGTTGTCGCCAGAGAAATTACTGGGAAGGCCAGTGCCGCCAGACCACACGATGCCAGCTCAATAGACACACCCCTCCTTCTTCTGCCTCTTTAAATCCTCTGGTTGTACTCTAAATAACTGAGAGCTCGAGTAATTTCCCCGCGTAACACCTTGATCTAAATCGTGATCTTGTAACTTTCCCTCATCCTTTGTGTAACCGACGTTTCCCGCACCATACAACCCGGTCCTTGCAGTAGCGTGGCATGGGCAGGAGGACAGGGGAATGCGGACATCTTTACGCGTCGCGTCTTCTCCGAACCTCCACGTAAACACAACTCCTCGACACTCCTCCCACCACCACCCACATACCCCACACACGATACCATGTCCCGAAACGAACCCGTATCCATCCCAGACCCCGAGGAAGCCGCAGTCCAAGCCCAAAACCGCGATGTCGTCGACCCGTTAATTGTCCGTCTCCCCGATCTATGCTGGCTGGTGGCGATCACTGACGGTTGCAGAGAGCTCATATCTACTCCATTTGTACAGCGCTCGGAGGCGCGTCCGTCGAAGAGGATGGGAGGTATACACTTGGCGACGACGCGCTTGCGTGTCTGAAGGATCTACGGAGATGGCTGAAGCTTTATGATGAGAAATTGAATCGATACGATGTTTGTGCCTCCCTGCCTGGGATAGGATGAGGACGGGGTAGGGCTGATATGATGGATGATAGGTGGCCAGATGTCTGAGCGAGATGAACCTGGTGGGAGGTGATCTGTTGCCGATTATTGCCATGTGGAAGGAGGAGGATACTATGGTGAAGCCAATACATCGGTTAACGGTAGCGTGCAGTATGTCTCTCTCTGGCCGGTGGACGCTCACAGCTCCGGGAATGCTGACGGCTTCACAGTTGAATTACTCACCCCATTGACATGGCCGTTCGAGAAACAAAACGAGCAGATGACGGTCAACCACCACCGCCACATCCCGGTGCTGCAGCACGCGCAGGCCCGCTACAAGACCGCAATCCTGCAACATAGTTCCAAAAAGATCCTCAAAGACATCATCCGCGCGGCACTCCCCGCAATGGCAATGCCGTCGTACGACCGGGGCGCTCGTGACGAAGGAATCATCAAGCTGGTACTCTACACACTGCGGAACATCGCGATCATCGAGCACCCAGAGCCGGGCGAGAATGAGGCGGGAGAGGAGATCAACAGGAGTGCGACTATAACGGCGTACGCAGAGCAGAATGTGCTGGACCTCTTGCTCACGATTGCGTCCGGCATTGCGGACGACTTCAGGGCGCACGATACAGTTGTTATGGAGGTGTTGTATCATCTTATCAAGGGCTTGGATGTTGAAGCCATCTTTCGGTCAGATGGCGAGGAGTCGGAGAAGCGCGGGAACGATCTTGCGCAGCTGTTGAAGCGGGAAGATGACCTGAAGCGGGCTGCCTCGAGGTCTTCGACACGACATAACCGCTTCGGCTCGACCATCTGGATGGAGAGGACCGATGGGACACGGTCGTTCGTGTCCGGCCAGGATGCCTTGTTGACCAAGGACACCGGCCTGGAAAAGCTCGACAAGGCGAAAAAGTGGAAAAAGGCTCGGGGTGCGGATAAAGCAGGCGTCTCCCTCAAGACGGAATTCGACATGACGGTAAGCTTGACCACCGGCGCAAAGAAGCATTTCCGCCGGTTTGTTGAGGATTTCATCGATTCCGGGTTCAACCCGCTATTTGAGTCTATCCGCCGAGCTATCGACCGTGATGTCGAACGCCTCCTCGATTCGCATGTAAGGCAATACTTCTCCCTCGTGGCGTGGCTCCTTGAAGCCGAAAGGGTCAGACGACGGATCGCTGCGAAGGACCGGAAAAAGAAAGGCCTCCCCGCAGAAGAGGATAGTTGGGCAGTCGTGTCGGCGGTCCTCAACCAGCAGTTCCTGATCACGCTCAACAGGAAAATGATAGAATGGTTTGAAATGAAGCAGTGGACGGCCTTGCAGGCAGGAATGAGGTGCTTTACCCAGATCCTCTATACAGTACAGGAGATGGCACTGTCGCCGATCGAGGACGACCAGGAGATTGCCGAGAATATACAGAACCGTCTATTCTACGAAGAGACGACTATGGATTTGATTTACAACATCTGCCGGTCGTATACAAAACAGCCGTTCAAGTACGTGGCTTCCATTGATCCGGTGTGGCAACAGCTGACCGTATAGATGGCTCGATGACTGCACAGAGATGGCATACGTCCACCTCAAGCTCCTCGAGAAGTACTCACAGCAGCACGAACACATGTTTGTTCGGTCACGCCGGCGCCAGTCCAAAAAAGCCAAAGAAAAGGCCGCCGCCCTCGGCGAAGCCGCCGAGCACGAAGAAGACGATTCTGAGCTGGTCGCCGCCAGCAAAAGTGCAGCTGCAGAGCGCGCCTTCGACTTCACAAAGTTCGAGGCCAAATACCTGAACCAGAACTGCATCAACACGTTTATCGCGTTTCTCACCTACTATCAGGAGCTCAATGCGACCCAGATCATGCGCGCCATCAAGATGTTTCATCGCATCTCGGAAAAGAGGAAGATGGAGGTGCTGCTGTACAGACTGGATCTGGTGAATCTGCTGCATCGCATGATGCAGGGCTCCGCGGCTCTGGACAGGAAGCATCCGGCATACAAGGAGGTCGACCAGTTCACAAAACATTTCCTGCGGAAGCTGTTCAAGAAATTGGAGGCCGAGCCGGCGATGTATGTGGAGCTCCTCTTCACGAAGCTCTCCAGTACGACGCACTACCTCCAGCACGGCTACACCAAGGAATTGCACGTCGCAAAACCGCGTGCCGCAGCGGAGCTCATGATCAAACCTGGCTCGGGGGTACAATCACACTCGGACCAGGTTGGCGTCGGAGTTGCCGCACTACTGGACGACAACAAGTCCAGCGACGTGGAGTGGCTCAAGGACGTCATCAGGAAAGCCGTAACGGAGCGCAAATCCTTCGAAGACGAATCCGCGGCGCGTCTCACGCTCGAAGCCCACGGTCCCTCATCAGAAGCCGCACCTTCCCCCACCACCGCCGGCACACCACCCGACATCCTCATTGACCCCAGAACCGACGAGCGCGCGCGGGCGCTATTCAAGGACGCAGTCCTGCGCTTCCTTCTCAAGCTCGTAGGCTGCGAACCCGTAGAACCAAACGAGACGCCAGAGACGAAATGGCTCATCCCGGCGCGCCACACCTCGCAAACCCTGGCCGAGAACCTAACACTCCTGCAGAAATTCGCCAACGACCCTCCAACGTTCGACAACACCGCCGCCGCTGACCTGCTAAAGCGCAAACTCCCCTCCACCACAGCGCGCACCCGCCGCCCCGTGCTGTCTTCCGACTCCTCAGGCTCCTCCGCCGACGAGGAGGACGAGGCCACAGGCTTATTCGAGCCCGGCGGTCCAACCAGCGTGCACGCGCCGCAGCGCAGCAAGGGCGCCAAACGCAAGCGGCGCCTGGTAGTCGAGGCGGAGGCGGCGAACGAAGAGCTCAGCGCGCTAGCCCTCGAGAAGCGCCGGAAGCGCGAGGAGGCGGAGAGACTAAAGCTGTCGAAGATCAAGAGCGACAAGTTTGTGCACGATAGTGATGACAACAGTGATGTCGAGGGTGACGAGATGTTTTATGCCCGCGAGAGGGAGATTAGAAGTCTCGGACCGCAGCCGGTGGTTAGGCCTGAGAAGCTGCCGCTGGTGAGGGGTGGTGGGAGTGATGGGGAGGAGGGGGACGGGGACGGGGAAAGGGAGGCGCCAACGAAACGGAGGAAGAAGGTGGACAAGCCGGAGAAGGAGAAGAAGAGTATCTTTAATGATGATGACTCGGACGACGAGGGGGGGAGGGAGAGGGAGAGGGAGAGGGAAAGCACCATCGAGCCGATCACGAGGAAAACTGGCGCGGTGATCATCTACTCCAGCTCCGATTCCGAAAAAGAGGATGTGGTTATGCGAGACGTTTCCGTCGTCGATGAAGCTGAAGACGCCGACAGTGAGAGCGAGGAGGATAAACCGGTAGCTGCTCGAAGGAGAAGAGCTGTCGTCGTGGATAGCGACGATGAGTAGATCGGAGTAGTGACATAGACATATACCCTGCGGCCTGGGTTTGATAGAATAATAGATAAACACTGCATAACCCGTGCACTGAAAGTCGAGATATCACATCACATCAAGCCCATGTAGTTCCCGATGTCCACGTACTACACCGTTCATTCATCCATCCATCCACCCCATAGCCATACTCTCCCATTTCCACAAAGTAGTCATCACGTACGCGCATCTCGGCCTTCTGCCTTCTGCCCATGAAATATTGATACACATGCGTTCATATCCACGTCCACGTCGACACAGTACCAGTACACAGTACATCTCACATCCTACATCACATCCTACAGACCTAAGCCACAGTCAAGTAACCGATAAAACATCTATGTAAACAAGCAAATAAGTCACTCTAGATTAGCACATCCAACGACCCGAAGCCGAAACAATCCAAGACGAAAAAACAATCCAAACCGAAACCGAAAAACGAAGCGAAGAACGAAGCGAAAGCGCAGTCGCAGTCGCAGTCGCATGCACGCCAAAACGCAGAACGAACGAACGAACGAAGTGGAGGAGGAGGAGGAGTGATAGGATAGCAGGCGAAAGCAGTTGCAGGCGAAAGCAGTCGTGAGTCAGACAGGAGCAAGCAGGCGAAACGCAGTGCAAATGAACACAACAATCAGCAGCAAAACCCCAAATCTACCACAAACGCAGTGTCAGTATTCATTATTATACCTACAACCCGCCTTCCAAAATATCTCCCCGGACAGAAAAAATAAACCCCCTCTTACCAGCTCCCAAACTTCGGCCCGAACGTTCCGCCCTCGGGTACTTCATTAAACGCACAGCCCCTCCAGTCGCAGCCCTGCGTATGCACTTTCGTACCCCACCACTGCAGATTCTCCAGCCATCCCCAGCCGGGATAGAGCAGCGCAAAGAACACGACGACCAGGCCGAAGGCCAAACTCGCGTCGAGCGCGGCACTGAGGGTCATGGTGTACTTCCCCCACCACTCTGTGCGGCGCCTACGGAGTACCCAATTGAAGACGTAGCACACAATCGCCCAAGCGGAGAAGTTGAGTCCCGTAGCGGGCGGGATCCACGACAGCGAGCCGAAGAGCACAGGCAACGAGATGGCCTTGAGGAAGGAGCGGCGCGGCTTCCCGCGCGCCCGCCAGATGAGCCAGATACTGACTGGCGCGATCGCACCGATCAGGAACGCCCAGATCAATGGCCGGTAAAGCTCTTTCGAGCCGAAGAAGCGGCCGGGTCCTACGACCCCCCACAGGATCGAGCCGTTGAAGTGCACGCGCGCGATGGGACACGTAAAGCCGTTCAGCGCCTCGGGCGTGCAGATCCCGGGGATGTTGTTGAACATCCAGTTCAGCACTCCGATCTGCGTCAGACAGCCGACTACCGTGGCGAAGAGCTGGATGTTGAACAGGAGGCGCGGCGGGATCTTCATGTAATGCCCCAGCTTTAGGTCCGCTGCGAATTTGAGCCCCTGTGTGGACGTGATGTACCCGTACATGACGAACACCATGTTGGCGACCGGGCGGCCGGGGAAGATGGTGCCGCAGATGAGCTGACACACGAGGAAGAGCGATGACTGCGTGTTGGTGATCGCCATGACGATCCCGATGGGAACGAAGAAGACGCCGCAAACGCCCAACGCCAGCAGAAGCCCGTACCACGGAAGGTGCACGGGATAATACTCGACGACGAAGATGCCGACCGCAACCATAACAACAAAGGTCGCAAGGTACCAGCTCGTGGGACACTCCTCGTACTTCTTCATCAGCCGTATGTGAACATCATCGCCATTGACCATCTCCTCCCACTCGCCGTCGCTGACAGTCGACAGACGACGGCTCCTACGCCGCCTGGCGCGCCTCCCCCCCGCCGAAGACGATGGTGTCGCGATCGGAGCATATTCGGCACCACCTGCAGGCCGTCGGGAGGGAGCCTGCATGACCTTCTTCCACTGGCGCCAGATGTCCTTCCCGTGCCAACAGGCCGTGTGTGTGACCAAAGCTGTCAGCGCGGCAAACTGCAGGCCGTACGAGAGTACATATCTGCAACGCCCCCCCCTCCTCATCAGCCGACGGCCGACGACAACGCACGATGATCAGGGGACCTACGTGATCGGCATAAACACCTTGCTGTAGTCTTTGTACGCCTCCTCGTCGAACAAGAACTGTGGCGTGAGAATGCGCGAAACGTTGTATGTCTGCGCCGTGTTGTCAAACACATCACTCGACAGTATTGGCATGTACGAACTGTAAAACACATTCGAGTAATCTGCGAAGCGGTCAGATAATTATCCTGCGACAGCAACAACAACGTGCACGGCAGCGTACACATGATTGGCGCGATGATCCACATCACGAGTATCAGCCCTCCAACCACATTTGCAGCAGCCCAGAACGGTGTCATTAGCGGCGATCCGATGTACGAAATCTGCGCCCAGTCAAAGGTCACCGGCAGCATTCCCAAGCCCGACCTGACACCAAACTGTGATCGCAGTTAGCGGGCGCATACGTTCCTGCAGGTGGGACGGCGATGTGGCATACCAAGTTCGAGATGACGACATTATCGGGAGCAAACCACGTCGCAGCGTTGAAGTAACTGAGCGCGGGCATCAGGAAGCCTGGAACGAAATACCATACGAAGCCTCCGGCGAAAACATAATTCTGTCATCACGGTTAGCGGACCTGTGGTTTCGAAACACACTTCTGCAGGCAGCTATCAAATGATCTGATAACGACGTGCAGATCACTAGAATACTGTTAGGTGCGAAAGGACTCACGAAAAACCTCCACCGCGAAACTTCCCACCCATCGGCTGGCTTATTTTCTTCGCCGTGCAATGTCGTGAACATCGCCGTGGACATCAAAGTTCCTGGCCAGATCATGCTACTTGGCCGTACCAGCCACTGCCGCGTCAACCCGGCAAACGTGTAGCCCAGAATTTGAGTCGACAACGTCAGGAGGATCTGGTAAACAACGCCAGGGTCCTGATGGTAGAAGTGCGTTTGCTCAACGATCACCTATGGGGAGAGAGGATCATCAGCCAAAAGTCATCCCTGGCGCCTGTCGAAACCACGGGCCGTCCAGACACAAGAGCCTTACGTCGGTAGCAAAGGCAAAGCCAAAGGAGACGTTGCTACTGATATATACGCAAGCGTGTTCCTTCCTATTCCACCGCCCCTGGCCCAGCCAACTTCTGAACCGACCCAGCGTCCCCGTCGGTTTGACTTCATTTTCAAGGTCATTGGGAAAGGCTTGGTCCCAGAGCTTTCCTAAAGGATGCGCGAGCAACAAGGCGATCACTGGGGTTATCGATATGGACGGGTAGCGCAGCGAAAAGAACAGGTTCGTCGACGACCCGACGAGCGTGAAGAGCAGTGACAGGGTCCACATTCTGGGCGTGTTGATCGACAGGGACTCGTCATCGGTCGCCAGGACGGATGCGCGCACTTCCGGGTAGGGTGAATTATCCTTTGGGTCATTTTCGTCTTCCTCCTCCTCTTCCTCGTTGTCCTCTTCGTCGTCAATATCCAGCACGGCTTCCGACTCACTCCCTGCTTCATTCGGGTCCATCTGATAGCCTTCTAGTCCTTCTCTTGTTTCCACACCCGTCCGTATGCCCTTCCATTTTCTGTTGCGAGTCCCACCACCACCCATCAGTCCGTCGGTAGCAGATGACAGCGGTCCCTCATCTTCCTCCGTGGTAGCACCGTGGTCCTCGTCCGAGGGGGTCTCCGAAGATGCACCGGATCCCTGGTAGCTCGTCGGAAGGGCTCCGTAGCTGCCGGTGCCTACTGCTGGCGACGAACGCAGCAGCGGAAAATGTGTCGCCTTCATGTGATTGTACCAGCCGGATAATTTGGCGCCAAAGCCCAAGCCGAAGTCGAAGCCGCTAGTATCAGTGTTTGGTCGGTGTTGTGAGTAGTGTGATTGTTTTGGCGGTGGTGGTGGTGGTCGGCGCGGTGGGCGGCGGTTGCGATCGAGCTCGTGGCCGGAGTCGTACGAGAGGTATGAAGCTGCGGCGACGGCAGCGGCGGCGGAGGGGGATGTCAACGGGCGGTCGCGGTCCGATAAGTAGCTGGCGGGAGAACGGGAGGGGTACGGGTCTGCGTCGTCTTCGGCGGTGGTGGGGAGAAAAGCAAGAGGGCTCCCGCGGTTAGCGCTGGCACGAGTAAGTCGCGGGGAAGGAAGCGACGACAACTCGAGTTCCGGCTCGTGGTCTAGCGGAGGAGAGTCGGTGTTGGCGTATGAGCCATGGGTGTGACTACTACTGGTGCTGCTACTGGGGTTCGGCGAGCGATCAGGTCGGTGAGACAGGGGCGGGGTGAGCCGGTGCGAGAGGCCTCGTCCTCCTCCCCCTCCTCCTCCTCCTCCCCCTCCTCCTCCTCCTCCTCCTCCTGGAGGGATTCGGCTGCTGCTGCTGCGCCGGCCACTGCCATGCGCGGACGGTGATGCAGGTGTCGACATGTAGAGGTTCTAGCAGGGGCTTTCCGTGCGGGGGCTTAATATGGTAAGCTCCGTTTCGTCGCGATCCGCCTCGTCGATCCGGTGTGGGGCGGGTGCGGCGGGGGCCTGCCTGCTGGTTGGCGGATGATGGGCGGTGAGTGGTGAGTGGTGAGTTGGTGGTGTGGGGGGGGATGACGACCTCCGGGAATGTTTCTGGGATGGGAGGGAGGGGGGGTGACTGGCCGGCAGAGTGTCGACGGACACGGATATTGTCCGGAGAGGATGATGATGATTCCTTTCGACAGCTGGCACGAAAGAAGGAAGTGCTATGCATACCGATGCGGATAACAACGGGTGCGCATGATGATATGTATGATCTCTGTGAAGACTTTCTATGACGGCTGGTGAGCGAATTGGTCGGGCTCATTCATCATCGAAGCATGCTGGCGAGACACGTGTGTGGCCAGGCATCCGTCGCCGTGTGGTCTCACGCACGCACGGAACCCTGGCCGGCCACTCCGCGCCGAAAAGATAGCAGCCGGCGAAGAAAGGCTGCAGATATCAGACCATCTGATAAATTGTGTGTCATGCCAAGAGGCTTATCAATGATTATCTGATCATCCGCCGCGCACCGCATGTCGTCGTGCGGCGTGCCTTAGATGTCTGCAAGTCAACCCGCTGCGGGCTAGCTGTGTGGATTTCTGCCTTTTGGCGGGTAGTTTACCCGGCGATGAGCAATTGTGTCACGTGACGAGCAGTGATGAGCGATGATACCAGTGGTTACCACGTGAAGAGCGAAGGTGATGGCCTGGATTCTAGTGGACGACAAAACCACATGCAAGCACCGCATCTCGGTGACACGACAATCAACTCGTTTATTAAACTCATAAACTCGTTGATGAACGGATAGAGTGGTGAATGTGGGGCTGGTAGCCAGAGATTTAAGGGGTACGTACTGTACAAACGCCCACGTATACTAGTAAGAGCATATGGTGCGTGGCAATATGCGTGGTGCCGAGTTTTGACGAGAGATGAGTGACTGAAATTCGAATGTACCAAGTAAAGGATGAATAAAGCCGCCTTACTATTACAATTTTCGATTCGCGTCCAGATTCCACCCCGACCTAGTGACTGATATAACCCTCAAATCCCATTCTAGGTATGCATACAGACATCCATACTATCCTCAACACACAAGACCAAGCAAGATGATATAGAGAAAAAGCCGCTCAAAAAAACACCAATATATGCAACTCCTCCGCACATCATCGCTATTCCGTGCCCGTCACAGTGCTTTGTACACGCTCCTCCGCCTGTTCCTCTTCCTGTTCCTGTCCCGCCAATAACCCCTCTTCTACTTGCTCCTGCCCCGCCAACAACCCCTCGCTCTCCGCCTCGACATGCGTCCCATTCCCACTCGCCGGCCCGCCAACGGCACTGATCCTTCTCACCTGCCTAACGGTATCATTACTTTTCGTGCCCCTTTCCTCCCCACGTTCCTCCCGTTCCTCGTGTTCCCCCTCAAGCAGCCCCTCCCTCTCGCCCTCCCTCCACACCTCCCCACCGCTGCCACTCGCCGGACTACCGCCGGAACTCCCAATACTAGTCTTCTGCGCCTGTCTCACGGTAGTAGTACTACTACAGCGCTCCAGCATCTTAACAGCCTCGCTGCGCCTCTCGCTCTCGCCGCTCCTCCTGCGTTCTCCCCAGCCCCCGCCAGGACCGCTTCCAAAGCTGAGATTCCTTAGTCCCAAGCCCACAGTTCCACCGGTGCCGACGCCACCCGCCGCCGCAGCTTCGGCAGAGACCTTGGAGACCTCTGTAGTCCCGCGCTCGAGCTGCTGCTTCTGCGGCGTAGGGGGCAGACCCAGGAACGCCTGCAGTGTTTCCTCCGCGTTCGCGTCCTCCTCGGAGTCGGTCGTCGACACGTCGTCGTCCGAGATGTTGAACGCGTCCGACGTCCACGAAGCAGTATCGACAGTGTCGCTGCGGCGGCGGGTCGGGGTGTCCGGGGGCGCTTTCGCGACGGTCGGGGAGGTGGCCTCGGTAAGTCCCTCGGGGGTATCTGCGCGCTCCTGGCGGCCCTCGAAGGCGTCCGGGGTGACCGCTTCGTAGCTCATGCCGAAGTGCGTTTCGACCAGGTGCTGGATTACCGGCCAGCCGTAGGCGTTGGCGAACATGCGCCGGACCACCATGTTGTTGTGCGCGTCGGGCTCGAGCCGCACAAGGACTTTGCGCCACGACATGCCTTTGTGGTAGGCACGCGCGATCTTTTCTTCCACGGGAATGTTGCTGGCCGCTGTGGATATGTTGGCGAGGCCGGTGCTGCGTTTGGAGGCGGGCAGCGGCGGGATTTCGTCCGCGTGGTAGACGCGGTCGTGGAAGATTGTTTGTGGGCGCGAGCCGGGGTCGATCAGGAATTCGGTGCTGGGGAGGGGTGGGTTGAGGACGTCGCCCGCGGCTTCCAAGATGGAGGTTTTGGGCGGCGCTTCGAGAGTGGTGGGCTCGTCGCTGGGCGAGGAGAGGGCCAAATCTGCGGATGATGATTCGGCCGAAGACACAGTGGAGTGGGTCTGGGAGCGGTGGTAGATCTTTCCTGCCGGTTTGGACTTAGTGCCAGCGTGTGGGCGAAGGAGAGTCATGAATGCACTGAACGGATTGGGCGTGGGTTTGATGCTGGGAGATGAGGGTTGGGAGGGTGGTGCAGAAATGGTGAGCTGCTGTTGCTGGCTGCGCTCCCTCGCCGAGGGCTCATTGGTGAGCGGTGCTTCAGTAACCGGATTGTTTTCTATAAGTCGCTGGGCCGCTGGCTCCTCTGCAGTGCCGTGAGCGACGATGGTAGGCGGCACCACTGTCGAAGAAGTGGCCGAGTCTCCACTCTTGCTCCAAAATGTATTCCCAAACCCACCCGGAAACCCAAATCCCGTCGGCGGCAGTGGTTTACTCGCAGAGGTTGCCGTACTGGTACTCACGAGTTGGCCCCAGCCCCACTCAACCAGGCCACCGACAGGACCATTCTCTCTCCTCGCCTTGTCAACCCTGCCGAGTCCCTTCCAATCTAGGAATAGCAAGCAACTAGTGCGGAGTGGAACGATTCCGTCGTTGACAACATTTGCGTACACCGTCCGATTACGGAACATCTTGAGAACTTCGTGCGCCGGTCCCGTGGGCAGGATTCTGAGAAGAGGCTTAGAACTTCCATCACCACCCGCAGACTTGGATGCTGTCCCATTGCCACCAAACGCCGCAAACGCGCCGGGAGCCCTCCACTTCAGGCCCAAATCTTGTCCAGTCTTTCCCACCAGCCCAAAGTCGAGTGCGAACCGAACGTAGAGCGGGTTCTCGTTGGACAATCCTAAAAATGGTGTTGCAAGCGCGACAAAATTGACCGGTTTGATCTCTTGAAAGAAGGTGGGCGAGTGTGCGTGGATGTAAGCAATCGCATACGTCTGCACCAGGCCTCCGAGGGAATGGCCGATAAATGAAATACTTGTAATCTTGTACGGTGGTACATCCCCAGCCCCGTCGTTCAGCCCTGGCAGTCCGTTATCCCTTGCTTCGGGAGTCAGATGCGGGTGATGATGCGGCTTCCTCGGTTTGTGCAACTTATTGCGGCCCGATTGCGGCAGCGGAGGATGGTTTGGACGTGCGGTGTGGAGGACGAATCTCGCGAGTCTCTTCCCGAGATACTTGATCCCTCGTTCGGTGCGACAGCTGTTGTCGTGGAACCCGCGCACAATCACCTGCTCGGCATTCTCCTCCTCGGCGGCAGACATCTTGCCCTCCTCGACGAGCTTCCTCCGCATCAGTGTCGCCTTCCTCTCCTCCTCATCGATCGACTCCTTCAAAAATAGCATATCCGCACCGGTATTACTATGCAAACCATGTGTGAGAATAACCAAATGCACATCCTTCGTCTTTCTCTTCACTTTCTGCTTTCTCCTTCTCTCCCGCGCCTCATCCTGCTCCTCTGGATCCCTCGCCATCTCCTCCCTCGTCAGCCCCTCCTGCCAACTCGGAAACGCAGGTGTCTCCCATAGCTCCTTCGTCCCCTGCAACTTCACTTGCACCGCACGAGACAACACGCCATTCTCTGCTCCCGTACCATCACTTCCCGAGCTCCCGGGCCGCGGCGTAGTATTCCCGCTGCCAAGCGGATACGCAAAGCTGAGGCACTTCTCGTCTCTCCCGAGCAGTATCTCGTAGCCGACCGTCGCCGTCGTCGAGAAGATCACCTGACTGATGACCTCGATGATCCACGTGACGCTGCGGCGTCGCTTCGGATCGCGCGAGAACGTGCGTTTCCCGTCCAGACTCATGCGCCCGCCGTGTTCGTACCCCTTCCGACAGCCGGGAGCATCTGGCGCGCCCGATTCGCGGAATATCCGCATCGAGTCCTCGATCAGCTCTGGCGGGATCGGCAGCGTCGCGTAGAACGAGGCGCCGGCTTTGAGGTGCGGATCGTAGCTGCCCTCCCCCCATCATCGTCAGCACAAGCGCCCCCTCCCCCCCTCCATCTGTTCCCGAGTGACCTACACCGGAATCCCGCCCTCCTGCTTCCCCTGGCCCCTATCGCGCTCTCCCTGCAGCTCCTCGTCGCGCTCCCTGGTGCCGGGCGTACTGCTCGTCCACGGCTCGAACTCCTGGCGCCGCACGGACACGTACAGCGTGTACGGGCCGTGCAGGTACGCGGCGCGGAACGGCAGCGGCGCGGTGTTCTTGATCCGTAGGTGCAGCGCGGCAGGCAATGGCAGCAGCCGGTCAGACGACGGCGTGTACGTTATTGTGTACCGGCGCACCTCGCCGATTCGAGTGCTGCCGGTGGTGTGCACGAGGAGCATTGTTGCGGTTGGAGCATGTGGTGTCGGGGGTGTGCGTGGTGTTGGTTTGTTGTGAACTTGTGATGATAATCCGCGAAGAGGCGGTGGTTGTGGTAGTGATAGTAGGGAGTGGTTGCGGGGCGGCTCAGAGCACTTCCGCTCTCATACCTTTCTTTCGGAGATGCTCCGCGTGCGTGCATGTGAGCTGTCCGTTTTCGAAGCAGGGATATTTACATAGCGCGTCATAGCCAAAACCTTTCAGTCAGGTCACGGGCTGTGTCCAACGAACCGCAACGAGTTTCCGTTCGAGTCAACTACAAATACAAGGTTTATGCTCTTACCCCCAGTCATATCGCCACTGAACTTTGAACATCCAGCCAGTACTCTACATATATATGACCATCCCGAAGGACGAAGGTTATTGGATAGATGGACTCGCTCGGCAGAAAGGTGACTGCATACACATTGTATTTGCACACGCCATGACTTTTGTTGGTCGAACTCAATGCACCGGGCGAAGCTGCAGGGCAAAAAAAAAAAGCTTGTTCTAACCTCAATCTTTGGTTCTCCTCTATGTAGGTAACTAGACGAATCCCCAACGTCGCTTTCCACCCCCTCCTCCCCCTCCTCCCCCATTCCTTGATCCTAAAGTACAGTGGGCAAACGAACAGTTGCAACAACGCATTAAACATTAGAAAACATCGTCAACGACAACAACAACCGCAGACAGAGAAAGACACAACACAGCAAAGAAGATCAACACAACAGACGGACGCAAAAGCAGAGCAGACGTGAAAATCACAAGACAATCGAAAGAAAGAGGAAGTGGGATATCAACATTGAAAACACCGCTTCTTTTCCCTCCAAACAAGACAGCAAAGTGAAGAAAAGAACACGCTCGCTTTTTTATATCCGCCTCAGAATCTCTTCACCGATTTGTTGTTTTTCCCAATGCACTCCCCCACCCATCCATCCATCACACGTCCCCGAGAGTCGATGACGACGAAAGAAAGGAAAAGAACAAAGCAGGACAATTGAAAAAAAAGAGAAGGGAATGAAATGAAACGGAAAAGAACGCCCGTACACAGCACTAGCCAAAATGCCAGAGAGAGAAAAAGGATGAAAAAACTAGTATCAATAGTGGAACATGTGCAAATGTTTACTCCTTCTTCTCCTCGACCTTGGGGGCCTCGGTGAGAGCGATGGGCGCAGGAATGGGGACCTCGGAGATGTCTTTGGGAGCCGCTGGAGCATCCTCGCGAACCTCGACCTCAGTGATTGGCTGCGTGGCGGCCTCGGCGACGACGACTTCGGCGGTGACGGGCTCGGTAAGGGGCAAGGGGGTGACCTCCTCCTCCTTCTTGGCAACCGGCGTCTCCTCGGCCTTAGGGGCCTCGATTTCGGCTACTGTAGCGGTCTCAGGGACAGCCACGACGGGAATCTCGGCGACCTTCGGTTCTTCCACGGTGGTCTCAGCGGGGGTGGTGACGCTCACGATTGGCGCGGCCTCCTCCTTAGGTGCCTCCTTGGGTGCCTCCTCGGTAGCCTTGACCTCCTCGACGACAGCCGGCTTAGTCTCCTGCTCATTCGCGGCGGCGGCGGCAGCGGTGGCTTCCTCGACAGCCTTAGCCTCCTTGGCCTCCTTCTCCTTGACGGCGGCCTCCTCGGCAGCCTCTCCGTCGACGTCCTTGGGGCTGTGGACCGAGTTGCTACCCGACTCCAAAGGCTCGGCGTTTCCACCGTACTGCTTAGGAATGTCCTCGCCCAACCAGGAGGCCAGCTCCTTGCTTGAACTCAACATCTCCAACTGAAGAGAAATTGCAATCAGCGATGAACTCCTCGACATATCCAATGGCAAAAACATACCTTTGACACCGTAGCGTTGCTCAACAGCCTCTTGATGAAGCTGTAGACCCAGCCCATGAGCGCGGGAACGTTCCTGCATCACGAAAGTCAGTTATGCAACCACATCGCATCGATCGGCGGAACGAGCACATACACGAAAAACTTCCTCTCCAACGTTTCGGGGTAGTATCTTGCGAACATCTCAATCGTCTTCTTGCTGGCCGCCTTGACCTCCGACGGAAGTCGCAAGAAAGAAACGTTCATGTAGTCATGGACCTGAAGACTCATGTAAGGATCCTCGCCCTGACCGTAGTCGGGGATCGGCTCGGTGGCCTCGCCCAACTTGAGACGCGTCAAGCTCTCCTCCATGAGATTGACCCTCCACCGGATGAACTCGTCGAGTCCGCCGAACGTAGCCTTGATATCCTTGGTGGCACCGTAGATGTTCCAAGAGACGACCTTCTCCACACCGCTCTTGTGCTTGATGGTGTTGACGTATCCGATTCCCTTGAACTTGGTCTCGCTCCATCCCTTGCTGCTCTCTCCGTCGGCGGAGAAGAACCCCTTGCGCCACACCATGGTGTCCTTCAGCTGCGAGAAGGCCTTGGCAACGTCGTTCGCGTTCGCGCGCAGGAACTTCTGCAGGATCAGCGCGGTGCCGAAGGTGGGCTGTGGGACGGGCTTCTTGTCGGCCGAGGCGACGGACGCGGTCTCGGCAGCGACGCCGGCTTCTGGTGTAGGGGCAGCGGCATCGGCGGGGGGAGGAGTGGAGGTGGTGGCAGGAGGGGTGGCGGAGATGGCGCTGGGCTCAGCGGCAGGAGGAGCGATAAGGGTGAGTCCCCAGATCGAGTTGTAGCCCTCAGAAGCAGTGAGAATCTCTGGAAGCTTCTGGTGGAGCTTGATGATGGGGTGGTCAGCCTTGAGTTCCGGCCATGTTTGGGACGACATTCTGTTCGTTTGTGCGGTTATCGTGCAACTTGACTGTTGTGTTCGTGTTCGTTTGAATTCGTTGGGAGAGAGTGGAGAGGGGGGGTTTGGTTATCGGTGGTAGAATATTAGGTGAAATGGTACGAGAAGAAGAGAGCGAGGGGGGTTCTTCACGTATGTATTGGAGGTGAGAGAGTGTTGGAACGAAGTGAAGGAGTGAGGAGTGTTGGAATGAAGAGAGGGTTGAAGGTGGAAAGGGGGAGAAGGTGGAACGGGGATTGGAGGGAGGAGGAGCAAGGCAAACAGAGAAGGGGTTTGAGGGTCCGTTGCTGCGTTGCCCGTTGCTCGGGAGATGCACGTCTTGTCTTGTAGAAGCACGAGCAGGGGTCGTCCAGACGCAGCTCGTGCGCTCGGACCACATGTAACTTGAACCATTTACGATTCTATCATTTTATATACATTTTCCAGACCATTCCAATTTCACTTCTCGCTCGCTAAGGGAAGTGGGTAGGATAAAGCCTGTATCTAGGGGTAGAGATGGGGAGCTACTGCAGGTGAGCTTTATGTTTAATCGAGGCAGAGAACTCAACGACGGGGAATAGCGACAGCGGGAAGAAGAAGAGAAAGAAAGAGAGTGCCGGATGATTCAATTCGGCGATTTATCAAGAGTGTATGGGATGTAGATAATAAATCCTGTCTTTCTCGGTTCTCCATCGCAAGATGAAACCAACAGCAACACGAGGATTTCGAGGGGGAACGAGCAGGGAGCTTTCCCTCTAGGCCGTTGCCGCCTAGCTCGAGTAGAGTATTTGCCAGTCCTGTACATCCCGACTGGCGTTCAGGGTTTGATGACCACCAACACCCAACAGGGATGATGCAGGAAAGGGATGCCACTCCGGCAATTAGGAGTGGTGAAACACCGGATGCGACTTATGATATGTTTCTTTCACCGTGGCATCACTCGCGATCGTTTGTGATCACCAGCCTCAATGCACCATCGAGCAAGATTAGGTGCTCTACCCACGCTGCATTTCGGTTGCGGTCGGAACGAGATCGCGGAGAGGACGCCGTGGCCATGTGGGCGTGTGGCACACGTTAAAAGGGAAAGTGCCGTGAACTAGAGTAGGTTCCGGTACAAAGAATTGTGCTATCGTTACACTCCCGGACCGAGCCGGCGACGTGGCCTTAAGTTGGCGTATGACAGGAGACCAAAAATACACGGGTGTCCATAGGTACAAACTGTAAACAGGCTCTGCTATCACACGATCTCACTCGGTAAACCGTCAAAACGACATGTGTTACACAACTGGATATATCTGCGAGGTTCGCGACGGTAGAACTTCCGTTGAAGTATTCCTGAATTGCGACCACGCACCTGCAAGTTGCTCGTTGACCGTTTACCTACCTAGATAAAATCCTTGGATGCTATCGTTTGTGCCTTACGGCGGGTCACGGCTGTGTATGCACTGAGCCCCCAATAGTATCAGATTTATGATTACCTGCCAGCGTGTAGAGATGCTGTATGCAAGTCTATAATATAGTAGCTACTCGATCTTAGCTTACTACCAAGAGCTCGACGTAGATAGGCGAGTCCTAGTTACGAGGCGGTTATATATATGGTACCGAAGCTATGATACCAGGGAAGAAGAACACACGGCATCGGGACTCGGGAGCCTATTGCTGCAAAGGAATGAGTTGGTGATCCGTTTACGAGTAACTACCACAGACCCTTTCCTTCCCGCCGTGTAGAGGGTCGAGTGAAGAACCCGCTACATACCATACAGTCCGCTGCGGCCAAAAGAAGTCCATCACTTCGAGGAGTACCGTATAGCCTTCAAACCGAGTGATTATCTGTGTAATTACGCAGGTAGCACTGTGAAGTACCGTGTCGGAACTTGTCTGCCGCTCTCAAAAGCTGTCGCTCAAGCTTGCTCTCATAGCGACCATATGGATACCTAGCACGACGACATCTGGCTTCCGCTGACTGCTGCTCCTATCATACATACAGCTATAGAAGAGCTGACCTCCTTGTACGATGATGGGTTGAAAGATCGATGAAATCTTGAAGCGATCCACAGCCCTCGTCGAGTATCATACATCCATATGCATCTGTAATCCCCATCTCCGCAGTGGGGAAGATACGAAGAGCGTGCACTCGATTCCTATTCGATTGTTCTAGTAGCAATTTCCACGCGATGCCTTTCCCCTAAATATCATCTTCGGTGATTCGGAGGGAGGTCATAGAGATAGAAGGCCTAAAGAGTAACCGCAATAGACACGAGTCTATGACCTAGACAGAGGGAGTAATTACTAGTACGCTGCTTCTGTTTTCGGCTCGGCCAAGGGAGAGAGGTCCGAGCAAATAGGTTAGAGCAGTCGGGTTCTTGGCACGGTCGTCGACGGCCTAGATACAGTTTAGTGGCTTATGTAAGAAGTAAGTAGAGTAAGTAAGCCACCCCCTCCAGCCCTTAGCCCTAACACCGGCCAAACGACACCCACAACTCCGCAACCGCAGAGCCTCAGAACCGCTATAAAACCCCCCCCCCCCCCCCCCCCCCCCTTCGCCTCCTCCCTTTCCCCCTTTTTCCTCAGCTCTCTTTGGTACGTCCTCCTTCCCCAACCTTCATCATCACTACAATACTAACTCCATCTACAGCCTTTTGGCTTAGATCAAGTGTAGTATCTGTTCTTTTCAGTTTAATATCTGAAATCCGATTACAACATCGGTTCTAATATTAACCTCATTTTTGCAAATTGGGGGCTGGCCGCTGTGCTTGCGCATGTTGGTCCCCATGGTGTCGCTGGTATTGCACTGTCTCCAGTTGATGCGAATATTGAAGCAGCTTTCATTGTTCTTCTGGCCGATGCGCGAGAGGATGAAGAAAGTTGGAGGATACCGACGGTACAGGGCAGATTGAGTTGGTGTGGTGTTCTATAGATGCGTGACTGGCGTTGCGCATGTTCACAGGGACGCCGAAGCCCATGTTCTGAAGATGAACCGCCGGTTGCGGCGGTTCTTCTTGAATTCCCGTGGAGTTCGCTCCCCCCACCCCAACACGACGTCTCCACACCAACCCCGTTCTTCCTGCCCACTTCCACACTTAGCTCCAGTGGCTCCACACTCCCTCTGTACCGGTAAGGTATCTGGGTCCTCGGCGTACCCGGAGCTAGGTACCTGATATACGACATTTTAGTGTTCACCAATGACCACCTCGCCAGCCAGTCGTCAATAGTCACGGCCGCAATCGTCCCCTTGGGCCCTTACTTTATCGCAGCCTGAATTTCAGATTCCGAACGCTTGGTGTAACGTATTCCGGCGTGCGCAAGCAGCTCTTCACCTAGGTAGATGCATACAATTAAGATTACCATTGCGTTCGGAGATTCCTTAGAGCTCCCTGCTAGGGAAAAACTATTACTCTACATACTTCATGGTGACCAGGTAGGTACTCTAACGAAGGGACGGTTGTCGAGACTCGACCCCGGGTATGTACTACGTGTACTATGTGCAACTTGGAGTATTTCTTTAATGATGTTCGGAGATAGAATCCTTTACTATTACTATAGGCCAATTCAAAACGGGACATGGGCAGGAACAAGGAGAGGAAATGACGAGCTTCAGTGCGAAGGTCGATACAAGGTAATTGTTGAGTTTTACGACCAAAGGAACGGGCCGTAGGAGGAGGAGGAGGAGGAGGAGGAGGGTGCATACGCGCTTGCATAGTATCTCCCGTGTTCTCCCGCGAGACCATTGCCGCTTCGCTCCCGTTCACTTGGTCGAGAAGCTTGCAGTCGGAGTTTGAGTTCCGGAGGGAGATTCAGCTCACGACCACCGTAAACATCAACGCTGTCACCCGGCACGGTTAAAGCCAGTATGCATAAATATTTTCGGATATTATATATGTAGGTTACCCACTCCAAGCCCTCAGCCCTAAAATCGGCCAAACCTCACCCCACAACCGCAACCGCAGAGCCTCAGAACCGCTATAAAAACCCCCCTCCCCCTTCTCCCTTTCCTCTTTTTCCCTAGCTCTCTTTGGTACGCCCCCCTCCCCCCAACCTTCCCCCCAACCCTTCCCCCCATCACCACCAGCATACTAACTCCATCCACAGCCTTTTGGCTTAGATCAAGTGTAGTATCTGTTCTTTTCAGTTTAATATCTGAAATCCGATTACAACATCGGTTCTAATATTAATCTTATTTTTGCAACTTGGGTGGCTGGCCGCTGTGCTTGCGCATGCTGGCCCCCAATGTGTCACTGGTATTGCACCGTCTCCAGTTGATGCGAATGTTGGAGTCCAGCTCTCATCGTTTTTCTGGCCGATGCGCGAGGGAATGAGGAAGGTTGGAGGTACGGGGCCGGGGGATTGGGCAGGTGTGGTGTTGACGTGGAAGCGAGTATGGCTGCGAAAGTGCTTCGAGTCACGCTGAAGGACATGTTCCGAAAAGGAACCGCAACCGGCGGCGCTTCTAGAATTCCTGTGTAGTTCGCTCCCTCCATTCTTTCCGCCCTCTTCACACCGCTCCAGCGGCTCCACTCTCCCTTTATACGGTACAGTATCTAGGTCTTCGACGACATCCTTTCCCCCCGGAAGCCGCTGTTTCGCACCCGGATATACAACACTCCAGTGTTCACAGATAACCGCCCAGCCAGGCGTCAATGGCCACGGACGCAATCGACCCCCTTGCTTCATCGGAGCCTGGAGGTCAGATTGGGAAAGCCTGGTTTTCCGGCGTCTGTGAGCAGCTCTTCACTTGGTCAAGAAAGTCAAAGCTTGAGTTCCGGCCGCTCCGCTGCTCACCGCAGCACAGAGGCGCCTCGACCCCGCGCTCCCACACTACTCACTCAATGTACTACCTGGTGCTGAAGTCACCCCCCCTCAAAGCTCCCAGCTCTAACACCGGCCAAATCTCACCCCACAACCGCAGAGCCGCAGAACCGCTATAAACCCCCCCCCTCACCCTCCCCCCTCACCCTCCCCCCTCACCCTTCTTTTCCCCAGCCCTCTTTGGTACGCCCCCCTCCCCCCACCCTTCCCTTCCCTTCCCCCCCAACTACCACCACCAAGCTAACTCCACCCACAGCCTTTTGGCTTAGATCAAGTGTAGTATCTGTTCTTTTCAGTTTAATATCTGAAATACGATTATATATCGGTCCTAATATTAATCTTATTTTTGCATTTCCGGGGGTCGGCCGCTGTGCTTGCGCATGCTGGTCTCCAATGTGTCACTGGTATTGCACTGTTTCCGGTTGATGCAAATATTGGAGCATTTCAATGGAATTTTCCAATTTCCAAAGGTTTTCATCGTTACTCTGGCTGATATACGAGGGGATGAGGAAAGTTACTGGGTACGGTACGGGGGATTGAGTGAGAGGGGTGTTTCAATGGAAGCGGGTCTGGCACTGCGCTGCAAAGAGTGATGCCGATGTCCATGTTCCGAGAAGGAACCGCCGCATCTAGCGGTGCTTCTATAGTTTCCGTGGAGCTCGCTCCAACCCGCGATTTTTCCCGCCCACTTCACACTCCGCTCTCTATATACTCCCTCTGCACCGTACGGCAGTTGTCTAGGTCCTCGGCGGCATCCTTTTTTGTTTCCCCCGGTCGGCCGCTGTTTCGTGCCTGCGCCTGCGGCGTACCCGGAGTTGGGTAGATACGACACTTCGGTGTTCACAGACGACCGCTCAGCTGAGCTGGCAGCCAGTCGCCACGGACGCAATCGACCTCCTTGCTTTACCGGAGCCTGGGCCGTGGAGGTCAGATTCAAATTTCGAACGCTTCGTGTAGAGTAACGTGTTTCTGCGTCCGCGAGCAGCTCTTCGCCTACCTACCTCGCCACTATGCAGCGCTTCGGTAATTCCTTTCTGCCATGGAAGAGCTATTACAAATGGTATGTACTTCGTGGCGGCTAGGTAGAGTACTCTATTGTATTGTATGGGCCGAACACGGCCAAAATGCAGAATTACCAAACAAAAACACCCGACATCACTCGCCACGCGAAGGCTTGAGGCAAACAGAGAACGCGACTGGTGTAAACCTATCTACTAGTAAGGCCGCATACGAAAATCAATTGATGTTCCCTCTGTCACCGGTCTGAACCCCACCATAAAGACAAAAAATTATCCCCGAACACTAACCAACACGAATTTTGACATCATTTGTGGATCATTATTGCCATTACCACTACGTGGAACTTGGCGTGCTCTGCTCGATCGCCGAGTCCCTCCTATCCCCATGCTGCTCCCCTCCCTCCCCCTCCCACTCCTTCCGATTCCTCGCCTCCAGACTCGTCGACGGCTGCCACACCAGATCCCACTGAAACATAACCGGCAGTGCGAGTCCGCGCTCTCTACAGATCTCGTAGTAGCTAGTGAGAAGGAACGGCTGCATGAGGCTCGGCATGAGGTCGCGACTGCTGAACACCACATCCTTGCTGCCCGTGAGCCGCTTCATATGCTGCAGATACGCCTTGACGCCGCGCTCGCTACGCTTCCACATCATCATCCCGGGGGCGAGCTGTCGGGCGGCGCCCTGCGGCGGCACAATCGTGAACGTCGTGTAATGGTACGGGATTGGCGGGGCAGGCGGCCCGGAAACGAGCGCCTGCGCCAGCAGCGGCGTGCCAGAGAACAGATGTATCCCGCTGGTGGCGCGGGGGTTGCACTCGAAAGCCATGACTTCGCCGCTGCGGGTCTCGACGAAGTCGAACGCGAGCTGCGCGCCGACTGTGGGGAGGTTCTTGGCGATGGCGACGACGTACTCCTCGATGGCCGGGTGCGCGATCGAGCGGAAGTACACGCAGCTGCTGCCGTCGATGGTGTCCTGTACGGGGTACAGGCTGAACGCTTGCACGCGCCCCCCGCGGATCACCATGTAGCTGCAGTACCGCTGCCCAGAGAGCCACTCCTGCGCGATGTACTCCGCGCCCTGCGACATGTCGTCCACGCACTCCTGCGGCACCTCGTCCCCGCGCCGCAGGTGGAACACGTTGCTCGCCGCGCGGCCGAACACGGGCTTGACGGCCCAGCCGTCGGCTTCCTCGCCGGTGTCGGTATCGGCGAGGAGGCGCAGCACGTCCTCGCGGGAGCGGCACAGGTGGGCCGCGGGACGGCGCAGCCCGATCGAGCCGAGCCACTCTGAGAACGACCACTTGTTGTGCAGCATCATAAGGGTTTCCCAGGGCGGGGCGAGCATGCGGGCGAGGAGCTCGGGGTGCTTCGATTCGGCCAGGTAGAAGATCTCCTCGTGCATCGGGATGATCAGGTCGATGTTTGCGTCCCGCACGGCGGCGACAATGCCAGAGATGAACCCCGGGGCGTCGATGTGCGGCGACGGGACGAAGTAGGATTTCTTCACCGCCCGAGAGAACTTGCATACGTGGTAGTGCATCGGGTCCGCCACGAAGACGGTGTGCGAGAGCAGGAAGAGCTGTCGTGCTAGGTCCACGGTCACAGGGAAGCGCCCGTTCGTCAGGAGGATCCGGAGCGGATGCGGATTCTTGCTGCGGCGCGAGAAGCACGGCATGGCGGCGGTGATGGTTTGTATCTCACGGGTATGTTGCGGTGTTCGGCGTGGACGGTATGTGATATTCGTGAGTTAGGTATTGCGTTGCGAGCCGGGAGCACAGACAGACCGGTGCGTGTGTGTGTCGATCCGCAAAGAGGGTGGCAGTAGCAGTCGGGGAAGGTATCGCTCGTTCTCTCTCTCCAAGCTCCAGCCACCGATGGAAGTTCTTATCCTCTTTCCCATCTGCTCGGCATTTCCAAATCCGCAGTCGAGAGAGCTTGACAAGTCACATACCGAGTGACAGCTGCATGACGTCATACGCACACCACAGCCACCACCAAACATCGGATGTGGCGTTCCGTCCTTGCAGACTGCTGTGACAGTGGAGAATACAGTACCTCATTCCCACGCGACGGGATGCGTCTACATACTCTAGGTACTTGTCCATTCCGGGACCTGGTTCTTGGCACTGTCCTTTGTCCCTTTCTCTCATTGCAGTGAGCAGCTTTTGTAGCTTCTCAGCAATGGGCATCGTCCCTGACTTGCAGCCCCCCTGTGGCCGAGTCCGACATTGTCTATCGTGGATAGCATTCTCTGTCCGAGGCTTCATACCTTGTCTCCACGAGCTCGTCGTTTGTCATCAAAAGCCGTCTCTTTTACCCATCTTTCTCATTCATATCATCCATCTCATTCAATCAAATCCAGTTCTTTTCTCAGTTTCAACAATGGCCGTGGGCAGACGAAGAAGAAGGGTGATCGGTAGTGAGCGGGAGATTTCCGGGTGCGAGGAGGAATGCAGCACTGCAGACGTGATGCGTGTCGACTCCGGATATAGCATGCGAGCGACGGTTGACGTCAAGGCGGGCGCGACTTTTGACGTTCGTGATCGTCGTTTTGGGAATATGGAGTGATCTTTCATGATCCTCCGGCCGTGCAGGAAGCAAGGGTAGGGACGATGAAGAAGAAGTCGCACGAGTTCGGAATTGGAGGCCAGGACCCAGAAGACGCGGCTGTCCTTGTTACATCCATATCTTCATATCAGACATGTGGATTGTAGACTTTTGGGCCATCGAAGCTCGCCGGTGTCTTGCTCTGCTCGAACGATGCCGTTATTCCAGCTGGAGAACTGCATAGGTGGGTTATGTCGGAAGGCATCTAATGTCCCTACCGTGGCTAGCTATCACCACAGAGATAGACGATAGGCAGATCGCCCTCCAACCATTCGCCACTCCAGGACACGACTGGATGCCAGAGTACCCCGATAGGAAGTTATCCGCGATATCAAAGAGAATGCACATAGTTTATCGCGCAGGAGCAGAATTCCCCACCGTCAGTTCCCCGCGCATTGCGTGCAAACAAGCATTACGGCTCAACCGTCGCGCACGATGAATACTGCTTATAATACCTATGCTACAGAACCCTGGGAGCACCATACATAACTGCAGGGGGTGGCGGCGAGTGCGATATCGAGATAGACAGGCACGGGAAAATATGGAGATGCGGAATGGAGACGGAAAGAGCCGCGCACTTTCAAAGAGGACGGTGGGACTAGAGTGCCCGGTTGGGGGCAGCTGGAGAAATGCACGGCAATGGGCAAGGCGTGTATATATCTGTCGTATCCCGCTCGAGGGAATGACTCCAGCCAGCCCGCAATTCTCATTACTGCCAGCAATCGTCACACAGCCATGCGGTTCTCTCTTGCTCTCCTCTCGCTGCTTCTGGCGCCGTCCCTCGTCCTGGCAGCTCCCGTAGAGCACGACGATTACATCATCTTCGAATCACACCCTGCACCGGAAGGATGGCGAACCCTTCCCACCGCACCCGCCCCTTCCACGCACCTGACCCTTCGCATTCACCTCACCACGGCCCACTCCCTCCTCGAGGACGAGCTCCTCGCCGTCTCCGACCCCACTCACGCCCGTTACGGCGACCATCACACGCAAACCTCCCTCCGCGCCTTCACCGCCGCAGCGCCGGAAGCGGTCTCGGCGGTCACTTCGTGGCTCTCCGCCCACGACCTCGAGTCTTCACTCTCCGCCTCCGGGGATGTGATCAAAACTCGCGTGACGCTGGAACAGGCTCAGTCCCTGTTGAGGACGACATACCACAAGTACCATAACACGGATGGCCGGACGATAGTGCGTACGACCGAATACTCGGTCCCTGTGGCGGTAAAGCGGTTCATCGAGATGGTGCAGCCAACGACCATGTTTGGGCTGCAGCGGATGGGCGCCACGCATGAGCCTTTAGGTATGACTGCGCCTGCCAGGACTGCAACGCAGACGGCTGCGGCTTGTAATTCCTCCATCACGCTGAAGTGTCTCGCCAACTTGTATGGATACGGGGGATATCGATCGAAAGGAAAGGCTAGTGTAGGGGTGTCGGGTTTCTTGGAACAATATGCGCAGTTCGATGATTTCACAACGTTCCTCGAAAAATACAGGCCTGCTGCTGCTGGAGCCAATTTCTCGGTGGTATCCGTCAACGGCGGTCTGAACCTGCAGAACGTTACCGACATCAACGCCTTCGTGGAAGCAAACCTGGATATCCAGTACACTGTCGGCATCAGCTACCCCGCGGAGAACACCTACTTCAGCACTGCCGGCCGTCCCCCATTCGTCTCCGACCTCGACGTAACAGAAAACAACTCCGAGCCATACCTCGAATACCTCGAGTACCTGCTATCGCAGCGCACTTTGCCCAGCGTTCTCAGCACGTCCTACGGCGAAAGCGAGCAAACCGTGCCTCTCTCCTACCGGCTCTCGGTATGCAACCAATTCGCACGTCTCGGTGCACGCGGCGTGTCCGTAATCTTCGCTAGCGGCGACTCGGGCACCGGCTGGTCGTGCAAAACCAACGACGGCACGAACAGCACCCGCTTCCAGCCGGTCTTCCCCGCCGCCTGCCCGTGGGTCACCTCCGTCGGCGGCACGGAAGGCGTCGCCCCAGAGCACGCGGTCGACTTCTCCAGCGGCGGGTTCTCGGAAACCTGGGAGGCGCCCGCCTACCAGCGCTCCACGATCGCCCGGTACTTCCGCACGCAGCCCGCCGCATGGCGCCCGTACGTGAAGTACTTCAACACGACCGGCCGCGGCTTCCCCGACGTCGCCGCGCAGGCGAGCAACTACGAAGTGGTCCTAGGCGGCTCGGCGCGGCAGGTCAGCGGCACGTCGGCGGCGGCACCGGTGTTCGCGGGGATCATCGCGCTGGTCAACGATTACAGACAGCGCAGGGGGAAGAAGTGTCTCGGGTTCCTCAATCCCGCGCTGTACAGGAACCCCAAGGCGTTCACTGATGTCACCACCGGAAGGAGCACCGGCTGTGATGGGATTTGGGGTGGAGAGCCCATCGAGGGAGGGCCGGGAATTGTCCCCGGTGCTGGGTGGAATGCGACGGTTGGTTGGGTACGTCTCCGGAGTCTGGATTGCATGCACGGCGGAGAAGATGCTGACTGACGGGAATATACAGGATCCCGTGACGGGTCTGGGGACTCCGAAGTTTGGGGCTTTGAAGGATATCTAGGTGCATATATGTGCGAAGTGCATGGTCGCTGGGAATCACGACAGAACAACGTTTATTCGTGTGATGTAGATCGGATTGTATCATGCAGGGGCCGTTTTAATCTACTCTAGGTACCCTAGATTCATAGTAGAGCACGCCGAAGACAATTGTGAAGTTCGTAAATATAGTAAACAATTACACAGAGAATCGGTGATGTTAGCGGCGGTGGTGGTCGTGAGCTGGATCTCACTCCGGAACTCAAGCTATGGTACGGTATGACTGTCAAGCTGCTTGGCTACCTATATAAGTGAATGGGAGGCTGGAGTGAAGAGGCACTACAAATAGCGAGTGACTGATAGACAGATTCAGAGCGCATCACTCATCTTCACTAGGTATCCACACAACTTCTCGGTTCCAAGAAGTTAGAACATCCAAGAAATGTGAACGGAAAGAAGAACAAAAAGAATTCAGGAAAGTTTCTCTCTGACGAGTCGTGTGAATGGAGCATTCCAGTCCCATTGAGAGATAACAGAGTCACGTGCCCACCTCCTATCCACTACCACCATCCAGGTTTCGTCCAACTTGAGTACATACTCTACACGGCCGGGTGTCTCCGGCGAATCTCCCGCTGCGCCTCCTTCGACGTGGGGAGCTTTTGCAGTTTTGTCGCTTGGCGTCCGTCCATGTGGGAAATGCATTACAAGTTTGCAAGGCTGAAACTGGGCGGGTCTGAAATTAGATAGCAGTCACTACTCTACGCGCGGATAGCAGGATTTCATACTTCAGACTTCAGTTGGGATTTTGCCCTATGGCTTCTTGCCAGCTTGGACCGTGGGGTGTTGGTAGAACGGTGTTCCGCTGAGGCAGGCACGCAGGTTTGATTTCGTCCGCCGGTCTGTCGGTCGGTCGGTGAGCGTGCGGTGGCGGCCAGGAGGCGACGGCGGCAGGCCCGTGCGCTTTGATCGCTATTACTATTGCTTTGCTTTGCTTCCTTTCGCTGCCGAAGTTTGCCCCCCATCCCGCACCCCTGAGGCGTTGGGCTTGGCTTGGCGGGCCAGTATGGACGGTACACTCCTTTCCCGTTTCCGTCATGTGGCAGATGCCCCCTAGAGCAGAACACTCTACTCTACATACCCCCCCTTGTTGTCGATTCGAATCGCATCGCCTTTAGGTCGTCGCTATTGCTCCCACTACACTCCATACACTCACACTCAAACACACACGCTCCTTCCAGCTTTCTTTCGTTCTCTACAACTACCACCACTGCTGCTTTCGAGGACTTCGCGATAACTCACACTGCTGGACGGATAACTTTGATGTATTGAATCCGCTTTTGCTTGACGCACGACACTCGTACAGACACAGACACAAGCAGAGCATAGCGAAGCAACGCAGAGCAACGCAGAGCAACGCAAAACAGAAACAGAAACAGAAACAAAGCAAGGGACTCGAATCGCTCCACCGCACAGCACGACAGCAGCAACCATGATCCTCCCGCGCTCCGACATCCCCTACGGCGCGACGCACCCCCACTTCGGGCACACGACGCACCCGCCATACGGCGCGACACACCCACACTTCGGCGGACACAAGGACAAAGGGCTCTCTGCCGGCGCGATCGCCGGGATCGTGATCGCCTGCGTCTTCGTAGTCGGGGTGATAGCCTGGGTGGTGAGCCTTCCCTTTCCCCCCCCCCTCTCCCCCCCCCTTGAGCTCCACTGACCCACCCCAGACGCGAACCTTCCTTCGTCACCGCTCACTCGGGCTTCCGCCGCCAACGCTGCACACGTTCTTCCCGTGCCTCCCGGGGAAGCCTCGCGGCGGCAGCTACGAGCCGACGCGGCCGGCGGCGTCCGGCGGCACGCGCGGGCTGTTCGGCTTCTTGAAGCCGTCGCGCGGCGGGTATACCGGCGCGAATGAGCGCTCGGCGCGCACCCGCGGCGCATTCGACGAGGGCGCGTGGGATAGCCGCATGGACCACGAGGAGACGACGGAGTACACGGGGGCGTCGCAGGGCGTCAAGGAGGCTGTGATTGGTGCGTTGGCGCCACGCAGTAGAGAGCAGGATCTGGGCGTCGGGAGAGAGGAGGACCGTGGACGCAGTAGGAACCGTGGCGCTGAGGTCTATGTCGATTATGGCGATGAGCCCACCGCTGCCGGGAAGAACCCGTTCGATCAGGATGTGACCAGGAAGGATGGCTTTGGCGATGTTAGGATTCAGGGGGGACGCCCGAGTATCGATAGCTCAAGGAGGAGTGCGTTCAGGGAGGCGATGTGAGGAGGGTTACCGGGTTTGAAAATACCGTCCGTCGCGTTTGTGTTTTCCTTGCGTTTTGTTTCCTTGTGTTGGTTTGATTCTTCGTTTTCTTTGCATTCCTGCAGCTGTTGGTTTCGGCTTGTTCCTTCTTCTGTCCCTGCGTGTGTATGTGTGTGTATAGGTGTTTTTGTACTTCACCTTAGTGTCTCATTCCTTTCTTGCTACATACTGCGTGTGAATATAGAGTTACTATGTGTCCCATAGTCAGAGCTTCTTTTTGTTTGCACGGTCGAAAAATATAAGTGCGAATACCTATCTCAATCTCTACTTGCCAACGCAAAACTTCTCAAAGACAACCCCCAGAACCTCCTCGACATCCCCAGCCATTTCCCCCCTCCCAGTGATCCGGCCCAGACACTCGGCCGCGCCTCGGAGCTCTTCGGCAGCAACGACCACATCCACGTCCTCGCCGTCCTCAACCATCTCCAAAAAGTCATCCAGAAACGAAATGCACGCCTCGACGAGCACGCGCTGGCGCTCGGTGGCGCCAATGCTCTCGTACATTTCCGCGGCGGAGGCGCCCGCGGTCGGACTGAGCGGACTGGTCATGTGCTGGAAGATCCCCGTGAGCCCGTTCAGCAGCCGCTGGATGCCGTGCTCGGTCCGCTTGCGGCAGGAGACGCCAAATATGCGGTCATCCCTGATGTTCGGGAACGCATCGTTGACCTGGCGGACGACGTCCATCGGCAGGGCGTCCGCAGCGGCCGGGTGCAGATCGGTCTTGTTCACCACCGCGACCACCTCCTTCCCCGCCTCCTCCGCCTCGTTGACGAGTTTTTCCAGCTCGGGGGATACGCGCAATCCGACGGAGTGGTCGTCGTTAACGACGATGTCGACGACCGCGACGACGACGTCGGCGGACATGGCGCGGGCACGGGCGCGCTTTATTCCCTCCTCCTCGACCATGCCGACGCCCACGTCGTCCACCCGCAGCCCGGCAGTGTCCCCGAGCACGACCATGAACCCGCCCACGTCGACGGCTAGATCCACCACGTCCCGCGTGGTCCCCGCCTCGGGACTGACAATCACCGCCTCCCGCCCGACGACGGTATTGAGCAGCGAGCTCTTCCCCACATTCGGCGCGCCGACGAGCGACAGCGAGATGCCATTCTTGAGCAACTCCCCCCTGACAGCATTGCCCACATGGACCCTTAGCCTCTCCCTTAACTGCCTGACCCTCAACTCAACCCCCGCCACCAACTCGCGGTTACTCTCCTCAAAATGCTGATCCTCCGCAAAATCTATGAGCGCCTCCAGCTCCCCCCGTGCCAGCACCAACTGCCGTCTCCAGCGCTCATACCTATCCGCCAGCCCCCCAGCAGCACCGCGGACCGCGCGCCGCCTCTGCTCCTCAGTCGTAGCATCCAGCGTCTCCCCGAGCGCTTCGATCTCCGGCAGCGACAGCCGGTCGTTATAGAACGCGCGCCGCGTGAACTCGCCAGGCTCCGCATACCTCGTCCCCCCAGCTGCTCCCCCTACCCCTCCCGCTCCCTGAGCAGCAACAGGCACAGCCGCCAACACCGCGCGAATAATCGCCACCCCGCCGTGCACGTGAAGCTCCAGCACGTCCTCACCTGTATGGCTGCGCGGCCCGGGGAAGAACAGGCATAACGCGCCGGGGTCGAGGACCTCACGTGTCTGTGGGTGGTGCAGCGTGCGGAGGAGCGCGTGCCGTGGGGTTGGCGCGGCGGTGGGGGAGGTGGTGGTGGGTGAGGTCAGCGAGCGGTAGATCGTGAGCGCGGAGGGGCCCGAAATGCGGATTACGGCGATCGCGGATTTGCCCGGGGGTGTCGAGAGCGCGTAGATCGTTGGTTGATGGGGGTGGGGGTTGGAGTGCGTGCTGCTGATGGGAGGGGTGCTGCTGGTGGGAGCGGCGGCGGCGGTGGGGAGTATGTAGCCTTTTGGACGGTGACGGTGCTGGTGCGCGGGATGCGCGGCTGGGCGCGAGAACTGGCGATGGATGGGATTGCGGCCGGCAGCGGCGGCGGGGGCAGCGAGTCGTACCCGCGTTCGCGGAATGGAGGGCGGTTTTCGTAGGCGGAGAGGCATGGTGGGCAATTAAAACTGAAACTGAAACTGTGAAACTGTGAAACCGTAAAGGTGGGATGGGTTGGGATGGGATGCTGCGAGATGTATGACGTCTGTGCGGAGGTTGCCGAATGGGCTTGGAGCTAACGACTGGGGGGTAATCGCATCGCATCGCATCTCATCGCATCTCATCTCATCTCATCTCATCTTATCGAATCTCGAGGATCTCGCGACGCATGGCCATGGGCGCGGGTGATTGTACGTGAATCAACGGAGCAATCAACATGGTATGGCGAAGGCGGTATCGATGCCTTCGATTCTTGTTGCCGCCATCGTGTGAGAAATCGGCATCACGTCATCACCGTCACCAATATTATTCCCCTCTCCACTACATCAACTGCGACCTTCCACATACATTAAACATTACCCCCTCACCCCCCAATCCCCCACCTACCAAGCTCTATGCCCCCCATCGACCATCAAATCCGCGCCGGTCATGAAGCTGCTCGCCTCACTCATGAGAAACACCGCGACACCCTTATACTCATCGGGCGAGCTGATGCGTCCCAGCATGTTCTGCTGGCTCCACAGCTGTCTGCGCTCGGGGTACCGCTCAAACAGGTTCTCGACCATCTTTGTTGCTATGTACCCCGGCGACAAAGTGTTCACGCGGATACCGTGCGGAACGCCCCATTCTGCCGCGAGGTTGCGCGATAGCTGGTGCACCGCCGATTTCGACGTGTTGTAGGCCGCCATGGGGACGCCCTGCTGCTGTGTTAGCACTGAGAAGAAGAAGGGGAGGTGGGCTGGGAGACAAACGCGATTCGCCACGACACCGCTCATGCTAGCGACAAGTACAATACTCCCACCAGCCTTCTCCTCGCCTCTTTGTTCCGCGAGCCTAACCATCTCCCTTGCACACGCCTGAGCGGACAAAAACACGCCGGTAACATTAATCCCCATGATACGATCAAACTGCTCCTTGGTGCAGCGGAGGGCATCGACCTCCTCGAGCACGCCCGCAGCCGCAATTAACCCGTCGATCCTCCCCTCAGCATCCGCTACCCCCCGCACCGCGGCTGTCAGCGCCAAGTTGTCCCGTACGTCTAGGGGAAGGTAGTGCAGCTGCCCCCCGCCCGCTGGCAGCAGGGAGGCGGCACGTGTGAACTCGGTGGGCGCAGCGGAGTGCACGTCCAGGGCGTACACTGTTGCGCCGGCGGCGGCGAGGGCTTCCCCCTGTGTTAACCCGAGTCCCCGACCGCCACCCGTGATGAGGATCACTTTGGAGGAGATCGAGAGGTCCGCCGGGAGCCGCGGGGCGGAGACGGTGGCCTGTATGGGTGAGAGTCAGTGCTGCGAGGTTGGAGGTGGGCGGGAAAGGGAGGATGCACCAGAGAGCGGATCGGCGATGGCTGTAGACGGCACAGCAGCGAGCTGGTGGGGCGGAGGAGGCGAGACATCATACTGGCTCAACTGGCTCAACTGGCTCAACTGGCTTAACTGGCTTACTCGTTCGTGGGGGTGAACCGTTGGGGGGCTGCTGCTGTGCTGTGCTTTTGCTGTCTGATTAGCTACTATCCGGCGGGCGATTGAATGCTGTCCGGTTGGCTGGCTGGCTGGAGGATTGAATGCTGTCCGGTGGGATGGTTGGATTGTTTCTTGGAGGAGTGGGGAAAAAACTCGAGATATATACGAACCCTCCGCCTTGTTGCGCGGAGAAAAACGCGGACGGAGAACACGGACGGAATCACGGACGGATGAGGTAGCCCAGTATGTCATATCTGCTCCGTGCGACTGGCCTGTGCACGCTGTATACTCTATACACGCGTATGTACGCAATCGGACCGGACATGTATGGCCTATGGGAGAGGACTAAGAGGTATATAGCTGGAAGTAGTACCTAGGGGGGTGAGTTTCTGACAACTGTCTGCGGAGCAGACTCGGTAGAGTGGTTACTGTTAATGCCGTGGTAAACGAGACGGAGATGTACGTAGACGCGGACATACATCATCACACTTTCACTCTGCGCACGCAATCAGATCAGACATGTATGGCCCATGGAAGAGGTACATAGCTGGAAATAGTAGGGATTGAGTTGTCTGCGGAATACAGTGGTCAATACCATGGCAGACGAGACGGAGATGTACCAGTAGACGCGGGCATACATCATCACTTTCACTCTTTCACTCTTTCACTCTTCCACTCTTTTACTCTTTAGCCATTTATTTTCCCTAAAAAATAACCAAAAACAATAGACGAGCAGACAGACAGACGAGCAGACAGACAGACGAGCAAACAGACAGACGAGCAGACTACTACAATACGTTTATCCGTTGTAACTATACTATATCGTACCGGATTCAAAAAAGGACGTCTTAACTCCTTCAAACAAGCAATCCAACAATCAAACAAGCAATCCAATAAGCAAGCAATCCAGCAATCAGTCATTTAATCAATCAATCAATCCATCAATCCCCCATTTAGCATCGTACTCACCTCCAGTATCATACTCCCCCATGTATAGTAGTACCATGTACCATAACGCCCACATCCACCGCACGGGGTATAGCTAAAGTGTACTCACAAAATCCCCAACTGCGCCACCGTACCACCATGGCCCTCACCGCTCCTATCGCCCTCAATCGTAAGCTTAACATATCTCGCCTTTTTCCTCTGCCCCTCCTCCAGCTGTACAACGGTAGTATTCCCGGTCTGCATAACGACCTTAAGCGCGTCCTCGGCCCTCCAAGGCGCCGAGATCTCCACGGTATCTGCCTTAAACACCATTTGCCACACCTTCTCCTGCGCGGTATCGTTGCTCGCGAACAGCGCCCACCTGATCGGCGGCCACTTTGCCCAGTTGAGGCTGATGGCGTTGATATCCGTCAGCGCGCCGAGGTCGACGGTCAGGTCAGCGGGCGCAGCGGAGTGCGGCCGCCACTGCGTGTGGTTGCTGCCGTCGACGGCGCCGATCGGGAATTGCCCTGGGACGTAGGCGTCGAGGGTTGTGGCGAGCTTGCACTCGGCCTTGTTGCCGGGGATGTCGGTACCGTTCAGGTCTGGGCGCCGCGTGGGGACGACGAGCGACTCGCCGGGGAGCAGTGGGTAGTCGCCGCCCATAGAGTTGCGGGAGCCGATGCGCACAGTGACCGGGCCCGAGGGCTGCTTGCGCGTGGTGATGCGGCGACGGGTGATCGTCGTGTTCTCGGGGGTCACACGCACGTTGAAGCTAGCGCCGTGGTGCTTCATTCCCTTGATGGTCACACCTTCCTCGAGCTGTGGAGGCACGGACGGGTCGAGGTAGAAGGCGTCGAGGCGGGGACGGTAGCCGGTGAAGCCGTGGGTTGGGATCTGCAGGAAGCCGCCGTGGCCCGTCAGGAACGGGAAGGCGGGATTGGTGTTGCCGTTGGCGTAGATGTCGTCGAGGATCTGCTCCGAGAACTGGTAGTACGGCTCGCGCAGGTACGGCTGCGAGGCGTAGAGGAAGTACGTCCAGCTGGCACATCCGCGCGGGGACAGATCCAGAGCGCTGATGGCAAATATCGCCCAGGTCATGGCCGGGCCATCGGGGGATTGCGCGCGCGCGTAAAAGTCGAGGTCGTTCAGCGCCTGGCTCTCGTTCAGCCGGAATTCGAGCGGGTAGTTGATCAACACCACGTCCGCCTGCTTGATCTCGACACTGCCGTTCATCTGCGCGTATTCGGGGATGATTTGTGCTTCGGTGTTGTACGGGATGAACATGTTCGTCTCGACGTCGGCCCACTTCGGCGGGGTATTGAGTCCCATGATCGCCGCTGCCTGTTGGGCGATGCCCATGATGACCTTGACACCGGAAGTGGTGAAGGCACCATTGTCGATGTGGTTGGCATATTCATCCTGCGACCCGATTAGTCTCATGGGTAGCGAGTCATGTGGGGGAGAAACATACAGGATCAGTCATATTGTTAACAGTGTACATCCCCTTCTTCAAGCCGTCGGCGTCGTCGGTCAAGGCTTTATCCACGAGACCCGACCACATCTGAGCCACCGCTTCGATCACAGGCCAGCCCTTCTCCCGGAACCAGTCCATATCTCCGGTAGTCAAGAACTGGTGCCAATGGACCAGGGCGATATCGGTGTTGAGGTGGTACTGGTAGTCAGCACAGGGACCCGTGCCAGTGCAGTTTCCGTATCTGGAGCTGGTCCATGGGTACAGGGCACCCTCGAGCCCGTACTCCTTCGCGTTCTCACGCGCCTGTGGCAACATCTTGGTGCGGTAGTTGTTGATGGAAGCGGCATGCTCGGGATGGAGCACCAGGAGCCCAGGAAGCATCCACAGCTCCGCGTCCCAGAACACCAGGCCCGCGTACGAGTCGCTGCTCAAGCCACCGACGGAGATGGAGTTGTCACCGATGCCCTCGCCTTCGGTCTCGGAGCGAACGTTGGACAGCAGGTGGAACAACGACGCGCGAACCGAGATCTGCAGTTCCTCGAGCTCCTTTCCGGGAATCTCGATGTCGGCGTCCTCCCACAGGGCCTCCCAGCAAGCCCTGTGCTCGGCGAGCAGCTTCTTCCATCCCGTCTTCTTGGCGGCGAACGCTGCGTCGCGGGCAGTCTTCTTGGGATCGGGGAACGCATCGGTCGACGCGATCCCGACGTACTTCAGGATGGTCATTGTCTGGCCCTTGCGAGGCTCGACGGTGTACTCCTGCGCGATGGTGCTATCGTTGCGAGTGACCCACGGACGTGCCTCGGCATTCCTGCGGCTGCCCTTGACGACGGAGGCGCGAGCACCATACGCAAAGTCGAGCGTCGAGAACTCGTAGGCGGTGACATTGCTGATGCCGTCCGGGTGCACGGCAGTCCAGATGAGATCGTCGTTCTTCTCGACCGCCTTGCCGGCGGCATCGGTCCTCTGCGCGCCCTGGCCGTCGAGCACGTCGGTGACGATCAGCTGCGAGCCGTCGGAGGAGACGATGTCGATCTTCATCATGCCAAGGTTGAGCCTGCCGCGGTGGGCGAGGACGGTGAATCCCAGATCGTACACTGGGCCGTCCTCGACGGGCCTCCACTTGACCGCGGTGGTGACGATGCCATCCTTCAGCGACAATGTCTGGTGATAGTACTCGACGGTTTTTTGGTCGACGCCAGGCCCATAGGTGTGCTTCCCGTCCGCTGTAGCGATGACGAAGGAGGTCCAGGTGGGAATTCCGGAGATGACGCTCTCGCCGCCCTTGCGGAGAAGCTCGGGGAAGTTTGTTCGGGTAGTGTTTCTTTGCGAGTCCCAGAACCCGGCGATCGTCGCGAAGGTTTGGCGAGGGTTGTCGAGGGGCCAGCCATTTATGGGCCAGGTGTCACCAGTAACGTTATGAATACGCTGTGTACCCCTCATCGTCCGCGTCAGCAAAAAGGTTACTCAGTTCGTCCGCAACACGAGACCCAGGCAATCCCCCCCCCCCTTCCCCGCAGCTGGAAAAGGACACGAATCACATACCCAGTATCCAAGGCCCTCCGCCGTCAATCTGCTGCCGTGATATCCATTGGCGACGTAAGGCTGCACCTGCCATTCGTTCTGGACGAGAGAGTGAGTGCCCAACGTCCAGGTGTCGGGATCGTACTCGGCCATGTTCGCGGGCCGCGAGACATTGCGGAAGTCGTTTATCGGCGGAGCGCCGAGCTGTCGCTCCTCGAGCGGGAAGGCGGGCATGCTCCATGCGAGCGTTGCCAGAAAGACCAACAGGACGGCCGGAGCGAGTAGGAGTAGCCGTGCCATGTTTCTGCGTCCCCACAACCAGTCCCAGTGCGAGACTTCAGCGGCTTCGTGGCAGTCGTCGATGTAGCGGTTGCTGGCGATGTAGTCGCTGGTGCTGCTGTACGGGGGAACAGCGAGCGATTGAGGAGAGCGACGGCGTTGCGATGCAGGAGGATTGGGTTCTGTCAGAGAAGGCGGTGGGAAGGTATTATAGCCACCATGTCGCCTGGCGTCATTGCGACCTCCAAGGTTCACCGAGCCAGCTTCACCCACGGCCTCGACGCCGGCCGGCCGCATGTCCCCCGCATTCGAGTTCCCCACGCCAAAAGTGGCCGCGCTTTCCCGTTCCATTCACCAAGGCGACGATCGGTGGAGTAGAGTCTTTCGAACTTGGACTTCTGTTCTCCGGATGTGGTAGAGTACGCTGCGCCGTGTTTGGAAAGTGGCACAGGTTTTTCTTTTTTATTATTTGTTTTTTTATTATTAATAGGTTTACCTTCGCTCCCGGCGTTCTTCACGACCTGGCTCGGAAGGGCATAAACCTGCTTCGGCAACGCGTCTCTGAATGCTTCCGGGGTAGTTAGCATATGCACGAGTATGATTCCGTAAGGTAAGCCCATCTTGACGACGACGGCCGCCGCGGCCGGCGTGCCCGCGACATTCAAGGATGATGAGCTTGTTGCCCCGCCGTTCGAGCCCAAGCCCGAGCCCGAAGCTGCAGTGGCGACTGGCGACTGCAGGAAACGGATTTTGGGGCGGTGATGGGTGTGCAGACGATACGGTAGCGGGGACTTCATGTACGAGCCGAACGGCCCGGCAACACAACGACGACGCGAAGGAAACAGGGGCAGCGAGGTAAACCTACAGTGGCAGGTACGGTGGGTACGTACCAGTAGTTGGGCACTTTGCGGTGACGACGGAGGCTTTTCTGTCGGTCTGTCGGCCTGTCGGTCTGTCGGCGGGACGGGGCTGGCGGATGGAGGCTCGAGAGTCGAAGCGGATCGCGATGTGGGTCTAGAGTATTCCAGCGGCGCGCGCGGTCTTCCTTATCCTTTCAGCGGGGAGAGGCGCGGGTATGCGTAGAGGCGTATGAGTAACGATAGTAGAGAGAGAGGGGTGCACGCGAGTGGGTCTGAGTATGAGTACGAGTGTGAGGCTGGGTATGATGAGTATGGGGGGTATCATTCGGATCGGTTCACGGGGCTGATGTGGCACGGGTATGTCTGGATTGGGAGTATCGCGACGGCGGGACGCCACACGTGTCGCTTTGGTGCGGCCAACCACCACCAACCAGGCGGCCGGTATGACCTATGACCTGGGACGGAACGGAAGGCGAACGCGAATATGGGGCCAGGCACCAGGGCAAAATGTGGTGGTGGTGGTGGTGGTGGTGGTGGTGGTGGTGCTGGTGGTGGTGCTGGTGGTGGTGCTGGTGGTTGCAAGGAGTGACGGGGGGCTGAACAGGAGGGTGTGCACTGTGCAGTGTGCTGAATTCGGTGTTCAGCATGTTCATCATGTTCATGTGCCGTGGTTGCTGGTGCGCGGTCTCACCGTCAGTCCAAAGCTGGGAATCGCAGCGGACGCGCTTGGAATGCCGACGTCAGCCAAGCTCCGGTTAAACGGTCCGGGCAGTGCAGGCCGCGTGCGTACTGGGAATCTTGGATGCAAGCGTGAATGAATCTTCGGACTTGCCGCCGCTGGGCTGGATGAGACATGATCTGCGCTGACAACAGCTGCTAAATAGAGTGGAAGGTGGAGGGAAGGCGTGCGGGGAAACGCGGGACTGTGCAGCGTGAGGGAATTCCATGGTTGGCTGTGGTGGGAATCAAGCAAGTACGGTACGGCACCGGTAGGTAATCCGACGGTTTTCTATGCGACGGGTTTTTCTTTTTCTCTGTTTCTTCTTCTTTTTCTCCCCTCTTTCTTTTTCGCGATGCAGCAGTCTGCAGAAGGAACCCAGCACCAACGCGACAGCCATGCGATATGCACGATTGAGTCTTGACTCTCGACGCCGTCTCCGAAAATACGCTTAGTCGCACAGATGGCTTTTCTGGCGGCGCGGCTGTTGATGCCGATGATGAATCATGACGGTGGCCGAGCACGAGTATCGTACATGCCGTACCTAGAGTAAGTGCATACCTACCGCCATATCGTCCGAACGCTGCCTATCCTATGGGGCTCCAGCAGTGCACTCGGCAGAGCGAATCATCCGCTCATCCGCCTGCCTAGGCCTCCATCGCCGTCACGGAGCGACTCCGCTCGTCCGAATTGTGGGGGAAACCACTCGGATCATCTTTTCTCTTCCCGCATGTACCTACTCACGCCATCACTCGTTCGCGGCAAACGCCGCCTGGAGGTGGAGGTGTCGGCGTCGTCCGTTAGCCTGTCATGACTAAGCGGGGGAAAATAAGGAAAATCCGTCGGCCCGTCCGAGCTCCCCGGTCCGCAAGTGACGGAACCGTGGAAGCCTGCATAAAGAGTGCGTGAATGGATAGCGGATTGTTGTTTGGTGATTCGTCTCGATACTAGTAGGTAATAGTAGTAATAGTAGCGTATCCGCTAGAGAGCAAAGCTCTCTATATACTTTGCTATGTAGTACGTAGAAAAGAATACCTAAATAAGCATTCTGCGCATGTCGGAACACTGCCATCCTAGGAAATCGAAATACTCCCCGCACCTCGCGGGGCTTGCTTTGGCTCGAGTCTCTATCTAAGCTAGAGTACGCACCATCTGTCGTTGCGTCTGACTGCAGGCTTCAAACTTCCATTTCAAACTTCCATGTCAAACGTTCCATGTCGAACGTTCCCTGTCAACAACGTTCCATGTTAACCTTAATAGCATCCGTGGGCATGTATGTATAATAGAGGGCCTCGGCTTTCAGTGTATCCCTTGGCCGTTCAGCGGGGTACAGACTTTACCAGGCAGATCGTCGGACCACTCCAGTCCTTTAAGACCCCCGTCTTCAGCTTTCAGGGAAGCTTGGATACGTATGCTAAAATGTTAAACGTATGCTGAAAGGTTAAGACTTGTAGCCTGTAGGTACATATCACGCGGGCTGGTCTCTCGTGAAAGGACACGCTTCGTGTCCAATTGCTCCCTTCAGAGTTCAGAGTTCAACTCCTTCGAAACCTTTTCCTCGTTCTCCTTGTATGTACTACGTACCTCTTATCTGGTAGTACATAGAGGACTACCTTTTTTTTTGTCCTCGTGCTCTATTTTGATTCGTCAGTGGCTCGTCTCCCTGGGAGGCTGGGACGAAGCGAATGTTGCGGAAATCGTGTTCGAGTCGGAAGTTACTCGTCCGCAAGCCTCCATGCCCATTACCACCGCGAAGGGCCATTCTACTAGTATATCGGTGGTGAGTCCTCCGTTGAGATAAAACCGTCGTCAACGCTTCAATTCTCGCCCTGGCACCATGAACTCTTCGGGATCTAACACGTAGAGTCTTCACAGAGGACGCGATTCGGATGTGACATGTCCAATGCAGCGAATCCGACGGCTCCATCTCACTCTTCCCCAAGACGTTGCATAGAGTATCACTCACCGCTGAGTGATGCACGATGAATTGTGATCACTGTCTTCCACCGAAAAACCATGAAACAAGAAAATCCAAGACAGCGGACCGGCCGCCGGGCACATCCACGTTTTACTCCATACATATATAGCAGCCCGGTTGCGGGTTATCACGGCGGAGCGGAGAATATATGGCGCCACCCGACGCTAAGTCACAGCCGGCAGCACCCCTGTCCTCGCGAGTCGCGACCACACCTCACATCGAAGATCCGAAGGAATATTCCGGTGGAGAACTAGCTGGTAGCAGGTGGCACATCAACGAACCCGGCGAGGCTACAGCCTCCTCCGCCTCCTATGGCTGACACAGTTTTCACTAGTGAGCAGGTCATGGTTCCGCACTCGGCATACGAGTGAGAACGTGTGCCGCACTGAACATATGTCGCTCGACTGCTCTTCTATCTCAATACACTATTAACTACAAGGGGGTATAAAATGTAGTAGTGCTATTGTGCTATGTACCATATGTTAGGCAAAATGTTGGTAACATATCCAGTATGATGTAGTATCAGCACGGTTGGCAGAATACACGTTTTTCACCTCCTGATACATCCAATAGCAATATCCGTCCAGCAGGAAACACCGTTTTTTTTACTGGAGAATGCCCCCTATCCTGCCACAAGCTCTAGCCTAGACCGGGGTTGCGACTTAACTCTTGAGAGGAGGTAGATGCATATGTGGCTACTGGCCAATGGCAGCTTGCGGGCTACCGAAGAGGCTCCGGCGTGCACTCGTGCGAGTGAGTGCGAGTGAGTGCGGGGAGAGGGTGGAGGGCAGTGTTGGCGGTGCTGTGCTGGCGCTGCCCGGGTTTAAAGCGGTAGGATTTCTGGTACTTGGTACTTATTGCTCTAATTCCCACGAGAGAGTCGCTCCGCTGCTGTTGGTAAAATAATTTTGGAACAGTATGTACCAATTTACCAATGTACCCGTGTACCAATGTTCCCACCTAGGTACTTACGGCAACCAAATAGGGGGTGAAAACCGAACCCGCAGCCTCAATGGCACATCCAGATCGGGATTCCGAAAAGATTTTTTTTCTAGCATCAACCGCATTGTTACGGCATATGAATTATTGACGCAGGCCAGAGGCGTAAGATGTCTGAGTTCTGAGGCGCAGGAGAACTGAGGCGCAGCTGGATCATTCGTTAGGTCAATAATGAGGACTACTATACATATCAACATATTAGTAAAGGGTCGATCGGCGAGGAGTTAGGACATTCCCAATGTGCTCACTGCAACTGCCAATATTCTGCTTGCATCCCAGCTAGCCCGCCTATGATCGATTCTGCGAACACTTCATCTCCGGTATTTACATCTGCGAGTCTGCGACACCACGCTTGGCAGAGCCTGCAGACCTGAGTCTCGTACCTACCTCCTTCCCGGGAGTCCCGAGAAATAAGTGGCAGCAAGTTTAGCTTTTCATCTGCTTGCTCAAGGCCTTGGGCAGCCTGTAGGGTTGTAGATAGGGTAGGGTTGTGGATAGGCCCGAGTGACGACGGATGCACGGAGGTAGATAGACTTCGGGTCCTCGACCCTCTCTTCCCAATCAACCAACCTTTCCCCACCTACACAGCCACCCCTGAGCAGCCCTGAAATATTACTAAAACTCTGCTAGTTCTAGAGGCACTACCTACTTAGGCAGTCACTACTTAAACCATACTATGCACAGTGCACAGTGCACACACCAATACCGTGTTGAGCTCAACCGTATCCCTTTTGGTTAGGGGGCCGGGCGAGGGATTGCCCCTTAACGGGTTACGGCGAAGGGAGGCTGCTGTTCGCAGCAGATCAGGCTCCGGAAGTCCCGGCGAGGGGGTTGCTTGATCGAGCTGCATGAGCATCCGGCTTCGAATACAGGGACGTTTGGTTGGTTGCCTCAACGTCAATTCAGTGGGATAGGATTTGCAACAGGACGGGATATGGGGTATGGGGTATGGGGTATGGGTTATGGGTTATTTGCATGGCTAAGCCCGATAGGTACTAGGGAGCGAGGAAGGGAGTAATGCGACCCGCGTCGTCCTTTCCTATCAGTTCACCTGCTTCTGCAAGCTGCTAGTTGCGGAGTTTATATTTGCACTGCTAAGCCTAGCAGGGGAGGGAGGGAGGAATGCTGAGAGGAAGAATCAATACCAATGCTTCCTCCTCGTCCTTTCCCGTCAGTTCGCCTGCTTCTGCCCGCTGTCAGTTACGGAGCTTATATTTGCAACCTTCTAAGCCCGGCAGGGGATGGAGGGAGGAATGGAGTGAGGGAGCTTCAATTACCAATGCTTCTTCCTCGTCCTTTCCCTTCCGTTTGCCCTCTTATGCAGTGCTCGCTGTTGGTGACGTGGGGTCGTGGACTGGTGAGGCTGAACGCACAAATCTAACTATAGGCCGTCGTACATACCTCCTTCATACATTATGCATTTCACCTAGGTAGCCACTACGCGTGCGCAGTAGAGCGGTGGGACGAATGGGATTAGAACATACGGCCCGGAAAAGGATATACCCACGGGGAACGGGCGGAGCTGACTCACTGTGCGCACAACAAGTCAACTCACGATGTCTGCTTAGTTAAGGCGTTCCTCCAGGTTGATGAATACGAGAGATCGAGATCAGCCCTGCTAATTCGGTACCGAGTAGGATTTGCCGTGGACACAACGGTGCCTGGATATCGCCTTTAAAGTCGTCTTGCCGCCACCTCTGACGGTAGACATCACCAGCAATGATGTCGTCGAATCCACCAAAGCTCCTGTCGAGTACACTCTTCATCTTCATCTTCCTCCTCCTCCTCGGGACCGCCTCGTCCCTCCCATCGACCAACACCGCCGACACAGGCCACGGCATTCCGGGCTGGGTCAGCGATGCAGTTCCAGACCGGGGCAATGACACGTCGCATCACTCTGAGATCTCGTGCTACGCGCTGCAATACGGGCTGATCGGCAGCATCTCGCACGTGCTGACATGGTACACGATCGGCGCATTGATCATGGGGCGGTCTCCGCTGCGTCCGTGGCGGGAACTGAAGTCTCCGCGGGTCGACATGCTGCTCGCGGGGACGGGGCTGCTCGCCGCCTCGCTAATCACCGTCTTCACCATGGTCCGCTGCTGGCAGTTCGTGCTCGTCGCTGCGTGGAAGGTGTGCCTGAGCATTTCCCTCAGCGCGCTGAGTATGCACGTGGCTGTGCTGTTCGCGCGGGAGAAGCAGGGCGGCGGTGGAGCGAGCATCCCGCAGGAGGAGCTTAGCGCCGCGAGGTGGTGGCTGCTGATGTATATCCTCGGGATGCTGGTGGGATTGTTCGGCCTGCTCTCGCTGGTGCGCGAGGCGTGGCCGGATAATCGGGCTGTACAGCGCACGACGTTCATCTGCGGCAGGGCGGCCGTGCTCGTGGGAGGACTATGGGCGGCATCGAGATGGTGCCCCAAACTTCGCGACATGCCAAGGGACCCGAGGAATTTGATCTTCCAGCTGGCGCTGGGCCTGGTCGCCGCTGTGTACAGCGACTGGGCGCTGGCGGCGCTGGCGGATAATCCTACCGGCCAGCCTAGTGGGGATGTGGCATGGTTCTATTTTCTGTATTTTGCTGTCAAGAGGTTGCCAACCCTTTCGTTTTGAGTTTTTCTTTGTCGTTTTCGTTTTCGTTGCCTGGTGGATAAGAAGTGAGTGAGTACTGGAATTCGTGCGTTCTCTGGGTTTTGCGGATGGAAGCAGTCGGTTGGCTGGAGTGCTTTTCTTTTCTTTCACCTTATTTTCTTTTCTTTTGGTATCGATTTGCACTCGAGGCTATCGGAGAGCAGGAAGCGGTAATGGGTATTCATGCCATCGATACAGTACCGCACCGTATCCACGTACGCTACGATCGGTGTTTCTGTGTAGTAAATAGATTATAGGGCTGCCGACGAGACGGGACGGGACGAGGCGGGACGGGAGTCCCATGCGCCATCCTAGGCTGAATGCTACGGGACGAAATATCTCAGGGGCCAGGCCTGGGTAAGTAGGGCTGGTGGGCTACGCTACTAGATATGAGGTTATATGATATCTTGGTTGCTTGGTATCCCGGCCCGAGACTCGAGAGTTGTTGATAAGTCAGCGGTGACCGATCGGGCAGTACCTCTGCCATCAGTGATCACCGAGTACGGTATTCATCCACAAAATTGAGGTGCAGTTTGAGCCCCTCAGATGGGTGGGCGTTCGGCACACCACCTAAAGTTAACGATTTGAGAAACTGCATATTGTCGACTGAGCCACAATTCACATAAAAAGTGTGGCGTGCTGTTGAACATCTAGGTTGCCGAACGGGTCATCGGGGGCCCGGAAAAGCGAGTTTACAGCTGCAGCTTTGGTAACCTCCAACTGGTCCGAACCCCAGGTTTGAGAAATGTAGCTGGCACCCGAACACGCCCCAAGTGCAAGTCGGTACCTATTGCCAGTTTCGATGCGGCATCGGGGCGACCGGCGATAAAATACCGTATTCCAAATACCCCGAATACCGCCTTACTGCATCATAGTAAATTCCGAGATATGCTGCAACAGCTTCGCCTGCTTTTCTGTCACATACTTGATACTCTCATCTCCCATATGTAAGGGTTTCTCGAGTGAGTGCAGAACACACCGTCGAGGATCATTCCGGATCAGATATGTTTTGGGATAGTAGGTAGCTCGCTTGGTCGGCGAGAATGTTCCCGCATTACTTCAGCAGGCGTTCATGCGGTCGCCATTCGCGTTTCGTCAGCCGCCTACTGTGACGTTGCGAACCCAGACATTGTACCACCCGTAGCATCATAACTCCGAGAGTCGCAGCCCACTGCTAGGTGCTCTGGTAACAGCCCCCCATACTATCCCCCGCATCTCCCCGAGACCATGGTAAAGCCTTCGACTACGACCCAAGTAAGCAGTGAGTTGAGTAAGCACTCAAGGCAACAACCTTAAAGTACGCCTGACATGCAGTTACCTCCTGGGATCATATGTAGATCCCGCCTTTTGTAATCTAGAGGTATGACGTGTATTCGTCAGTTACTATCATAGTATCGTGCCCAACTCTTGCGTCAGTCTTTTCAATACTGTGCGCACAATCCACTGTAAGAAGAACGAAAGAGTACGATGGCTTTGCGGACAGCGATACGTAACTACCGGTACTTCGGTAGCTATCCATCCACGAGGCATCCATCGGCATCGGCATCGGCATCTTGAAGCTGGTGCGAAGCGACGAACAATTGACTAGCGGGGTCTCTTACTGTGTTAAGCTGTACAACCTACACCCCGCTTCCGCGGCATTGGTTGCCCCGACTTCTAGCGCCTCAGGTTACCCACCACCACCACCACCACCACCACCACCACCACCACCGCCTCATTCTCGTCTCTGCTTGCACTCGCTCTTGCTCCCGTCCGCAAGCACTCAGTTGGTCACTGGTGATAGTGAGGCTGATGATGGGGCTGGATGCAGGATTCTCCTGTATGTATCATAGTAGACGTCCTGCCTCCTGCATTGCGCATTGTCTCGGAACGGACGCCACACGCGCGTGCGCACTGTGCAGTGACTACGCCCGTGATGTGAAGAATTGAACGGGGCGGATGCGATGTGATGCGATTTGACGGCACGCCGCGGAAAAAGGAGATAAGAAAAAGGAAAAAACGGAATCGGTCGCTGCGGGAAACAGTGCGGCTGAGTTCCCACCAAGACACTTTGTTGCCTGTTCGGCTAGGCTGTGCTTCAGCCCAATGGTTGATGCATATGAAGAGATTCGAGGACGGCGGAGCCTGGGAATTCGGGTTGGTTTTGATTCATCGATCGCAGGTTCAGATGCATATGTGCTCCATGCTGGACGTGAACTTAAGAACTGGTCGCAGCCCTCCCTCACCGAACGGTTGGGATCCATCAATAATAATTTCGTGCAACCCGCCACAGCTCACTTCGATCTCCTTCTTCCTCCTCTTCTTCCTCTTCTCGCGAACCACCTCATCGTTCCCAACAACCAATGCAGCACCAGCGGACACCGGCCACGGCATTCCAGACTGGCTCTGGGACATGGCCCCCGACCGGGGCAACGACATGTCCCATAACTCGGAGATCGCCTGCTACGCCCTTCCGTACGGCCTGATCGGCACCATCTCGCACGTCCTGACGTGGTACACGATCGGTATCCTCACGTTCGGGCGGTCTCCGCTACGTCCATGGCGAATACTTCAGTCTCCAAAGGTCGACATCCTCCTCGCGGCGTCGGCGCTGCTCGGCGGCGTGGTCCTGACGGTATTCACCATGATCCGCTGTCAGCAGCGATGGCAGTTCCTTTTGATCGCGGGGTGGAAAGCGCTGCTGAGCATTTCCCTGGGCGCGTTCAGCCTGCACGTTTCCGTGCTAGTCGCGCAGTGGCACTCCTCGGAGAAGCAGCGGCCGGCGGACGGCCAACGCTCCGTCCACGAGTACTCGCAGAAGGAGCTGTGCGGCGCCATCTGGTGGCTGGTGCTGTACATTCTCGGGATGGTCGTGGGGCTGGCGGGGCTGATCTCGCTGGTGCGCGAGGCGTGGCTCGAGAGCTGGACGGTGCGTATCACGACGTATGTGTGCGGCGGCGCCGCTGTCGTCATGCTCGCCGTCTGGGCCCTGTATAGCTGCTGCTATATCGACCGCGGCCAGAAGGCTGGCTTCAGGCTGTTTGTTGTCCCGCTCACCCTGGGACTCATCGCCGCGCTGTATAGCGACTGGATTCTCGCTGGCCTGGCGGAGAATCTCATCGGTGTGCCGAGTGGGGATGTGGCCCCGCTGTATTTTGCGTATTTTGCGGCGAAGAGGTTGCCGATATTTTCGTTTTGAGTGCTCGTCTGGGTTTTGTTTTCTTCGCTTTTTCTTTGGGTGGCATATAATTCTACGGGTTTCGTCCGTGTCCTGGATTTCGGGAATGGCAGCATTCGGCCAGCTGGGATGCTTTGCTTTTGCTTTTGGTGTTGGTTTTGTAAATACTGTGAATTGGGAAGGGGGTGTGGGTAAAAACTTTGGTCTGTCGGGGGCAGGAGTCAGGGCGAATTGGGTGGTTACTTCTTGTTGTGTTTTCTTTTTCTGATTGTTTCTTTTGTTTTCTCAACGAAAAGCTGTGGTTGTTGTACCTACTCTACTTCATAATATCTCAAGAAGCTTCCCCGTGGTCCATGCATTGCATGTCTTGAACACTCGTTACTCGTTACATGACTTGCCCGCTCATTGCTGGGTTTTATCCGATCGACTTGCGCAGGGGTTATGCCGCTCCTGGGTCATAACTACCGGTATGTAATAGCCGTAGTCATGAGCTCGGCTTCCCGGCGTTCCCCCCACAGAGACAAGGCTCCGGGCTATGCACGACGGCTCAGCCTCACCCACGATCACTCGTGCCGAGCACCCGTCAGGCTGAAGGTCCTCCTGCGTTTAATGACGGATACTTCGAGTGATCGATGCCCAAATGCAGCAGGAACATTGTTGAAGTTACAAATCAAGCAATAAAAACAATATTACCGCATTTATATAAGGCTCGCGGGTTTTCTTCAGACCCTAGTACGGTACCCACATTACTACTCCGGATCAATGTCCATCACTCCGTGTCTCGAGCTAGCCGGATTATCTGTCATGTCTTCCATCATCCCCTACTGTACTGTGTTTATGCATTCTTCTTCGGTCGGGTCTACCATCAATGAGGTGTCAATGCCTGTTGCTTAATATTCCTACTCTACCCATTCATAAATCTCGTGGATATCGTTATTTGTACTGCTCATATGCTCACAGCCTACCCCTCTCCTCCGCCTCAGCATCCTCGGCCACTCTGATAACCAATTTCCCAAACTGCCGTCCCTTCTCCATATCTTCCCACAGACTTTCGAGCTGTTGTTCATCCAAGCCCTTCACAACCCTGCTGATGACCGGTCTGAGCCTCTTCTCCGCTACAAACTCGACCATCTCAAAGAACTCTTGTCGGCTGCCCATGGTGCTCCCAAGCAGCTCGAGGTTCTTCAGCACCGCGCCCATCGTAAACGGCATCTTGGGACCCAACGTCATCCCATAGCTCACCACGCGTCCGCCGTCCCTCATGATCCGCGTGACCTTGTTGACCACATCGCCACCAGCTCCATCAACCACCGCATCGAGCCAGGGCCTATCCTTCGGCAGCAGCGCGGCCAACTCCTTCTCCCACGCGGCGCCAGTATACAGGACACCTCCCTCAGCGCCCAGCGCGACCGCCTTCTCGATCTTCTCCTTGGAGCTGCTGGTAACCCAGACCTTGGCACCCCTCTTGACCGCAAACAGCAGCGCCATCAGTGCGACCCCGCCTCCAATGCCCGGGATGAGCACATTCTCGCCGGCAGCCACCTGGGCTTTACTCGCGACGGCCCTCCAAGCGGTCAGACCGCACAGCGGCAGGGCAGCCGCCTCCTCGGGCGACAGGTGTCCCGGCGCCTTAACCAGCTCCTCCTCGCTAATCGCTACGAACTCCTGCAGCGTCCCGCTGCGGTAGTGCTTTGTCCCGCCGAGGATTGCGAACCCGCCCGCACCGCCGCTACCGCCGATCTCCGGCCCCCGTGGATCGGAGGCCCAGCCCCGCGCCGGATTGATGATCACCGCCTTTTGGTAGAACTTCGATGTGGGCGTTACGACTACTCCGTACCCGTCTGCGAGAAGTGGGATTGAGGGCGCGGTACCCGGGTATAGCCCCCGCCGCTGGAAGAGGTCGCGGTGGTTCAGCGATGCGGCGACGATACGGACTACGGCTTCGCCGGGACCGGCGGTCGGCGTGGGAGTGGTGATCGTCTGTAGACTGCGGATGTCAGCATGCGCGGAACGGGCGGGCGTAGGGGATTAATTACGGGTAGAAGATCTCGCCGGGCTTGCCGGGCGCGATGGGTTGGAGGACTATGGCTTTCATTGTTGCTGCTACTGCTGCTTCTGTCAGTCGGTTCGTCTGGCTGTCTGGCTGTCTGGCTGTCTGTGTCTGGCCGTTGGGAAATATGTCGGGATATCTAGGTGGGCCACATATGCCCAGCGGGCTTATATGTAGAGTATGCTGCTACTCTAGCGAGTGTGGGGTGCCGGGTGTGGGGTAAGTCCGCTCGTGCGGGCGGATCGCCCCCGACTCCGGACTCCGAGGCCCGCCGGCTATTTCGGCTGGCTGGCTGGCTGGCTGGCTGGCTTCGTTAACGTCATGGCTAAGACGCGATGCATACAGGTATTGGGCAAGTACACAAGTAACTATCAAGGAAGGCAATGCAATGGATTACTTGTTACAATGAGATATCGGTAAGCATTTGGAGTAGCTGCTTGGGTGCTGCTACTCAGGTGGCGCATGGAGGGCAGTTGAGCGGCGCGCGCTGTGGGCTCCGTGGCAGCTCACTGGAAAATACCTGAAGCGTGGCATGATGGGCGCCATTCGGACCATCGCTATCCAAGCACATGTACAGTCCTTCATCACCAATTAATCAACAATTAATCGACACCGCCGCCTGCAAGGACCGAGAAGAAGAAATCTGATTAATGGCATTTACTTATGTAATAAATCGAAGAAGTATCGTTTAATTGATTGAGCTTTGGCAGGGATTGAGTGCCACTGTGCCAGCCGCCAGCGAATGTATCGTTACTAGTACCGAAGCTCGTACATGAGAGGTCTACGTCGCTTTCGCGCCTATGTACTATGTACTGTACAATTAACTGCCGCCGATAATTGGCCCGATCCGCCTGCGGCCTGCCGGCCTGACTGCCTGGTTCAAAGCCGACGAATTCTTCACGGCCACTACATATCATAGTACTCTATGTAGAGTCTGGGTGGTCTTGTAAGGCTGCACCCACGTGTCGTCCATCCACGCCCTGTAGCCGTTATTACCTAACTACCAATCGATCACGGATGAGAACCAGCGACCAATAACCCACGGCCAGCGTCTCAGGCTCACAGCAGCATGCAGTTTTCCGATCGCGATCGCGCACTCGCAGAGCCGACCGAGTGATGTGCGATGCGTGATGTCGTTTCAACTTTCCACCGGTCGCCCGTGTAGCGTGTGCTCCGGATCAATACTCGTAGTTGCGTCCCTTTTCTGCCCTGTGCGGCCTGCCTGTTTCGATTCTGTCTGTCGCAATCTATCGCCAATGACGAGGCGCGGCGGCGTAGATATCTACTTGAGATAGATAGACAGAGATCGGCACGATAGGTAATAGCAATGGCCATTGGCCACACAAACCAAGGAAGAGCTTAGAAGACGGTCGGACAGGCCCCGGCCATTCTCTGGAGATTTGGCATGTGAGAGAAAGAGGAGTGGAGCAAGCATTGGAACAAGGTACACACAGATTCCCGGAAGGGCTACTTATAGCTGGCCAATTCGAAGCTCCCGGAACTGCCGGCTTACCTCCGATTGTCCGGTATGAAGATACTCTAGATACCTATCCTCTCCCTCCCTCCCGTGCTAGGCCAATCCCTTCTCCGACAAATCTTACGGGTTGACAGTCATTTGCGCACCGACCTACCACGTTTCAGAATCGCAGGTGTCGATAGAAGTGAGGGGGAGGAGGAGGAAGAGGGGGAAAAGGAAGGGAAAGGGGAACGGGGAGTTGCTCGATAACGGTCCGCCGCACATTGGTTGGCTCGCTTGGGCCACCGAGTGATCTTGGATGTCCGCTTATCAGCCACGTCAATGCAGCCAGCCGGCTAGCCAACGTTACATAGAGTGGTTAACGCTTACTCTGCCAACCACCATCACCATCAGCACTGCAGCCCCACCCATAATCCACCACACCCCTCCCACCGAACAGGGGATCTTAACACACGTTTCTCCGAAGCCGGCCTCTGCATCCGAAGCACAGAAACAGCGCACAGCGGCGGCGGTGGTTGTGTCGGTATCGGTGGTGGTGGTGCTGGTGTTGGTGGTGGTGGTGGTGGCTGTCAGGAAACACGTCTATTCGCTTCGTTCCTTGCCACGCCTATCTGCATCTAACCATCATCTCCAACATTCCAGAAAAAAACGAAGAATTCTTCGTGCATGTGTTAGAGTGTATCGTATCTGCTAGGCCCCGCCGCCATACCTATCTAAATACCGCTCCTCCCCCCCGCCCCACTATTGGGTGTTGGATTCTGCTTTGCTGCTTGACACAGGACACCCGATATATAACTCAACGACGCCGCCCCGCTAGCTCCTCGCCATCAACCGCAACCTCGACTTGAATCTTCTCCGCCGCCAACAACCACTACCGACTCCTCACTTCACCGGAAAAATTACAACTCTTGACATCACTCCTCGGATTCCCACATTACTAGCTCCCCCCAAGTCAACGCAAAAAATGTTTTTCGACAGCAGCTCCACCCCGCCAAACACGGATTCCCCTCCACCGCAATCGCCATCGGGACTGCCGCTATCGAGATCCTACAAGACCACTGCCGCCGCTGTCATCGCTCTCGCAAACTCGAATAACGCGGCTGCAGCAGCCACATCAGCATCGACAGCCTCATCTGCCACTCCAACTGAGACCAACCCCTCGTCCGTCTCCGAAATGGCCGACGTGAAAGAGGACGACACCCCGACGCGGGACTTCCTGACCAAACAGGCCCTTGCGAACACGGCCGTCCTCCATCCGCTCTCGGCACCGACCATCGTCACCTCCCTCGACCCGACCACCAATGAATCCCGCACCACCATCCTCTCCACAAACCCCGCAAAGGTGCTTTTCCAGCAAGTCGGCACGACCACGGCCGCCTACGAGGCCCTCCTCGCCCAGACCGAGCTCGCAATGCACGAGCGCCTCCAAATGTTGAACGAAGACGTCGAGGGCCTTCGTAGCGCTGTCGATACCGCCCGCCTGCAGAAGGAGAACTCAGAGATGCTCGAAGCCCTCGAACGCAGCCGCGGCGCTTTTCAGCTGCATATTCCGAACCGACAGGCACAGATTCTCGCCGAGCCCGCGCCTTCGAAGTCGCTCACCCCCGCACAGCTCTACGTGCAGGAATCAAAGACGCAGCAGGAGGGCCTCCCCAAGTCCCGTGCGATGAGGATGAAGCCCACTATTCCGCAATCACCCGCGTCCGCGCCGTCCACCAAGAAGACGGAGTTGCTTTTGCCCGAACAGGATGTCATGGAGATGGTATCTCCGCGCACCGTCCCCACCAAGGAGCGGCATCCGGGGGTCGTGGGCTTGCGGCTCGATGCCGCGGCTACTTCGCGGTGGGGCACGGGCCCCGAGGCCGAAGATGTCGCTGCTTGGATCAAGGAGGTGTCGGAGGCAGAAGTGGAAACGGGCTCGGCTTCGTTGACGCCGCCGCTGACGCCGCCGATCAAGTCTACTGGTCTGCCGAGGAGCCGGACGTTCGAGGGCCGGTAGATCGCGACTCTTCTTCTTGGCAGGGACAAGATTAACCTGGCGTTTGCTTTTTTTTGGCTTTGGCTTTGGCTTTGGGGGCTGGGGTGTGCTGATCGGGTGTTAATTTAACGGATTATAAGTGTCTGGTGGATGGCGTTTATTTATTTATTTCCAATTTTTTTTATTCATTTTATGTGTGCGCCCGGTGCTCTATATAGAGAGGAGATGCTCGTCATAGACGTACGACATTTACTCTAATACAATTGCCGTTCAATTCAGTCCTGCATGCTGCTGAAGCTTCCGAGCAGGTTCCGTCGATGCGGGCCGGTAGTTAAATTTGCGTTCCTTTTTTTTCCCAGTTTTCTGCTGGCTTGCAGCAGCCATATTCAGTTGGGTGTGGCGACAACTGTCTCCATCCGAGTGACACCTTCTTTCTTAGCGCATTGTCTCCGTTGCCGCCAAGCCACTGTGTGGCCCTTTCCACCCACCAAACGCGTCAACTCACCAGTCGCAACAACATCTAGCAATCCACTTGACCGCGAATCCCCGAACTTCACACGAATAACGCCCTTGCCTCTCCAATCACTCCAGCAGCCAGAGCCGCATCTAGCGCAATGCCACTCTTCCGCGATGAACACATTCTCGTCCGTGCACCCCTCAGCACCGCCGCTCCCCCTCCCCCTCCCCCTCCTCCCCCTCCTTCCCGGCGCCACTAACACGACCGTCACTCGCACGCATGTAGATAATCGCACCCGGCTCACAAACCACACTTGCGCAACTGGGCCTGCCGGAATCGTTCACGCCGCCGAAGTTCCGCTTCCCGTCGCGGATGTTCCCCGGCATCGACGAGGGCACGTGGATATTCACGAAGGTGCGCGAGGCGCGCGACGGCGAGAAGGAGGATCTGCTGGCGCAGGCGAAGGGGCTGCAGAGTGGCGAGGACGATGCGGAGCAGGGCGATGATGACGATGACGACGATGAGGAGGAGGGCGAGGCGAAGGAGGGCGGGACGCCCGCGACCGCGGGGCAGGGTGCCGATAAGAAAGATGAGCCCGCGGCCCAGGAGGATATGGATGAGGATATGGGTGAGGATATGGGTGACGGGATCTATGTCGAGGATGAGGGCGATGAGGAGGGCGCTGTCTGGTGCATGAAGGAGGGAAGGGTCATAGATTGGGGTTGTTTCTTTGCCCTACTGTATGTAACCATCTCTACTCCCCCCCTCCCCCTCTCCCCCCGTTCCCGATAAGAACTGACAGTGGATAGAACCTACGTGCACGAAATGGTCAATCCCACATTCCACACGCCGATCCTACTCGTCCATCCTCCCGAGTTCACACTGGAAGATAAGCAGCTCCTTACGCAGTTCATGTTTGAGAAGCTCAAGACTCCCGGGTTCGCGCTGATGGACTCGGCGGTCACATCGTTGTGGGCGTACGGCCTGGCAACATCTACCATCATCGACGTTGGCTTCGAGAAGACCGATGTCACACCGGTAGTCGACTTCCTGATTCAACGCCGTGCGAGGAAAACAGTCTACGGGTGTGGCGGAGAGACCATGACGAAGCACTTGTGCTCCCTGCTTCCAGATATGAAGCCCGAGCATGTCGAAGCACTCAAGAAGTCGCCGATATGTGAAATCCTTCCCCTCGGTACGCCGATTCCTGGGTGCAAGGACGGAGAGACATCCCTGGGCATCCGTATGCCACATATTGCCATCACAAAGAGTACGGTGGATGAAACCGACGCACTGGTCAGCGAAGAAGACGGAACTGTCAACGTCGCCGCGATTGTTGCGTCCGGCAAGACCCACGAGTTCCTGGCGAAGCGGGAACAGGCACTCCAAGGAGAGGCGGAACGGAAGCTCCCCAACCGGGACAGAGAAGTTAGTACCTTCTGGGTTATGGATAAGAAGCTTCCCGGCGAAGAGGACGAAACGCTAGCGCCTAGCGCCAGCGCCCTATCCTCTCCCACAACCACCAAAGCCCCAGAGTTGCCCTCTCCCACCACCGCCGCAGCCGTCCCTGAGCCACCACAACCCTCTGCGGCGTCCGACTCGGACGAAGTTGACCCGGAGGCCGAAAAACGTTTCCAAGAAACCTCTAAGCAAGCACAGGAAACGCGAGCACGGGCCGAAGGCGTAGTACTCCGCTCGGACGAAATCTGGCGCGAGCTTTCCGTTGGTCACCAACGATTCCGAGCTGCCGAATGCGGCATCCTCAGTCGTATAGCCGACGCAGTGTACGACTCCATTTCCCGGGTCGAAGAGGTCTCCAAGCGTGCCGACCTCTGGGACTCCCTCATCATCGTCGGCAACGGCGCGAAGCTCCGCGGCTTCAAGGACGCGCTTCTACAGAGCATCTCGGCCAAATACCTGATCCCGCCGAGCTCCGGCACCATCTTTTCCTCGGAGCTGCCGACCCCCACCGCCACCGGCGCTAGTACGCCGATGGCCCCTGGCCCCAGCGCGCCGCCTGCCAGCGGCCCCAATCCGCTCCTGGTCGCTGCCACCACCCACCACCAGCAAGTGCAGCACCACTACCACCCCGAGCGCCACAGCTCCCATGGTCAAACCCCGCTGAGCATCAAGTTGGCGAAGATGCCGGATTACTTCCCGGAGTGGAAGGAGGCGGGCTTCGATGAGGCAGCGTTTCTGGGCGCCCAGGTCGCTGCTAAGGTCGTCTTTGTCGTCGATCAGGGCGCCAATAGGGGGTTCATGAGTAGAGTCGAGTATAATGAGCTGGGGCCCGAGGGCGTCACGGATGTGTTTATGTAGTGTAGATTGCGTTTTGCGGTGGGGGTTTCGAGGGGTTGTAGGTTGGGAAGGGGCGATGTTGGATACCAGAATAGAGTGTTGACGTTGAAGTACCTATTCACGCGGACCGATGGCTGTGCAGTGTGTGCGGGTGTAATAGGTTTTGGCTGATTTGAATTTAGCTGAATTCTACGAGACGATGAAACGCTATTATTGCAGCCCAAATGCGGCAGGTTTCAAGCAGATGGGGTACATCGAATAGGTAATGCGTTGGTAAAAAAGCAGCTTACATAAGTGACGAACCATTGGTGAATTACACGCGCGCATGGAGTATCGCTCGTAGTAGAAGTTCGCGCGTCGGTTTGGGGAGGTCAATTTCTAGTCTTCGTCTGAACACGACTGTGTAGAGTGACCCACTCGCCCGATATACTTTGAGCGATTGATTTGGTTCCATCACTGCATAGTGCCTGAAAGTGCTGGGCCGGGAGGGTTCACACTTCCGGGCTTCCGCCACCCAGGCTATAGCTGCGGCCGGAGGGGACAGGTGGTGGTGGTGGTGGTGGTGAAAAGTGCAACAGTGCAACAATGCAATGGGGTCTGGAAAGTAGTAGTGACCTATATACCCAGTGCAGAAGCTCAATGGCAGTCAGTGCCTCCGATAGTCCAGTCCAGTCCGTCTTTCGGCAAACGCCGGACAGGACTGAGAGGTTCAGTCCGGCTGGAGGCGTGGACTGGACTGGATAGTCTGCGCAACTGTTAGGGCTGGACAGACTGCGGTCGACTGGATGGACTGGTACTTTGAATGGAATATTTTTGAAATCAGTAATGAAAGTTTTGTACACGTCTACAGCTAGATATTGTAGATCCTCCTCGCACATATAGTGCAATGAGATTAGTCTCTATCTCCTTGATATCGCCCTTTTTAGCAGCTACAAGACCATCTCGTTGCTAGCTTTTGAACTCGTTGCGGCTCTGCTCTCATGGCGGGAATGCTCAAATACTCGAGGGCCATTCTAGCGAAATCTTTCCAGTGAGGTTCATGTGATTTACTCGCCAAGTATTGTACGACATTCTCGATGGAGTCGCATGGAGGCGGTTCCTGCTGGAAAACCTCCATCATACATACCTTTATTCAGACGACGGTGGGGTAAAATCGACAGAGAGCTGGCATGGCACCAAAAGAGAACATGTGATAGGTTGAAAGAGTGATGCCTGCTAGCCACATAGTTCGATCTAAAAAATTCAGGAAGTGGCAGTCTGTCACTCGACTGCAGTCGACTGCAGTCCGAGGCGGCAAATCTTTGGGACGGACTGACCGTCCTCTAATTTTATGGACTGGACTGAACTGATGCAGTCTGTCTAGTCTAGACTGCCGTCCGGACGGGACTATCGGGAGCACTGATGGCAGTCGGCAATAAACCGCACTTTCGAGTTTTTACATACAAGGTAGGCGCATCGTCATCCTCTTGCTAACAGCTCCTCCTCTCGCTGCCAGTGCAGTATCCACGGCGAGGAGCAGTAGCAGGACACCGTATGGTGAGTAGAGGAGGGTATGAGAATTGGGAGCGGCGGACTCGGGAGCGGGGAAGGAGAGTAGTGTAGGTACATACATCAGGGGGCGGAGGAACAGCATCGGTAAGTGAAGACCATCAATAAGTGATAAGCATTGCATGAGATAAATACAGAGGACTTGTCGCGGAAGAATTCATTCGGATTTTAAGAATCCTCATGAGCGTATAAGCCTCACTAGCCTTTATTTATCAAAATTGCTGATAGCATCCTTATGACCCTTATGAGCTCATAAGACTTGTCATAGAAGAAGTCATTAGGATTTCAAGAATCCTTATGAGCGTATAAGCCCTACTTCTAGTAACCCTTATTTGTCAAAATTCCTTATAGCATCCTTACGAACCCCCTATGAGCTTCTAAGGCGTGACGGCTGGTAGGCGCTGCAGAAGGCTTACGAGCCGCAAACAATTTTCACAGCACTCAGGATTGAGCAAGCTTTATTCAACAATATGACTTGGGATTTGAAAACCTTGACTAAGCCATATTTACGAAAAGACTAACAAAAAAAATACAAATATAACTAAAAAATTCTCATCAGGGCTGTGTCAAAATCGCCCTCATACAAGGCTGCCATGAGGCCTATCACTTTATTAAATGGCTCAACATGGTAGGTACATAGGTACATTATACTCCAGCACGAGTGATAGTACGTGCACGTATGCGCACGACCTCGCACGCGTTCGCAGTGGGCGAGTCCATGACACCCGATTGCATTGTCCACCGGGACACCTATTCGATGTCTCTCGGAGAGTTGTCGTCGTCAGGATGAGCGGAACGCAATGGGACGCACTGGGACGCACTGGGACGCACTGGTTCCGCGAGAACGGAGGAAGCCCCACCTCCAGCGGTTGCTCGCACTTCCCGTAACGCTGTTGGACGGTTGCCGGTTTTTTTTTTTTGCTTGCGTGTAGTCCACTAGGTAGCAGAGTGTCTTGGCCGCGGCGGTGATTGGTTCCCACGGCGAATCGATCCTCCAAGTGATGAGTGCAGGCTGCGTCGTGGCGTATCGTTGGGTTGTGCGGCCAACCCTTCGTCGTTTGCGGACAAGAGGAAAAAAAACCCCCACCGGCGTTTGCGGAGGTCTGTTGAAGCATGCCTGTGTATATTCATTGGCCAGGAGGATCAGTCATTCGTCACATTGCGGTTGGCGGGGCTCATGCGCTGCAGGTTGACCAGTAATCACCGCCGGACAGTAAGCAGAACGTGTGGCAGCGATTCGAAACGTGATCGTGATAGTCAAGGTTGACTCATTGTGCCAGTGCTTTCATTCAACCTTGTCCCAATCCTTTCTGCCACCTCCCCAGCTGTGTACTTGCGCTCTGTAGACATATGTAAAACCCAACACTGCCCAGTCCTAGACACCCATCATCCAGCCTCGTGCGATCGAACATGTTCGAGAAAAAGAAACCGACTCAGATATGCGGCCAAAAATCCGTCCAGACAACGGAAGCATAAGAACCAACGGGGAGACTGCGAACACTAATAAAAGATTCCACCACTATGAAGATTCTAAGAAAAAAAATCAGAGGCAGGGCCGCGAGAAGTATAAGGAAAGGAAATATAGCACGAAGAAAAAAACACCAATCGACAACTCCAAAGTGTAATACCAGTCTTCTTGTCAACGGCTTGCCGTCCGCATTTTTCATCAGGCGCCTATGAATCGATTCGTTCCAAAAAAAAACATGATAATCACCGTTGGAAACAACGCCATAATCACGACACTTGATATTCTCTGCTGCGGTCAAGGATTTCTGGCTCGAGGCTCAGTTTGTGCACGTCGATGAGCCTCAGTCTCGCCATCTTGAGGAATCCATTAGGTGACAACGCGATCCACTCGATTTCCCGTAGCTTGTCATCCTCCTTCGTCAGGCTCCCAACGTCGACGGAAACCCCACCCATGAGAATAAAGAAGGCGGTAGTTATGGAGTAGGGACAGTCCTTCCTGGGCTTCCATGTGTCTTTAATGAATTTCCGAAGGTAATGGAATTTTGGGTAATCCAAATTCGTCTCCTTCAGTAGAGTATATAGGGCCCTAAGCGGCCGATTGACGTTGGCGTTTACCGGGGTTTCTGAAATTGCACATTCCGCCTGGTGCTTCTCGAGGTCGGGTGTTGATAACAAGGGGCCAGCGGTTGGTCAAGATCTATCAGGTGCCGTAGTTTCCGAGAGGTTGATCTCGTGCTGCTCGGGGTGTGACTGTGACGAGGCGGTATTCGTGGTTGCTAAAGATTTTTTGTTGCCTGCTCGTGTATATTTCGCAGCTCCTCGCGTAGCCATACCGCATTTACGAACTGATCCCAGGCTTTGATCACGACATACTCCGGCCCGCACAACGTGAGAAACACCCAATTGACTTTGTAGACAAAGGTGTTTGGAATGAACGCGCAGTAGTACTTCTCAGGCGCAATGTTGAGATGGATCGAGGTGTAGCAGCAAAGCGTTAAGGTGATGACGGCGGTTAAGAGAAGGCCGATGGTTCCACGGCCCGAAGGATTCGGAACATAGCCCGGCTCGGTTTCGATGGTTCCTGAGCCGGTGACGGAGGAGTCGGGAATGGTACCGACAGGACTTCCAAAAGCGGGAGTGAGAGTAACAGAGAGTACAAAGAGGATAGTAGAATCCATGATGGTATGCTCGGTATCGCAGCAGTTGGTTGGAGAATTTTTGACGGACCTGAATTGTCGAAAGGGCTGGATCCGATGCTCCACCGGGGACCATTTATTATAGCTATCACCGGTTCCTACGTCGGTTTCTTTTTCTTCCGAATCAGCACACGGCAACAGTTCAGAACATCATTTGTGGCGATCGGAAGTTAGCTGAAAAATACATAGAGTTGAAATCACTAGTATGTAGGCAGGGGAATCACCCAAGGCTCAATTCGCCAGCGTCAGCGATAGGTAGTCGTTCAGTCTCACGCAAAGCGGTAGCTAAGAAGTTGAAAGACCAGCGTGCAGCAACGTGAGACAGTTGGGAGGCTGCGCTTGATTGCAGTAAGCAACATGTACGCGTTGGAATGAAACCTAGTAAACGGTCTCTGAACGCAAAGATATTCGCTGGCCGTATGCACATAGATATCTAGAAGCACATCTGATGCAGTAGAACGCCAGGCTTTGTCGACGACTAACAAAGCCGTCCCCATCGCGGTGTTTGAACTATCGATTATTAGTGGATGGGGAAAGATGCGACGACAGGACATAATCTTGGAGCCATACGTACGGAAGAATGCTCTCCAGGTGCGAATTGGGCTAAAGGTGATCTGGATGAAATGGGTGGTTTCTGGTGCTGAACAATTGTGCCGATATAATAAACCGTTGTTTGGTGTTCCGGTAAATTGGCCAACGAGGCCAAAGGGGCGGCCAGGTGCTTGTCGGCGATGTGGCAAGTGTATCTGGAATGCTTTGTAGTGTCTCTTCAGCTGAATATGGGAATGTGCTTTTACCAATCCACGGCGATGGGCTACTGAAACATCTGCAACCCTCATGATGAATTAACCGCTGCACGAACATAGCAGCTACCGACACGAATAAAGGCCTTCGGATTGAAATTCCAGTTGAACAGTCGTGCTGGCCTTCCATACAGACGATACGATGTAAATAAGCAGCCTCCCTTACCTTACCCACGGGCCAGCTTGAGTTTAGTTGGAAGGCTTCCTAACTCGAGTGGCACCGGCTTAACTATGTCCTTGATGCTCAGGAAAAACCACAATCTTGGGCTTCAGTACTTCTATCTAGTATCGCGTTTCGGGAGTACCAGTAGGCGGTCTCAACACCTTCTCTTCCTTTCGAGGCACCCCAATTTGCCTAGAGGATACCTGACGTACTCCACACTGGTGAGATCAGAGAATATATACCTATACAAACGCAGATTGAGATCGTTTCCGATTCGAGTGCGGTGCCATTCGGCATGCACGCAAGCAAGCTTCTTTTCGAAGAAAGTTATCTCCAATAAATTAGCCAGATTCTATGGTGTCTCCCACCCGGGAACAGTAACGCAGGGGTTACATTGCAAGTCTTAGTATCAATCACTACTGGATTTACGGAGCGGTAGCACTTGATAACAAAAACAACAGGAAGGACCGATGCACAATAAATAAGAAAAAAACAAGGTCCTACCCGGAGTCGAACCGGGATTGCCGGAATCAGAATCCGACGTGCTAACCATTACACTATAGAACCATTGGTTAAGTGCTCTGTGCTACGCTGCGGTCCTGATGCCAAGCGTTTTGATGCCACTCCGCATGAGGTCCATGGCGGTGGTCTTCTACACTTGCAAGCTGAGTCCCCCACCAGTGCCTTCCGGATTCTGTGTGGCTGCTGGCCTCAGCGAATCAGCCGTCACCGATGCAACCCTTCTAGGTCAGTTGTTGCTGCAACAGCCACAACGCAAACCAACCATGCACACTGGATGGAGACACCTGGCCCGGCTGACGTGGACCGACCACCAACCGGCAAGGTCCCTGTATAAACGAGATGCACCGCAGCAGCACTATTACACCTTGTCCGACCACACTGCCACCCATCTCACATTCTCTGGGGCGCAATGAACGTTTTTGCGAATAAATAGCAGGAGGATCCCCTGCCGACTCTGCGTGTGCACTGTGCAGCTAAAAGTCTTCGACTCATCAACGCAAAGAAAACGGAGTGGAAATATTATTGAGCGCAGCGACAACACCGGTAACTTGTCTACCATACCGGACGGAAACGAAGCGCAACAATTGCGATGGACGAGACCAAGTCGCTGTCTACCGGTACACTAGAGGCGTGCGAGAGCGGGATACAGGAGAAAGGCGGAGTGACGGAGGACTCGCCAGGGCTTCTCAATCTGGCTCTGATCTTAACGACCGGTGCCGCGGCGGTTACGAATCTGGGCTGCTTGAGCTGGGTGGCCGGGCAATGCCTGCTCGACGTTCAGTGCCCGTCGTTGGCGTCTTGGGTGGTTCCGCTGCACACCCTGCTTCTCTTGTTGAACGGAAAAACGTTTACGGGAGAGCTGAAGAGAAGAAGAGCGGGCAGTGGCCGTGGCTTCTAGTAGGCTGCGGATCGATGTGGTGTTTGGACGCGGAACGGGTACGCCCACGATAGCGCTGTGAGATCGAATAGCAGTGTTTGCTGACAGAAGGGTTTATTATAGTCTGCATGCTTCAGCGTGGGAATAGACATTGCGTCTTCAGAGGACCTCCGGGGGAATTAAAAGATGGGTTGGACGGAGGTCTCTGACGGATTCGCGTCATCGGAGCGATACTTTTTCCATTGTTGACTTTGTGCTTTACTATGTCCTTTTGTTGACGTAGTCGATGTTATGCTTATTGATATGTAGTCATCTCGCCTCCAATGACTGTGCCTTTCATTTTCGGGCAATAGTCATTGACTGCTCTTGAGTTTACCTGAAGAGAGGTACCAGAACGTCACGGAACTGATCTGTGCATGACCCACCCAGGGCCCACACCGATAGGAAACCGATAATCCAGTTCACCCTCGCAACCGTCGTCTTACTCGTTTCGGCAGTTTTGGCAATCCCAATGACTAGGTACTTAGATATTGAACTCTCGTCAAGCGGCTCGATGTGGCTCCCCTTGGCTTGTCCACTCAATGCATGTAGAGCGCACTAAGCAAATAACACTATAAAACGACAAACTCCGCTCCTGACTCCACCTGGCCCCGTGATGAAGAGTTAGGAGATTCCATGAAGGAGGTGTGCGGAAGAACAGCGGGAGTGATCCCAGCTCCTCAACCTGAGTGCTCTCCTCCCCTCCGCCTGCCTTGTTTAGATTCTCGCATCGTGTGCAATCACCGATCGAGCGAGTGATATAGTGTGCCAGATCCCCGCCAAAAAACCGTACCGACTTTCGTCACTGCTTTAATATACCGGTGTTTTCTCCATCTTGATTTATCTGTCCGAGACGCCTCAGTGGCACATCATAATAACAGAATCTGGCTCTCCAGCCTCCACACACCCATGTGCCGACTGAAGTAAGCACCACAAGCGAGTGCTCAATGTTTTACAAAACCGAGTGCTATGGTGGGAATGGTGATCGCAGCACGTATCCCGGCTAAATACTGGCTACCGTACTCCACGAATCAGGTTGTAATGCGATTGGAGTAGAGTACCAAGACAAGACGAGACAAAGCTGCATGCGCTTTCACAGCATGACGAATGCCACGGCCTGGCCTGGCAGCGGTATGATTGCTACATGCCACGCTCCACATCGCGACGGGATTCATGGCTCTTTCACCACTCCCCCTCCTCCTGCTGCTGCTTCTTTTCGGCACGGCACTCTGCGCTGCACAGCGGTCTGCTTGTCCGTCGGCGAATACGGCACCATTGGCGTACGCTACGCCCGCCGTCGCTGCGGGATACACTGCTCATCGTATCGCATCAGGCCTGTCGCGTCCGAGGAGCGTAGTCATCGACGACCGTGGACAGCTGCTGGTTTCGGGGTCAGAGCAAGGCGTGGTGGGGTTGGTCCTTGACGCGGCGGGGTGCGGCGTCGAGAGGACGGTTGTGGTCGTGGCGAGTGATGGGACGGTTAGTTAGCTCTCCTCCCCCCCTAGCGAGAGTGGGGTAATCGGAGGCGCTGACGAGCGGCGTCCTTTCTCTACAGGGCGATCATTTCAACCACGGACTGGCGCTCTCGCCGGACGGGAAAACACTGTATGTACATACCGTATCCGATCGGCTGCCGCAGTGCAGAGTGCAAGTGTGGACTGACCCAGTTCCATAACTACAGCTATGCGTCCACTTCCGGCTCCGCCTTCTCCTGGAGCTATGACAGCTCGCGCCTTGCCGCCACGAACCGTCGGGAGCTAGTCTCGGGCATGTCCTCCGCGGGGCACATAACCCGAACGCTGCTCGTTCCCTCTCGGCACGCCGACCTTCTGCTCATCTCGCGGGGGTCCAACAGCAACCTCGACGCGGGCACGACGTCGCTCGCCAGCGGGCGGTCGATGATAAAGGTGTTCAACACCACGGCGATTGGCACGGGGAAGCCGGCGGACTATACGCGCGATGGCGTCGTGCTCGGATGGGGCCTGCGGAACTCGGTCGGCGTGGCGGAGAATCCGGCCGACGGCGGGATTTGGAGCGTGGAGAACTCGGCGGACCAGGTAACCAGGTACGGAGTGGATTTTCATAGGGATAATCCTGGCGAGGAGTTGAACTACCATGGAGGTCTGGATGGGATTCCTGAGGAGGCGGCGAATTACGGTTATGTATGTGTGCCCGGTTTGAACGTTTGCGGTACCGTAACCAACTGTACATCGCTAAACTGTATCCAGCCCTCGTGCGTGGCCGTGTACGACCCCACCGCGATCCCGCGCGCCGGCTCACTCAGCATCGGCTCGCAATTCGCGCTCGCGCCGAACGAGACATCCACGGACGCCACGTGCAATTCCGACCTGTTCCGCTCTCCGCGCCTCACGTTTGCCGCGCACACGGCGCCGCTGTCGCTGGCGTTCAACGGGAGCACCTCGGCGTTCGTGGCGTTCCACGGCTCGTGGAACCGCGACGACCCCGTGGGATACCACGTTGCCGTGCTCGATTTTAGCGACGATGGGCAGCCGAGGAAGACGAGCGGCGAGAAGGATCCTGAGACTAGGGTCATGTGGAATGAGGACTTGGGGAGCTGCCCGGATGCGTGCTTTCGGCCCGCGGGTGTGGCGGTCGGTAGGGAGGGGCAGGTATTTGTCACTGCGGATTCGACGGGGGATTTGTGGGTTCTTACGCGGGAGCGGGAGTCGGCAACGGGACGGGATCAGAGTGCGGTGTCGAAAAGATGTACCGCGCGCTCGGAGGTGGTGTTGGCGGTGGTGCTGGGTATGGCAGTCTGGAACGGTTTGCTCTAGCAGTACATTTCATGATGATTGATTTTGCGCTACGGGTGGTAGATGGCGCATTCCCGGCGCATTCGACATGGTATATACAAGGACAAGTAGAAGCCCCCAGGCATCTATTCTATAGAATTACATACCGCACGTTTTCTATCATACATCCAGGTCACCTTGAAAGAAAGGCCACTGGTTCCTGTCCGCCGTGTCCACTCGGGGGACCTGTATCTATGTGCCATCGTGCCCAGCTGACTTCCCGGTGGTCAGTTCTGGGTCCCCCCGAGTTCCTTATAATCACCAACGCCGGAATGTGCCTGCGCTCCGAACCTCACGCTCCTCCGTCTAGGCGGTTGCCGTAAATATGTACATACATCTATAATCTGACCACATTCGCAGGACCAGTTTCTCCTAATACCTATGGACCGCATCTCTCTCCCTCAGAGAACTTGGCTGTAGGTGTATCATTACTCCACGACCTTGCACTCCAAAAACGCCAGATCATCGTCGGTAACCTTTACGGCGAACACCAACTCTGGCAGGACAGCATTATCGAGTTTCCTCGCCCAATCGGGGGTCAGCCCCCAATCGCCGCGCCACTGACTCATCTTCCTGCCGTTCTTGAACTCAGCGGCGACATGTTTCTTCCTCATAGCCCAGCTATCGAAGCACTCTCCGCAGAAGCCACATCTCGAGCGCACCGGCAATCCAGTATCGACGAACCAGCGATTAAACGGCGAACTCCAGCGGACGCGGTGGACAGTCATCAGATGCTGCTTAAGGTGGTCTTTCCTCGCGAACGTGCGCTGGTCCTCCCCCTTCTCCGCGCAGCGGCTGCGACAGGAATACTCGCACTTCGCCGTATCGCAGGGCCCGCACCGGCAGTAGACGCAGTTCCCCTGCCGCGTTCGCGCCCCGTCCGGCGCGCAGATCCACTTCTTGAGGATCAGGTGCACCACCTCCTCGTGCCGCGTCCAGTTCCCCACCGTTGGGAACGATACCCGGCTGCAGAACGTGCAGGTGAAGCGTGGCGCGCCGTCGGCGACGGCGTCGCCGGGGTGCGAGGGAACCGGCGTGTGTGTGAACGTGCATGAGGGCTTCCGTCGGCGTGCGCGACGCCGGCTCGCGAGAGTCTTGCGCGAGCCGACGGAACGCATGCCGCTGCTGCTCGGAGAGGAGAGCACCGAGGAACCGGAGATGGCGCCGCTGGAGCCGCCGATGCTGCTGCGCGCGTCGGCTTCGCGGTCGGGGTATGGCGAGAGGTAGGGTGAGGGGACGTAGCCGGGAGGTGGCGGAGGCGTGCCGTAGCTAGAACTGGCGGCTGAGGCTATGGCGTCGAGATCGGCGTCTTCCTGGGAGGGCGTGTCGAGCCAGCGGCCCAGCGGCGGGGATTCGGAGCGGGAACCCCGAGAGCTCTCTTCACCCTGGCACTGTGGGGATGTCAGATTGATTTCGCGCCTTCATTGCAGTGTGAGCTCACTCACTCTCAGCGTGTGCGCTTGCCACGCTCGCACGATCTCTGATGATATGCACGGTCCGACGGAGATGTAGCAGACGCCGCATATCGCCACATAGCACAGGGTATTGCCGGCCGTCGCAATCGCGTGGATCGCCGACGGGGGACCTACGGTGGTCTCGGCGGTACCGCAGCCGTCGGCCGAGAGCGCCGACGACGACGGACCGAAGGATGCCTTCGTCCTCTGGATGTCTTCCCTACTGCTCTGGCACAGCGCGGCTCCGTCGCCGAGGTACAGCACTGTGCACGATTCTGCGGGAGCACCCGCTCGGGCGCCGGCCGTCATTGCCTCGCTTATCCCGGCGGCGGACGGGACCGGGTCGGCTGCTTCGACGGTGATCCCTACCTGGTGATCATGCACGTCTCGCGGTATTTCCGGCTGATCATCGGATTCGGCCAATCCGGCGCGCAGCGCGAGAGCGGGAACCTTCAGGATCAGCAAGTGTGCGGTCGGCACGTGACACATAGGACTCACAGTTTGGTGGCGGGCCGCAGCTGCGTGCGGCATCTCGTGCTCGTGCTCGGGCGCACAGAAGCATGATTCGCGGCGCGACATCATGCGGTCGGCTTCGAGGAAGCCCTCGAGCCCCTCTGAGACCAAGTACTGGCTGGCGACGTGATAGGTGATCGGTTCCATCGTTCTGCCAGTTGTTTCGTCGTCGTTGAATGGCCGCCACAACTCGTCAACATGCCCGCCCTATATAGCTGGGATATTTTTCCCTAGAAAAATGACGTTCGATTGGCTGCCTTCTCGCGGCCTCGTATGTCGGCAGCATCTCCACCGAGATGCATAATTGTTCAGGGGAAGGCGCTTGCCTCGCCTTTGCGCTCAGTGATCCTCCTCCTGGGTCCTCCTCCTCCTCTGAAGTATCGTGATGTACCGTACTGTATGCCCTAACGAGCTGCACGTCTAGTCGCGAAGATTCACGGAGATCGTTGCATAAGCTGCAGCCAATAACCGGCCAGAGACAAGGATGCCACCAACGCGGCAGTTTTTCCCTGCGACGGAAGGGCGTCTTGACCGTCGGAGGAAATTATCGGAGGCGTACATATAGATACTGGTATGGACATACCATACCATAGCTGTCAACCCGCCCAGATCTTCACCAAGGTCTTGAAAGTTTGAAACGTACTATTCTAGTGTCCGCGAAACAGTCAGCGCGTCCACGGAGCCAGGTGCGGGATTATGTTTGTTTTCTCCGCGTGGACGCAATCACACTCACACACTCAAACACGGTGACACAGACTACCACCACAAGGCTCCAGCCCTGAAGATGACAGGGCCGCACAGACGCGAGATAAGAGGATTCTGTTTGTGGAATTCTAGAAGCTCCGTGAAAGCAACAAGCATCGCTCAGACAGTTCGAAACAAAGAGCCCGATGTAACTATTGCCCCCCTTTCGCGACCATACGAGCTCACGTGAGCTTTATTTACATACCATCTGCTTCTACGATCCGAACGTCGCGACCAAACGCCGGACCGCGGAAGATACTCTATCCCTCAAAGAGCCATGATGCCAGAGACCCTCCCATCCGTCGAGACGGAACCCCGTTCCACTCAAAGTTTAAACTCATGCCTCACCGTTGCCACTAAAAGTACATCATAATAGATTAGACGTTGCCGATCTCTGCGCACACCCTACCATAAGCTTTAAGGTATAACCCTTGTGAGTCTTCTCACATCATCCTCCCCTCACCGGGATCTAGATTCTAGCTCCATAGATATTCCACCCACGAATCGACCGTGGACACCATTTTCCTTAGTTTAAGTTTGTTTCCCACGCGGATCATCTCACCACTCGGCGCTCGCCGCCCGCCCTATGTAATCCACCGCACCCATACCGCCGAGGGTGTCAGCATTACATCCTCGTCAACGCCGCAAGAATCCCATCAGGCTCCCCGCTATGTAGCGTATTGTGGGATGTGGCCAGGACTGACGTCTGGGCGCTTCTATCCGACCCTTGGCTGCGGACCTTGGGAAGGTTTTAGCGCCAAGACGTTGGTCTGGTTGGCGGATCAGGGTGCTGCTGGGATGAGCCTCTTCTTTTTTGCGCGTCGGTTTTGTTTTGTTTTGCTCCTTTCTATCAACTTTGGCGATGGCGTGACGGCCTAGGGTCGGTGAAATCAATATTATCTCCCGACGACGTCTAGCGGGGTCGGCTAATTTTCGCCGCTTGGTTGTATTTAATCGGGGGAGTGCCCACTTTTCTTGGGAGGAAGGCCGCTTGTTAATTATCTTTCTCTGACCGCCACCTTCTCGAGACAAGTTCTCCCCTGATTTCTCTAAGTGTGCCACTTATTCTATCGGGTCTTTTGACTCGCTTCATTACTTTAAATAATAATTGATTTCTTCGTCTGACCTGTGACTCGCTCTACACACCCTGACTACAACTCTTCCGCACAAATTGGCTGTGGGCCATCTGCGGCCCCGGTCCCCTTCAGTATCCGCCCAGTGGGCTAAGCAAAGACCCATTCCCCGTGGCCTGTGTATAGATGGGTCGGGTTTAACACCTGGCCGGGGTGGAGGGGACGAGGAGCGGAGCTGGGGGACTCTCTTGTTTACCTTCTTCTGGACCGAGACCAAGATCATCACCATCAACCAATCGTTCGCCCACCATCAACCCCACTTTTCATCTCCCCCATCGTCCCGATCTACAAACAAGCCGTGCACCGGGCCATGGGCGAAAGCCCAAGCTTTAGAGTGTTAGTCGCACTGGCTCAGAACCTTCGAAGGTCCACATGCTCTTTCCTACTGCTCAATAGAAGAACACTATCCTAGCACCTTCACAACCTCAACCATCAACCTCCAACCAACATGTTGTAATATTTGGGTAGACGGACAGAGGAAATCCATTCCATACAGCAATAATATCATCGGCGGCGAAGTCTCCGTTTACCATACAGGTGCCGCCGAAAGTTCCCCGCCCCTGACAGCACTAGGTCTCGACCGCCCGCCGTGGAACCTTATTCGTGACAACATCTCCCGGGGGCCAGCATACAAAGCTTGACACAACACAGTCACCGACGACTATTTAAACTGTGAATCCCGATTGTTGAACGCGTGAACACCTCGCCTGTCGATCCGCGCCAACAAGCCTACCCATCATCTCCGTGTCTTCCGGCTGCTGCTCTCCTCCCCCCAGCTCTTCCTACATCCGCTGGGCAGGATTCGCTAGTATACTGGAAGTGGTAAGATATTCTTTCTCCAAATCTCTCTTCATGCTGACACTGTTATCCACAAAGAAGATGAAGTACGTGATCGTCGTCAACGGCGGACGTTCCGCGGATGTCGCCATGACAACCGACATCATCGCTCTGATGCGGCATTACCTCGCTCAGCGAAACACTCGCGTCGCAGGCGTACATTCGAGTGAGCGAAACTTACAATCCCAGCGGGGGGTGCTCAAAAAGGAATTTTTGGAGCAGATGGTGGAGAGCGTGCGCATGCTTAAGAGTGGGGACTCGCTGCTTGTGTGCATTCTTACCCACGGTGCCGCAGACGGTTACGCGATGCTTGACGACGAATATGTTACCAAGTTGGAAATATACAATGCTCTGAAGGGCATCCCCCGAGATTCCAGGGTTTCTATCGTGACTACCGCCTGCTACGCAGGTATGTGGCCTGGCATTACTAGACAGATTCCTCCGGACAAAAACGCCATTCACATCATGGCTTGCGGACCGAAGGAGAAGAGCCAGGTGTACCGCACGTTTTCGAACTTCTACAGATGTAGTTTGCACGCCGCTGAATTTCTGACCGAGATTCGTCCTGATCCGGACCGCACCTTGCGGGTGCATCATAAGCGGGTTGCGGCGAGAATGGCGTTCGTCGATGCCAATAGCCACGAGGGACAATCAAAGCCCATGTTGGAAGGTGGCAGGCAAACACTATGGAATCACTGTATCGACGACTGGATTCCCGTAGCAGCACCTGTCGCTCAGTCTTTCATACGCCATATGGATGCTGCGGAAAAGCCCGACTTTCTGCGCCAGGTCGAGAACTGGTTGATAAAAAACGTGCTGGCTACTTTCGGTGATATCCCGCCGTACAAGGCCGATCATATCCGCGGGCTTCTAGAACAGGAGTTGAAACAGCTACAGTGTGGCCCGGTGGTTCGATTTGAGGTGATTTTAGTGGAGTGCACCAAGTACGCACTAAAGGCACACAAAAATCCCCCTTTTCAGCTGGAACTCATCCGCGTGTATGAGTACATTGGGTTGCTCAAAGAACGGGCGGCTGCGGCGGTGAGGTTCCTCATCGCTGATGGTGCGCTTCCGAGCAACGTCTATCGCGACGCTTACGACTTGGGGCAACTGTTCACGATACACCATGGCTGGATGCGCCACTTGTCCACCGTCGTGAACATCTCCGAGTCGGCGAAGATTCCCTCGACGATATTTGGTGGCGTCTACGATCGCCACGTCGAATGGCTCGCTTGTGTTTTTGCGGCGGGTTCGGCAAAGTCCTCCAACGTCGATCTGGAAGTTTGTGTACCGGTTTTCAATCGGGCATTCTTTTTACCCGCCGGGGACTGGAAGGCGGCTCCGGCGATGGTGTGATTGAAGCGGAGGTGCGCGTGGCAGACGCTATGTGCTCTGACTAGGCGGTGTTTGATGCCGTCATGATGTGTTCTGCTCCGGAGCTGTGTTTCCACATGGGGTGCGTGCAATAATTGTTTGGGTTCATTCAGCAAGGGGTGAAGGGGTTGGGAGCGGTCGTGCATCTTGGCCACGTCGCATCTCTTAATAGCCTACCCGGGGCCCTGAAGCTGTGTTTTAGCTTGTGTTATTTCCCATGTTGTTTGACTTACTTCGTTAGGCGGGATGGGAGAAGTGAGGTGTCGGAATGGGAGCTGAGGGAGCGGGAAGAGCGAGCGGAGCTGAGGCGACTCGAGGAGGAGGAGGAGCCAGGCGACGTAGAATAGCGGACCAGAGAAGTGCGGCGAGGTGGGAAGACTCGAGGGCGCGAGGGTAAGTGCGGTCGGGGGGTCGAGTGCGGGCGGGGGTTTGAGTTCGGTGCCGATCAAGTGCGGGCGCGGGGTAAATGGCGGAGATATACTTTTGGGAACTGCCAGGGCGGAGGGCAGGGAAAGCCACATCGGGCCGCTCAGTGAAAGCTGGGTTGGACAGTGGCGTGGAAACGGGGGGGGGGGTGAACGGGGCGATATTGCCATGATCTAGATAGGTCGCATGCAATTACTGATTAAACAGAAGAAAAAAAAAGGGGGGGGGGGGGGGGGGGGATGGGAGAGATGTTGCGGCCGGGATTGGTCACTTTTTATTTGTTAATGACGGGCCGGGTGCTGAATTATGTACTACATGAACTGCTGTTGTTTTTTGGTTGCTTGGTCGAGACTCAGTGGGAATTGCTGTCGGGGCCGAGGACCCTCCGGCGGCACCTCAGTCTGTATGTATAATGTATCTAAAGATAGACCTCACCGCTGATGTTATTGCTGAATCGAATGGATTATCTCTTCTCATCTACCTAAATGTTCCAACATTCTCCTTGGTGAAGACCGCAGACGCTCCGCCACGCGTAGTCTGCACTATTGGAGATATCATCTTCCTCGTCTTCCTCGCTGAGTTTAGCCCTCATCGTCCTCCTCTCCTCCTCGTCATCGCCGATATGTTCATTCCCGGCCCAGCTCACGGCACCACTGCTGTCGGTCCCTAGGCGTCTCCGAGCGCGCGTACGAGCAGTGTTCTCCATAGTCTGGACGGGACGGACTGCCAAGATCCAGTCCCGACTGTGCCTTTTGGAGGACGGGATAAAAGTAGTCCGTCCCGTCCGCCAATTTGTTCAACGGGGTTTGGACTGCAGTCGACTGCAGTCCGTCCCGTCCGGCCTTACCGGTGGACTAGTCAGTCCGACAGACACCTCCGGACGGACTGGATGTATCTAGTCCAATCCCGTCCATGCGTCTGGACGGACTGGAGCGTACGAGTACAGGATTCGCTTCTAGGCCGAGCTCGCTGGCTGCATCGTGGGCAGTAGGTCGAGCGGGGCGAGGAGCAGGGTGGGGAGCAGGGATGCTGAATCCACTGTAGCGAGAGGGCATTTCCCTGGCGAATCCAGTCCTGAATCCACGGCAATTCCAGGGCACTTCCAGGGCGAGCCACGGACGGATCGCAGGTTTCGCTGGACGGTTTCCTGTCACTCGTCAGTGTTCGACATAGTCCGGTCCGTCCGTCCTTGGCCTCGGACTGGACTGGGCTGAATCTTTTCAGTCCGTATAGTCCAGACTGCAGTTCCGACCGGACTGTGTCGAACACTGTCACTCGTTATATGGTCTCGCCTTTCTGCTTTACCGGTACCCTGTTGTTATGCATACGTGCATTATCGTCCACAGAGGCGGCAATCCTGCCGTTTTTCCCGACCACTCTGTGACGAATTGATCGGTACTGTATGTATCGGCGTGAGGTCGGTGGAGGAATAGGTTTGATCCTCATCATCAAGATACCAATTCAGATGTAATCAGAGTCTGGTCCACATTGCGAATTCTATATATGCGGGAGGTATCATACGTACCAGGAAAAAAACAGCAGATAATGTGAGGTACCTACTTCGGGTGATATCTATGATAGCCCCTACATGTTTGGCAGTAGTATATTTGTTGCATCTCCTAGCTTGGCCCAATTTGGGCTGACGCAAAAAGGTTGGCAACGAGTGATATAAAAGGCATTCAGCGAGTGCGCTCTTCCACAAAGCAACATGTGTAAATTAGTACAAACAGGCTCTGAAACATGATTTATCAAACAGCTTATATTCCCACTTCCCTTCTCATGAAGCTTTCCCAAACATTCAAGACAGAAAAATAAGTTGCAATCCTCACAAGACCAACTTCCCTGTAGTGCCAAATGTGACACCCCGATAGGTATCGGAGGTCACGACACACGCAAGAGATGTGATTAGATAGTTCGGGTGATCAGAATAGTGTCACCGCTCAGGTCGGAACGTTCGAGGACGAGTCAGAACAGGGGTCGGAAGGTAGCGCGGGGGCAGCGCGGGCGGCAATGCGGGAATGAGCCATAGGGGATTGGGGCTGTGTGCCGGTAACGAGGGTAGCGCGGCTGCGCAGGGTTTGAGTCACCGGAGCGGGTATCGGCGAGGAGGATTTCTCAGGGTCTAGCACACGCCCACGGTTATTGTCAGGTTGCAGGAAGGAGTGAAGGATTTCCTATATAAACGGGCCGACGCCCCTCTGTGTCACGACTCGCGACGGAATGACGAAGAGAGGGTCAGCGCAAGGATCAGGAGAGTTGGGAGGCTGTGCACAGGCAGCGCATGTCAGGGCTCGCGACAGAATGACGAAGGGAGGGTCGGCGCAAGGATCGGGAGAGTGTGGAGGCTGTAATAAAGTACACTGGGAAAGTACTATACCACTCGACCAAAAGGTATTTTGATGGCTGATGGCCATCATCCCAGTAGCTACTTAAGGCCAGGATTTCTGAACTGTGACAGAGGCAGTGCACAGGCAATGCACCGGCAGTGCAAGGATGAGTTGCAGAGGATTAGGGGCTGTGTGCAGGGAGCAGGGATAGCGCAGTAATGAGTCGCAGGAGATTGGGGCTGTGTGCAGGAAGCAGGGGTAGTGCGGCTGCGCAGGGTATGGGTCACGGAAGTGAGGTACTGGCAAGGTGGATTTCTCAGGGTCTGGCACACGCCCACGGTCATTGTCAGGTTGCGGGAAGAAGTGGAGGATTTTCTATATAAACGGGCCGTTGCCCCTCTGTATTTAGTTCTTCACGCAACAACTTGTTAATTCAATCACTGTTACCTCTGTCCTTGCCTCGGCTGCCGTCTGCGCCGTAGTCCTTGTCCCTGCCTCTGTTCTCAGTTGCCGTCTGCACTGAGCCCTGCCTCACCTTGTCCCCTGAACCCGTCTTGCCTCTGCCGAACCCAGAACCCGGTCCCCAGCCCGACTTCGCTACCTGGAGCCTTGCCCGACCGTGCCGTTACACTTTGTTGCGTCCCCTATCTCTCCACCTAGCGAACTACCATGGCCACCAACACTCAGTTACCCAACGTCCCCCAGCAGGACGAAATACCAGTGGCACCCACCTTCTACCGAGAAATTGCCGCCGCCATCTACGAACAACTCGAAATCATCGTTAATCATGATGCACCCGCCCATGATGCAACCCTGATGGGGTTGTACAACGAATTCAGAATCCTCGCCCGCGCAATCACCCTGTCCCCAATAGCCGTACCAACCTGGCGATTCGACGACCTCGAAGAACAACTTGCTGACGCCCGCCGCATCGCCAACCGCCTCGCCACCGTCGAAACCCAACCTCAAAGCCGTGCTGAGCGTGTCCCAGACCCAGCCATGTTCGACAGAACACGCGAGAAACTGGAAGGGTTCGTTGCGCAACTTTCACTCAAGCTGTACAGCGGCCCAGCCCGTTTCCCAACTCCAGCACTCTGAATGGCCTATGCCTTCAACCGCTTGGAAGGCCGCGCCCAAGCCCAGATCCTGCCGTACATCGAGAATCACAACATCACCCTCACCGACGCTGATGCGATCATCACACTCCTGAACAACGCATTTGGTGACCCTGACCCAGCGGCCACAGCTCGAGCCAAGCTACACCACCTGAAACAAGGCAATAAGGAGTTCACCTCCTACTTTGCGGAATTCCAGATGCTTGTCTCCAAGCTCAATTGGGACGAGCATGCGAAACTTGACGCGCTGCGAGAAGGAGTATCCATCGAACTCCACCGGCAACCTGTGGGCCGTACTCAGGGCCTCAACTACGATGAGTCTGTGGCCCTCTGTCAACGCCTTGACTCCGAGCTGCGTGCCCTCCAACTCCGTGAGGGACGCCGCACCACCAACCCCCCTTGGCAGAGTAGCGCCCCACACCCCACGGCGCCGCCCAGGCACACCACCCACAACACCATGCCCGCGACGACCACTGCCACAGGAACGGCCCCCGGAGCTATGGGCTTGAGTGCCAATAGCCGCAGGATCCCAGACCAAGAGCGTGTTGCCCGGCTCCGCGAAGGCCGCTGCCTGTACTGTGGGGGAAGTGGCCACATGGCCAGGCACTGCCCCAACAAGAACCGAAATCCGTTCCGAGCAGCCGTTGCCCCGACTCACACCTATCACAACTGCAACCAGGATTGCGGCGAGACCTCCCAGCAGTCGGGAAAAGCCTAAACCAACAACCGCTTGATGGCACTGTTGTTGGTCGTACCCAGGATAAGTCTTTGTCTCCTATGTCCCCTATTTTTTGTTTGTCTAGTCTCTCAGTGTCAGGAATGGTTGTGGAAGAATCATCAATGGAAGGAAAACATCTTGTTGTATTGTGTAACCTTTCGTTTGGTGACAAAATCATTGCCACGCATGCGCTGATCGATTGTGGGGCAACCAGAATTGCATTTGTAGACAAAGACTTCGCCCGCCATCACCACCTACCCCTCGTACCCCTGAAATCCCCGCGAAGTCTCGAAGTCATCGATGGCCGTCCCATCGAGTCAGGTGACATCACACATGTTGCCACCACCACCCTGTCCATACAGGAACACCAGAAGGAAATCCCTATGTTTGTCACCAAACTAGGCCACTACCCCGTTGTACTCAGAATCCCCTGGATGGACCTCCACGGTGTGGCCATCCGGTTCAGCTCCCAGTGTCACAGTTCAGAACTCC